GGAACTGATGGAACACATTTTGTTGTCACCTCTCAGATAAAACTGCTCTGGCATATTATCAATTATCAGTAGCCCAACCTGGATAATGATATTTCTCTCATGCAGGCCTTGGCTTGCCCCTGTTTATAGGCAATCTAAACTGACTTCTTGCCCACAGCCACAGGCTACTTAAAACAAGAGGCCTAACCCTAGAGATTAGGCCAGGGGTAGGCAAACTAAGGCCTGGGGGCCGGATGTGGCCCAATCGCCTTCTCAATCCGGCCCACAGACGGTCTGGGAATCAGCGTGTTTTTACATGAGTAGAATGTGTGCTTTTATTTAAAATGCATCTCTGGGTTATTTGTGGGGCATAGGAATTCGTTCATTCCCCCCCCCCCCCCAAATATAGTCCACCCCCCCACATGGTCTGAGGGATGGTGGACTGGCCCACAGCTGAAAAAGCTTGCTGACCCCTGGATTAGGCCCTGCAACAAATCCGGACACCAGTTCTGTCCAAGTAATGATGTTACATGACTGAATAACCTCAGCCACACAATGGAGAGCTAATTCCTTACAGAAGGAAGCTGTCATCTGTGCATAATGGGGGCCTGAACTGCACACACCTCAGCTTAACTGGGGCTTGCATTTTCAAATCAGATGGAAAATGGTCTGAGGAGCAACACATGTAACCGGAGTATTGTTCAATAAACTACAGGGTACATATAGATTCTGGCTAATATCATGTGTACTCAGCTTCAAACACCAGAACTGGCCGCACACTGGAGCTGGAGTAAAAGGTAATGTGTACACAGTCTTCTTTTCCCAGAATAGGTGTGCATGGCATCACTAGAGAGATAGCATTAGCATAGAAGCTGGTGTTGTGAATAAGCCACTCTGTCCTTATCTTGTATGCATTTGCATAGAAATTTCACAGGCAGATTGCTGCATAGATTTCTTGCCCTTTTGAACCCACTGTTTACCAACTATCTCCCCCTCTCCTGCAACTAAGTACCGGTAAATCTGCCAACTGAAGATAACACTGATGGAGTGAGCTCTTCTCCACAAAAGCTTAGGTCACAATAAATCTGTCACTCTTTTAAGGTGTCACAAGGTTATTTGTTGTTTTCAATCTGATCAAGCAACTTTGTGTGTGAGAGACAGACTCTTTGTGGATTATGGCAACTTCACCTCTTTCGGTTGCGGCAAACTGGTTTTTAATAGGGTTCAGAGTTGTCTATTGCAATTCCAGTCTGTGAGACTCTGATTAAGCCTGCTGTCTGGAAGTAGTCCCCCCCCCCCAATAGTCTGCTAAGCACTTTAAATGTTTAGGAATATTGCATATATACAAAATATCTCACCTAGATGTAGGTAGGGAGTTTCAAAGAATATGTGCTTGCTACACTAAAAGATTGACTCCTCACCAATATAGAAAGAACATTATAGGGCACTTGTAAAAGTACACAGATCAAAGCAGTAAAGTAGACATGGATGGAGCAGTGTGATCCTGCAAGTAAATTAGCCCAAAGTTGTAAAGTCCTAGCAGTATACAATAGTATACAACTTGGCCTGTTAAAAAACTGGCAACCACTCTGATCTTTGAACAGAGATATAGCATGCTGATAGAATCGTGCTCCTTTCAGCAATTGTGCAGCAGCATTCTGCACTAAATCCAGCCACAATGGAAGCTCCACAATGAGTGCATTGCAGTAATCCAGGCATGAAGTTACCAATGCCTAAAGTTATCCTGGTTTAGGAATGGTCACAGCTGTCATACTACCAAAAGCTATTCTTGGCCACTGAGTGACACAGCTGGATCCAGGAGCATCCCAGACTGCGTACCTGGCTCCTCACAGGGTGTGTACAGCATACAGCGCAGACAACTGACAAATCACTCACAATGCTGCTGTCTTGCCTGATTTCAAGCTCAGTTTATATTTCCTCATCAAGTCCAATACTGCATACAGATTGTATGGAGAAATATGTTACATTTGTATGTTACATTTTTTGGATTTGTATAGTTTATGAAGCAATATCCTGCAATCGAGTACATTCTCATAAACAAAACTTACAATAACTTTGTAAGTACTAAAAATATTTCAACAAATTCCACATTAAAAGGGTGTTCAGTAACTTTTTTCTTGGATGCCTCAAGTAATAGTTATGAAATAGGCAAACTTGCTATTAAAATGTATGGAACCAATGGCTGCCAAAGACCTAAGACCCAAAATTCATGTGACAATCACAGATCAGAGTTCCAGTTGCCTACCTCAGCTGCCTGACAACATTTACAATTGCAGAATTGTCTTCATTCCAAAGTTATCTCTGATGGTTTCACTTCATCAGAGGCGCCAGATGTACGCAAATTCTTGATTTCTATACAGAATAGCTGTTGTGGGTTCAGTAAGTAAGTTTTTATTTTCAGATTTTTGCTAAGACCAGAACCTCACACTTGATGAAACTTTAAATACAACAGATTTCTGAATTTAAAGCAACTGGAAGATGCAAGAGGGCAGGCTGCATGGCACACAGAACTATTCTCTCCAACCAACCCCTCACCATTTACCAGCATCTGCTGTCTAAGGCATCCATCTCTTTCTGCCTAAGGGTAGGGCTGGCCTTGTTAGAATTATTTTTAGGACAACTGACCTAGCATTAAAGAGAGGCATGAAATGCCCAGTGGTTTGCTAAGAAATTTCCTTCCCATAGATTAGTGGTCTGTAAGAGTTATGGGAAAGCTTGTGAACATTCCTCTTTTTTGATCTGGACTACAGTATTTCCCCTACTTTCTTCCCTATCTCATGGTACTTTGCACAATATTTTAAAAAACAAAAGCAGCCATGTTGTTCCATAACATCAAAGGAAAGACCAAAACCCACAGTCAAGCAATACTTTTATTAGGACCAACCAAAATGTCACATAATTTACAATATTTTGAGGAAACACAGATCCTTGCATGCAACAAAGAGACGGAATGGGGAGATAGTGTTGTCAATTTAACAATACGTTTTTTGGAAGGGGGTTATTAGTCTCTATTAGTTTTTATTGTAGCTTTTTGTTGTTGTTCACTTAAAAAGTTATTTCTGTGCAATGGTGGCTTTGCACTAGTGGGGAGGGATTTCATCATAGATGTTTTGCCGATCCTTTTATCCACTGCAGCCCTTTGTTATATCCAACACTATTCTGCAGGGCCCCCCCCCAACCTCAAGTATTGAGTGAGAGAGGTATTGGTGAAAGTCAGGTACCCTGCCTTCAGGGGCAGATCTGCTATGAAACTAATGAATCTTAAGCTTCAGGGTCTTTAATCCCAGAGGGCCCCAGAAGCGACTTTAGCCCAGGCTGCTTTTAAAAAATGAATCTAGTAGACCCAATCTGAGTCGCACAACTCATATTGATTATTTTGTTGTTGTTTATATTTCAACAATCCTGAAGTTTGAGAGTTGGTAGTGCAGATGTTGTAGAGGTGTGGTGATCTGTCATGGAACAACCCCAGAAGATATCAGGCATTACCTCATTGCTGGTTGTGAAGGGACCCCCATAACAGTTCAAGCTTCAGGGCTCCAAAAATGTAGGTCTGCCACAGCCTGTCTTGCACAAGTAAAGTGCTTTCTACTAGTGTAAAGCCACCATGGCATACAACTCACTATATCATTTAAAGTTTTATTGAACTAGCTTTAAAAGTGCATATCACTTTCCCATTTTGATGAAGTACCAAAAGCAACCAGGAAGAGTATGTGTGCATCTTCAATACCTGCAAATTGAAATGAGTGATAATGTTATGCATCTGGACACAGTTAAGTGGAACTGCCGTGTCTGAGCTGAGAACAGGGATGATGTGTACATTTGCACCTGCTGATCAGCAAAGGGAGGGGAGTTGTCCTATATGATGTGAGCGAGGCAGCGGTTTGCCACCAATCTGAGCACACTATGGGAGAAAACTTCCACTTGTGTTCAAAATGCTCTGAGCCTGTAAGGGGTGCAGGTGTGGGATGGCCTGGTGCTGGTGGTGATTTGAGAGCCAGTGTAGTTTTGTGGTTAGAGTGCTGGACTAAGATCTGGGAGATCAGGGTTCAAATCCCCACTCACCCATGAAGCCCATTGGGTAATCCAATTGGTAGGTTAGGCTGAGAGGCAGTCATTGCCTCTCAGCCTAACCTACCTCAGAGTTGTGAGGATGAACTGAGGAGGAGGCAAAGAACCAAGTACACCACTTTGAGCTCTTTGGAGGGAAAAGTTGGGATATAAATGCAACAAATAAATCCTAATTTGAAGGGCTCTAACCCGGTGGTAGAGCACCTCCTTTGCATGCAGAGGGTCCCAGGTCCCTCTCCAAAAAGACCAAACCAGTTTAGGAGAAAAGTAGGTCCCGTGTAGGAAAAGATTGAAGGCTGTTAGCGTAGTAGGGAGTCCTCTGAGTTAGACTACCTGAGTCAGTACATGGCAGCTTCTTCTGCTCTTCTGTGGGCTCTTGCTGAGGCGGGAAGGCGACGTCAAGTTGCCCTCGTCTTCTCCCTCTCGCAACTTGGGGGAACGTGCCCGGCCGTGTAGCCGCCGCCGCCGCCGCCGCTCCTGTAGGCGAGAAGCGAAGGCGGAGGTTGCCCCGTCGGGACTCCTCCTCCGAGGGCAGGGCCGGGGGCGGGCAGGCGGAGCAGGCAGCCGGAGGGAGCCCTAATCTCGCCGTCGCGCTCCTGCGGGGTGGAGAGAGACGTCGGCGCGGGGTCGAGTGAAGCAGCAGCCGCCGCCGCCGCCGCCGCCGCCGCCGCCGCTCCAACCAGAGCCAGACTCACCGCGAGCCACCCCGGCCAGTCCTGGCGCCTGGTGGTGGCGGCTGCTCTGAGGAGGAGGAAGGTCGCCCGGCCGGCACCGCGGAGAGAGAGAGAAAGAGGGAGAGGGAGGGACAGAGAGCCGCGGGCGCCGTGCAGCGAGACCACTCGGGAGAACTCAACTTTCTGCTCGCCGCTCGCCAAGCAGGGGAGAGGCTGCGTCGTGCAGGGGCTGCGGGAGCTGCAGCAGGGGTCGCCACCATGAGGCGGCTCGGGGGCGTCCGCCCGCCCCCTCCTCCTCAGCCGCTGTTGCTGCTGCTGCTGGGAGCCCTATTCTACGTGCGAGGTAAGCGCTTCCGAAGGGACACCCCCCCCCGCGGTTTCCCGCGCTGCTCTCAGCCGCCGTGCGCTGTGAACGAGACGCGGCCGCAGCGCGGGGCACTTGCGTCGGGGAAAGGCTCCTTTCTCTCCTTTGCCTTTCTGCCGTGCGGCGTCCCGCGGTCGAAGTTGCTCCGGGCTTCCCGACAGGCGCTCGGCCCATGCTCAGGCGCGCTCGTCTCGCTTCACGTTTCGGACCGAGCCCCGACTTGAGCTCTCGCCAGGAATCCCCGGACTCGGCCAGTGGCGTTTTTCTGGCCCTCATTGCGGGTGCGCCTGTGTTCTGCTTGTACAGAGCTGCTCCCCTTTTCCTAGACCTGCAGCCCCCTCTGGGCACGTACCTGGGAACAAATCCCGCTGAACAAAGCAGGACTTTTAAATAGCACCCAGCGCGATTAGGTTAGCGTTGCAGGGGACCCCCCCCCCCCTTTTCTTTGCTCCCCGGGGTCCTTGCCCTCGTGGCTGTGGACCAGAGAAACCTCGCAGTCTTCTCTCTCCTCCTCCCTTCCCCCACCCCTTTGTTTCTAAAACTAGAAGTGATGGCATCCAAGTTTCGGAGAGTTGGTGTGTCGGAGAGAGTTGCCTGTGTTCACTTGGCAAGGGCAGAAAGAGCACTCTGCACATGGTACAACAACTTCGCGTAATGATTTGCCCCCCCCCCCCGGCCAAATCCGGCACACCCTGCCCTAGCCGCTGGTGGCGGGGAGGTGCTCTGGGGCAAAGCCTGGCTGAACTCTGGCTCAAATTAAGCCCGCTCCCTCCACGCGCAGGAGCAGCTGGGTGGAGCGGCGGCGGCTTTGCTCATTTGCAAGAGGTGCTCGAGTGTTTCTGGCGCCGGCGCGCGGGGCATCCCGCCGTGCTAACTACCTGCTTTCTTCTTCCCTACTTGGCATTGTCTTTGTCCCATCCGTCACACGCACGCCTCGTTCTCCGGCGATTCCCGTCCTCCTCAGCCTTCGCAGCTCATATTGTGTAGAGCATGCATCTGTTCGGGCCGCTGATCGGCTTTCCTGTCCCAGCCCTTCAAAGGTTTCTTCTTGCAACCCAACCGGATCCCTGCAAAGCCACAGCAAAGGGATCTCCACTTCCTTCATGTACTCTTGCCTTGAAACATGCTTGCTCTCCCCCCATTCCTCCAAAGGGCAGCCGCCGCTTTTGATGCACATACGCCCACCTCCTCCCCTCTGAAGTTGATCTACTAAATTTATCCCTTTATGTTCACCTCCCCCCCCCCTCTCTCTCCCTCCCTCCCTCCCTCTTTCTGTCTTCCCTGCTGCGGGTGAGTGAGAGACTGTGGCATTGTTAAATTCAGTGCTGGAAGGTTGTATGTGTGCAGGTTATTTCTAGCCTTCTCTTGCGTGTTGGGACAGCAGCCCTTCCTCAGCAGGAATGCAGCTGCTCTTCCTACCAGACAAGCCCCTTAAAGGTACAGACCTGCTAGGGTGGAATCTTAGGCTCCGTTTACTTTCTTTACCCTCAGATTTTTTGTGGTCTTGGGAGTGCTTTTATAGTAGTAGTAGTAGTAGTAGTAATAAATGCTCAAAGTGAGCACTCGTAATAAATGCTATGTTGGGAGCAGGAAAGCATGTGAAGAAGAAAACAGCAGCTTGCTCCCTGCCTGTTGCTTGGAAGGAAGACTGTGCATCTTAAGTGTTTTGCAGTGCTGTATTTGAAACTGATGTAGAAAATGTGTTGTGGTTAGTGGTTCACAGATGTGTGCTGAGCACATTATTGGTGCTCAATAAACAGTGGCAGAGTAATAGTAACTGTGTTCTTGGAGTGTGGGGGGGAGATATGCTCTGCTGTTTATTAATAAGTTGAAGTTGTTGTTTGGGGGGGGAGCAAAGTTTCCCAGATGTTTGTGGACAAGTTGACATTTTCTGTAGCAGGAAGTCGGAAGCATAAATGCATCTTCCTCTTCTTTTGGCTGCTGCCTGTGTAATTTCATCCACCTGTCTCTCCAGATGCTGATTGGGAGTTGCAGGAAGTCTCTGCCTTAGAAGTATTGGCTCCCATCATTCTCACAAGCATTGGCCTTGGGGCACAATGAGGTTGTGTTTAGCTTAAACAGTTCCTTTCTGATCAGAATGCTGCTTGCGCTCACATACACCCACTCCCCCTTGCAGTGGCAGGAGCGATAGTTTGAAAATGCCGGATAGAACAGGCGGAACCTTAATTTATTTTTATTGCTAACCGGAGGAGTTTAAATTTCTCTGGCAAGTTCTGTGAGAGCGTAAAGGAACAATTTAAAGGCTAGACCACTGCCTAGATAGAGGAGTGGGTGGGATTTTATTTTGGCTCTTACCCAGGTGCTTCTATTTAATGTGTCCTGGCAGTTAATGACTGTTGGGGGGATGGTTTGCTGTAAAGTGTAGGTCATTTGTCATGCTTGCTTGTTAAGTGGCAGTGTGTTGATGTCTGCAGAAGGCACTTTTATGCCAGGTTGACTCAGGAATAGCAACATCCATAACTGAGGCTTCATTCCAGCATTATTCTCCTGAGTGTCCCTCTGGGGAAAAGTGCTGGGGTTTATGCCTGAATAAACAGTTTAGCACATTTTCTTCCACATATATGCATTCTGCTTCAGTTTTTCTACTCACTGATTTTAGTTTTATCTCCATTTGTTCCTGCTTCCTTGAAGTATGCTAGATGAAATAAAATAATAAAAATTAATTGGGAAAAATAATTTATTCTTAAATTTAGGATACTTGCAAGAGCTGGTGCCTCTTTGTTTTTGTGAACAGTAGCTTCAGTGTGATTGTGAAGACAACTTCATATATTTAAAAGGTTAATAGAACGAAGGGCACAAGCAAATAATTTCAGATAAGAAACTCTTTCCTGTTTAATGTTGTGATACTGTACCGTGCTGTCAGGCTGCACCTTTATTTGTACGGCATCTAAGTGTGTGTACACAGGATATCTGCTCTCCCTATTCCTATTCACAGCTTTTATGTGGTGTCCCTGTTGTGCTGCGCCATGCCAGTATCTGTGGGAAGATTTAGGTTCTTCAGAAGTGAGGCTACTGTGGCTGTGTGAGACCTGTTGGTTGGCCTTTGTGTGGTGCCATTTGTTCGTAATCAATAAGTTTGTTAACATTGCATGCCTTCATGACTTCCACACCATGCCCCATAGTTATAATACAGTGGTACCTCGGGTTACAGACGCTTCAGGTTACAGACTCCGCTAACCCAGAAATAGTACCTCCGGTTAAGAACTTTGCTTCAGGATGAGAACAGAAATTGTGCTTCGGAGGCGTGGCAGCAGCAGGAGGCCCCATTAGCTAAAGAGGTGCTTCAGGTTAATGATAGTTTCAGGTTAAGAACGGACCTCCGGAACGAATTAAGTACTTAACCTGAGGTACCACTGTATAGCAATGATTCAAACAGAGTATAGCACACATACTGCTGCATCTTGTCAAGAATTTTGAATGACTGCCCCTTGACCTTAATTTAATAGTTAATCGTAGAGGGAAGTTGGCACTCCAATCAAATTTTTAAGAGAGCTGCTTGAACATAAGCACTTGTGGAAGTTCCATCCTCTGTCCTGGTAGTTTTTCTCTGTGACATGCGGTCACTCAGTATCATGAATGTACTAGCAAACTCCCAATTATTATGATAGGTGAGATGTTTGTGGAGGAGAGTTTTAAGGACTCCAGAGTGGAAAGGTCAGTGAAGACCAGGTCCATCCAGGTTCTGGCATGGAAGACCCATCTTAACTTCTGTTCATTGTTGTGCCCAGGTGCATCCTTTACCTTTTCTCGTAGGAATTCATGAAAGCCATTCATTTGTGTGGAAGAAAGTACATTCATACCTTGGTTGCTGAACAGAATGCATTCCAGGAGTCCGTTCGACTCCTGGAACCATTCAAAAACCAAAGCACGGCTTCCAGTTGGCTGCAGGAGCTTCCTGCAGCCAATCGGACTCCGCGCCGTACATTGGGCTTCCAAAAATCGTTTGAAAACCGGAACACTCACTTCCAGTTTTCGATCATTTGGGAGCTGAAACGTTTGGCTACTAAGCCGTTCGAGATCCAAGGTTAAGTGCATTCAGAAACAGACACCTTCTGGAAAGGGTGCTAAATCTGTTTCCTGCACCATGTGATTTCAACAATGGAGAACCCTGCCTGCTTCCATCTGTGTACTCTCACCATGGTTTCTGTTTCTTGATCACACCAGAGTGTGAAAGAATATTGGGAACTGGTCTCCTAATGTTTGAATCTCTATATACTTGTCTGTATTTATAGTATTATTACCTCCTGTAATAGTTAACTCGGGTGGTGAGTGCTAACAGGGTTGCAACCAAAATAAGGACACAGGAAACAAGGAGGAAAGTATTGGTGTGCCACAGGGAATACTGAAGTTTTCAGGTGTACAAAAAATCATTTTAAAAAGCCCCAAACCTAAGGCGGCATCTACTTACTCAGCCCCACAAAAACCTGCCGTATGAAGGCTGAACATGCTGTGTAGCCACAGAATGATGTGTGTTAGTTGGAAAAGAAAATCTGTATATGAATGGGGGAGGGCCTGACTAGTTGACTGGAACCCTGAACCAGGAGCATTCCTTCTGGAAATTGAGGACACAGTGCTATGTATGTGTGAGTGAGTGGTACAACATTGCCATATTTGGAGACTGAGACTCTTTTGGCAAGGTTCTCTGAAGTCTTCAGCGGATATTCTTCTAAGCCCTGTTACCTAAAATTTGTTTAAGCAGCTCCTATCTGGGACCTTCAGCAGCCTATACATACCCTTTCCCTAGTGACCCATAGGAGCAGTTTTGGCCTACCTGTGCTAAAAAGTGGTTGCAAACTTTGGGGGCTCTCCTGAGACTATTGCAGATGATAGAAGAGGAAAGAAACCCTTAATTTGACGGTAGCTCTTTGCTTCAGCAAGTACTATGGCAGCTATCAAAAAGAAGGCTGATAAGATAAAAGTTGTTATGTTGGTCCTGAAGTTCAGAATGCCAGATAATAAATTTACCAGTGTACATGTCTGGCTGGTATGAATTACCCCTGCCTTTGATACCTGAGATACCGTACTTATTTATAGGACCCATCCTATTCCTGTGACTATACTTTTTTAAAAAAACTTTTAATATTGAATTTTAAATTGCTGTAACCCACCCTGGAATCTGTTGGCAAAGGGTTGGCAATAAATTATGATCATGATGATGACGATATATGCAGCAAACCAAATTAATTGAAGGGTTCTGTTGATTGAACCCTTTTGATTTACCCCTTTAAGCAAGAAACAATGTAGAACAATGTAGAACACCTATATTCCTGCTTTTTCCTCTGAAAGGTCTCTTAGCTCTTTGGACCTCTGGATTCCCATTTGACTTTCTTTGCTCACAGAATTTTTTTCCTGCTTATTCTACTTTAGAAATCTATTATAGGCAAGCAAATTTCTCCTGGGCTGATTGGAGATGAGTACTTTGAATTGTACTTAGAATTTACACCTTACCTTGTACGGACTGAAGTAATGGAAAATAATCTCTGTCTGGGAACTGAAGAATGTAGTTTGGAGGTTTTTAAGCAGAAGTCTAGTGGTCATCTGCCACGGATGCTTTGCTTTGATTCCTGCAATGCAGGGGGTTGGACTAGATGACCCTAGGGGTCTCTTCTGATTCTATGAGTATTGTATAATGGAGTACTTCACAGAGGCAAACTTTTCTAATCTTTAAACCACTTGGTAGACTCTGAAAGGCTACTATTAGGTCAGTTTGAGTTCACAGTTGTAGCTCCTTTTTAAAGACAGTTTTCCTAATCCGGATAAATTAAATTATTCCTGTACCATCTAGTTTAAGTTTTTAAAGGTTATTACACGGACAAAGCATGTGATCTGTAGTAGACTCAAAAGGTGGGGTGAAAAAAAATGGTGGGTGTAACATTCCCATCATTTTTAAATGAAAGGTGTTGCTAGTTTGCTGCAGGGTAATAATAGATATTTACAAATATTTTCAGTCTCAAACAAGTTACACTCCTCAATAAAAGTAATACCTATCTTCTCAGTTATGCGTTCAATAGCTTCTCCTCATCCTCAAAAGGAGGTGGCAAGTAACACAGTTTGTGAAAATGAGGCAGAAATGTAAATAGTTACACTTCTCTTTATGTTAGAATGCAGATTGTCTGGGATATTTATTATTATTATAGTTACTGTTTCTTTACTGACAGGTTTTGTTTGGAAAAATGCTATTCTAGGAAGCAAATAAAAAGGATTGGGGGAGGAAAACATGGAAGAAACAGGCCACCATTTACAAAAACTGCATGTGTGTGTGTGATGTACGGTATATTAAAAGAGTGTACACACATAGTATTAATGGCGAGGCAGCCTTATAATAAGCTTGGGAGATTGGATTACTGAAAAGCCCCACCAGCTGAATCTTGGTAGGAGATCAAATAAATTCTGAGGAGTTTCTCACAATTTACTTTCCTTATATTCCTTTTAAGGGGTGACAACCATGAGAAACAGATACAAATACAGAAAGATTAATTGTCTCTATGTGTTTATTTAAAACGTTTCAGGTTATCAGAATTTTTGTTTTTACTCATTTAAAGCTATTGTAGTGTTGCTCTATCTTTTTTTCTTATTTCCATGGAATACATAGAGTGCCCTTACTGGTTTTCTCTTTATGGGCATTGAAGTATGAAAAAAAGGTTCCCTTAATTGATGTGGGACTGAAACATACTAATTATGGTGCTCTTACAGCATTCTCTCTCTCTCTCTCTCTCTCTCTCTCTCACACACACACACACACACACACGCTATATCCTATGTAAAATAACAGACAATAATGCAGATTATACAGTGGAACAAGTGCTTTAAGACAGATACAATATGAAGCTTTGTAAAAATCCCTCCGTGAGATCTCATGTTTGTGTTTCCATGCAATTTTAAAAAAGCTCTTATTCTTTCTTCTTGCTGTGCAAACCTTTTAGGCAAGTAGAAAAACTTGGCCATGCAAAAGTCGTGGTTTTGAAGATTTAACTCTTTGACTGCCACTGCGATTTCATTTATTTATTTATTCATTTATTTCATAAAATTTACATACTGTTTGACTGTCAAAATAATTGAAGTGGTTACATTGCAATGTTTTGGTGTCATTCTCCCCCCCCCCCCCCCCCCCGGTGCATGCGGAAATTTTGTAGTGCTTCAAGCGAAAACAAGGACTGGGAAAATAAAAGCAGTTCATAGAAGGATGGCAGGCACCATTGCTGTATCTCTGCATACCTTTTATTGAGACTGCCACATTGCCTGCTGAGTATTTGGTGCCCATTTTTTAAGTACAGTGGAACCTCTCTTGTCGAACGTAATCTGTACCGGAAGAACATTCGACTTCCAAAACGTTCGACAACCGAGGCGCAAAGGGCTGTCGGTAGTTTCCATTGAGAAAATGGAAAAACATGCAGCGGAAGCCGTTTGACCTCCGAGGCATGTTCAAAAACGGAAGCATTCACTTCCGGGTTTTTGGCATTCGGGTTCCGAAATGTTCGGCTTCCAAGACGCTTGAAAACCAAGGTTCCACTGTAACACATTCCATTACCCTGTGCCCAAACATTTCTGAACAGTTAAAAAAGTATACTCTGTTAAATATTTATTATTTTTCTAGTTTGTGAAAAGCCGGATGCGCATCTACACATGCTCATGCTAGAGTGGTGTTTCTTTTAGGAGTGAAATACAATTGGTGTAGATAATTTCACCACCATTGAGTTGTATGTGACATGGGGACATAGCTGCAGTTAGGAACTCCCGCCCTCATTTTGCCACTTCTCTTGTATTCTCTTGTATTATGTTGTAAGCTGCCCAGAGTGGCTGGGGAAACCCAACTAGATGGGTGGGATATAAAACAATAATATAACAACAACAACAACAACAACAGTGCTGGAACAGATGCAGATTGCCTTGCTACTACTATCTCTCCAGATAAATAATATCCTGGATGCAGTCTAATTTTACAGAGGAAACCATGAACCTGTTAATAAATGTGCCTGCCAAATACAGATTAGATAAACAAAGATCTTTGCTAAATCCCCTTTCTATTGTTGTTTCTGTGGCTGTTCCTTTAATATTACTTAAGGAAATCTTTTCAGGAATATGATAAACCATTTCCTTTTTGAAAGTGCATGCCCTTTAAAAAGTATGCTGCTGGCTTCACCTGATGGAGGAGCCTTTGAGCTGGGCTTCTCTTGGCATTCAGCATGCTCACACTGCATTAATTGGCATACTGTATTTAGTGGCTGTCTGCATTTCACACAAATCATGACAAAGAACACTAATTGCAGCTGTTGTCCATGAAGTTAATGTGTCTAACGGTTCGGCTTTTACCATTGAGTTTGCAGTATCTTTGGTTCACTGACATGGCTGTTTTGTTAGGTGTCGGTCTTCTATGGGATTTTGTTCCCTGTGCTGAGTGTTAGGGATATCAGTTTAATCCAGGGGTAGGCAACCTAAGGCCTGGGGGCCGGATCCGGCCCAGTCACCTTCTAAATCCAGCCTGCAGACGGTCTGGGAATCACTGTGTTTTTACATGAGTAGAATGTGTCCTTTTATTTAAAATGCACCTCTGGGTTATTTGTGGGGCCTGCCTGGTGTTTTTACAGGAGTAGAATGTGTGCTTTTATTTAAAATGCATCTCTGGGTTGTTTGTGGGGCATAGGAATTCGTTCACCCCCCCCCAAAAAAAAATAGTCCGGCCCCCCACAAGGTCTGAGAGACAGTGGACTGGCCCACAGCTGAAAAAGGTTGCTAACCCCTGGTTTAATCCCTCTTCTCCATCTCGACAAGAACAGAGTTTGCTAATATAGAAAGCGAAAGTAAAGTGTATTCCCTTCCACTATCATTGCTAGATTGTAATCCCAGGAATTATTGGTCTTGTTTGTTTTGTATAGAGTTGGTAAGAGCAAAGTAGTGCCCTTTTTGATTGCTTGCTTGAATGTGGATGAGACCATACTTAGCTGTTCCTCCAGCATTTCCTTTGGAGTGGTGAGATGATCTATTTCATACATGGGTATGAAATACATAGGTAAAGGTAAAGGGACCCCTAAACAATTAAGTCCAGTCGCGAACGACTCTGGGGTTGAGGCGCTCATCTCGCTTTACAGGCCAAGGGAGCCAGCGTTTGTCTGCTTCTGCAGACAGTTTTTCCGGGTCATGTGGCCAGCATGACTAAGCCGCTTCTGGTGAAACCAGAGCAGCGCACGGAAACACCGTTTACCTTCCCGCCAGAGCGGTACCTATTTATCTACTTGCACTGCATGCTTTCGAACTACTAGGTTGGCAGGAGCTGGGACCAAACAACGGGAGCTCACCCCATCACGGGGTTCAAACCGCCGACCTTTCAATCGGCAAGCCCAAGCAGCACAGTGGATTAACCCACAGTGCCACCTGTGTCCTGCATGGGGGTCCTAAGGTTGCTGTAAATCAAGTGTTTGTGATTGCTCCTCTCCTCCAACAACACAACTCTAAAAATGGTTCTAGGGCATGTGAAAGCATACTCATTTGATGATCCAGCATAGTCTAATTATACATAGTTAACTCTGTGAATTGATGGAGTGTAGTAGATTCTGTAGTTTGAAACTGAGTAGCTTCATTTACAGTGCCATCCTATACTCAGAAATAAGCCCCACTGAGTTCCAACGAAGTTTGGTCCCAGGTAAGCGGGTATAGGATTGAAGGCTCAACCATGCAAGTGTTTTTGATGACTAGAATTGCCAGTGTGGGAACAAATTTATTCCAGTGGAAAGCTTTATCATTGTCCCATTGCTAAGTAAGTTGCATCAATATTCGTGACCTTAGAATTGTAATGAACAATGTTGGCTCTTGCTGTTTTGTGGAAAGGTTGGCATTATGCAATTTCTTTCTAGACTAAAGTCACACATCTATTTTCAGATGCTTTAATGACCTCCCTCCTCACAGTCCCCATGGATAAGTTACGGTTGTACTGCTTTAAATATCACCACAAACTCTCCAGTCATTGTGGAAGAAGGTTCTCTTTCAACCTGCCTGTGTTACCCTATAATTGGATGTGATCCTATCTCAATGCAGTTGGTGATGGTGTGTAACTCCTCTCCACCGTACTTTTCTGCCTCCTCAGCCACCATTCCTCCTCCCTATTGAAACCAGCCTGATACAGGGGGAAACCTTTTCAATTTCATAGATCCTTTAACAACTTTCTAAAATAGTACCATATGCATCAAGGCTGATCCACATGCATGCTTTTTGAAAGAGAGAAGGCAGTGTAATTTATTTATTTATTTGGTTATATATTGATATTTCTTTTCACATTTATTTTTTATTTATTTTTCTTTTTTTGCATTATTCCTTTATAAATGAAAATCTTTCAATAAAAAAACTTTTTATAGTACATGTTGAACTTCATTTTTGTATTTCATATGTGTATATCCAAAGCATGAGGGTGGCTCAAAAAATGCTTTAAGTTGCATGTATGAAATCTGCTTTCTTTTATAGCCAGGGTTGGATCATAAATTAGTTCATCCAATTGATTAAAACATCTGCCCAGCTTGAATATGTGTTTGCACTGCCACTTCATGTCCCTTCCTTACGAAACATACAAAGGTTTTAAAATACTCCATCATACTGTTAACTCACATAAGATTACCCGTGGCTAATAAATAAATTTATCACTTGCTTTTCTTCCCTAGTTACATCTGCTGACAAAAGAGTCCAGTCAAGCGGTTTCTGACATCTGTTGTGTCATCGTTGTCTCCGCGAAGCTCCTAAATCTCACATAACCATCGCTGGTATTGGTTATACAGTTGGCCCACATCTTATGCAAGGGATTGGTTTCAAAGGTAACACGTATTTGCGGCAATTGTGTATAGCCAAAATCGTGTTACCCTTGGAACCACCCTGAGGCTATCCAAGCTAGGCTGCCTTCTAGAAGGCAGTTGGTGAGGGGAAGAGAAAAAGCATCCCTATCAGTCTTAGAGCTGGGGTGCCTTGCCCTGGAAGCAACAGCAAGAGCTTAAAAGCCATTTTCGTTCTGACTCCGCTTGTGGTTACCACAACAAGAGCTTTTAAGCTGTTGACCTTGCTTCTCAGGCTCATTTGACACACAGACTCTGGGACTGGTAGGGATGCTCTCACGAGATCATAGACCACACCTGCCTTGCCCACTTATAGTTGAAATAGTGTAGGTTAAATGTGCTCAAGGTGCACCCTGTTTGTTGATCAGAATAATGATCCTGTGAAAGCTGGATGGGTGATAAACTATTGTGATTTACTTTAGGGAAATCCGGTGCTTATTGAATAGCAAACAGTGGGTGCTTTTTAAAAACCAAACCAAAGTGATCAGCACAGACGTAGTCTTCAAAACACATCTACTAATCACCCAGCACACCAATTTATTCCTTGTTACTAAGATAGGCAAGAACTTTAGTATTCTTTTTGTAACTGGCTGGCAGTCCATCCCAGTTTATGGATTATTCTGTCCCCGTTGCATCACTGTTATTGTTTTAATATTGCATGTCTCATTAGTGTTCAGTCATAATCGGGCTAGCTCTCTGGTAGAGGGTGGTGACCTAGCTTTCCCTGGTTTCCTTCTTGCCACTCCTCTTTATGACCCCTGTTGTCTCTTTGTTTTCCCCTGTTAAATTTGTGCTGGTGATGTGGCATGTGTGCTGTTTTTCCAAATAGCCTGAAGTTGGCTGTAACCAAGAGCAGCAGTTAAGTAGAGCCCAATTTCGCTGCTTCCTGGCGTTCAATTGTTTAACTCCATTTTCTGGATTTCTGCGGTTTTGATTTACAGAGAAGCAAACCTCCGTGGTGCCTCTGGGCATCTCTTAAAGCCATTAGAACAAGCTCCATTATTTTCTGGTGCTTAGAAATTCTTCTCTTCAGTCTGAGCATCCATCAAAATAATGTATTCCCTGTAAAGGCTTCTGGAAAATGTTTTAATGGGACCTTTTCACACTTGGGGACAGTTCTTGGATGGAAGAGAAATTGGGGGAAGAGGGAATGCGGGTCAGGCTCATAGAGGGTCTGACTCTGCCTTGCACTGAGCATTGACCTGTATCCTCTCTGCCTTTACCTCTGTGCAAGAGGGAGTGGTGTGAACAGAGCAGAACCAAAGCTGGCCACAAAAAGCGCTGGGAGGAAGAAGGGGAAAAAAGACCCCACTCTTGACAAAGAGGCAATTGTACAAAGGTGCCGTATAATTTATCTCCAGGAGTTTGTTCCTAGTCGCTTTTCCTGGAAAGACCAAAAAACTGCCTTCCTCTACTCACTGTTTCCCTCTTCAAGGGATATGCTGGAGAGGAAAAAGAGAGAGAGGAAACATTTATTAGTGAAAGACCCATCTATCTTCCACTCTCCTTCTCATGCCTATGCTCTCCCCACTCCACTTGAAAGGGCAATGCCTTTGGCAGGAAACCTACTCCTGCTATTGGTCTGCCAAATGATTCAGTTTCTTTTAAGTCTTTGCCTCTTTCCTAGTTCAACTCTTCAAAGTTAAATCGGTCTTGGAAGAGTTGTTTGAGGAGGTCTGCTTGGTGTGCACTTGAGGTCATGGGAACTTTGTTCCCATTGGGTTGGATAAATTGTGCAGCAGATACTTATTTTGGTTAATATGGCATATGCGCAAAATGAGATACAGTCAATTTGCAATTTATACACAATTTAACTTGAATGAATTTAACTTCACATGCTTGACCTAAAAAAATTAAAGGGGACAGGCTTTTTTGGGGGGTGGGGGGAGGAACATTGGCAGTCCCACCTGCCATTGCACTCACCTTGGGAGAGCGTTTGGATGTTCAGGGAGCATGTTCAGCAGCCTTTGGAAAGTGTGTGTGGCCTTGGGAGAGAGTTTAAAGGTGCAGGGACAGTTTCTTTAGACTATACACAATTTTGGCATTTTGCGCTATCCCAGTACGTACGCCCTACATAAGTTGAGAGTCGAATATGCTAGTTAAAAGCAGTGCTGTTGATAGAAATCCATCTTGACATAGGGTACAGCAGGCATTGTCAAGGGGGCACCACAAATGCTGGGGTGCCTCTGAAATCTTCCCCTGCCATCTACAAAGCCTCTGAGCACACACGCATGCACACACACAATTACTGCCCCTTGGTCATACCCTTTTCTCCCTTTAAATTGACAATGAGCTAAAGGACGAAGTTGGAAGAGTGTTTTTCCAAGGCCAGGTTAATTTGACTGGATCTTACTTTTACCCACATCCCTTAGAAAAGTGTGTATATACACACTTTGTCTCTTTCAGTCTTGTGGGGAAGACCTGATCTAGGGGAGGAGGGAGAGGGGAGAGGAAGGGCCAGAGGTGGGGAGGGGAGCCCATAGCACTCACTCGAAAATCCAAATATGCGCATGGGCCAGAAATGGTTGGCAACTCCTGGGAGATGCAGAGTTGACATTCTGGCAATGTGGGAGCATTTATTTATTCTCTTCCATCTGTTTTCATATATGTTCAGTCATAGCCTTTAAGAAAGGATTAGTGTCAGCGCAAAGTGTTTATTTGAGAGGAATAAGAGGGAAGGAAGTTCAGAGACAGAAGGTGTTGTGGAAGAAGATGCAAACTTAGCAGTGAGGGACAATTATAGAGGTGCCTCATCAACAAAGAGAAGAAGGAGCAGAGGTGTTGGCAGGAGCCAGTCTGTCTTCAGGCACAGAAGCGCTAGAGCTTGAAGAGGAAGATTGAAACTGTAAGGCCTGAGTGGCAGGTGTGAGATGCGCTTTGCTGATTGCATATTGAAGTGCTAGATGAAGGGGTGCAGGGCATCAACGGAGAGGAAGTGGAAGGGAAAGGGTTTTAATGCTTTGCATTGAGGACAGATGCTGGCAGAGTTTTAATTGGGGTGGGGAGAGTATAGAAACATACTCAGAATTTTGATTTGGTTTTGTATTTGCCACTTTCCCAGCCACAAAGCTGAGAACAAACTGGCTCACGGGAAGAGGCAAGTATTAAAAATAGGAAACCACATAATAGAATATGTAAGAGAGGCCATATCCACACAGGTCAGACCATCCTGTGTTAGGGTGCTAAAATATCAACAACCCAGCCAATGGTTTTGGTGACTGATTTTCAAGAAGCTGAGATCAGGGAGCACATGACAGAGGGCTGCAGAGTACAATGAACAGGGAAGGTAATTTAAAAGTTAAATACATGAGAGTAACTGCTCCAGCATTGGTTCAGAATTAGATTGTGTTTACTACATCAGTTCTGTGTGTTTTGTTTTCTAGTGGAATACACAATCTGCGCATAATACCATATTTCATCATTAATATTCTAATACAGTTTTTAAATACAAAAATGGTTAACACTGTAAGTAAAATGTTTATTCTATTCAACAATATTTTAAAATGTATGGTGCTGTATCAAGGAATATAGTTTTAAATAATAATAAAAATTGTTGCTATACTGGCCAGTTGTATGATTTGAGTATGGCTAATTTTATTTTAATGTATAATGTTTCTCACCATAAGGTTTCAGAGTGGGTTACAACAATCTAATAATGCAATTAAAAACAAGTAAAATAGTTTATACAATTTACGACATGGTTGTTAGTTTTAATGTTGCTTTGTTTTTACCATTGGGGGGTGGCTTTGGATTATGAGCTATCACAAGCTAATTTAATTTTATAATTAGGTATTACCATTACCAAATTGTCCCTTAATTGCTAGCAAAGGCCATGTCAACAAGCCACACAAAGTTTAACAAAACAAAAACAAGCCACATGGATGAACTAACGACACAGTACAATCAGACTTGGAACAAGGAACGTCCTAGACACCCTTCTCTGTGTCTGATTATATTGTATGTTCATATACAACTGGCTTTCACGTATTCCTTGTTATAAGGGCTCCAAGAACAGAAAGAAGGAACTATTTTGTTTCTTTCAATACAATTCTGAGTAGTTGCAATGTGCACATGCACACATGATGCAGTGCTCCCCACTCCTGCACCATTTCAAAGCATGTTGGGAATCATTCATTTTGCACCATGTTCCTCACTGAAACCTCCCAGCACATAGAAAGCTCATGCATCCGGGGAAAGGTTAGCATAGAAGATGATGCAGCATGCACTGCTTCGTGTTTGAATCAGCTCTGAGGCTGCATCCACGTGAGCCTACCACTCTTTCAGTCTTCATTGTTTTGGCACATAGTAGACATCTCTCAGCCATTCTGTCTGTATTAACCACAAGGAGAAAAATGAAAGCTAAACTTTGCAGATAAGTGTATCAGAAAATGTTTAAATACATATTTTTATGAATCCCTGACCCATGTGGAAGTCAGGGTGGTGGACACAAAAAGGTCAGAGCATAGATCAAAGACCTTTTCACCCTTACTGGGTTTTACAAATCCTGTCTAGCTATTCTCTTCCCATGGTGGCCATGGTTGCCCACTGTGAAAACAGGATGCTCAACTACATAGGCGATTGGCCTGGTCCATCAGGGGCTTCTTAGATTTAAAAAGACCCTTTAAATAAGATGCAGAGTCATGTAGAACCCTACATGACTAATTGATTCTAATGTGCCCTGTATCTCATGGAATTGTAGAGGTGGAAGGGCCCACGAGGGTCATGCAGTCTAACCCCCTGCCATGCAGGAATCTTTCACCCAACAAGGGGCTTGGACCCATGGCCCTGAGATGAAGAGTCTCATGCTCTACCAACTGAGCTATCCTGTTTCTCTTGTATATGCAGGCCCTATTCTGTAATGGGCTGAGAGGGCATTTTAATTGTTAATAACCCCCCTTTTGAAAGTGCCATAGGTGGCCTCACACCACAAATCAAACTTCAATGGTTGATGTTCTGGCTAGAACTGCAAAGCATTTGCAGGCAGCCAAAATGCAGTATTGGATCCTGAATTTCCAAGGGCGTACTTTTATGATTTAGGGATGCTTTTAGTTGTTTCCAAGATTGATTCATAGAAGTTATCGTGAAGTTCTTGTTTACACATGCTTGGTATTGCGTGGGGTGTTAGCTACATTCCTTGCTTACTATCTTGGATCATTGCTATGATACTGTGTTTGCTTGCTGTGAAACACAAACCCCACCTACACCTGCCTGCTCACCTGTGGAAATCGCCATGCTAGTATATTACATAGGTGCTTCTTTCGAGATGAAGTTGCAGCAAGTTTCCTTATTTTCATTCTGGTTCAGCCTTGGGTTTAAACCCATTTGATAGTGTAAACAGATTAAAGTGAGTTAGAGCAGTTGGGTTTGTTAAGTCACAATAAATGATCATGTAAACAAGCCCCCCAATCGGTTGAAAACATGGCCTTTGGCAAGTGGGAAGAATGACGGACTAACTCGCACTGAATGTGGCCGCTTATCCCAAGCCAAGTACTGAATGTTTAGGACTCCTGGGGAGTGTTTAGAGGGGGTCACTGGGGAGATTATTCAGATTTTGAAGTGGTCCTCATTGAGCACTGGCTGACTCCCACACCCCTTTGAGCTGCCTGCCTGAATGGACAAGAGCACTCAGAAGCACTTGCTACTTAGCAGACAAAAGGTGCTGTGCACACTTTCCCCACCCCCTTATCCTTGCCGTGCTATTGGGGCTCTTGTGCTTGGTGCCCTTTCTCTGCTTTGATTGGGTGCTCGCCCAGTGATTTGCTCAGGGAACAGACTCCGTAAAACCAACAATACCGGCTGTGCTGGAGGTCTCCGGTGTGGAGGGAAACACTCCAAAAGGAACTGTGACTTCTCATGGAGCCAGCTGATAAGAGATTTTGAGGCAGACCCTTTTAAAGTTTTGTGGTTACCGTTTTATAGATATCATCAAGATCTGTCGTGTGATTCTTCACATTTAGGAAACAGGCACAATCACATTCCTCCAAGTTAGGAAAATCAGAGTTGCTTTGTTTAGCAATGAAGCACCTCAGTCTAGCAGGCTGCACCCCTTCCTGGCTCTTGGACAGACCCTGATCCACTCAGGTCTTTCAACGTGGTTCCTCCGCCCCATCCCAGTAGCCTCACATGCAGCTACCTGGGCACTTCAGGGGCAGTGCTGAAGTTCTTGCCACTCTCCTCTTCTCCTGTGGCCAGGAGGAGATGAAGGGAAGTGTTGGAGCTAGCCAGGAAGTAAGGTAGCTGGTCTGGTTAGTCCATGTCTGATGGCTCCTCGGGATCATTGACAGGATGGAGATCTGCTGGGGGTGGGATCCTGCTCCTCTTGTTCTTCACTTGAGGAGACCTCAAGTTTGAAATCTGGGTAGGGCTGGATCCTGGCAGGCACATACACACCTTATTGAATCTCTCCAAGTGAACATAGAAGCAAAACAAAAACAAAGATATAGATGGAAAAGCAAGGGAACTGAGTCTCATGGTTTTAAGGTCCTCGGTAGAAAAGCGCAAAGGAAGCGAAATGTCTGCTGTAGAATAGAAACTTGGTTGAAACCCACCTAACAATCAAGACAAAGTACAGTAAAATTGGAAAGGACTAAGACACCATACAGGCCCTGTTCCTTAGGCCTTTCCTGCACATAAACACATGGAATCCTGAATGCATCCCACATAGTGCCATCCTGCGAACCTAGAAGAGTGAGAAATCAGTGTTTCTGCCTCCTGTGCCACGATGATACACAGAAAACTGGGCAGAGGGGAGCTGGCAAGCTAAGCTTTGCTTCCTCAGCAGAATCTCAACATTTTTTTCATGGCAAAAACCAGGGGACGCCCTGCGCTCTTCTCCCATGCCTTCCTCTTGGAATTTCCTGATTGGGTTAAATATATTTTCTTCTGGACAATCTCCTCTCTTTTCCTGTTTTTTGTATGAATAAACTAATCCCAATCTTGCCTGGCATTGATGAGGGGGTGAAAAAGAGAAAAGGCATCAAAACTAAACATCAGTAGTTCTGCTTGTGTGCTGCTTCCCTCCTTCCATATTTTGATTGCTTCTTCTCCTCCTATGCCGTCTTTTTAAACATAGATATGGTATGTTGTAGTAGGATATTTGCAAAATGTCTTTAGGTGTTGGTACAAATGGGAAAAAGACAACCCCAGGTGTTCGATAACTTTCTGAAAAATAGAGGCCCTTTAAACCCCTCTTTCGCCTGAGAGAGAGATCTTTTAAACTTTTTGATAATGTAAGGTATTTAGAGCATGCTGGTCACCAGGGTCATGTCTAAACACTTGAGTAGGTGTGCTCAGACTGAATGGCTGAGTGGAAACTTGAACCTCAGTGTCCCTGGTCTTAATCCAACGCTAACTGCAGCACCACATCAGTCCTCTTGATTAGTTCACCCGATGCATTTGTAGCAAGTATTTGGGGAACCAAACAAATCAAAAGTTTAAAAAAGAGTGGGAGTGTTATAGAGTATATTTAGAAAAACATTGTTCCCAAGTAAAATCCTTAATGTGCTTTGATTAATTTTTGCAAATTATATAACAAGACAGATAATGTATCTCACACAATACCAGTGAATTACAAGGTGAAAAAGGACGCAGTTAAAAAAAGAAGAAAGGACCTGTAGTGAGGTGGATGGAAGTCACACCTAAAAAGTAGAAGGTTATTTATCTGTCATTTAATGTATCAGCGACATTTTTGTTGAATTGTGTTTTCTTTTTTGTATCTTATTTTATTTTGAATAGCGAATGGAATAATTGTAATACTTAACAAAATCAATAAAGAGCATGGGGGGAGCGGAAGTATTTGAGGAACTTGTGAAATTTCTGCCTGCACATTCACTATCTGCTGCTGTGGTGAGGAAACAGCACAAAAATGTTTTATGGCTTCATCAGGCAGAAAGTCTTGGGTGTCTCTGTAGCAAGTGTCTAGTGAAGCTACACCTGTAGAATCTCTGCCTGGACATTTTATAATTCCCCCCACTCCCCTGCTTTTCATATTGCTTTGTGCCAGAGTGTCTTTTCAAATATTTAACTTATTCAAACTAAGCCGTGTGTTCTCCCCTCTACCCCAAATTCAGCATGGACCATCCTTTAAAACTTCCCTTTCCTGCACTGTCAAGTTTCATATTGGTCACTGGGTTCAGGCACATACTTTGCAACAAGTTGAGCAGTTTTTAACTATAAGTTGAAGAACCTATTCCCCCTCTTTTTCATTATATGGCAAAATGCAGTTCTGCCAACTTGCCCTTTTCAGCATAGGTCTGCTACTGTGGCTATATAATAATTGTAAACGGTTCATTGATTTCTTCGCTAATTTTGGAATGCACAAAAACATGGGACGCAACAGCATTTGCCCTCCTGGTGCCCTCCAGTTATTTTGGATGACAACACCCATCAGCCCCAGTCCAAAAATTCTGGAGGGAACCAGGTTAGCAAAGGCAGGCTCCTCCAAACCATTACTCCCCCCCCCCCCCAAAGAGCCTTACTTGCAAGATTCAATTTTCAGGTTTCTGCTTTGCTAATAGCAACTAGAATTACCGGTATATATTTTATATGTATGCCGTATACATACATATGCACATACAAATGTCTTCAGCTATAAACAGGCTCTTGAAGCAACCTACACATCAGATACTAAAACAGTAAAATAGTCAGTCAAATGAAGCATACCAGCAGTGGCACCTAGATAAACAATTTAATCTGCTGTTGTCTGCATATAATTTAGGCCCAGATCCCTTTGACATACACCCTCTATTGTGGTTGGCTATAGGTTTCCTCCTTCATTTACCAATATCTTCTTTCAGTTACCGGTCTTCAGAAGTTTCTTCTGCGCTCTCCATTTTTCTCATCTACAGGATGAGAGGCTGACATTGGCTTTTCATTCTTTACCTCCTGTTTTTTGTTTGTTTGTTTTGTTGCTGAATGGAATGCTCTGTTTGTTTTACAAGCCAAACTATAGAATCGACAATGATTTACAAATCTACAGCATACTTCAGGAATGGCTTTGTAGTGTGCTTGGTGACTTGCTTCACCCATTGTATGAGTGTCCAGTATAATTCAAGGCACAAACCATTCTGTTTGAAAGCTTGGATAGGGGCACAGTTCCTCTGCCACCTGTACTTTAAAAATTCTGTTTCCTATGAGAGTGTGGACCCTTGCTGTGAACGCTATAGATATTCTGATGACCCAGTAGGCGATTTTGTCACTTTTGCCTATTCTTAGCACAGCCTTTCACAACTTGGTGACGTCAGATCATTTCAACCACAATTTCCATCACGGGGTTTGTAGTTCAAAACATCTGGATGGCAACAGTGTTGAAGAAGGCTGTCATAGCTGGACTACATTTGCTGTTGCCCATTTGGAGTTGGGTAACTAATCTCTCAAATCAAATGTATGTGCTGAGACATTAGTCTGCGTGACACAGGATTATTTTGTGCACGTAGAAAATATGTCCCACGAAAGCTAATTTATCTTTGTTGCTCATATCCCAATTAACTTTTATTGTTAGAATGCCAAGCTGGAGGTTTGCTGGCCATCCATCATGTATGCCTTAGCAAAGATTTCTGCATTGCAGTAGCTAACCCTTGCGTTCCCTTCCAACTCTACAATTCCATGCTTCTGTGATTCTATGATTCTGTTCAGCTAACAACAGATCAAGAGCAGAAACAATGCCTGTATTAATATAATGCTTATTGCAAGTTTAACTTTTAAATACTAATGTTGATACGTGCTCAATTTACACATACACACACAAAAGTTCCTTTCTTGGTGAAGCATGATTGGAGGGAAATTACTTGATTCAATCTTGTACAAGGAGGCAGATACTACAAATGGAATGGGGGTTTGTAAGTAGCTACTTGCCTAGTTGAGAGGTAGCTCCTTATGCAGCCATGCTCACAGGACTGCAGGTTCTCAATGAACTCTTGAGTTTATAGCAGTGGGTCACTGCATCTGACTGTTAACCAGAAGGCTGGTGGTTTGAGCCCACACAGGGATGACTATGGGCAGGATTCCTGCATTGCAGTGGGTTGGACTAGATGACCCTCAGGGTCCATTCCAACAATTCTGTGATTCTGTGACACTCCAGTCTCACAGTTCTTCACAAGCCATGAAGTTATTATATCCCCAAACAAATCCAGACAGACTCAGCTTTGCCTAACAAGTGTGACAGTCTTCACATTTGTACAGAATACCAGTTGCAAATGGATCCACGCCCACTCTGGTGGGATCTTTTAAAGCATTTGTGCTGTGCACAAATATGACCTCCCTCTTCCATTGCTATGCCTTCTGGTCTCACTTTGTAATAACATCCCTCCTCCTAGTCTGTACTATGTGTCTACGTATATATGTCAGAAGAAGGTAAAGCTTCAGGCAAGTATCAAAATGGGCTCTTGCCCATGGAAACTTTATCTTAAAAGAGATTTGCCCTTAAGTAGTTTTTGTTGCAGCAGATTTATCATGACTATTTGGAAAGTACAATAAAAAAAGAAGAGTTTTCTGTGTTTTTTCATAGAATCATGGATTAGAAAGTGACTGAAATATAATTAATTTAAATCCCTAACATGAGTCAAGATGGTCAATTCAAAAATGAATCACAGTGTACCACAAGTAAGGAGCAAGTGCCTCACTCAACGTACTTCTAGCTAAGGAGGACTGCGCCAGAGGGAAACAGATTTCACATTGCTGATAAAATATAGCAAAACACCTGATCTTGTATTTCTGCCTCTAGGGCCGGTCATATGGTTTGAAAAGCAGAAGAACATAGGAAGCTCCCGTCCACTGAACCTGAACCATTGGTCTGTCTGCCTCAGTTTTGTCTACTTTGACTGGCAGTAGGCTCTCAAGCGCTATCTGGAAACACCAGGAATTGAACCTGGGACCTTCTGAGCTTCCCAAAGATGAAGGGTAGGGTTGAGAAATTGGCTGATTATGGGGCTCCCTCGGCCAGTAAGGCGAGATGAGCGCCGCAACCCCAGAGTCATCTGTGACTGGACCTAACTGTCAGGGGTCCCTTTACTTTTTACCTTTAGGTTTCCCCCCAATCATGTCCTCTGTAGAATGATGTTAATCTGTGATTCTAAGCTTATGATTTCAGAATTCTAGGGTGGTATTCTTTCGTTGTATCCTTGTAGCCTTTATGTGTACTTATATCCTACTTTTTTTAAAAAAAATGCCTTTTCTGCTTTTGCCCCAGTATCTGCCTGTAGGCATTTTATTATGGTTCTGCTTTCCTTGGCTTGGGTAGCGCAGCTTTTTCTCTGCACGTGCTCTCTGTTGCTCTTCTAATTAATCTTCCAGACTTTCATTTTTAAAACTCCCTTTTGTTTAATTTGTGAGAAAGGGGCCTCCCAAATAGAACTGTCCTCTGACAACATCTCCTTGGGGGGTGAAGAGTGCCCATGTGTAAGTAAGGAAGATTTAAAAGACTCGGAGATTGGCATAGGAACAGTTGCAAATTGCTACAGGAATATTGTTGTATGGAGCTGGCACACAGAAGCCCACTGGGCGCAAATATATTGAAGAAATCCAATGTCTTGCTTTCTTACCAAGAGGGACATGGAGGAATTCACATTAGCTGCCGTGCTGTCCTTTTGAAGCATTGTCTCCTCCCTGGCTGAGCTGCAGAATAGTCACTTATTTTGTTGTCGGAGAAAAGAAACATCCCAGATTTTTTGACCTCTAAATTCTGTATTCCTTTCTTTTGCTCTCTCTCTCTCTTTAAAATGTTTCTCCCCTTGGGCATTGTGGGAGAATCTTCGCCTCTGCAGGGGATTGTGGGAACCGTTCTGGCCTCACTTATCACCAGTGACAAATCAATGGCAGGCTTCAGAAAGCTGAACCCCAGGATTCCAGCTCAGCCCAGCCTGGGAGCAGTGGGAGGCTTCCCTGGTGGATAAAAGGCTCCTTGCAGCTCTGACTTGTTGCCTTAAATCTAACGGAGGAAACCTTTTCACTCCCTTTAAAAGCAGCCCTCCCCTCCCATCTCAATTTGTCTTGAGGAGGGGGGTGGGGAGGGAGAGAAGGGAGGGAGGAAAGAATTGCTAAAGAGGGAGAATGGAAATGGGGGTGGGGGGAGAGGGTTTAGGTTGGTAATAGTTTTTCTGTTTCCTTTTCACAATGGCCTGGCCAGTGCATGCAGAGCTGGACTCACAAAGCCTCCCTGAAGCGGCTGGATTCCCGCAGGGCTCCTCACAGTGCAAGTTTGCTGTGTGTATTCCCATCTACAATACAGCGAGACTCTGCAACAATCTCCAGTTTGGGGCAAATATTTCCACAGCTTTCTCCTAATGGCTCTTTTTAAGGGGGGAGAGTGATGGTAGCAAGAGAAGGTGCGTGTGCGTGTAGAAAGAAGGATAAATGCATTGAGGGCAGGGGCTATCTCTTGCTTTGTTAATTTGTGTTTTTGGCAGAGTTTAATTTCAACAAGACTTGCTTTATTTTTTATTAGTGCTTGAAATACAAAGCTGACCAGGTGGAAGCCCTGCCAGATGCCTGTGCAGATTTGGTTTACCCAGGGAGAGGGAAATGAACATGACACATAAGTAGAGAAGCTCTTCTTTTTAATACAAATCCACAGATTCCAGGAATAAGGGCTGCCGGTGTTGATATGTCTTGATTCAGGGCTTTGGCTCAAATGAGTTCCAGTGTTTTGAGTTCTAAGGGTGCATTTAAATTAGCTGTTACAGCCAAGTGGCACTTGGAAATTTACTATAAGCTATTGTGGCTTATGTTTGTGCTAGCTATGGATATGCAGGTGCCTCAAAGTAACTTTAAAGGCACATGTAAAAGTTAAAGGACCCCTGACGGTTAGGTCCAGCGTTCATCTCTGCTTTCAGGCCGAGGGAGCTGGCGTTTGTCCACAGACATCTTTTCAGGTCCTGTGGCCAGCATGACTAAACCGCTTCTGGCGCATGGAGGACCGTGGCGAGTGCCAGAGCGCTTGGAAACGCTGTTTACCTTCCGGCCACAGCGGTACCTGTTTATCTACTTGCACTGGTGTGCTTTCAAACTGCTAGGTTGGCAGGCGCTGGGACAGAGCAACGGGAGCTCACCCTGTTGTGCGGGGCCCAAGAGACTCTGTGGTTTGGACCACAGTGCCATTCATGTCCCTGAAGTAACTGTAGCTGATAAAGAAAGGTATATATAGAAACCTCTGCCCATTCCAACCCACGCTGACCCCAGTCAGATGCATGGGGGGGGTAGGGTTTGGATTACAGCCTAAACTAATTGTCTAAGTTACCCACTTATATCTGACCAAACATATTTATGAAATGCCTTGCCCACTGCTCCACCTCAAGCTCACTCACTAAACAAGTTCTTTAAAATAACATAGAGGTGTGGGTATATATGACATCTTAGGTGTGGGTATTATAGGCTCTGACCTTGAGAAAGTTATTTGACATCACAGGAATTTAACTTAGTCACTACTAAATTGTCGCATAGATTTGAATGGGTAAAACATTTTTTAAAATTGGCAAAACATTTAAAAAGATATATAAATGATGCAGTTTTAAATCTTCACACAGAGCTGTAAAATATCCTGTCTCATAAATTGTGTATATAATTTACTATCTTTTAGATTATCTGTCTCTCTGAGTAATGGGGTTCAGGAAGATTTTTCTTTTGTTGATGTGCGTAGGGCAGAATTGCTAGGGACAAAAATGTCATCTAGTGAGGTAGGATCATCCATCCAGCAATCCCTTGCAAATAATCCAGCAAAATCCAAAATACAGTGTGTGTTTGCCATTGTGGGAAAGTGTGGATGAAGCACTGAGAGGGTGATGTGAAGCACCTGGCACACGCTGGACTAGTGGCTTACTTCTAGCAGAAAAGATCCCGAAGCTGTTAGTAAACTGTGACAAAATCTGAGGGTTACAGCTGGGAAGCTAAATGGGAGAGAGTAACTTGACTGAAACCTCATAAGCAAATATGATAGCACTGCACTTAGAACCTTGGTTTCCCAGATAAACAAAACAAAACATTAGAGTCTCTGTTTGGCTTTTGGCTTAAAAAATGTGATATGTACCATAGCTTTCCTTTGTCTGTTTGTTAGATAAACAAATGTTGCCCTCCTGCTAAGTCCACAGATTAGTGGTTCTATTTTTTTATATATATATTATTTAGTAAAATGAATTTTCCCAGGTTCACACTCATCTGTAAAACCAGATGAAACAGTCTCTCCTTTAAAAAGCCTTGGGACATATTTTCCACCCAAATGCATAAGTAGAAACCTGGCAACCTGTTTACAAGTTCGCTGAAGGCCTGCCATTTGGAAATTATGTATTTATTTGTAGTATTTATTTACTTTATTGGTCGTTTTCCATTTAGAAATTATCAAATTACTTACAGGAATAAAACTTCCTGTATGCAGTACATTAAAAAAAGCAAACCCAAATACAAACACCAACATGGTTAAGCTATTTAAAACAAATCCCCCCATTCTTCAAACAGAGGCTTGACCACCAGACAAATGACCCAGAAAATGGCATCAACTGCTGCAGAAAATTAACATTCAAATGCCTGAGAGAAGAGAAACCTCTTTGTGTGACACCAGAAAAATGGTTAGTGTTTGCCAGGTGAGACGCCCTGAATGTTCCTTAAGGTGAGGGGAGGCCACTACTCAAAAGGCCCGTTATCTTGCCACCACCCTCCGGTCTTCTTGCCTCAGAGTCCAGCATGGTTCCTATGGAGAAAGGTGTTTTGTAAGGCTTTGTAGGTTTAAAACAACACTTTAAATCTTTGGCTTGAAAAGCTGTCTGACTGAGAATTTGAAGGGTTGAATTCTTTGCTGTAAAATTCAGAACAACTGAACACTACATAATAAGTCCTTTGGCAGTTTTGATGCTTAGGATCACATTGGTGGCATAGAGCAGTATCCCTTTTATGAGCCACTTCAAATGAGAAGAGATAATCTGAAAAGCAGGCAGTTGTATTTAAAAAGTGTGATTTTCTATAGGCACTGTTTTCCTTCATCCTGTGCCTGTCTGTTGTTTGTAAGCAAAGACTTCTGCAATACTAATTGATAAGAGTTTACCTGACTGGCCTTTGTAACACCACTAAATCCCAGAGGGAGATTAATTTAAGGAACCAATGGAAAAAGAAACTGACAATTAATATAGTGAGGTGAGAGGAGCTTCCTCTCCTCTACACAATTACGTTGATGATGGGACAGCGTAAGTGTACAGTTCATAATTTTTGGAATAATTCATATAGTTACCAGCAGATTTACCTGATGTGCAATATTTGGTATTTGCAGAATGGCAGCAGGACAATTAATAACCTACAATTTCCTGAGTAACTTGATTTTTCGGACCCATTTAAGTAACCTTTACCAGGGGTTAGATCCTGTGATTCTCTTGGACCTCATGGCAGCTTTTGACACCATTGACCCATAGTATCCTGAACCAGCTGTCTGTTTCAGTGGCATTTTTTGGCATTGACAGTTGTATTCATTTATTTATCTGTCTACATATTTATGATCCTAACTTCTGTAAGAAATATTTCAAGGCGATGTACAACATGTGAGAATAAAATGAATGAAATATCCATAAAATGTCACTAAGAACATCAACATAACCTAAGTAAATACTGACTTGCACAACCTGATGGGAATGTGGTTGAAGGTACCACTGGGGAATTGTGAACAGTCTTGGGAGTCTCTCACCTGGTTTGCCGTGCTTTTCGACATCTAAATGAAGCTCCATGGGGAGGCCATTCAGAGCAGAGTGAGTGGCCTAGATTATCCAGAAATGGTTGTTCATCCTCTTTGTGATGAGGACCCTGCCACTGTGATACGTGCCATGGAGACCTCTTTTGGATTTCTGCAGTGTACATAGTGCTACCTTTGAAGAATGTTTGGAAACCAGAGCTGGTCAAAAATGCTGCACCTCCACTGACTTGAAGTGATTACCATGTTATTTCTGGGCTCAGTTCAAAGAGCTGCTGTTAACCTGGCCCCAGGCTTTAAACATCAACTGCATAAATGTATTCTACCATACACTCTCAGTCATGCCTTAACAACTGCTTAGGAGTTCTTCGTCTTCTTAGTTGTGCTCAGGAATTTGCCTGAGCATGTTATGTTGAAGAGTGGGAACAGGTGCGTGCATGCGAACCTGCCCCAACATCCCCATGCGGAATCAGCCTTGCCTGTTCAGTTCTCGAGCAGTTCTAGAGCAGGGTCCCTGGTCACATGGAGGGTTAATCCACGACTGAACGCACCTGCAGAACTACCCCACTCAACATAGGAAGGTTGGGCCAAGGTACATGGGGACGGATGCACATGAGGATGTTGGGACATGGCTTGAATGCATGCCCTTGCCCCAGCTCCCCACTATTAGACATTGTTCTTATCCAGAGGTGCCCAAAAACTGGGACCAAGGGGCAGGGTATTGGCTATGGCATCTGGTCTCTGATACTTCTTAATGGAAGTTTGCCTGCACGATTCTGTTATGACTTCTCAAAAGTTGTCAAAACACCTCTTTAATATTTGGTGCTCTTCTTCAACATACCAGCAGGCTTTTGCTTGTCTTTCTGCTGCTTATTTCCCCTTGATAGTACAAGAGCAGTAGGTTGAGCATATGGGGTGGTCTGTATGCATCAGGGTCAGCACTGGTTTTGTGTTTATAAAAGTTGCCTGTAGCTGATCTTTCTGTTACCTGTTACTACAACTTTGTGTTTTCTTTAATGATGCAATTTGAAGGTAAAAGGTGCGTAAGTGGCTTGTACCCAAAAAGCTGCTAGCACGCAGAGGCCTTGTCACCACACCTTCCCATGTGTAGCCTTCTGCCCTCCCCGCCCCCTAGGCTTGTGCACCTGGCAGATGTCAAAGCATGCATGTAACTGAAGAGACTAGCCAAGCTGAGTAGACCGCAGTTTAAAAATATAGCTGAAGGTGCAGTTCACACCTTGGCCCTGGGATGAAATTGATTCTGGGTGCCTGGGGCAGGGTTGATCATAGACAGGGTATAGGGTAAGGAAAATTTGACTTTTCCCTCCCTGTGTTCAGCTGCTACTTTCTCCATGTCTACAGCATTCAGGTGCCAAGGTAGGGCCTTGCCTTCCTTATCCAGCTTTTTCATTGTTCTCTGCCTCTCTGAGGATGAAATAAATTACCATATTTATTTCACATGTTTAAAAAAGTCACACGTGAAGCTGCCAAAAGTTGACAGCTGTTCAATTTCAAATGCCAAATAAAGGATCCCCCTCCACACACTTTTCTTCCAGAGCAGTTGGAATTTCCTATGTTCCATGGACTCCCTTTGTGCAAAATAGAATCTTGTACACACAATTATTGTATCATCTCCCTATCTCTAATCTATCTGTAATGTTAGATTGAAAGCAAATATAGCTATATTGTTCAGTGATGTAGCATCATTTATTGTTAACGTTATGAGGTTGTGAGTTTTGGATTTCTAGGTATGTGGTGTGTTTTTTAAGGCGTTGAATCATAGAATCATAGAGTTGGAAGAGACCACAAGGGCCATCGAGTCCAACCCCCTGCCAAGCAGGAAACACCATCAGAGCACTCCTGACATATGGTTGTCAAGCCTCTGCTTAAAGACCTCCAAAGAAGGAGACTCCACCACACTCCTTGGCAGCAAATTCCACTGTCGAACGTTTAATGGATTCTGTTTTAGAGTGAAGTCTGAGAGGGCAGAGAGAGAAAAAATGTCAGTCCAGCAAATCTGGGTGCATATATAGAACTGCCGAACCCCATCTTCAGCCTCAGAATGTTCTATTACATTTTCTACCTCCCACTTTCTCTTTTCCCCTCTCTCCTTTTTCTTGCTGTCATCTAACCAGTTTTTATTACATCTGCTACCTAGTTTAAAATCTACATGCACTTGAAACATGCCAGAGATAGTAATCCTTTCTTTGAAATCAAAGTATTTTAATCTTAAGATGTTCTGTGGGCATGTTGCAGAAATTCATCTGATTCATGGGGGCAGCATCCATCTATTGTCCCCGATCTGCTGCAAGTATTAACTGCATGCAAACACATGTCATGGCCCTATTACTTTATTTGAAAAGTCACTTCTGAGTGAATGAAGCAGGTTTGAGCAGTGTCCATCCTCTGTTTAAAGGTGTCTTCGATCTGAAGGGCTGCCTGGCTTAGAGATTTTCTCATTTAGAAAACCCTAAGAAGGGCGAGCAGCAGGGTGTATTTGATTTAAATCAAATCGATTTAAACCACGATTTAAATCACTAGTCAGTAAGACTTGATTTAAATTTTAAAAAAATTACAAAAAGACTCTTGCTTGCTGATATAATCTTTACAACCAGAAGAAGTTTTCATTTTTGGAATAAGAAATTTTCAGAGTAGTTTTTACAGTTATACCAAAAATTACTGATTTGTCTATACTACACATAGACAGATAATTATAAAACTGTTGTGAGGTTTAATAAGTTAACTGTTTATATTTGGACTTTTCTGTACTTTATTGGAAGGAGAAAAATAATCATTTCCTTAATAACAATTTAAACAATTTATTTAACTAAAGCAACAACATTATAGCATATGTATCCATGTTTGTTAACTGATGTGGTTAAACGATTAAAAAAAACACCTTAGACTGAATTTTAGCACATGTGAAAAACTTAAAACAAATCCTATTTCCTGATGAATAGCCTTTGGACTATAATGTAACTTAAATAGAAAACTATATTTACAAAGATTTTTCCTCCAAAAGCATTTTATTTTAAAAATCCAACTTAAATAATTTTTTTAAAAATAGAAATCATTGATTTTTATCCACCCTGGCGAGCAGGGACCTTGAAGTTCCAGGCACCTGGATAGCACTTGGGCAGCAGACTGAGCAAACACTTGGGTCACCTGCTCCCAGGCTTCCCCACTAGGGTGAGAGGTGCCTCCCCCATTTAAATTTGAAATATGCATCTATACATATAAATTTCCATATTCAAAGTACATGCAAATCAGTGTCACCCTTTTGCCCTCTTTTTTTGTTGATGCAATTCTTTATTGACAACATATGAGAGGGGCCACCCTGATGAAATAATAGGCAAGGAAGTAGTTAAGCATCTCTTCTCTCATTACTTCTCTGCTTTAGATCTCCCCTGCACCAGAGGGTTCTTGGGGAGAGGCTGGCAGGCTGGTTATACACATTCGCTTGTAATAGATAAGTAGGCCCCTGAAAGCGGAAATCACAAGTCCTCCTTTCCCATTCACCCTCTCTTTTTTTTTATTGCCACGCTTTTTGGTTGGAGGACCAGCTGATGACTGATGACCGGGACAGGCTCCTCCTGCTCAAATGGCTGGCTGCAGAGGGTCACGACTGAATGTGTTCCTTCTGCAGATCCTGTTGGATTCGCTCTCTCTCTCTTCCCTGTTTTAGTTTTGTGTTGTAGCAACTGCCTTTTCATTTGAGCCACTTGGTCAGGGCGGGGTGCCGTTGAACTGCTGGTGGCTTGGTGCTTATGCCCTCCTTCCCTCTCAATGATCCGAAATGAATGAGAGGGAGAGGATGAAAGGCCACATGCTTGCACACAAAACAGCACCGAGTATGAGCTGGGATCCATGTTGATTTCCACCAGGAAGCTGCCTCTCAGCAATTATGTAGTCCCCACTTCCTAAAGAAGAAAAGAGTTTTGTTCCCCTATGACCCTCACTCTCCAGCAAATTCTGCACTCCTTCAAACGGAGAAACCAGTTCTGGAATGGAACGGGTCAGCTGGGGCCTGAGAACTTTGAGGGGGTGGTGGTTCTGCCTTCTATCTGCTGTGCAAGTGAATGACAACACTTCTTGTCTTTTAACCTTAACCTCCCTTCTGATAAATAATAATAATAACCCCCCTGGAAATATGAAAGATTCTAATTCTTCTTCTTTTTGTATTGTTGCCAGTCGGTTGGGCTTCTAAAAGCCCCTCCCTGTAAGGTGAAAAGGGACAAGAAAGAACAAAACAGTCTGGCAACAGGAGGAGATGAATGACACTGGCAGAGACTATTGTTCATTTTAATGCTGCAGCAAGGGCAGAGGGAAATGTTCACACGCCATTTTTGGGCATCCTGCTGGGCAAGCAAGGGAAGGGGCAATCCAGCTGGTCATGAGATTTGGCTGGCCAGATAGAGTTGGGCTGAATAGATTTCTGTCCATTTAGCTCATGTTGTGTTTGGCTTTTTTTATATACTTAAATAGTAGTGCACTGATTAACAGCAATGGAACCTGATTATATGAAAAATCTGAGACCATTGTAGACCACTGCAGACACAAGAGTTGTCAGGCTACTAGTACGTGATAACCAGGCTTTAACCCCTTGCAGGTTGACAGATTTTATTCAAGAGCAAAAATATATTTGTTATTAGGATAATTTGTGGAAAAACCTCAGTGGCCAAATACCTAGAAACAAAAACTGAGACTAGTTCCTGGAATGTTGTCTTTGCCAGGCGACTTGCAGGCCAGCAATTTCTGTCAAATCATTTCCCTTGGTGACTGTTCTATAGAATTGGGACGTATTCCTATAGCTAAGCCTATTTTCTTCACTGTGTTCCCACATTGTGCAGATCCATGTAAAAATATGGAGGATAAGTAGATGAATGGTATACAAGCAGTATACACCTGAATATTGGATACTGGGGGACAAACCACTGGAGAAGATGATCTACCATCACACACTGCTTGCGAATGCGACTAGAAGCATCTCAATGGCCAGGAGCAGAATGGCTGCTAACATTGATGAAACTTGGTCTGAGGAACTAAGGAAAAGTTACTGGGAATCAGCACAGATATCTAGGACCCAGGACTTTTTTTTCAGCCGGAACTCGCCAGAAGTCAGTTCTGGCATCTCTCAGGTGGATGCCATTACCATTCTACTAAGAGAATGATGGAGGTGTTCATGGTGAGTTCCGGCACCTCTTTTTCTAGCAAAATAACACTGCTAGGGCCTCAAATGCTTCCTTGATGGGAGCAGGCAAAGTTGTAAAGATGATCTGAGGGTTTTTGTTGTATATGGGCTACTGGATGAGAATAGCTGTACGTCTAGACTTCCCCTATAGAATAGCACCAAACCTTCTTTTATCAAATGAAAATTTAAAAGGGGGTGCAGAAGGGCTGGTTGGCACAGTTAGTTGCCAACTTTGGAGAAGTGCCTGGATTGTCAAATTTCCCTTCCCAAGTAAAGCATTTGGGCTACTGGATGAGAATAGCTGTACGTCTAGACTTCCCCTATAGAATAGCACCAAACCTCCTTTTATCAAATGAAAATTTAAAAAGGGGAGGGGGTGGCAGAAGGGCTGGTTGGCACAGTTAGTTGCCAACTTTGGAGAAGTGCCTGGATTGTCAAATTTCACTTCCCAAGTAAAGCATTTGTGTCCTTTGCTTTTGGGCATTTTTAGACCCTTGGGAACGTATATGGTCACGCTTGACAAATCCTCATTGTTCTACTCTCACTCGAATAAGAAAAATGACCGACAGCTAGAATAAAGATGGGGAGCTTGCTTGTCCATGTCTTTCCTGTTTGTCTTATTTGTCTTGGTGCTCTGTCTGAGCAGCTTGTTAGTGAACTGCCGCTGTGTCTGGAGACTGCCTGATCCATGCCCTCTGCTCCTTCTGTCACTTGTTTAACGTGTTGTTCTTTAGTTAGTTTGCGCTGTAGAGGAGTGCAGCTGATCGTTTCACACAAGCTACTGGAGCCTTGTGAAAGGGAGCAGTGTGCTGCAAAGTAGAAGCAGGGGCGGGCGGTCCTCTGCCCTTTTCTCTCCCTCTCCCCTGCTCCATATAGTCCAGCTTTCCAAATAGGAATGTGGGCGGCGGGGAGGGTGTGCTAACAGATAGGACTGTAGAAACACTCTCAGGAAAGTTATCCAGTCATTCTACACTCCCTCAGTCCCTGCAAGGACACCCCCCCACACACACACGTGTGTGCCCACTGGTTTGGAAATGTTTCCGTAGGGAGGTGAAAAGAGCAGGACACAATTGGGAGGAGAACAAAGGTCCTTTGTGGGCCTTTGGGAACATTCTCAACGGGTTTGTTCAGTGTCCAGTACACATTTGGGGAGGATGGGGAACTGTGGGGACAGATGCAAGCTTCTGAGGTGGGTTATATTGCCTGTCTCAGATAGAAACAGCAGTGTTGCCAATTACTCCCAACTGGGTGGCCTCCCAAATAAATAGCATCTATCTGAAACTGAAGGCCATTCCACCTTGAGTAAAACTTGGAACAGGAGGGTATCGCCCACTGATAGCCCCTCCTAATTATTAAAGCCATTTGATGCTTTAGAGCTCAGCTCACCTATCATGCAAATTTGAGAACATGAATTTCGAACTGGAAGTACCTGGTAGTTCTTAGTGTCTGCTAGCTTTGTCTTTACTATGACGATGCTAATATTGGTTCTGCTGGCTTCCAGAAAGGATTACAATGAAGTGACAAGCTTTGTGCTCTTAGGAAAAGTGGTATATAAGTATTAAGTATTGCATAAAATTTGAAATGCACAAACAAAAGCACTGCTGTGTTTGTATAAGGTATATTTTTTCTAAAAAACCTTCAGTAGAATCCGACAGATGTTGTTCTGTCATGAAGCTCATCCTATGAACCATCTTGAAGTGCTTTCATAGTACAACAAAAACATGCAACAAATACATATATAAAAACAGTTGAAACTATTGTGTAATAATAAACAATTTCAGATGCAATTCAGATATAGACAAGGACAGAAATATTCACTTAGGGACTATTTGTTGAAAGAGGAAAGTTGACATTCTTGCTACCCAGCTTTTTCCTCGTATGTATGTGCTGTAATTGCTCCTTCTAGTCCTGTTCATATTCTCTCTCTCTCTCTCTCTCTCTCTCTCACACACACACACACACACACACCAGATAGTTTGCTCATTTTGCCCATCAGCTGATTGCCACTTTGGGCTTAGTTTCCGAATTTGCCTACTGCAAGATTACCTTGCAATAAGATCAGTACTAAAACTGTGAAGCACTGAAATACAGAAAAATCACTGTCTATAAGAGGACCTCCTGTCAGACCATATGTTTCATTTTGGTCATTTGTTTCCTGCTGAAGCTGCTGTTGAGTAGGACCAAAAGAGCAGGTGTGCAAGAATCATAGATACCAGAAATGTGGCAGCTTAAACCATTTTTAAGATTTTGCACCAAAAAGTGACCCGAAGTTGGTGTCAGGAAGAGCTGAATTCTGTGTCCTGTATGAATTGTGCTTATTTAGTGGAATTACACAAACATGGTTTGTGTGTGTGAATGTGGGTTGTTGTTATGTAAGGGTGAATTTTGCACCGAGTTGCAAATTCTGTGGTGGCTGCATCAGCAGAATAGTAGCTGGTATGCTAGATTCTGGACTGTGAACTACGCTTAGAGAGGTTAAAAGCACACTTGCTTGACTGTTTTCCTGGAAGTGCAGTAATGGGTACTGAATAAAAATAACTGGTTATGTCCAAGTCTGCAGGAAGAACTAACCCTTCTATCATGTGGCTGGAACTTTCCTCTTCTTCAGCTCCCCTGTTTTGTTTTGTTTTGTTTTGTTTTGTGTGTCTTTTTTAAAAAAAAAAAAAATATCCCGGTGTTTCTTGGTAGCTTTGCTGAAGTTCCCCTCCTGTGGCTCCGTCAACATTTAACAAATTTTCCTCCAGTTTTCATGTTTCCTTTGGCTCTGGATCAACACAAACTCCCCAAATCCAAAACTAATTCAGGACTCTAAGTAACAGTAGCATTTAAGTTTTGGAACTGTGCCAGTCAGAAGGGCAGCCTCTTCATGGAGGAACAATCTAATTCCAGTGTCAACAATGGCTGTGGAGCTGGCCTTCCCTTTTTAATGTAAGCCTTTCAGTAATCTAAACACTACTACAAGAGATTGGGACCTGCATCAACATCTCTAGAGCCTAACTGGCCTTTGTTTTCCGGTATCACAGGATGCAATTGCACTTCATTCAGGTCAGAGGCCAAGACAGGAAAGACAGGCCATACTTTGATTGCTGAAGTGGAGCAGGAGGCTTTATTTTAATTTCCTGAGTTAAGTGTGGAACTCCTGACACACAACTGTGACACTGAATTGGTTTCCATTAGGGTTTGCCTAATGATGTGTTTAGTCGCAGAGTTGATAGGGAAGGGTGGGGAGAGGAAGAAAAATGATCTTCTGAATTAAGCTTGGAAATGCCTCATTTCAGTTTCCTGCTCTGTCCCACAGTCCAGGTGGGTCCACAAGCATATCAGATGAGTTTGAACTTCAGAGGTGAAGAATAACAATGACTTTGGCTTATATGTGCAGCACTCAAAAGTCAGTGTTGCAGTGCTTCTGAAATAGGATATAAAACCCTGGTCGTATCTGACTGAGGTTTGTAAATGTTGAGGTGGTTTCTTTTCTCCTTGCTCTGTAGCTTTTCTCTCATGCTGAGTCTTCTATAACAACTGAAGCCATTCTCTCACAAGCTCAGGGATGAAACCATGATACAGCCGTTGAATTAATGTTGAAGTGAGGATCATAATGGATTAGAGAACTTCCCAGCGGACAATCGGCTGAAAAGCCCTGCTGAATCAGGCCAAAGGCATCCTGTTCTCACAGGGGCCAGCCAGATGTTTGTGGGAAGCCTGCAAACAAGATGGAAGAACAATAGTCCTCTCCCCACTTGTGACTCTCAACAAATGGCATTCAGAGACATGCCGCCTCCAACATTGGAGGTAGAAAACTATCATTGTGGCTGGTAGCCATTGATAGTTTTATCCTCTATATATTTGTCTAATCCTCTTTTAAAACTCTTTTAAGTTGGTGGCCATTACTACTTCTCAGGGGAGCAAAGTCTAGCTATGCACTTTGTGAAGAAGTACTTCCTTTAGCCTGTCCTGAATCTTCCAACATTCAGCTTCATGGGATTTTCTCAAGTGTTATGAGAGAGGGGGGAAAGCTTTTGACTGGTGGTGGCTGCAAACCTCTTTGGTCCAGCCACTTGTTTACCTGCCCCACACATGATGTCATGTATCATGTTAGGACTGGTGGATGTGGCTTGGCTAAAATGGCCTTAGCAGGCCAAATGGGTAGGCCTGGCGGGTCTAATTAGGTCCACTGGCCAGGGGTCCCCCAACCCTCTCCTCCATCCGTAGAGTCAAGGACTGGATCTTGTTCTCTGTACTGAGGAAGACTTTTTGTAAGGGAGACTGGAGCCAGGAGGCAGTGAGAATTGAAGCACGACTATTCGCAAGCTCTGTAGAAAAGCAGGTGAGATGTGGGTGGGCTGAACAGGCCTGAACTTTTCTGCTTGTATGGCAGCTGTGCAGTAACTTCCACCACGGTGCATCTTGCTTTTCTTTCTGGCAGCACTGCTGGAAACATCTAGCCCCATATGAACCCATAAAAAGTATTTATCATTGTGGTTTCCCCCTGCTCTCCCACAAAAAAAATGGCCAGGATGCCTTTTACTTTCAAGTCTTAATTTCTTCCAGTTTTCTGGTTAGCAGTGGGGGATCTGTGATGACATTGTGGTCATGTAGTGCCCCTTATTTGATGAGCCTGGCCTAATTCTGCCATAGTCAGCTCAGTCTGGGCAGTTAATAATTCTCCCTATTTTGCTCGTTCTCTAAGGGAAACATAATATGTACTGTGTATGTTTGGTTATATGTTTAAAAAAACTTTTATAGAGTAATTCTTTTTCCCAAGATAGCTGCATTTATCTTGTGGTTCATCTTTTGAAGTTCCTCTGCCTGTGGGATTGCAGAGTAGAAGGTTCTGTCTTGATTCTTGCCACAAATGGCCGCCCTCTCCTTCACTGGAGACCTCCTCCTGCAAGGCTAGGCCACTGTGGCTTGCCTTCCCAGATTCTGGTGGAATAGAGAGTAGCAGCAGAGTATCTGCTTTGCACAGATGCTCCACCGTTGAAGTGTTGACATTCTTATTCCAAAATAATCCCTTTGCTGACCCTTTAGTATAAAAGTTCTGGTTCAAGTTTTGCTTATGTCATGCCACAATAATGAATAGAGTTCTCTTGCAGCCCGCAGAATCCTCAAAAATGTCATACTGAGCCCGAGCTCTTGTTTTCTTATCCTCTGGCAATTGCAGCTCTGCTGGTGTAATGGGTACTTCCCTACAACACAGAAAAATGGGTTTTCTCCAGGCCCCTAACGAGAAATATTGTGCCGTGTTGCCAAAATCACACAGGCAGTTGGGAAACGTGTTACACGGCATTGTACAGTAAGCTGGTATAAAACTTCAGGTAGTCTAATATGCCCAGGTACTCATCAGTCTTTGCAGTGCATGTATACCTATTGGCCAGTGCATTGGAACAGAAGACAGGTTTCATTTTTACCTAAATGATTAAATGGAGTCCTGTACTGCCTCTGCTCTTTTCCTTGTCTTTACATTCCACCCCCATATAATCTCCATGGCTACAGCTTTGCTTCTTTCCCTTAAATGGCTTGTGTCCCAGTTACCTGAAAGACTCTTTTCTCCTGCATGGACCTCCATTCTAAGACCACCTTCCGAGGCCATTCTTCCAAGTCCCCTGACTTTTGAAGTAAGGTGGGGTGGCCAAGGAAACTGCCTTCTCTGTTGTTGCCCCCTGGTTGTGGAATACTCTCCTTAGCCAGGTTTGCTGGGCACCAACTCAGATGTCTTTTCAGTGCTTTTCATTTGCCCTGGATTCTGATGCAAATTTTTAGACCTGTTTTTATGGCTGGAATTTTACTGAGATGATTATGTTGCCCCTCTTTTAAATTTACCAGTAGCATCATTTTTCCACTTCTAATTCCAGTCTCTACACTACAGACTCTGAATCTGAAAAGATCCCACGTCAGCTTTGCTGCTTGTGTTGTTCATGGACTGTATCCTTCAGTTTGGCTTCGGGTGTCAGAAGGGTCTAGAGCAGGGGTGGGCAAGGTTTACCCCGCCTGGGCCGGTTCACTCCAGCGGAGATCCCTCCGTGGGCCAGATCGTGAGCACGCGTGGCCGCAATTTCCGGCGTCTGAGCATGCGCAGACGCAATTTCCGGCACTGCGGAAGCGAGTTCCTGCGCCACACTGCACCGGTATAGCGCAGCATGCGGGGACTCACCAAGCGGGCGGCTCGGGGGCCGGTTAAACGATCCCCATGGGCGGCTTGTGGCCCATGGACCTTAGGTTGCCTACCCCTGGTCTAGAGTGAGCTGCAATTTAGTGTTAGGGAATGGAGTATCACAGCCCAATCCCAGGCAGATTTGTTTGGGAGTCCTGCCATGTTGAGTGTGGCTAACATTCAGCCAAGTGTGCCTGGTGTGGCAACCTTGATAGGCCTCTTCAGGTCAGGCTGTTAGGATCCTGTTCTCTTGAAACAAGATTAATAGGCTGGAGAATACGTATTCCCCTTCATAATGGTGATAATGGTTTATTAATGATTGTAATGGGAATGGTAATTCAAACAACGTTGGTATTATGAAAAAAATATGATTAATGTTCCTCAGCAAAAGAAAATATGTTTTTACTCCTAAACTGCTGGAAAAGAATAAGAAGAGAAATGGCTTCCTAGATGTGGGGACAGAAAATTTATTTTCTCGAAGAAGGTGTGCAAATTTGTTGAAGCATTCAACATCAAAGGGATTTGTTTGGCTCTGTAGGTTTTAATGCATATCATGACATAATAGCCAGAAGAACATCCTGCCTTTTAGCTTGCATGGCCTGGGATAGCTCAGACAATAGAGCATGATAATCTTGACCTCAGGGTTGCGGATTCGAGCCCCATGTTTCCAGAATTGCAGTGGGTTGGACTAGATGACCCTTGTGGTCCCATCCAACTCTATAATTGTGTGTTTCTTTGCACTTCAATTTTCATATAATTTACATGATATGATAGATGATATGCAGTGTTTGCTGATTATGTTCCCCTTATTCTGTCATATTTTGCAGCTGACACAGTGGTGTGAGACAGCTCAACTTGACTGACATATGCTGAAGAAAATTTATTAGTGGTTTCCAGTTTGATTAGCAGTTCTTTATGTGATATACCTGATAACATCCTAATGTCAAAGCCATATAACATGTTGGTGATCATGTTAGTTCTGAACCTTAGATGCATGGAGTGAGGATCACATTACTGAGAGGGTTGGGTGTTAGAAAATCATTCCTGACTAGTGTTTGTAATTTGAATATGAAATACCACCTAAAGATTAAGTGTGTTTTTCCTGTTTTATTCTCCTTGAAGAGTTAGTTATTGGATAGTTTGCAATGTGATAGCATTTGACATGAATATTTAAAACATGTCTAATGGTAGGAAATGCATTTGGCAAACAGGAAGTTCAGTGTCCTCACCGCCTGGAGTTCTGTATCCTATCTACAACAAATTAAGCAACCAGAAGAATCTGACCTCTGTGAGTTAGGACAGATATGTAGTGATGAGATCTGTCTTAAGAGACTGGACTGTAGCCAGTGCCTTGGAAGTCAGTACCAAAATATCAGAGCAGGGAACAGAGAGAGATCAAGCACCATCAAAATATAAGAACTGAGAAAATGAAGAGACTAAACATCAATTTGCAATGCACTGGAAGCTTAATGGCTGTGGATAATTTGCATAAATTTGCCTGAAAATGGTGGGTGCTGAGCTGCCAGAATGGGAGAAAATTTCTCTCTCCCAGCAAGTTGGGTGGACTTTTAAGAGCCATGCTGTAGTTATCTCAATATCTTGAAAATCCAGATTTATGCATAACCTGTGTTTTAGAAAGTCTTGACCTGTAATATACATTTAGGGGAGGAGCTTTTACTATTTGACATGCATCTTTCTAAGTTTTTCTCCAGGCGTGAGATACAGAGAAGAATTGTATACTAACCGTGTTTTTAAGCTTTCCTTTCAAATCCATGAACATCCTTATAAAATGCCAACTGTACTAAGGATTCTAAATTGAACTCTAAATGAATGGTATTAGTAAGTGCATTATTGGTCAATAATGCCTGATGTCGTGATTATTAGATTAATTAGAGGTATTAAACATTTTGTTCCAGTAGTAATGCATACAAAAGTTGATGCAGAAAATATCAGGGAGTCAGTGCAGAAGCCGAAAGACAAAGTTGGGATTGCATTGGGCAAGAGTTAACTTTAGCCTAAGCAGCATTCTGATTTGCCTGAAAAGTGCAGAGATGACGAGAGCAAAGGCTGGGAAGGAGGGAGGTTGCAGTAGTCTACGTAAGATGTGACTGGAACATGAATTAGGGTTTTAGCAACAAATATAGAAAGAAAGAGGTAATTCTTGGATGGGTGTTGGAGAGTAGGAAGTGACAGTACCCTAGGATTTTTGGAAGGCAGAGGAGATCAGAGCAGTTTCTGCAACATGATGGAGAAGGATCAGATGAGAAGACTGGAATTTCCATTGCTGGCCTTGTCAGTTCCAGGTGTCAGCAGCATAGTCTGGAGTAAATGCCTGTCTATTAGTTAAATATTAGTTTAATACAGTGGTACCTCTGGTTACGTACTTAATTCGTTCTGGAGGTTCGTTCTTAACCTGAAACTGTTCTTAACCTGAAGCACCACTTTATCTAATGGGGCCTCCCACTGCTGCTGCGCCGCCGTCGTGCGATTTCTGTTCTCATCCTGAAGCAAAGTTCTTAACCCGAGGTACTATTTCTGGGTTAGCGGAGTCTGTAACCTGAAGCGTATGTAACCTGAAGCGTATGTAACCCAAGGTACCACTGTATATCAGATTTCCTATATATGTAGATTTCCCCCCCTAGATTTTCTTGTTAAGTAATGGGGCTTGAATTTAACTATGCTTGCTGACATTACATTGGGATTAATGACCAAATGATGATGCACTCCTGTGGGAGTCAGTTCCATTGAACTCATAGCGACTTACTTAGTAAACAGGTTAGGATCTGGCCAAAACAACCTCTCTAAGATTGCAGCATTTGTATATTTTAAAATCATTACTTGTAACAATGACATACCAGGAAACTTGCTATTGCAGCATTAGTATTTCAATTTTTCTCTCTTCAGATATTTATGTTAGATTGCTTCCTACCGGATGTGAATTATATGACCCTGAATTTTCTGCCTCTTATCTGATGCTTTTATTTTGCTCTCTCGTGGGCATTTGCTGCTTTTCCTGTTTTGGTGTTTTCTGAAAGCACCTCTGTGGATAAGTTCCCCTTTTCCAGGTCACTAATGAAGATGTTTTAAAACAATGGATCTAACAGTGATCCCTGTAGTTTCTAAGAGCTCCATCCCTCCTGCAGTTTGGTATGTTGCTGTTTCTCATTACCCTTTGTTTATGGTTCTTCAGCCAGCTTTTGACTTTTGTGTTCATATCCGAGCCAATTATAATTACTTTTCTGAATAGCGGGCCATGATATAAATTATCCTGCAAAGCTTTCCCCAATATGCTCTGAGCCCTTGGAGATATTGCAGCATTTTCATTTCTAAAGATGTGGTGACTTACAAAATATTTAAAGGGAAGCTGCTCAGCCCATTGTCACACTTAATTAACATAGGGTAGACATGGGAACTCAGTCTTGCTTTTTAATCAGAGGTGCAGCCACTTAGTCTTTTTAAAGTGAGGGTGGGGCAGAGTTATTCTTCTTTCAGAGTAGCCGATTCTTTCACTTCCACATGATAGTGTGCTTGCATATGCCTTTCAGACCATTGCTGCTTTACCAGAATAAATTGCATTTTTATTGGCTAGCCCAGACTTCCTTAGAATTGGCAGCAGCTTTCAGTGGGTACTGGAAAAGTTACCTCCAGTCATTGGCTTTCAAGGCAAATGTTTACAAGCACTCTTTTTCTCTCCTTCCCGTCACTCTTCAGTTTTGCTACCCTTGAGATTTATTGCTTTCCGTGCTCCATTCCTTTATCATGGAAAAGTACTTTCCTCGGGTTCCTGTTAATCTTTATAGTATGTGTGATTGCTGCCATTTATGCTTACCCAAGCCATAAACCTTATCTGACCTGTATAGACTTGTTGAATTTCTTTTCCTTGTCTGTATAAATCAGACCTGCTGAATTTGCTTGACATGTTCCCTTAAGCTTTTAAAGAATAAAAAGGGAAACTTCTGAATGTCAGAAGTTTCTGCATCAGTGTCTCCATGAGGTTTAGTGAAGGTGAGGGAATAGCTATAGCTCAGGGGTAGGCAACCTAAGGCCCATGGGCCACAAGCGGCCCACAGGGCTTGTTTAACCGGCCCACAAGCCTCCCCCGAACCGAGCTGCCCGCTCAGCGAGTCCCCGCACACTGCTCTAAACCGGCGCGGCGCGGGGACTCGCTTCCGCGGCGCTGGAAATCACATCTGTGCATGTGCAGAAGCTGAAAATCATGTTTGGGCAGATGCAAACGCTGGAAATTGTGTCTGCACAGACGCCGGAAATCGCAGACGGGCGCGCTCATGCATGCGCGCAATCCAGCCCACAGAGGGATCTCTGCTGGAGTGAATCGGCCCAGGCGAGGTAAACCTTGCCGACCCCTGCTATAGCTGGTCCTTGGTTCAAGCAGGAAAATATTTCCACAAGTGTGTTATGCCTCATGTATTCGTATAGCATTGCATGAATGTGTTGATTGTACAAGGAGAGTTGGAAGCTTGAATGCTTCCAGCTCCAGACTGGGGAGCTAAACTAGCCTTAAAATCTTCCTTCATTATTACCTTATGTTTCAGAAATGGTGGAGTAAACATTTATGTTTAACAACAACACCACACATAAACATCAACATCTCCTTGGGTCTCCTGTGAATGGCAGACCAGGAGTTTAAATCCCCACTCAGCCATGAAGCTCACTTGGATCTGTCATCAACTTTCAGCCTGACCTGTCTCAGAGCTGTTGTGTGGATAATACGGAGAGCCATGTATGCCACCGTGAGCAACTTGGAGGAAAGGTGGGATAGAAATGCAACCAACCAATCAACGAATGTCTTATGACAGAGATACTGTAATTAAGCTTGGACTGTGTCATCTTCCAAAGGTGCCCATGGAGCATGATACTGAGCCAGTGGACCTTGACACCTGTAAAATTGGTGACCTACAACACCACATTACGTAGCCATACTTATAAGTAGGTGGGATTCTGGTCAGGTGTTGGACCCCTGGTTGAAATTAGTTCTGCTTCTTATGCTGCGTTAACAGATCTTTGTGGCCTGTATCAGTGAGTGATGTTTCTTCTGTCATTAGAACATATGAGTGCAGTGTGGCCTTCCCAGTTTCTGACAGAAAATTTCTCTGTTAAAACAATGGGTCAGCAAATCCCTCTATTAAGACTGGATTAACTGTACTTTTCTTCAGTGGGAAACTGCTACTTGAGGTTAAAAATCACTGCTTCAAGTGACAAGTGAAGGAATAGTAGCCATTTGCTTCTGAAGTTCATTTATGGAAAGAATATCCCTTCAGATCAAAGAAGATTGTCCTGCTAACTAGCCTGTGTGTAAAAGTACAGCCTTCCTCAATTGTTAAGCTTCCTAAATGAAGCAGTTCTCCAAAGAGTGTAGAGCAATGGCATGCTAATGAAGAGCCAGCAATATTATCTTGCTGTAATGATGGCTGATTGATAGCATCAGTAGAGAATTAATGAAAGGTTGTGGGAAGCAGACCCCCTTCTTCGGAGTAAGGGGTGAAATATCTTCTTCCTTGTCTCTAAGAAAGGTGATACAATTTTCGGACAAACGTTGAGTAAATTGCTTTTCCCTCTGACAACATGAAAGATTCTAGAGAAATACTTTGTACTTAGAAGAGATACCATAGCTGTTACCGGATTTAAAGTCTGCATCAGCCCAAGCAGCACCAGAAACATTTTGACTTGATTACGAGAAGCGTATATTTTATCCCCTTAAGCACTGCTTTGCTTGCCTAATAGGCAGGTGCCCTGACTTCCTGCTCATTTCCGAATCTCCTTAGTTGACCAGGGATGGAACATGAGAAGCTGAGAGGGTCATAATCAGAGACATGGATCCTGTTCTGGGTTTCTGAAACACATGAGTGAGCTATCACACGTGTCCTATTTTTAGAGGCAGAACTTGCTTGCAAAGAGTTTGACTTCACTCCGTCCGTTTGTAGCTACTTCCTTGTTTCTATTCTTGATATGACCACGTACCTTGAACATATCTCCTATTTCAGGTACAGTATCATTATAATATCACTATAAGTCTGTGAGCATTTCAGCTGTGAGAATGTGAAGGGGAAAATGGAAATTAGCACACGACAATACTGGCTGAGGAGCGGCTGCCTTTTTTTATGAAGCAGAAATGATGGCATGTGTGCACTGTGGTTTTGTGAAATATCCTTCAGCTTATCCCCTTTCTGGAATCAAGGGATGAGAGTAAACAGTTAGAAAGCCTATAAAAACCTGCAGGCTTCCCTACTTTATTTAAGTCCTCATATATCTGCCAAGGACTCTGGGAATTGCCCAAATATGGGATCCATGCATATATGTGGTGGTGATGCGGAGATAGAGGTGTTGTAAATAGGATATTGCTGTAAGCTGCTCCAGATATTTGGCCATGGAACCAACCCTTAGATTTCCCCCCTGAATGATTGCTTTTCAGTCGTTGCTTCCAGTCAGTTGCATCTCGGGAATCTTAACACACAGTGGAATGCTGGGAGTGTGTGCGGTTCATAGGAATATTCCCAGTGTCATTTTGCACTGCATTCATGCGCATTAACGTGATGTTAGGTGTCCCTTGCTTTTTCTTACCTCTAAAGCATGTCAATTATTTTCTCCCTGCAGGTGCAGGCAGCAGTGGCAGCAGCAGTGCAGAGTGCGCTTGTGGACGAAACCACTTCACCTGTGCTGTTAGTGCTTTTGGCGAATGCACTTGCATCCCTGCTCAGTGGCAGTGCGACGGTGACAATGACTGCGGGGACCACAGTGATGAAGACGGCTGCAGTAAGCGAACGGTCCATTCTTAAGAGGGAGGAAGGGAGGGAGAGGGGAAGGACTGAGGCGAAAGAAGATTGGTGTGTGCCTGGGTTCTGTGAAAAGTCACAGGTCGCTTTTTGCCACCACCGTGGCTAAGGCCTGTGACAAGTATCTGCCCTAAGAGTTTCTTCCAGTCCAGCAGAGTCAGTGGCATGTTGCTAACTTGGGACGTGTTGCAACATGTCCCTTTTCCAGACATTTCCTTTGTTGGCATTCTTGGAAGGTTGTGGCTGTGAGGAGAGCTAGCTGCTTGCTTAATTAGCTTTTGTGGCCCATGCTGTCAACAAAAAGAAAACAAAACAGAGTTTGCAGCCGGTGTGGGTGGGGGTGTCTCCAACCTTCAGTTTTGCCTTGTGGTCCTAAAACAGAGGAGAAGGTCCTCAAGAGCATTAGAAACAACAGACAAAATCACAGGATTCCCCCAAAACAAGGAAAGTGGTATAAAAACTTATTTATAAATAGGCAAAACAATTTCACCACCCTTACGAGTGATTTACATATACGTACCTTTCAGCCCCAAAAGTCTGAAACAAGAAGCAGGTAAAACATACCTTCTCCTTGGGAGAATTTGCACTGAGAACATCCACATTGAAATGTGCAACACCCATGAAAAATGTACAGAAAAGCTTCTCATTTTTTGCTTTTGTTTTGCAAAACTATGCGTACCCCTCTCTAGAAAGAATTATCTCATTTCTACTGAGGAGCAAGCATCCTTGCTGAAATACGAGTTGAACAATGAGACAAGCTACTGCAAAAGATGCCTGTCAAAAATCCATAATAGCAAATGACTCTTCTATTTTAAATGTCTAGTAATGATTCTCCATGTACATCGGTTGACTTGAAAGTTGAGTTTTAGCAATGCAGAAAAAGGACAGAACCTCCCTCAGAGAGATCTAGACTTGAATCATAATTACAGCGCATCCACAATTCCAAGATTTGCACTTCTGCAGACAGACTGTCCTATTTGCATAAGAACTGCCATCACAATGACTGTAGAGCCAAAACAAGGATGCTAATTGTTAGTATTTTTAATATCCAGAAGTACATAGTAATGAAATCTCAAAGTAAAAATGCACTTCATCTGAATAAAGAGAGCCCCGATTTATAATTCTCAGCCCTTGGATTATGAAATAAGGAGCAGCGATTCCTGAAAAGTAGAATCTAGCCATTTTACTTTTTTTAAAAATCCATACTTACATGTGTGCACGCACACACATGTATGTATATATATCTGTCTGTCTACATGTGTGCAGTCATTGTACATGCACATACATTTCTGGACCCCATTTTCAATGCTGGATTTCTTTACATTTCTAAACGCCTTGGGACAAGGTTACCTGAAAGATGTATTTATTTATTTAAATAGTTATAAATGGCCTTTTCATATAAAATATTGCAAGGGGTTATACAGACCAAAAACAGCAGTACGCATTTCAATGAAAACATCATCAAGCACACGGTAAGAACTGGTTGGCAAAGAATCTCTGTTTTGAAACACCTGTCTGAATGATACAATTTTAAGAAGACTTCTAGAAATGAGGAGGGATGGCTCTTGCTTCTATTGTCAAGGAATTCCACAGGAGCCATCAAACTTCCCCAGAAGAAGACATGACTGATCAAGGAGGAGCATAAGGAATCATGTGGTCATGGAATGGCCTCCCCCAAGAGGCTCTAGCGTCTTCATAGTGTCTTTTTAAACGTGGCTTTAAATAAACTTCACTCTAATGGTGTGGTCTTAAGCTGTGCTGCAAATAATTTTATATTGTTTCTGAAATAACTGAATGCACTCGTGTGCAAAGGGAATGTGTGAAGAGTTGATTGAACAGATATAGTTATGCACATTTCGGCAAGGGATCATCATGGTGCTCTGCATCAGGTGCAAACCTTAAATTATTGCTATATATTTGGTAGTGCAACTCAATTTTCACCTTTGGTAACTGCCCAGCGTGTCACATGCTGTGTGTCTAGTACGTCTGTTCGAATACTGTGATCTGAGAGTCTCCTAGCTGTGGTTTTTTTTAACGAGTCTTGCATGTTACTTGGCTACGGTGATGGTTTAAAAAATACATACAAAGCATTTTTCTGAATCTCATAGCCTTGCACCTCCTTTGCAGTTCTTGGTTTCTCACAGACCGTATTTTTCGCTCTATAAGATGCACCAGACCATAAGATGCACCTAGTTTTTGGAGGAGGAAAACAATAAAAAAAATATTCTGAATCTCAGAAGCCAGAACAACAAGAGGGTTCGCTGCGCAGTGAATGCAGCGATCTCTCTTGCTGTTCTGGCTTCTGGGATAGTTGCGCAGCCTGCATTCGCTCCATAAGACGCACACACATTTCCCCTTATTTTTAGGAGGGAAAAAATGAGTCTCATAGAGCAAAAAATATGGTAAATGGTCTTGCCGGTAAGCAGCATCACTTCCTTTTTCATCTGCAAACTTTACATTTGAAGGGTTTTCATCTTTACCAAACCAGTGTCTGTTTAGTTTCCTTAGTTGTCTTCTTTCTTTTCCTCCAACTGAATTAATCTACTCATTTTCCCTAGGCCAAAAAATAAAAATGAAATCCATTTGCTCTCTAAATATTTAATTGGGATGGGCATATCTGAAGACACGAGGAGGCACGTTGGTACCAAGCCTTAGTTTGGTGTAGGGGAGAATATTTTTTGTTTCTGCTCTTTTGTACCTGTTGAAATGTGCCTATGTGCCTGAAAAAGCCATAGAGAAAAAGGAGGTAGAGATGCTTAGACCTCCCAATAAATTTTCTGTGGCTTGCACTTCTGCTTTATTAAGAACATAAGATGAGCTTGGTGGATGAGGCCAGTGGCCCATCTAGCATCCTGTTCTCACAGCGGCCAACCAGATACCTCTGAGAAGCCAGCAAGCAGGATTTGAGTGTAAACCTCTTGTGGTTTCCAGCAACTGGTATTCAAAATCATTGCTGCCTCCCAAGTGTGGTGGCAGAGCATAGCCATCATGGCTAGTAGCCATCAATAGCTCTCTCCTCCATGAATTTGTCTAATACTGTTCTAAAGCTATCAAAATTCGTGGCCCCCATCGCCTCCTGTGGGACTGAGTTCCATAGTTTAAAACTAAGTGAAATTAGAAGTGCCATTGGTGCATACTTAGAGAAATGAATGCACGAGCCCCTTGCCTTGCCTCTCTGGAGCTGCAGAGTCCCATCATCATTTTCGAGGAGGGGGAGCCAGCAAGAGTCTTTAAAATCAAGTGTGGCAGAGAGCAATGAATTAGAATGTGCCCTTACAGAAACAACAACAACAGCCTTCTTAAAAACAAGGGGGGTGGGAATTAGCAGCAGCGTATGTGAAGTGCAGAATCATGTTGAAGTGAGCAATGAACAGCATATGACAATCAAAGCATTGCTTTTCTTTTTTCTTTTTGTCGCTAGTCAATTGCAGAATGAGCTTATGGATGCACTCACCCATGTCTTTCTTGCTAACGGCGGCTCTGATTTTGTGTCTTTCCCTGACATACTTCATCCCCTGAAGTATTCTCCTTGTTCTCCTTGTTATCTGATATCATTGCTTCAGAGTCAGTCCTTGGGTATGTGGCTTTCAAGAAGCACCTCATATCTCGGGGAGTTGGCTTGTCTCCAGTGTCGCTGTTGTGCCGTGGGGTTGGGGTGTGCTCAGGGAGCGTGTCCCTCAAATAGTAGTCCACCATCCAGAGTTCAAGAGCTCCTGGCCCGACCTGGCGGCTTGCAGCCCTTCTCTTTCCGTCCTCTTGATGTCTGCTGCTCTTCCCTCCGACACAGCTCCATCTCTCCCCCAGACATTGCTCCATCACCTTCTTCCAACAGGTCCCTGTTGCCTTCCATCGCTCTTGGTCCTCACGCAACTCCTTTCCCAAACGTCCACCCAGGGAAGTTGTGTCAACAACAAGGGTGCTGGAATTCTTGGACCCAAGTCAGTCATGGTCATTTGTTTCAATGAGTCTACTCTGGGGGGGGGGGAGTTGAATGCCATCCACTATATATGATAGTATACATGTTTTTACCTCTCTGCAAAGAATAACCCTTTGATGCAAATATAATGCAAATGAAGCTGCTCTAAAAGATTTTTGGTTGGGAGTGAGAAGAAGATTTAGGCTGAATTTAGTATGTTCAAAAGGGTTTAGTTGTGCCAGCCTAAAGGTCAGCCTTGATAATGAAGTGTTTTGAGAGGAGAGGCTTTTGCTGCTTTTCTGCTTTTTCACCCATCCTCATGTAGGAATCCTTCATGGAACTTATAGTCACTAATGGGATTACTGATTGCCTTTGAAACCGCCTGCTTTTTAGGCTGGAAACTAATGCTAGTTAAGTACAGTTTTCCCCATTGTGAAAATGGGCAATTTGGCACTTGAGAAGTTATCAAGCATAATTATGTGCTTTTAGAAAGGTTTTAGAAAATCAAACACCTGGAAATACAGGTGCTCCTTATAGAGGCTCTTGTGAATGCTGTCTCAGGGATAGGAGGAAAAGAGAAAGGTCTTTTTTATTTGGATTTTGCCTGTTGATGGTCATTGATGTATGTGGGTATTTCCAGCATGGTTGAATGAAATGGGAAATAATGAAGAATATAGGATATCTATTTATTGGTTGCTAATCCCAAGCAGCAATATTGGCTTTTTCATTGGTTTCTAAAGCAAGGTTTTGTGGTTGGAAGGAAGCCAATGGCTCCTGAATCTTGGATTGACTAGATGAAAAGCCTCATAACTTAAGGCTTCTATTACATAAAGTGCTACTTCATGTACTATATGTGTGCAATATACAGTGGTACCTCTGGTTAAGTACTTAATTCGTTCCGGAGGTTCGTACTTAACCTGAAACTGTTCTTAACCTGAACCACCACTTTAGCTAATGGGGCCTCCTGCTGCTGCCGCGCCACTGAAGCACGATTTCTGTTCTCATCCTGAAGCAAAGTTCTTAACCTGAAGCACTATTTCTGGGTTAGCGGAGTCTGTAACCTGAAGCGTATGTAACCTGAAGCGTATGTAACCCGAGGTACCACTGTATAAGGAATATGTGGACTTTTGAAAAAAGTGGTTAGCTTATGTTATAGATATCATATAAGAACTTAAGAAGGGCTAGCTGGATGATGCCAGTTGCGCATCTAGTCCAGCATCCTGTTCTCACAGTGGCCAGCCGGATCCCTGTGGGAAGACCATAAGCAGGACCTGAGTACAACAGCGCTCTACTCTCCTGTGATTTCCAGCAACTGGTATTCAGAAACAGACTTACTCTGACAGTGGAGGTAATTTTCTCTCTGTCTCCTTCAGCTCCTCAAAGTTGGCCGCTTTGACTCTGGCCTCCAGGGTATGCGCATGTTTTTGGAGAGCCAGATTCTTTCCAATGAGCGCATCCTCTGTCATGCTTCTGACTCTTGATGCAAAACAGTAGAGAGCTATTCTCCTTTTTTTAGACTTTTGCTGATACCCTTTGACCGCTGTTAATTGCAGTTTCCTGGATGGAACTCTAGCGTTTGGTTTATTTTTATTTTTATTGGCAAGGATGCAATCATTTTATAATTACTATTTAGTCAGACACTTCCCTTAGTTTTTCACCCCAATTGTGTGTACTCCGGGACCTCCTAACATAGGTGGAGTGAAGGAAGGAAGGAAGGGCTTTTGGTTTCATACCCATTGCATCACTTTCCCAGACTTGCTGGGGAGGTTTCTAAAGGGATGAGGGAAGGTGAATGTGATTTCCACTTCAAAACTGGGAGTAATTATTTTGCTGAAGACCTAGGCTGGCATAGGAGTTGGAGCGGTTTGCATTTTCAAGGTAGAAAACGGGGAGTGTATCTGGATGCCCTGGGCTGCCCAAACAACGAGACAGCCTCCCCCCACTTGACCTCACTGAGGCGGTCTAAAGGAAATCAGAGGAATACATTTGGCACCAGCTTGGCTGCAGGAGTTGCCAGAAGGAGGCTCCACTCCGGATTTGTGTAGGATTTACTCCTTAGCCTTTTCTTCTCCTGAAGATACCACACAAGGCAGCAGAGGTTTAGGATCAGAGTTTTCCTTCCCCTAGATGGGTCCCTTTCTGTCCCTCCATTCCCTCTACAGAAACCGCCTTCTTGACCATTGGACCCTCTGTTAGTTTCAGCTGCTCAATCCCCCAGAACCTGTCTCAATCCCCTGACACACAGGGGAAGTCCTTAATTCACCAAGGGTTTGAGACCCATCAGCTACCCTCACCTAGTTAAGCTGGCCAGTCAGAATTGTTTCCTGGCGTGTTGCTGCTGTCACATGCTGACAGCTTCTGGGAGTTACAGGTGAGAGCTGAGTGCAGGGTGAGGAGCAGAGGTAGACCCCAGAAGGTGCATGACATTTCCCCCGTCAGAGGTACTATCCCTCCTCTAACAGTCTACTTTGAAAGAAAAAGCCTTCTGTTGTTGCCATTGTTAAGCATTTAGTTGTCAAACTCTTCCTGATCTATTGCAATTTATCCAGCAGTCTAATATCGTAGCACTTTGCTTATGTTCTTCTTAGGAGCTTACGTTCTTCTTGGGATCTGATGTTCTATGATACTGGAGACAAATTCCTGGACTGAGGATGTGCTCGCACCAGCACCCCATTCCTTAATTATAACTGTGTGTCCATCCACCCTGAGCTATTATTTTGCACCTGGCTCTGGTTGGTGGAGCTTGAAGTTCTAGTAAAAATCCAAAATAGACCTTGCAAGTCTGAAGATGGTCCACCCATGGCCAAGTATGAACAACACAGCCTGACTTTGCTGGATTGTCAGACACGCTGAAGAGGGAACAAGGGCCCCTCTTTGTGTGTAACCGTTTCCCTGTGTCACTTTCCCTCCCGCCCCCCTCTCTCTCCCCCTAACTTGAAGCTCATTTTTCATATTTAAGGAGGGCATTACATTGGGAGGAACTACTCCCTGTAGGTTTGGAATTTCATTTTGAGCAGTTGCCTCATGAGAGTAGCAGCAGTTCAATAGGATAATGGTATCCGCTATGAACCAGCGCTAATGGCCTAACCCTGTGGGAGCCAGAAGAATTCTCCCCCAGAGAGCCAGCATGCAAATTCCCTTCCAGGCGGCTACTGCTCAGACCTTTGGTGATTAGTCATGCTGGGGCTCAAGGCTGCATATGTTGGGAGGGGTGGGATTGTGTGTGTTTGTGCTACAGCTGAGGCCTGGGAGAGTTTGGTCTGCGCAGAGAAAGTGCTATCTCCTCTCCCATCACATCAATGTGCTCTGCCTTCCTGTGTCTTAAAACCCCTCCCCCCTTTTTTATGGAGAGGAAGACAGTATTTCCAGGAGTTAAGGAAATGAAGAGATAGTTCAGAATAAATAGCTTTCTAGTTATGCCTTACTCTTCATTGGCCAGGATGGAAAAGTAGCTTAAGTTACATTAGATATAGAAAGAGCAGAATTGGTATGGCTTATACATTGTTTTGAAAGCGTCCCAATCACAAAACTTTATTTTTCATACTGCATTTAACCAGTAAGGGGTTACAGAGTGTTGTAATTGAGCCGAGAATTAAATGTGCATGATCTCAGATTGTCAACCAGCAGGTTTACATTCTTGTTTTAACCTGAAATATATGAAACAACAAATATTTATTCTGCTGTTCATGCAAGGCAAAATAAGGGGGTACTCAATCTCACATTAAGAGATCTGAAGGGAAAAAACCAAAGCTTGATGGTGTAATCAAAGTGTGCCCTTGCAGTTGTGTTCTAGGAGTTGTGTGATATGTGAAACATTGCTGTTTGGATCTGTGAAGCATTCATTTGTTTCATCATGAGCATAGTTTGCTGGTCCAACCCATGAAAGCAGTCATTTGAATGGTACCTAATTGCTGTCGAGGAAGGACTGGGTCTGTGGATTTAGAAAGCACATGACATGGGCCTTCTGGAATTATACCAATTCAGAATGCAAATGGAGACCCCATGTTTGAATGTTCCATCATGTTAAAAAACAAATTAATAACCGACCATACCTCCCCATATGACCTGTGAGGTGGTTATGAGAAAACAAGGCCTGTCATCTGGAGCTGTTTGACATCAGACAAAGCCGTGATGCCAAATTTGCAAGGAAGTATTGGGAATGTACCAGTGCATTCCTTCTTCTTCCTTTGCAGCTCTGGCTTGTAAAAACCTTATTTTCAGCTTCTGTTCCAGAGCTCAGAGGTGAGTTTGGGGCCAGCCAACATAATCCCATTCCACCTATTCACCTGGAGCATTTTAGAAGAGAGGACTTCTAATCGTAAGGAGTAAAGCCACCCATTGGAGGAGCACGCAACTAATTTTGAAGTTCATCTTCCAATAACAGCCTGGTTATATGTTGTGGTAACTTTTGCATCCCTTTCTCCCTTGGCTAGGAACAGTTTTTCCTTCCTTCCATTTGAGCTACGAATCTTCAAGGCTGGGAACATGGGTTTTGCTTTCCCATGTTAAACTTGCAGCCATTGCCTTAGATAAAGTCAGGTAAACGGGGAAATGGAAAAGGACAATCTGTACTGTGCGGTTAACTGATGTTTACACTGGACAGTGGCAGGCAATTCCAGTTGATGTGGAGCTTGAAGCAAGCAACACTGACCATCCAGAGTGTCGTTCCTAGACTGCAAGGGGACTTCTCTTTCCTCCTGCTCCTTGTGTTACTGCTGCATTCATTCCCCTGCCATTCTCTTGTGTTGGTGGAAGGGAAGAAGCCCAGGTGATGACAGCTGGGAGATAGTATCAGCAGACCAGGCAGGGATGAAAGGGCTTCACAATCTCCATCTTCTCTTTGCTCTGTTCTATTCTTCCTTTCTTTTTTTAAAAATAGTTGGAAGTAACATTGTTCCTTTGGAGAACACACCTGTCAGGAGCAAAGTCCCGGTGCTACTCCCTTCCAGTCATAGTTGGCAGCCCTTGAAAGCGCAGCCCTCCCAAAGGCTGAGAGTTTCTTTCAACCCTGAGGGGGTAGGCAGGGCTGTGATTGATTTATGCTGTCCTTTTGAATTCCGGCCTTTTACGGATGGCAGCTTCACCTTTCTAAGGGATTATTCTTCTTGCTTGCTTGGGGATGTGAGGCTGCCAGTACTGAATAACCGCTGAGAATTGTGGACGCATTCTCACTGCGCGCGTCTTGGGATGTAGTTGGGGCCTCTCCAAATGAACAACTAATAGAGCAACAAGTGTGCCCTTGTGGCTCATTTGTCGTCTGGCATTCGCACGCATTCTCTTGCTTAGTTAAAAGAAGGAGGGGAGAGAAATAGGTTTCCCCCTTTTGCCAGGAATGTAGGAAGCTTCCTTATACTGAGCCCAGACCATTAGCCTGTCTACACTGAGTGACAGTGGCCCTCCAGGATTTCAGGCTGGGCGCTCTTCCCAGCCCCACCCAGAGGTGCCCTACTCAGGGATCCATCATGGGACATTCTGCATGCAAAGCAGATGCTCTACCAACTAAGCTACAGCTCTTGGCATAGCGATTCCTGTTCTGCATTGCTTTTATGTCATGCAGCTTTCACTTTTGGTGATAGTGTGCTTTTGGAAATCTCAGGCTGAGCTACCCTCGAGGTATGGTTGAGCGGCATTTGGGATGCGGTCATCTCAGAGCGACTAACCAGGCTAAGAAGGGTAGCAGAAGGTGTGTAACAAGAAGAGATACCCTTGTTGAAACCTTGTACTCGTTCTACACGCCTGTTTTATAGTTTTGTTTTTCATCTTTTCATTTTCACCAGTTGTTATATCTGTTCTCTCTGTTTTATATACATTATAAAAAATGGAATAAAAAATATTGACCAAAAAAATAATCCTGGTCTTCCTTCTTTTCATATGCAAGGGATGAACATAACAATTCTCCCCTACCAACTACTCAGATTTGTCTGTGGAGAGCGATATTAACCACTAATGCCTTAAGAATATGCTTGAAATGACATTACATAATCAATGTAATGTCTTATTTTTGGTGGAGATTGTATTACATAACTAGACTTACACCCAGTTTTTCTTGTAACCGTTTTTATTATTTTGAAGGGGGGGAAATAGTGAAAGAAAAAGAAAAAAAAGCTTGGATAAAGAGAGTCCTGCCCAGACAGAAGTATCCTGGGTTCATTACGGTTACTAACTTTGTTTTAGTAAGTTGGTCATGTGTAATTTCTCTTTTATTGTCTCTAGTTCTCTTGGCACAAGTGTTGTAGGATTAAAACAAAACAAAACAAAAACCCCATGTATTGGTGAAACCTTTTGGGTGCTCTTAATCAGTTCCCTCTCTTCTCCTCCTTCCATTCTAGTGCTGCCCACTTGCTCCCCCTTGGATTTTCACTGCGACAACGGCAAGTGCATCCGTCGCTCATGGGTCTGCGATGGAGACAATGACTGCGAAGATGACTCCGATGAGCAAGACTGCCGTAAGTTCACTCATCACCGGTCCTCAGAAACAGGGCAGAGCCACTACTGCTGTTCCACCCTACTTGGTAGGATAGCGGCTCCAGAGTCGTGACTCACCTGCCTGGGAAGCTGGCGTCGTGGCTCCACACCCCCCGGCAATCTGCTTCTGCAGGCCCCTGTTCAGAATCGTTTTCCAAGAGCACAAAGAGCATAGCTGGCATATCTCAAGCATAGCTGGCTCTTTGCAGGAGTAAGACAGGTCACTAAAAACCACGGTTGTTATTAGCAGCAGTTGTAATTACTGTGGTGTAGTTTGCAGTCCCAGCCAGGCTGGGCATTGAGTGGCCTCCTTTGGTAGGTGGGATGCGCTGCCTCAAGCCCTTGGGGATGGTGTCCTCATGCTGCTGTTCGCTTGATGCTGGGCTCCCGTAATAAGGGCGTACCCCATAAATAGATAGAGGACACAGTTCTCAAAGATGCTGGGCAGCACACAAACACTTTCCCGGCTAAGCGAACCTGTGTGTGTTTCTGACTTTGCTCGCCGTTTGTGCTTCCTGTATCCTTTACAGCTCCCCGGGAGTGCAAGGAGGATGAGTTTTCATGCCAGAACGGATACTGCATACGCAGCCTGTGGCACTGTGACGGTGACAATGACTGCGGAGACAACAGCGATGAACAATGTGGTTAGTAGCCAAATCCCACAGAGATTGCTAGAGAAGGGCTTGTGTTGAAGGCAGTGGGCTAAGATTTGTGCATTTCAGAATCTTTGCAGGAAGGCTGCTGGCAGTGGGGATTTAGTGTAGCAGATAGGGCTGGTTGGTCACTGCTTCCAAGTCAGTGGGTGAGATCGAAACAAAAAATGCTCATAAAGTATTTGCACAGAGGGAGAAGGCTGGGAATTACTCTCCAACCAGACCGTTATTGTATATGATATGATGTTAAAGTTGTATTTATATAACCTGCAAATCCCGCCTTTCCTCCAAGGTGGCATATGTGTTCCCCCCACCCCCACCCATTATATTCTCACAACTTCATGAGGTACGTCTGGCTGAGACCCAGTGAGCGTCATGATTCATGGTGAACCCTAGTCTCCCAGTTCCTAGTCCGATGCTTCCAACCATTACACCACACTGGTTACCTCAGAGGAAATTAAGATTACACATTTGATTATTCTGGGCCGAGCAATAGGAACTATGCTGCATTCCTTTGTTGCTATAGGCTGCTCCTGGAAGGTTGGGCCTCTCCCAGACAAAACCCCATTGTCATGTTATCAGCAGCCTTGTGTGAACCTTCTTGTATTTCTTCAGAATTCCTGAAGATCCATTCAAAAATTAACCCATTGCCTAGTACAGTGGTACCTTGGGTTACAGACGCTTCAGGTTACAGACTCCGCTAACCCAGAAATAGTACCTCGGGTTAAGAACTTTGCTTCAGGATGAGAACAGAAATCGCACGGTGGCAGCAGGAGGCCCCATTAGCTAAAGTGGTACCTCAGGTTAAGAACAGGCCTCCAGAACGAATTAAGTTCTTAACCTGAGGTATGACTGTATTAAAAAGGAAAGAGCACATAAGCAGTGAGCACATTTGTGGGCTAGCAGATGATGAGTTGGGTGCTGAGGCACCTTCTCATGTTGACAGGTGGGTCGCCTGATCAGAGTCTGGTTCCTAGGAGGGTGGGATGGGATGGGGGAATGACCTTTCCATTGAACTGCTCCTTGTCGTGCCTTGCAGACATGAGGAAGTGTTCGGACAAGGAGTTCCGCTGCAGCGATGGCAGCTGCATTGCTGAACACTGGTTCTGTGATGGGGATACAGACTGCAAGGATGGATCAGATGAAGAGAACTGCCGTAAGTATTCTCTCTCCCCCAAGTCGTACTTTCCACTCTGATGTCACATGGTATCTTTTGTAATGAATGCTAGGCATACGTCAGTTTTCTCTTGAAATAAGGACCTATTGTGACTCCGAAGCCTTGCAGTGGTGTAATAGAGCATATAGATTAGCAGTGCAAATCTGTGCAGGCATTTTGCCAAATTCATACTCCTGAGCCCAAAGCTCTGCTTAAAATTACATCACCCCTCCTCCCTTTGATAACAGCATGCATCTCTTAAGCTTTGAAATGATAATGGGCTGCAGCTAGAGCAGCTGCAGCACCTTTCTTTTCTTTCTGTCTTAAAAGAGCAACGCGTTCTCCCACAATGATGTTTTTTAGAGAGACTCGTAATAAACGCAAATGGGGAAAAGTCACATTGCAGTTTAAAATCCATATTCATTATTCAAGAAATACCTGTGAGCAAGGACGAACTTTAAAGGGTCTGATATGCTGCTCAAAGAGAAAGCAATAAGATTTTTAGTTGCAACGTCACCATTTCCATTCATATTCTTCCTTGAGTGTTACTCCAGAAACACTTAGGTTAAGGGGAGAGTTGTGTTGGACTTGCCCTTTTCTTCAAAGGCAGGGCATGTTAATCACCGCCACCCTCCCATTATGCAGGTTGGTTATCATTAATAACATTTCTTCCAAGGAGCTCAAATTGACATACACTGTTCTCCCCCTCCCCATTTTATCCCCACAACAATCCTGTGAGGTAGGTTAGGTTATGAGACAGGGACGGAACCTGGGTCACCCAGTGAACTTCATGGCTGACACTGGATTTGAAACCTGGGCTCCCAGTTCCTAACACTGACCTGCTGCCCCTGTAGAAGCGGGGGGGGGGGGGGAGGGATAAACCACTCTGCAAAGTTTTCAACATCTGCAGCTAAACCAAGCTACCAGCCACGTTCTCTTACTCATAGTTGTGTGTAAAAGTTCTCTGTGTTTCTAAATTTGTGAGACTAAGATGGCTGCAATCCCCTGAGCAGCCTGTATCTTTTGATACGAGCTATTGTTGCTCTGTTGGTAGGAAAAATTCAGCTAACCTTTTGCTACCACTTAAGAAAGTAGTGCTGCTTTTTTTCTTTTAAGTTAGTCTATTTGTTTTCTTGGTCCCATAAAAGCCACCATGTTATTCATTTTGTATATCTCTGGTATCTCTTGGCAACTTGAGGTTTGTTTCCCCTATCTGTTTCCTGAGCGCTGGGGCTTTGAACCACACCTTGAGCAAAGATTTTTGTGAGCACGGGAAAGCGGCTCAACTTTTTGGGGTGGGCGGGTGGTGGAAGAGGATCTACTTTAATTTGTGCCAAAGATTCTGAGGAAGCACTCTCGATGAGTTCCTTCCCAGGACTTTAGCCTTGGCTGCAGCCTATGGAATCATCCCTCCCATAATCTCCCTTTGCTTGGGCCTTAAATTTTATCACCAGTGAGTTAAAAGATTTTTGGAGTTAGCTGCTGGGAGTATTGGGGGAGCTGGCTGTAGCCTATTGTGGGGTTGCCTGTCATTTAGCGCTTTTTATCAGGTTTCTGTTTCCCCGCTTACCTCTATGTCTGAGCAGTAGCAATGGCAGAACTCTCTCTCTTCCTCCTCCTCCACTTCTGTCTCAAGGGCATTTTGCAGAATTTGTTCTAGATAGGAGGAAACTTCAAAAGGTCTGGGGGTGGGGGTGGGGAAGACGACCGGGGCTGCCAGCTCCTGAAGGGCAAGGGTGGGGAACGGTGTTGTGTGGGGTTGTCTTTTATCTCCCCAGATAATAAGAGCTGGCCAGCAGCCAAAGCTGCAAAGACTTCTGAGCCAGGAAAAAGGCTCTGAGAGAGAAAGCCAACCTCTCTCTTTCTCTCCTGTTCATTGGCTGGGCCTTCCCTCGCTGGTTATTAATAAACATCCATGCCTCAGGGATGGGAGAGGAACGAAACTCAAACGTTGCCATGTTTAGCGGCAGGGTAAAAGAGGGATTAGGAAAGGTATCTTCTTAGGCCTGGGTACTTCTTAAAAATCTGCCTTAATAGCTTTTTAAAAAAACACACCCAAGGTGAGTAGTGTTTCCTCCTTTTAGAAAGGTGTAGCCTTGCTACATCATTTGTGTTTCTCTGCCCCCAAGTTCCCCATCCCTCTTGGTTAGTATTTGCAATGGAAAAAGATACATGGCCAGAACGGTTGACCCTAAGCATCGTCTGGACCAGAGGTGATGAGCATGCACGGAGCTTTTAGGCTCTACCCTTTTCCCTACAACCAGAGCCACATGCAAAACATTGGCTTAGTGGGGAGGGAGGACGCAAGCACTTCAAATTGTGGAGCAGCATGTGTGCGACCCCAGGATTTGTTTGTAGTACCAGAACCAAGTTGAATTTTTAATGCAAAAATAAAAAATAAAAAAATCTACTCTTTGATTTTCATTCACACCAGGGTTTCATTCTTTCAGCAGTCTAATTTAGAGAGGGAGGAGTTTCCTCCCCACTCACGCTGCTATTGGTAAATTGGTCAGGAGTCAGATTTACTGATCTTCTGCTGATCACCAGAAGATGTACCACTGCCCACCCTTGGTCTGGAGTCCAGCGTGCTAGGCTCTTGGTGGCCGTTCATTTGCCTTACCTAATCTAATGCTGGTGTGTGTGTGTGTGTGTGTGTGTGTGTGTGTGAACACTTGTGCATCCCCTGCTGTGGCAGTTCTGCTCAGGCTTCCTCCCAGAGTATCTTTTTCTTTTTGTGTTCTGTGGTTCTGGTTTCTTCCCTCTTTGAATCTTACAGTCCTGACAGTGGTGCCTGGGCACATTGTCCCAACACACACAGAATGTTCTTGTCCTGCCTAATTCTCCTTGGAGGGCTCTTTTCTGTGCCATAAAGAATTGCCGTGGAGAAGGGCTTCATTGTAAAACCTTTGTCATAGATTATGCTGGGTGCTGCACAGGGTCAGAGTTCTTGGGAAGAATTCTTACAATAAAAAAAAGGGAGAGAGAGAGATGTTCTGGCATCATTTTGAAAGAAGCCGAATTCTTCAAAAGCCTGGCACTGCTCAGGATGTCTTCTGCTCAGCAGTGTTAGCAAGATTTAAACTCTCAAATGTGCCCTCTGCTTTTCAGCCTTAGCAACTTGGCTAACATCAGACCTTGGCACAGTCAGCTCTTAGGTGTATATGGGTGTGGTTCCAGGGACAGGGAAAATTATAGCTCTGTGATGGCCTGGAGCTATCTCAAAAGGTTAGCCTGCTTTTTGGGAGCCTTTAGAAAACAGCGGGCTCTGAGCACTTGATGAACACTTGGCATGCTTGCAGATCACCATAAGTCAGTTCACATTATGGTTCCCCCATGGATTTGCCCATGTGCTGAAATCTGCTATTCTTAAAATGTGTGATGTCACACACACACACACACACACACACGCTGCTGCGTCTGCCTGCCCAAATAATTCTGTTTTTGTTTTTAAATGATATTTATTGAAATTTTTTTAGAATTACAAAAGAGAACAAAGCAGAAAAAGAGAAAGAAAAAACAAACCACATCAAACAATACAAATTCAAAGAACAAAAATACACCACAAACACTCAAAAACAAATCCATCATTCTCAAATCCTCAACTGTCATTACCTTCTTTCTTTGACCTCCTCCCCCTCCCTTTTTTTGTATCCTAGTTGTTAATTGTCGCAGCAAATCCTTTCCATATTTCATAATATTCTGTCATTACATTACCTTAATCTATTTTAATCTTATCTGACTGTAAAGAACCTTAAAGCTTAAGACTTAAATCTTATTTTTACCAACTTCCCATAACCATAATATTCTTACATAATTCTTTAAACATTTTTGCTAAAGCCAAGTAATTTCGTTCCAACATTTTTCTAACATTCATCAATTTTATAAAACAATCCTAGTAGTAAAAAAAGAAATAAAAACAATCCAATCTTCATCCAGCGTCCCTTCCTCCTGGTCCCGGGTTTTGTCAGTCCTTATTATCCCATCGATCTAGCGCATTAACCTGGTAACCTTGTATCCGAGGCCCTTAAGTCTCTTCCATGTCCCTTCCGCAGCTCTTCTTCATATTTATAGCTGTATTTTCCTTTGTCTCCTGCTCCTTTCACTCGTGGGAACTCCAGCTTAACAATGTTTTTGACCCTTCTCGACAAATCAGCCCCTTTTCCATAGTCCACACTAAACTCCATGTGGTATTTAAGAACATGTTTCAAAATCCCTCCAAAATTAAGAGCCCCCACAACCCCAAACATCTCACGGCCCATTGCCAGACTTGAAAAGTCCAAACATCCCTGCATAGGGTGGTCTATCAAACACCCCAATACCAAACCAAACCAAACTTTATCTTACCAAATCTTGCTTTTCCAAGTTCATTTGTCAAATCCAAAAGCTCATGTTCCTGCTGGGCCACAGCTCCCTCCATCTCTGGCGCCCAAGATTCAGCAACATCCTCTTCCCTCATCTGTTCTGTCAGGGCACACTCCTGATTTAATTCCTGGGTGGGCTCCATATAATTTCCCACTGCCTGTTCAAAATTTCTGATCGCATCAGTCATCAAATCCGTCTTCTCATATAGCTGTTCCAGTAGGGCATTTGTTTTACAGAAAGCACACAACAGAGCTTCTGAATACATTGTCCTGCAAGGTCAGAAGTCTATTCCCACGATTGTAATCTGTAACAGCTGCAAGCTCCCAGGAGTTGGTTACAGTTTCACAGTCTCCCTCTAGGGGGAAAACTTCTATTTGTTCTTTCTTTTAAAGACAAGTTTAACAACAAAGTTTCCTTTTTCAGATATTTTGTCAATATTTGTTCCTTTAAAAAGCGAAGGGGAACAATGGAATCAATGTTTTTCTTCTTATAGCTATCTGTCAAAAACGTTTGTCTCTGGTCAATGAGCTTCAAAAAACGTCAGTCCTGACACCCCGCTCCAGGATCAGGACGGTGGAAAGTTACTTTACTTTACACTCACTTCTGCAGGTTTAAACAGTCCGAAAAAATCCCCCTCTTCTCCTGCTTCCGAAGGGGTTCAACAATTTTAAATGATGAAAGTTAATCTTTTACAAGCGATTTTCTGAGCTCTAGTTTGCCATGTCTTTGCTTTAATCTATCTACAAAGAAACGGAAGGCTGACTTCCTGTTTAGACCTTCCCGTTTCAGTGCCAAATTGAGGTAAACTTTTAAGTCCAATTTTCCTTTCTGCTCACAAGTCCTTATTTAAAGTCCAATTGTCCGAGTTTAAGTACTCACGGGTGATTATTTTAGAAGCCAAGTTGTCCCAGGAAAAAGGCAGCCCTCTCTGGCAACGGCTGTGCGGCTTCGCTCCACGGAAGAAGCAGTTGACTCTCAGCACCGCGCCACTTCCCCCTCTTCGCTCCGGAGCCCGTTAGTGGGTTCTTTTGTGGGTTGGGGGGGCGCTAAAGGTGCCCGCCGAGTCCCATGGTCACAGGCTTCATCCGCCTGTGCTTTTTGAAAGGGTTCCCGCTTCGCCATAGCGGAAAAGACCCGTTTCACGTGGAGCTAGTCCCTCCAGATCAGAGGGAGTCCGCCATTGCCGATGGCGCCACCCCAGAAGTTCTCCCAAATAATTCTATTTTTGGTAGCGTTCATCAGGGTGTGGCACCACTGAACAGCAGCTGCAAGGTTACTTTTCAGGGACATGATATTCCTGCTGCACCCGAATGTCAGGAGGGGACTGCCTCCTCCATGACACCGAAATTTTCAGCATGCTCATTGTATGCACTATGCTGGCTTTAATGTGTGGGACCGCTAGGGGCAGTTACCATGTGGAAGGCCTAGGTAAATTAGGCAAATGCCCTTATGTGAGACCTGATAAGATACATAGAATCATAGAATCATAGAGTTGGAAGAGACCACAAGGGCCATCGAGTCCAACCCCCTGCCAAGCAATGTCTCTGCTGCTGGGCATGACCACTGCAAATATGAGAAATATGCCCTGTTTTTCATTTTTCTGATATGTAGTATTGGGATTACAATAGGGAAGTGCTGCAAAGGTTTCATTCTTGGTGGACACTTGCAAAGCAATGAACATTTCGTCCAGAAATAAAGAATTGCTGCAGTGCAGGTAAACACTTTTCAGTGTAGTGGCAGGCTTGTATATGCGTGATGCCTTCCTCTTTTGTCTTTCTGTATTTGAGAAGGGCCACAGTTTAGTGATAGGTCATCTGCTTTGCATACAGAAGGTCCCTGTTTCAATTCCTGACATCTTCAGGTAGTGCTGGGACTTCTTGCCTGAAGTTCTGGCCTAGATTGACCAAGGTGTGACTTGTTTTAAGGCCATTTTCTGCGTTCCTGTGTACCTTGTTGCTCACAGTGCCAAAAGCACAGGGTGGCTAGCCTTACATAAGTATTCTTCATCCTTTTTTTTAGCATCAGATATTCCAGCAACAACATGTAGCCTGGAGGAGTTCCAGTGTGCATATGGGCGCTGTATCCTGGACATCTACCACTGTGATGGAGACGATGACTGTGGGGACTGGTCTGATGAATCCGACTGCTGTAAGTTACCTGGGGCGATGGCGTGCTGGGTGGGTTGCTGCATTGCATTAAAAAAAATAAATCAATTTCATTTCTGAGAAGACAAAACTGTGCTGCATCGAGAATCCGTAGCTTCTACGCTCAGAAGAAATAGTACAAATCCAAGAATACATTTGCTTCCAGCGATTCTGTTTGCAACAAGGGATTTCCCCAGAATTAACACTGGGTTGGAAAGGCAAGAAAGGAAATGTCCTAGGGAACATGCAGTGGAGGTACCTGGGATTTACTCTAATCTGAGCTCAATAAAGAATGGATTGTAATGCACTGTCTTCCCTTTGCAGCCTCTCACCAGCCATGCCGCTCAGGCGAGTTCATGTGCAACAATGGTTTGTGCATTAATGCTGGATGGAGATGTGACGGTGACTTTGACTGTGACGATCAATCGGATGAGAAGAATTGCAGTGAGTGCCTTGGGGCTTGCAGAGGAGGTTTAGTGTAGGGGCAGCAAGGGCGGGTGTGGCCCTGGGGATATCAGACAGGGGGCAACTTTCAGTTTTGGATAAGACACGCTGGCTTTGTTGTTTGGATTATATATTTGTGTTTCTGTTGCTAAGTATTCGTTTAATCTTAGTATGTATTCATTAATATGTTTGGCCTATTAATGCTTGCATGGCTATTCAAATTTAGGGATGTTTTGCAATTAGTGAATAATATTTAAACGTTGCTGTGTTTTATTATGTAAACTTTTCTGATACGTGCTTATTTGCCTTATGCCTGGCATGCTCTGGTCCATGGGGTCACGAAGAGTCGGACACGACTAAACGACTAAACAACAACAACAAATTATTATTATTATTATTATTCCGCCCTATATCCGGAGGTCTAAGGGTGGTTCACATAAAAAGATCACGGTATATAAAATAAGAAAGAGACTTTATTTAAAGTTAGGGAGGCTTTCCAATTGGTGAATTCTACTGAAAAGTTATCTAAACCATTTCTGATGGTGTGAGGCACTTTCGGGTAAAGTGACATACAAAAAAAACATGATGATGAAGAACAGGTGGAATTCACTGAGTTCTCTCATTTTTATTTCCTCAGCTACGTCTATGTGCACAGCTGACCAGTTCCGCTGTAAATCTGGCCGCTGTGTCCGCCTGTCTTGGCGCTGCGATGGGGAGGATGATTGCACTGATTACAGCGATGAAGAAAACTGCGAGGATACAGGTGAAAACTGTGAAAGCAAACCGTTGTGTTGCAGGGTTTTGTGTGTCCCCCACACACAACCCTGCAACCGTTGTGTTGCAGGGTTTTGTGTGTCCCCCACACATTAGAATCAGTTCTTAAATATTAGAACTGGAAAGGGAGTTCAATTTGGTTCCAACTACTGGATGAAGCAAACCAGTATGTCCTGATCCTTCATTTTAATACTTGCTTTTAGTTAACAATGAAACCCCATTGAAAACAATGGATCTAAGTTAGTCATGTCCATTAACTTCAATGGATTTACTCTTTGTGGGACTAGCATTGAATACCCCCCAATGTATATAGTATTACTTCAAGTTACAGTGTAAGTTGAGGCTACTGAGCTAGATACAGTAGGTTAATGGTCTGACTTGGTATTAGGCGGCTTCCTGTATTTTACTGAGGCTGTGGAATCTTCTAGAATGTGACTGCAAATGGAGATAAACTAGTATCCTTACTGTACATGAAAATTAGATTACCTTCTCTTAACTGCTTCTAACTTTCCTTTATGCCCCTTTAGGAAGTCCCCAGTGTGCCCCAGATCAATTTCTGTGCAGAAATGGACGCTGCATTGGTCAGAGAAAGCTGTGCAACGGTGTAAATGACTGTGGAGATGGCAGCGATGAGAGCCCTGACCAAAATTGCCGTAAGTCAGGGCTGCCGTACGTCCGGAATTTCCCAGACATTTCACATCACATTAGACCATAGCTAAAATAAACTGTGGTTTAGTGTGGACAAGAAACATGCTACCACACACTGCAGGAAACATAGGTGCTTTGTTCCTCCTCTGCTCCTGCTGCAGTGCCCTGAGACAGGTCACGGTCTGGCTTCTGGTGTAATCTGAACCTGTGCCCATGGTTTGTTTCCTGTAAACAGACCATAAGCAGTAAGCCAAGAGCAAACCTTGGCTTCCACTCATGGTTTGTTTGGAGAGAAACAAACCATAAGCCCTGGGTTCAGACAACGCGCCAGAGTGTGGATTGTTTCCAGCAGGAGTGGAGAAGTAAAATGCGAGCAACATGCACCAATATACGGATGGTTCACATTAAGCCATAGGTTGTTGTTGCTTTTTTTAAAAACGCTATGGTTTAATGTGATGTGTTAACCTGGCCTTTGTAGGGCTTCTGCAGCATTTTAGAAAAAATAAGCAGCTGCCTGGTGAGTTTTCAACTTAATGTGCTTATTCTGCAGGTCTTCGGACTGGAGAAGAAAACTGCAACCTCAACAACGGGGGCTGCGCCCAGAAGTGCCAAATGACTCGAGGGACGGTGCAGTGTACCTGCCACACAGGTTACAGGCTCCTGGAGGATGGGAGGTCATGTCAAGGTCAGTAGCCTCATGCCTTGGGCCATCTGTTGGTAGAATCATGCATGTCTACAATATGAGTGGATGTGGAATTTAGATTCCTGCTCAGGCCTCTGCCCCAGTGCTGCCAGGACCGGGGTTTAAACAAGTGTAGGGCCAACGACGTAATTGCTCTGGGACTCATGTGCTGTTTGCCCACTGGGTTCACTGGGCTGAAAGGCCTGTTGGTCTGAGCTCTTAAGTTCTTAGCTCCTCTCGCAACCTCTATCATATAGTGAGCTGAAAATTAACAAGTGTGGAATCCAGAGCATAAGGAAGAGCTTTCCAGTCCCTTTTGCATACCTGAATACTTTCTTCCTTTTCCCTTCTTCAGACGTGAATGAGTGTGCAGAGGAAGGCTATTGCAGCCAGGGATGCACCAACAACGAGGGCGGCTTCCAGTGCTGGTGTGAGCAAGGCTACGAACTTCGCCCCGACAAGCGCAGCTGTAAAGCCCTGGGTAAGAAGGGATTCTCTGCTCTGGTTGGACGGTCACTACCTAAAAAACACAACCGTGCCTGATGCGATGTTGTCAGCTTAGTTTGGCGCTTCAGCTTTTATTTGGAGTTCAATCCTGAGTTGCTGATTGCACCACAGAATAAGACCCATGCTCTTTCTTTATCTCCTCCCTGCCTGCATGCTCCTGTTGAAAACAGAAAATGGATGTGTTTGGTGGCAGTGGTGGAGCTTTATGGCTGTGCTTTGAGCATTTTAGCAGGCAGTTGCACATCTGGGTAAGAAGCAGCAGAGTGGGTGTCAGGAAGCCTGGCATGAAGAGCACGATTGGATTTTTAGTGAATGTTTGCTTGTCAAAGGCTTTGAGGTGGCTGAGCCAAGAGATTTGCAGTGCTCATGTGAGGCTTTTTTGCTAGGATTTAGATATGCTGATTCATCTGATTCCTGAGAAACCACATGGCAGCTGTGCCAGTCCCATCAGCAAGGGCTGCAGATTCTGACTTGATCAAAACAGAGGAGTTACGGGAAGAGAGGGTTGACATGGGTGCTGTGGCCCATATGCAACCCCACCCCAATAGGAAAAAATTTCACAGATTCCCTTCCCCACATTTCAGACTGAGTTTATAAGGAAGGAGTTGAAATGGAAGGCGTCTGCTGATTCTGTATCGGCAGAGCATTCCGGAGGGCTGGGCCAATGACACTAAAGGCTCCGTTTCTTGTTATTGTCCAGTGAGCCTCGCCAACATGGGGAGCAACCACCGACTCTCCTGCCGACATTCTCAGCGATCAAGCTGGGATAGAAGGGTTCAAGAGATCCCTGAGGTACCCTGGACCTAACTTGTTCCAGGGCTTCGGAAATTAATACAAGGACCTCGAGGGGCAACCAGGACAGATGTTTTAGCAATGGCATTGGCAGGGATCCCCATCGCCAGTCTGGCCACTACATTCGGCTGGAGCTTCTGAACCAGACCCAAGGGCAGCCCCACGTAGATTGCATTGCAGTAGTCCAGTCTTGAGGCCACTGACACATGTACTACGGTGGTCAGGCAACATCCTGATATTGGTACAGATGTTCTTGTTAACATATTTCTCTGCGTGTATTTCCCTGCATTGTCTTTATGACAGTGATGGCATCCAGTCTTACCAGCCCCCCTTCCTTTGTCCATGTCCTTCAGGACCGGAGCCTGTGTTGCTTTTTGCCAATCGGATTGATATCCGGCAGGTCTTACCCCACCGGTCAGAGTATACCTTGCTGCTGAACAACCTGGAGAATGCTATCGCCCTTGATTTCCACCATAGCAAGGAGTTAGTCTTCTGGTCTGACGTCACACTGGACCGCATCATGAGGGCTAATCTCAATGGCAGCAACGTGGAGGAAGTGGTGTCCACAGGGCTGGAGAGCCCAGGTGAGCGTCTTTGAGAATTTCAGAGTCACAGGGAATAGAAATACATTGATGGCATATACTGAAGCGGGGAATGATGAATCTCTAGGTCAATAAACTAGTGGTTTTGCTAGTGTAGTGCAGCTTTGATTTGACAAAGCATGGCGAAGGAAGGACTCTGCTCCCCTTTTCCTTTAGTTGCTTCATGTGATTCTCTTCGTTGCACAGAACACACTAATCACCTTGACTTCCCTTCTGTTTTGTGTCCCAGGTGGATTGGCCATTGACTGGATCCACGACAAGCTGTACTGGACAGACTCTGGAACATCTCGCATTGAAGTGGCAAACTTGGACGGCACCCACCGGAAGGTGCTTCTCTGGGAGAACCTGGAGAAGCCTCGCGCAATTGCCCTTCACCCCATGGAGGGGTGAGTGAGGAGGGGTTGGTTTTCAGGATGGTGGTTCCCATGTTAATTTATTTGTCCAAACATACTGAACTGAAACTGGCCAAGCTGACCTGCAGACAAAACCAGCTGGAGGTTCCAACTGGGGTGTGTGCGGTTCTTCTTCTTTTTTGCTAATTTCCCTTTCACACCTGCACCCAACCCTCCAGCGTGGCTTTTCAGAGGGCTGCAGGCGAAAATGAAATTTGCAAAAATAAATAAATCCTCTCCCTTGCTCCAGCAGCAGGAGCATCTGTTGAATAGAGTTCTGCTCATGAGAACTATTGTACTAGCAGTGAAGCTGTTCCCATTCTCCTAGGCCTCATGAGTGCTCCTGAACACCTGAATGCATAATCTATTGTCATTTTGCCATAGATATGCCTGGTTGCTTTTCACCTAATCCACGAAGATCCCATATTTCCAGCCTTTACAACTTTTCTCTTCTCCAATAGCACCATCTACTGGACAGACTGGGGAAATACTCCTCGCATCGAGTACTCCAGCATGGATGGCTCCAATCGACGCATCATTGCTGACACTCATCTTTTCTGGCCAAACGGGCTAACTATTGACTACGCAGGGCATCGAATGTATTGGGTGGATGCCAAGCATCACGTTATTGAGAGGGCTGACTTGGATGGACAGAACAGGAAGGCTGTTATTAGCCAAGGTGAGATAATGGAATGCCCCTCCCTCACCAAATTTGATTGGCGGCATTGAGCCTAATGGGTTTTAGGTGCCTTTTAAAGTCATATCTTTTCAGTTTGGCATTTGGATAAATTGTTTTGAAATAGAGTAGAAGCTTGCCCTTGCTGATTCTGATTTGCTGTTACGGATTTTGATGAGTTTTTCCAATGGTTTTTAGCGTTGTGTTTATTACTGTACAGTCATACCTCAGGATAAATATGCTTCAGGATAAGTATTTTCGGGTTGCTCTCCGTGGTGACCCGGAAGTAATGGAGAGCATTACTTTTGGGTTTCGCCGCTACACATGCACAGACGGTTAAAATGACTTCACGGACATGCGCGGAAGCGGTGAAACGCAACCTGCGCACGCACAGACGCATCTTACGTTCTATTCAGGATGCGAACGGGGCTCCGGAACTGATCCCGTTGGAATCCGGAGGTACCACTGTACTAGGATTTCTTATTGTGACTCGCTCTGGGATTGAGTTCAACGGAGAGCAGGGAAAAAGTGGCTCTGATGAAATAATGAATAAGGACAGTGGAACTGTTGGCCACTGGACTTCCAGTGCTAAGAAACTACAGACACAGTGCACACTCTGCCTGTGTCTTGCACAGTTAATTGTATGAGGCAGAGTCAGCAATGAGAGAGGCTGCTGCCCATCACCTTCACTAGTCAAAGTGAAGTTTAAGCTCTCGAGTCACATAGAATAGGAATGCACTGTATGCAGTTTGTTCACAGCTCTGATCTAAGCTATACTTACTTTCTAAAATCAGCAGTCATGTTTCTCCTTGGAGTGAGCTTCATCTCTGTCTTCTCAGCTCATGACTTGGCCATGCTTACTCCTTTAATTGGAGACAGTTCTGAGTTAGGGGTAGAAGCACTCATTGGAAAGAGTGGTATTGTTTTCTCTGGAGGCTAGAATAATCCATGTGCCTTTACTGCCCTCTTGCTGCAGGCCTTCCACATCCGTTTGCCATCACGGTGTTTGAAGACAGCTTGTACTGGACAGATTGGCATACCAAGAGCATAAACAGCGCCAACAAGTTTACTGGCAAGAACCAGGAGATCATCCGTAACAAGCTCCACTTCCCCATGGACATCCACACATTGCATCCTCAGCGCCAACCAGCAGGTAACTTCAGAAGGAAAAGGGCTATGGTGATTAGCGCCTGCTATCCGGAGACTCTCTTGGGCCAGATTCAGCTAATCAGTCCTGCTAGAAGATGCCAGCACAAGCTCTTCTGCTAGTGTAACAGGGCTTTCCCCCCCCCTCCTCCTTCTCCTTTCTTCCACATTTGACATGCGAGGGGTGGGGGGTGGGATCAGGGGAACTCCTAGAGCAGAGTTTGGGGGCAGGGAGACAAGGCGAGATGGTTCCATCTGGCAAGCTGAAATGCTTGTGTTGACGGAATGGTCTTTTTAGTGGTATGTTGAACTCCTCCCATTGTATTTGCACTGACGTGGTTAAAACATGGAGCTTGAAAAGAATAGCTATCTCCTGTTGTTGAGAAACATTTTTAGAGTATGTGTCCTGTTAGGTTAAGTTTCATTAAATTAACCCCTATCAAAATAAATGTGGGGTGCTTTTGGACCTCTCAAACCCTCCCTTTTTATTTTCCAGCTTATTTTAACCTAGAAAAATGGGTAGGCTTTAAAGGTCCAAATCTTGACTCTTGATTCTGAATGTTTGGGCAGAGCAACTTCAGGGATCATGGTCACATGAGCTATCTTTGAAGACCCAAAGCAGCTTTTCCAAAGCATGCCCTTTTGAAGCCCTGAATCTTTCCCAAACACTAACTAAAGCCTTTGCTTTCTCTACTAGTTTCCTTATATGTGGTTGTTTTTGGCTATTTGAGCAGGGAGAAACCGTTGCGGAGCCAACAATGGGGGCTGCACTCACCTGTGCCTACCGAACAACACGTCGTATACCTGTGCTTGCCCCACAGGCTTTCGGAAGACCAGCAGCCACACCTGTGCTCAGAGTAAGTGTGATAAAGAAGAGCTTTTACACCTTGATAAGTGTCTGTGCACACGCACGCACATGCATGTGAGAGTGAGAGAGAGAAAGAAAGAGAGAGAGGAGGAGGGTTCCAGACAAAACAAACAGAAAAAAGGCATATTCTATACTATGGACGATCAGGGAAAGGATTGAAAGTAAAATGGCAATATTGTGAAGTGTTTATGTAAACAAAATGGGTAGTATGCAAAGTGCTTATGTACATTGATGGCAGAGCTGCCTTTTAAATGTTGTGTTGGATTCTGGTTGAATCTATAAAAAAATACTATAGAGATGGAGAAGATACAGGAGAGAACTTGCAAAATGATTGGTGTAACTGAGCCCTATATGAAAAGGTGAATATGTTTGAAGGTTTTTCGCTTAGAACAATAAAAGACAGCTTTGTGGGGATTTTTGGTTAAATTGAAAAGTGGGTTACATCACAATAGAGAGATAGAGATGGAACACGACATGAGTTTGTAAAGTGGTGTGGAGAATGTGGATAGAGGGAATGCTTTTTCTCTTACGTCATACTAGATTTCAGGGTCACCTAATGGAATCAGTCATGATTCGAGACAGACAAAAGACACAATGCGCAATTCACTTATGAAATATACTATCACATGACACTTGCATAGTTGTTTCTTAAACAGGGTTCAGACAAATTTTATACTGAATTATACTGTTCTGTTTCCATGTGGAAAGGATTCACCTGTTTTATACTTTTAACAGTTTTATCTGTTTTATAATGGTGTATTCTGTTGTTGCCTGCCCTGGGACCTTAAGGCAAAGGACAGATAGGAAATCGTATAAATAAATTAGTAAATAATTTATGGGGCATATGTTTATGAACAGCTCCTAGCCATGACACTGCTGATTCAGAAGCAGTATACCTCTGAATGCCAGTTACTAAGGCGAATTTGCTTTCAAGCCCTGCTCCTGGGCTTTCCAGAAGCATCAACTTGGTCACTGTGAGACACAGGATACTAGGCTTGATGGACTGATCCAGCAGGGCCCTCACATCCTTATCTCTTATTTATATGGGAGACTGGTGAAAGGATGCTTCTCCTCTTTTTAGAAGGACTGTCAGCCCGCTTTCATTTTGTGTCAGACTTGCTGCCCTTGGGGAGATGCTTTCCCAGCAGCAAGTCCTCCTCTGTCCCCATCCCAAGAATCCTGCCAACGGCAGATGCGTACAGCATCCTACCCACTTGCTAGCTATGCATTGTCTGTCCTCCACTATGTAGGATACACGTATCATAGAAGTCCATGCAAAAGGGGCGTGGATGCAGCAGAGCTTAAGACGTAACGAGATAATTTTCTGTTGTCTGTTACCATGTTGTTGAACTTAGAGAAATTAAAAGAAGACCTTTCGACCTTTGATCAGGTCTTGACAAGTTCCTGCTTTTTGCCCGAAGGATGGACATCCGTCGTATCAGCTTCGACACAGAAGACCTGTCTGATGCCGTCATCCCCTTGGCCGATGTGCGCAACGCAGTGGCCCTGGACTGGGATGCAAAGGATGATTACGTCTACTGGACGGACGTCGGCACTGATTCCATTAGTCGGGCAAAATGGGATGGAACAGGACAGGAGGTAATGTGCTTCTGGGGTGGCGAGGCACCACACAGCATTGTTTTGGAAATTTAAGCCTTTTCGAAGATGAATATTTCGGTTTGATTGACTTCTCTGTATTGCTGGCTTGGCTGCACACCGGCATGCGCACGCCACCTTGCAAGTGCCTGTGGGCGGCTAATGCAATCAAACATTGAAATGAGGGCATCTGCGCCGTCCAATAAATGAGTGAAATGAAGGTAGCTAGAATATGATCTAGACTGTCAGGAGATAATTAGAGTGTACCTTTCTCAAACAGCTGGGACAAATTAAATTTTAAGTCTCGCTAGCGCACATCAATTCTCTAATCATCTTTCGCGTGCGCCCACAATTTATCATCGAAGCAGCCAGATGATGGCATGCTACGTCTTAGTTTGTTCTGCATCCATCTCTTTGACGTTGATACTCAGTTATCTATGAACATCCATTTGTAGTTGAATGTGGCTAGTACAAGTTTCTGCTGCTGAGCAGGATCCAGCAGCAAATCTGTTAAGGGTACCCCTCTCTCCCCCTAAGATTCCTTCTTGCTTTTGTTTCTTGCTAGGTTGTGGCAGATAGCAGCCTGGAAAGCCCTGCTGGTCTGGCTGTGGACTGGGTCACCAACAAGTTGTACTGGACGGATGCAGGTACTGACTGTCTAAAACCACCTTAGTCTCTGGAGCATTGCCTCCTAAATCCTAACTGGGCCATACCAAATAATGCATATTTGGAAGTATGAACAATATCCCCTCCCCCACAGACAAATTGGTTGGCATATTACATCCTTCTATGGACATGCAGTGCTATTCTACATGGATTGTTCTCAGACATCACAATAAATCTGTGGTTTATCAGCCATGCCCCCGCCCCCCTGGGTTTGGTAGCTTCCCGCTCCTGTCTCCTCCCCCAGCTTGGTTGTCAGGATAATAATGAAAGCTTCCTCTCCCAAATTCTATTACTTTAATGTGTCACATCTGAACTGTAAACGGTTGTTAATCTTAACTATGGTTTGTTGAAACAAATTGGATTAATAAACTGTGGTTTGAAGTTGGCTGTTTTGAAACAAGGTTCATCAGTTTTGTAAGGTTTGAACAGCACAGCGAGTTGTGGTTAATCAAAAATGGGCCAAACACCTTGTGACTATGTTGGGAGGCGGGGGATAGCTCAGGGGTAGGCGAGACTCATTTTCTTCCCATTAAAAATTAAAGCATGGTGTCCAGATGCAGCTTTGCTGCTTTCCTAGAAATTCAGGGAGTATGAGCTCCTGTTTAATAATCCGAGAAAGTAAAGTTCTGAAATAGGAAATTTCCACAGGATGTTCTCAATGGCCGCACAAATGTCCTTGCATGACATTTCAAACATCTTGCCGTGCACCTTATTCTTATATGGATTTGTTTGTATAGACCACAGAATTAAAGCTTTTCCTCAAGCCGTTTCAGACTGTGGCTTGAGGGCTGCATGTTTGGATGCTTCCCCATTGGGGAAGCATGATTTATTTTCTCTGCATGTGGAAAATAAAGTATGCTCAGGTACAGAGATGATCCAGCTTCCATTTGTCCCTGGCATGCTATTTTTCTATGCACAGAGGTCTCTCTCCCCCCCCCCTTCATGGTGTAGTGTTCAAAACATGCAGCCCATCACCTGCAGCCTGAAGTGGTACAGTCCAGGAAATGATTTACATTTAGCTATGCTAATAGCACCTGTTCCTCTGTTTCACTGATTTTAATGGAAGTTGCTTCCGAAGTAAGCTTGCTTCAAAATGCAGCCTAGTTGACTGAGAGTTTGTACAGATGTGGAGTGGGATTCTAAAGCAAACATCTCAGGGTCGCTGAGCAATTTAGCTTGCTGATACTTTCCGTTTGGGTGATGGGAGTGAAGTGGAGACTGTACATTTGTATAGATGTTTCTCTTTAATGGTCTCCCCTATGACTCTGGAGGCTTATGGTCTTTCCATCCTCTTCCTCTAATCTATGCAGGAACAGACCGGATAGAGGTGTCTAACACAGATGGAACTATGCGGACTGTACTGATCTGGGAGAATCTAGACAGACCCAGGGATATTGTGGTGGACCCTGTTGGAGGGTGAGAAGCTGCTTTCGCAGGAGTCTGCATAGCAGGGTCTCCTTTGTGCTATTGTGTTTAAATTTTCCATGGCATTGCCCTGCGAGGTCCCTGCTGCAATTCCTGAAAGGTTGGGGGGGGGGGCTGGACGCTGATGTAGCTGGCTCTGCTAAAACAGCAGGACTGGGAGCGATCAGACTGCCCTAGTCCGGCCACCCTAATGCAAGGCTCCTCCTCCTTAACTCCTCATGTGCAAGCCAAGAGCAGAAGGGGCCAAAGCATACCTGATCAGAGTTGCCTGTAGGACAAGGTTCAGTAAAAATGTAAAAGAAACGAACAAAAGCCAAATAAACCACATTGGTCTTTAACTAGTCTGCCCTTATCTGACCTGGAGTTTGAAATGTTCTTTCTGGTGGCAAATAGGGACATATCTTAGTTCGCCAAGGTCCCACAGAAAGAAAAAGAAACCCATTCCTAGCTTTTTAACATTGATAGCTCAGCCAGTAGAGCATGATACTCTTAATGTCAGGGTCATAGGGTTGAGCCCCATGTTGGGCAAAAGATTCCTGCATTGCAGGGGTTAGACTAGATCCCAACTCTATAATTCTATGGCCTTCACTTTTTAGGAAGGGCTGTAGCTCATTGGCAGAACATCTGCCTTGCATGCCAAAGGTCCCGAGTACCATCCCTGGCATCTCCAGTTTGCACTGGAAAAGTCCCCTGCCTGAAACCTTGTAGAGCCACTGCCTATCAGTGTAGACAATAGTGAGGCTAGGTGGACTAGTAGCCTGACTCTGCACAAGGCAGCTTCCTATATTCCTGATGCTCTGTCTCTGGCTATGGCCATTTCATATTGCTTACTGTCACTACCTGGAAGGAGACATTGTGAGAAAGCAGTGCAACCCAGATTTGCCTACAAAAACAGACTGAAGAGAAACTGTGTTGTCTTACTTTGCTGAAGTTCATGGAATGGTCTGATGGCACGTGGAAGTTCTGAACTACTGCTGCTTCCATAGATTAGGAGTGAAAGTCTTGAAATTCTATTGCCTCATTTTTGCAGAAAAGAGAAGGCCCACATAATAATGGGATCTCTTGGCAGCCTTTATTATTATTATTTTACTCTTCCTTTGCATGGAGCCTTAAAGTAGGGCGTTTAGATTCTGGTTTAGGAGAGCAGTCCCTATGAAAGTTGAAAGCACTTGCCAGTTCGTTTGTGGAGCTCATTGGCAGGGGGAAATAATTCTGCCGCTAAAGGAACAGAAGTCATGTGCAGTTTTGTGTGTGCGCAGATTCATGTACTGGACTGACTGGGGGGCTAACCCGAAGATTGAGCGTGCGGGCATGGACGCCTCTGACCGCTTGGTGATCATCTCTTCCAACCTGACCTGGCCCAATGGACTAGCCATTGATTATGAATCTCATCGTCTGTATTGGGCAGATGCCGGCATGAAGACAATTGAGTACGCTGGCCTGGATGGCAGCAACAGGAAGGTAAGAAACCCAAGGTGAATCGAAGGCTTCTGGGAAAGGTGTTGTAAATAGGAATTGCTTGGGGATTAATAATAATAGTAGTAGTAGTAATAATAATTATAGTAATAATTTTTTATTTATACCCCACACATTTGGCTGGGTTTCCCCAGCCACTCTGGGCGGTTTCCAACCGAATATTAAAAACAATACAGCATCAAACATTAAAAACTTCCCTAAACAGGGCTTCCTTCAGTTGTCCTTTAAAAGTAAAATAGCTGCTTTTTGCCTTGACATCTGGTGGGAGGGTGTTCCACAGGGCAGGCGCCACTACCGAGAAGGCCCTCTGCCTGGTTCCCTGTAACCTCACTTCTCGCAGCGAGGGAACCGCCAGAAGGCCCTCGGCCCTCGACCTCAGTGTCTGGGCTGGACGATGGGGGTGGAGACGCTCCTTCAGGTATACAGGACCGAGGCCGTTTAGGGCTTTAAAGGTCACCACCAACACTTTGAATTGTGCTCAGAAATGTACTGGGATGTGTGTTTGCCACTTAGTTCAATGCAACTTACTTCTGGTCTGCAAAAGGTCTCGGCTGCTTAGGTAATTAGCCCGAGGGTAGGGACCGCCTTGTTATTGACCCAAAAAATTAAAAATAAAATAATGCTTTGAATTAATGTCTGTCTGAACCTGCAAATCAATCTACTCCTGAGTGAAGAATGCATACTGGTAAAAGTACAAGGAGAGAGATGGATGCATTGCTGGGGCTGCCTGCAGCCTCTAGACCGGGGTGGGGAACCTGGGGCCCAGGGGCCAAATATGCCCTCCAGGTCTCTCTGCCTGGTCCTCAGACCTCTTCCCATGCCATAACCCTCCCTGGTCCTGTTTTACACCCCCTGTGCTTTAACCTGGTTGGAATGTGTCCTTCAACTCTGATAATGTCTTTTGCTTGCCTGCATGGAGGATAGAGAGGGTAAAATACAGGCTACTTGTTGCACAGACCCTTTTTGCCTCTGGCCGCACCCACCAATTGCACGTGGCCCCTGGGAGGTTGCCCAGAAGGATATGCGGCTCTTTGGACTGAAAAACAGCCCCTGTTGCCATGCCGGCTGTGTGTTGTTACTAAAACTTCTTGCGGGTCTTTGTTTTGGGGACTGACAGGTGCTGATCGGAAGCAACCTGCCTCACCCCTTTGGGCTTACTCTTTATGGAGCTCGGCTCTACTGGACCGATTGGCAGGCAAAGAGCATCCAGAGTGCTGACAAAAGGACGGGGCAGAATCGTGAAACTCTGCAGGACAACCTGGAGAACCTCATGGACATCCACGTCTTCCATCGGCACAGGCCTTCAGGTACATGGGAGGGGATGCACCATCCCTTGCTGCTTGGCGTGACCCTATAGCTAGAGAGCCTCTATGGGATGACTGCCTATTCCTGCATTGCAGGGGTTTGGACTATAGACAATCCTCAAGGTTCCTTCCAACTCTACAATTCTGTGATTCTAAGCACCCTGCACCCCAACAGAAATTTATCTCAAAAGTACATGCGAATGAATCCTTTGTGACTCATTTTCATGGAAAGAGCTCCTCTGTGCCGTTTATGTTCCCGTGCATGCTTGTAGAATTTTGAAGCATGCTGTTGCTGTTATCATCGTCATTTTTTATTTGTATACCGTCTTTCTATCTTATAGTACTCAAGGCGGTTTAGAAGCTGAAGAAACAAAAAATGTACATCTTATAACAATCTAATGCAATACAGTGGTGCCCCGCAAGACGAATGCCTCGCAAGACAAAAAACTCGCTAGACAAAAGGGTTTTGCGGTTTTTGAGCTGCTTCGCAAGACGAATTTCCCTATGGGCTTGCTTCGCAAGACGAAAACGTCTTGCAAGTTTGTTTCCTTTTTCTTAACACCGTTAATACAGTTGCAACTTGACTTCGAGGAGCAACTCATAGAACGCGGTGTGGTAGCCTTTTTTGAGGTTTTTGAAGACTTTGGTGATTTTTGAAGCTTTTCCAAAACTTTTCCGACACCGTGCTTCGCAAGACGAAAAATTCGCTAGACGAAAAAACTCACGGAACGAATTAATTTCGTCTTGCGAGGCACCACTGTACAAAAATGTGATAATAAAACATAACTTTAAAATAGGCAACCTACATCAAAAAAGTAACATTCAACAATCATTAGAATAATATAAAATAATAATATCAAAATATAAAAGTTAAACAGAAATCCACTCAACAGTTATAATAAATAATATCTAAACTATAATCAATAAAATAACGGCAAGCCACAGTACAGTGGTACCTCTGGATGCGAATGGGATCCGTTCTGGAGCCCCGTTTGCATCCAGAAGCGAACACAACCCGCGTCTGAGCGGGTCGCGACTCGCCGCTTCTGTGCATGCGCGTGATGTCATTTTGACTGCGCATGCGCGAGTGGAGAAACCTGGAAGTAACGCGCTCCATTACTTCCGGGTCGCCACAGCGCGCAACCCGAAAATACTTCTCCCAAAGCTACTTCAACCCGAGGTATGACTGTACATAAAACAATACAATACACATTAAGAAGCAGAGACTAGAGGGTAGAGCAAGGCTGGTGGAAGGAGGCCTTGCCTGATGGAGTCTCTCCCCTCACAGTTCTTCCTCCAGGAACAGCTCCCTTATGAGGACTCCTAGGGCCGGAGGGTGGGGCAAGGCAGGTGGAAAGAGGCCTTGCCTGATGCAGTCTCTTCCTTACATATTCTGCATTGGGATTCTCTTCTTTCTTTCTTTTACAATGTTTTTATTGGTTTTTACAGTTTACATTTTTATTCAGATGGGTGTGGTATAAATAATAAAATTATTATAAATTATTATATTACTATCATAATCATACATATAAAGGATTCCCTGAATCCTTGGACTTTCCTCCACCCCTCCATGGGTTCCATCAACATTCCTTTTTTCAGCTGCATCTTATAAGATTCTCCATTTTCTTAATAATAAAAAAGACCTTGTTTTCCCATAGTTCTTGTCACATGACAAGTATTGTTCCAATCCGGCCAAAGTTTTTAGTTGCTTTCAGTGTTCTGCAAGATAAATTATAATTTCCCCCCATTCCTTAGTAAAATTTCTATCTTCTTGATTTCTGATCTACCCGGTCATTTCTGCCATTTCGGCGTAATCCATCACCTTTATCAGCCGTTCCTCTCTGGTCAGGACTTTGTCTTCCTTCCATCTCTGGGCCAAAAGTATCTGTGCTGCCATCATCGCGTACATGAATAGTCTTTTCTGCTCCTTTGGTATTTCTGCATCTAAAATTCATTTTTTTAAAAAGCTTCAGTTTTTTTCACAAAAGTTATTTTAAACATTCCCCCACCCAACTCATTATATATCATTTCCCAGAATGCTTTGGGCTTCTCTGTCTGGCCTTGTCGTGATGCATTGTTTTCTTCTCCTTTTTTTCAGTACATACAGCATGCACAGTTAATAATGGTGGATGCAGTCATCTTTGCCTCCTGGCTCCTCTTCCTAAAGGTTACAGCTGTACTTGTCCCACCGGTATCAACCTACAGCCAGATGGCAAGACTTGCTTACCAGGTAGGTCTCCTCACATTCTGCAGCATCTGGATCTCTAATCCCCAGAGCCTGCTCTTGATAGGCCTCTAGGTACAAAGCCCTACAACAGGGATAACCAGTGTTGCTGCACCCCAGCTCAAATCATCCCTGACCAGTTGGAGTCCAACAACGTCTGGAGGGTGCCACATAGGCTTGGGAAACACAAAAAATGCTCTTGGTATGAATACACCCACCAAATAAATCTTGGCCCAGGGAAACCCAGATTCTGCAATCAGAATATATTGTGCACATTTAATATATGGCATAATTAGCATGATTCTGCCTGAACATTTAGGATTTATGGTAAAGTAAAGAATGTCAAAAAGGGACGCGGGTGGCGCTGTGGGTTAAACCACAGAACCTAGGACTTGCTGATCAGAAGGCCGGTGGTTCGAATCCCCGTGACGGGGTGAGCGCCTGTTGCTCGCTCCCTGCTCCTGCCAACCTAGCAGTTCAAAAGCACGTCAAAGTGCAAGTAGATAAATAGGTACCGCTCCGGTGGGAAGGTAAACGGCGTTTCTGTGCACTGCTCTGGTTCGCCAGAAGCGGCTTAGTCCTGCTGGCTACATGACCCGGAAGCTGTACGCCGGCTCCCTCGGCCAATAAAGCGAGATGAGCGCCGCAACCCCAGAGTCGGTCACGACTGTACCTAATGGTCAGGGGTCCCTTTACCTTTACCTTTAAAGAATGTCAGAAGGCAATGAAACAAAGCAGATTTGGCTATTAAGATAGCCAACGGGGCAAAAGAAACCAAAGGAATGGTAGACGCGGCTTGAGATCCAGAAAAGGAAATAAGATGCTGTCCCCTGAAAAACAGAAGTCATATATTTTCTGAGGATGAGAAGTAATGTATGCTCAAAGTAGCAAATTATATGCTTGTGCCACAAGAAGCATGGAAGATGCACAACCTTTATTTCAGAGCCCTAGAGCTGTAACTCTTGCTTCTACTCTTTCATTCCACATCCTCTTTGTCATACCATATATGTGGTCTGTAACAGATCATCCAGTGACATCCTTAGCAGAAGTGGTTTTTTTTAATGTTTGGCAATTACTAATTCTTGAATTGCCTTTCACATGAGTCTCAAGACATTTTACAAGCATACAATAAAACTACCAAACTTATTTTTTTTTAAAGCACCAAAAACAAATAAGATTCAAAAACAATATTTGAAAATATCCTTGTTGCTTCTCGGTTAGCTCAGAGATGGCATATTTGAAACTGCTGAGTAGAACAGTGTTAAATGTGGAATATATTCTTGTCTTCAACTCCGCAGGCATGACTAGCTTCCTGATCTTTGCTAGAAGGTCAGATATTCGGCTGGTTTCGCTTGACATCCCGTATTTTGCCGACGTAGTTGTGTCAGTCAATGTCACCATGAAAAACGCTATTGCCATCGGAGTGGATCCTCAAGAAGGTCTGAAATGTGTCATTTAACCATTTTAAGCACTGATCCAGTGGGGGCTGGTTGGACTCAAAGTCTAACAACATGTGGAAGCCTTGGGTTCTCTATCCCTGATCTATGAATTGTTAAGATGTAGACTGAGAATTGGTCTTTAGTAAAAAAAAAGAGAGAGAGAAGGAGAAGGAAAAAAGTAGAAATATCCCCCCCCCTCCAAAAAAAATCCCTTATGCTTTTGGTAATAAACATACTAAAAAATAACTTTTCATGTAATGCCAATACAGTTATAGCTTCTGTCCTTTTGAAGAGCATATCACAATGTCTTCATTTTTTAAGAGTATATGTTTCATAATGCCTGTGAGTGGTGTGTTTCATCAGTAAATACCTGCAGTAACAGGTAGCACTGCTGCTGTTGTTTTTTAACTGGGCTTAACGAAAGCACACCAAAATGGCTTTCCCCATTAGTTTCCTCATCTGCTAATGCTACTTCCTTAATGCCTATTTTTAGGATTTTCTGTGTAGATGTTGCTGATGTTCTCCTATTTCTTCCACAGGAAAGGTCTATTGGTCGGACAGCACCCTGAGGAAGATTAGCAGGGCTGCCTTAGATGGATCTCAGTATGAAGATATTGTTACTACAGGTAATAGATGCTTTACTGGAATAGCCACTGCTCCAGGCTGCTTTCAGAGGTGGATTTTGCCGGGTGATGTGAGCACAGTCTTAATAGCATAGTCAGTTCTCTGAAGTTTACTCATGGAGTACCTAGGAATATTTATGGTAAGAAATGCCTGGCGAATCTTGCGGATGTTTTTAAGGAGGGAAGATCCTAAACGTGATGGTTAGCAAGTAGCAAGAAACAATGACATCGCTACTGCTTTTTTACTAGGGTTGCAAACCACAGATGGACTAGCAGTGGATGCTATCGGTCGCAAAGTGTATTGGACTGACACAGGGACCAAAAGGATTGAAGTGGGCAACCTGGATGGGTCAATGAGGAGAGTTTTGGTATGGGAAAACCTGGACAGCCCAAGAGCCATTGCCCTGTATCACGAGATGGGGTGAGTGCTGGCTGTAGTACGTCTTGGTCAAGGGAAAGGCAGAGGATGGGAAGACATGGGAATAATTCCCATGCTGGCTTCTCAGTTGGTTGCTTACTAGCTTTTACTCTTCCTTCAGTTTTATGTATTGGACGGACTGGGGAGAGAACGCCAAGCTGGAACAAGCTGGCATGGACGGCTCCAGGCGCACGGTTCTTATCAATAACAACCTGGGATGGCCAAATGGATTGGCTGTGGATCGAGCTGGATCACAACTGCTCTGGGCTGATGCACATACTGAGGTTGGAACTGCTACATCCCATTTTGGGATGGAGTTCATAACTTTATATCTGAAGGAAGGGATGGCATGAGAGGGATTAAAGAGTCCTTGAGGACTAAGGGAATTCATAAGTGCAGGTTCATCGCTCAGCAGTAGCAGTGGCACACACATTAAGCCATAATTAATGTCTGACATTCAGCTGTGGTGGAGCACAAATGAGCTGCTAAGCCATTCGCTGTCGTGCATCCTGCTCAGAAATTCCCTGCTCTGGTCCTTCCTTGGTCCTCCTACCTGTGCTGTGCCAGGAGCAACAAACCATGACCCCTTGGCTTGTGTCAATCTGAACCCAGGATCATGGCTTGTTTGCCCGAAAATGAAGAATAAAGCTAGACTACCACTTGTGGTTTGCTTGAGACAGCACAATGCACCAAGACTCATGGCTTGCTTCTCCTAGTGCAGCTGGGAGCAGGAGCGAAGCAATGACTTCTGAGCATTGTGAGCAGTTTAACTGTGTTTTATCGTAACATGCAAATGAGGCCAGTCATTGCAACATCTCTTGGTGACTTCCATATCAGAAATCCCTATCAGGATTCAAGTGCCAAAGGCAAGGCTTTCATGTTGCCTGGCGTTAACCTCAAACACTGCATTTTGATGGGTATTGCTCATGTGTTGTCACTTGATGAACTGCAGCTACAGTTGCCCAGCGAAGAGATAACCAAGTATGCTTGTGAGATTTTTCTAATATGGTAGCTTGGAATCATAGCTACCTGGGGCCTTTGTTTTCAGCTTTCTGGGGATTTTCTCTGTCTCTCAAAAAGGGAATAAACATTCCATCTCTGTCCTTCAGCGCATTGAGGCTGCAGACCTGAATGGTGCAAACCGCCGCACCTTGCTTTCTCCAGTACAGCACCCTTACGGCCTCACTCTGCTGGATTCCTACATCTACTGGACAGATTGGCAAACACGTAGCATCCACAGGGCAGACAAGAACACTGGTGCTAACGTCATCTTAGTCAGGGCAAACCTGCCTGGCTTAATGGACATCCAGGCTGTTGACAGGAAGCACCCTCTGGGTAAGTTTCCCCCAAGATTTCCATCAAGCGAAACATTGTTTGGAGAGTCCTCTTAGAAGTTGGCACCAAGGGGGTTCTTTACTTCTCCTCTGTACCCCCAAGCCACTCCCAGATACTGTTCACTGCAATGCTTTAATTCTTTGCATTTCTTCTTCAAGGACTTGCGATTTTTTCACGTCAGAATTCTTACTTGGCCTTTGTGCCTTTTTTGCAGATCTTGCTCCGTTCTCTAATCTAGCCTTGCCAGGCTATGTGAGCCAGTTGTTGTTGGACTACAGTGCCCATCAGCCTTGACCATTGACCATGCTGGCTGGAGCTGATGGGAGTTTAGGTCCAGCAGCCTCTGGAGAGCACTGAGTTGGGAAGCCTTGCTTAATCCTAGCTACTCAAACTTTTTTTAAAAAACCAATCTACATTCAAACCACTCAAGCACTTTGAAGCCTTCCATTTTATTTGAATCAGCTGTCTTGTCATCCTCAGATTTACAATCTTCTCAAGTGCCTGTTCTGTGTGTTTATCTAGTTGCCAGGAGTTCATCTTGCTATTTCCCCTGTAGGACTAGGGTTTCCCCACAGTTTGAAACAGCATTATTGGTGCCATTGTGCTGGCAAATGATAGTGCAAAATCGAGACTCTCTTGGCACCTATCTTGTTGATCATTTTGGGGGTGCAGTCAGGAGGTGTTTTTTCTTCAGAGACACTGGCAGGCTTTGCTTTCTGAAGTTCCACCTCTCTGTGGTCCCTTTAACTTTTTATACGACCCTTTAAAAAAATACCTGAGGTACACTGGGTAGTAGTAGCCCTAGTCAAGGCCTACAAATGTTTGTGCCTACTTTTGCTTGAGAATCTCCTGTTTACAAGGACTGTATAGGAGAGTACTGAATTAATATGGACCACAGGAAAGTCCAGTCTGAGAGACTTCCTTTGTTTTCCCATAGGTGCTAACAAGTGTGGAGTGAGGAATGGTGGGTGCTCCCATCTCTGCCTGCCAAATCCTGAAGGCTTCTCCTGTGCCTGCCCTACTGGTATCCAGTTGAAGAGTGACGAGAGGACCTGCGATCCTTCTCCTGAAACCTACCTGCTCTTCTCTAGTCGAGGCTCTATCCGTCGCATCTCACTGGACACTAGCGATCACACTGACGTTCACGTTCCTGTCCCAGAGCTGAACAATGTTATCTCTCTGGACTATGACAGTGTAGATGGCAAAATTTACTACACAGATGTCTTCTTAGATGTCATCAGGTAGGAACCCATTAGCTTCCTTTTGGTGCATTAATTCATTAATTACATGAGACCTTTCGCTAGCTGGTCTTTGTGTTGCCTTACAATGTGGTATTTTAATAGGCAGAAATTCTTATTTTCTTTGGTATCTACTGTTTTCCAGGCGAGCAGACCTTAATGGCAGCAATATGGAAACAGTTATTGGTCAAGGACTGAAGACTACGGATGGTCTAGCTGTGGACTGGGTGGCTAGAAACCTCTACTGGACTGACACGGGCCGCAACACTATTGAAGTTGCAAGACTAGATGGCAGCTGCAGGAAAGTGCTAATTAATAACAATCTGGATGAACCCCGAGCAATTGCTGTCTTTCCCAGGAAGGGGTAAGTTGGGGGACAACTAGAGGCAGAATGGGATGGAGGGAGGAGAGTAGTGCTTGGGCCTATAGGAGCATCTGGTCTGTTCACCAAGTAGGCTCCTTTACCAGCAAAGCTTTATGAGCAAACACACTATCCAGCCAGTTGTTCAGCTGGGGCACTTTATCAAGTGGTTGCAGATTAGATTGTTGGAGCCCCTCCTGCCTGTGGTTCTGTTCTTGCCTAGAGGTGAGCGTTGCTGGACCAAGAAGAGTTAGGACTACAATCTGACTCTTAGAACCAGATGATCTGTTGGTCTTGTTGAAGAGTTGCAGCTGGCCAGATGGCTGGAGGAAGATGTTTTTCAAAAGGCAGTCACCAGCCCTCCCCACCAGCAAATCTACTCCCTAGTGAGGGGTCTAGTAAGAAGAGACATTGCAAATAATAGCAGCAAAAAGTTTCAGATGAAACAGCTTCTCCCTTCATCTCCAAAAAAGAACTACTTGGTGCAGAAGCAGCCTGTGGTTTGTTTGTTTTTTGTGTGTGTGTGTGTGTGTGTGTGTGTGTGTGTGTGTGTCATCCTGTGTTTGGTTTTTCCCCAGATACCTCTTTTGGACAGATTGGGGACAAGTCGCTAAAATTGAGCGCGCAAACTTGGATGGTTCTGAGCGCAAGATATTGATCAACACTGACTTGGGCTGGCCCAATGGGTTGACCTTGGATTATGATACTAGGAGGTCAGTATAACAGTCCCTTTCCACGTGCAAAAGTCATTTCTCTGCTTTTAAGGCAGCCTGGAGCTTCTGCATCACATCAGTAAAGAAGTGCAAGAAGGATGGGGAATCATTTTCTTTGGGATGGGAGGTTATGGTGGAGGTTGGTTTCACTTCTCATACTTTCTGTTCTTCTAGGATTTATTGGGTAGATGCTCATCTAGACCGCATAGAGAGTGCTGATCTCAACGGGAAGCTGCGTCAGGTCCTGGTCAGCCAAGTATCACATCCCTTTGCCTTGACACAGGTACAAAGGACCTTGGTGGGAACTCTGCAATGTCACTAGATAGATGAGCTCCCAAAGAAATAGTATATTTTTTTTAATTTCTGGGTGTTGGGAGAAGTTGGTGTTCTCATTCTTCCTCCTGCCATACACTGGAGAAATGGTTTTGGTTGAATAAACTTATGTTACCTTTCTACATGGTTTTTGTATCTTCCTAATCCTTTATCTCTTCATTTCTGAGCAGCAAGACAGGTGGCTCTATTGGACAGACTGGCAAACTAAATCTATCCAGCGAGTGGACAAATATTCTGGTCGGAATAAGGAGACTGTGTTAGCCAATGTTGAAGGACTTATGGATATCATTGTAGTTTCTCCTCAAAGGCAGACAGGTATATGCAACAATCTGGGTTTCCTCACTTTATATATAATGAGAGTCAACAGGGTGCATCTTCCAAAATATATTCTAAATGTTTCCTGCAAAAATTGCAACACAGAGAATCACTTGTTCAGTCGCGCCCCCCCCCCCCCGCCGCCGCCCACTTGACCACATCTTCACATGTGCCTTCATGACTCTAGGGTGTCATGGGAGGAAGTGGTTGTGAGAATATAACAACTCCAGCTAGTAAGGCTGGTACATGGATAATACGGCATCATGGACTTAGGACTGCTGTTGTGGAGTTACACAATTTCCCTTCAAACTTGGAGGTTGGGTGAAGATTTGTCATACTAAAAACAGGAATAAGGGGAAATATTTTTTTATTTTAATCTGGGATATTAGCTACCCCTCTCCCGTACTGTTTAAATAAAACATAGACTGGTATGCAAAACCTGAGTCGTGCTAGACTGATATTGTACTCCAGCCTCAGAAATCTGTGCCTCCTTTGTTGCTTGTGAACTGAGGTCATCCATCTTGTCTCTGAACACCTGTCAGGTTCTTTTAAGACATCTAGTAGAATGAAGACCATTGGTATTTAAAATAGGCATGGGGCAGAAACTTAGAAATCACTCTGACAAAGCATCAGATTCTTTAAAACGTTGCTATTATCTACATATTAAAAAGCCAGTTTCAAAAGAAACCAAACTCCCAATAGGGCCTGATTAGTTTAGTTCTCAATGGCTCCCATTCATTTCTAGGGGATATAGTAAATGGACTGCAGTCTAGGACACAGGTGAGAATGTCTAGGACATTCCTTTGTTCATTCCTTTATAAGTGAAGGTCTGATATTAACTTTCCTTACCCTGTGGGGGGGGGGGGTAAGGAAAATGGCTGGTTTAGAAGGGCTTTTCAATAAATAAGCTTGTGCGTGAGAGGCTTTGGTAAGAATCATTATTCTTGACCATCAGCCACTGTGTCTTGCTGATAAGAATGCGAAGCCCCCACAGTTGAGGACAGAAAACGATGTTCTTCTGGTGGTAATGTCAAATACACTGTTTGCATCTTTTAGGCACCAACGCTTGTGGAGTCAGTAATGGAGGCTGCACCCACCTCTGTTTTGCCAGAGCTTCTGACTTCGTTTGTGCTTGCCCAGATGAACCAGATGGACGGCCTTGCTCAAATGGTAAGTTGCTTGAGCTGCAGACCTTCAGACAGGAATCGCGATGTTTTTGCTCCTGCTTCATGAGGACTTTTTCTGTGGCGTTTTTCCTGTGAAACCTAAATAAGTCACCTTCAGAAAACAGAACAGCCTAGGCGGCAGAATGCAGTCTAGTCAAAGCATTCAGATCAGTGCAAGAAATCATTATCCCGTCTCCTCTGGACTTGGGCTCCTTATGAATTTGAAAACTTCTCTTTGAAATTCCCTTCCGTTCTCCAGATGTCCCAGATGCATATTTTAGCATTCTGGATGGGTCTCTGACGAATACAGTTCAAAGCAGTTCGTTGTATTTCATTGGCACTTTGTGTGCAGTAACTTTAAAAATGTATGTGCATATAACATCGGGGATGGTTGGAGATTGGCAAAATAAGAGCACGCCAATATTTTCTGCTGCTCCCATACAGGCTGTAGCAGCCCAGTTAACCACCTGTAGCTACACTGCAGTTTTTGTTTTCTTAGGAGCAGATCACTGTTAGAACCACAGACAGAACCTTAACTGCCTGCTGCTGCGTCTGGGGGAACAGATTGCAGTTTCTGCATTTCTGCAAGCTGCGTTTGGCTTAATTATCTCCCCTTCCTAAGCTTCTGTTTCCCTTTCTCTTTGCGTTCTGTGTAGTTCCTGGCATGGGGCCTTCGATTCCCGAGACCACTCGTGCAAGCAAAAAGAGCCAGACCCCCGCTGGTAGATCTGGCTCTTCGACAACCAAACCCCATATATCTTTGGAAACGACAGAAGCAAAGTGAGTGGCTTTAAAAGATGATTGTGACGAAAGGTGGTGCCGAGTTCCTCACTGACTCTCCTGCCCCAGCAAGGAGGAAAGAGACTATGCAGGAATTTTTGCACTTCTTAATAGGATGGTGATATTGGGGGGGGGGGGGCAGAGCTGTTCCATTCATGTGTACTGTTCAGCTACTGTATTCTTTCCCCCTCCTGCATGTCATATTAAATGTGATTCAAAAACACATTGGGCATCTGGACCACCCTTCCCCAATCTGATCTGTTGTCAAACCTCATGTCCAGCTGCCTCAGTTGGGTTCATTCTACTTGGCCAGAAGTTACGTTGCAGAGGTTTGGACTAGATGACCCTTCCAACTCTTAATTCTGTGACCTTTCACTACTTTCCTTTTCCCCCTGTGTAGCTGCTCTGACAAAAAGGTTGGCCAAGGCTTGTGCAGCCGAGCAAGCGAAGCTGTGCCGGCAACCACTGGTGAGTTTTGACATTATCCCGCATTGCCCCAGGCTGCACCAGATCTTTCTATGTATCATGTTGGAGGCCCAGACCCAAGACCGATAAACAATAGCGTTACCAAGGCCTCAGTGTGGGTTAAATGCATGCAGATTTATTTTGGCTCATAGCAAAGTAGTCATGCGTTTGCCCAGCTACACACCCACTGTAGCCTTCTGGAATGGAACGACTCAGCAAATTTTGACTTCTAGTAAGGAGATGTTGGTGTACAAGGGAGGGAGGGAGGGAATCAAACCACTTTTATTGCGAGTCCAAATACTGCATGATATAATTTGGTCTTTGCTTATCAGCCCTCCCCCCCAAAATGCTAATTAGTTACTTCCTGATAAAAGGTCTTGCAAAAATTTCTAGGGAAGCGTAATGAAATTAAAGAAGAAAAAGAGTTATTGGGAATAGGTGTAGATGGTTTAGCTAAAGCAGATCGGAATTATAAGCAACTCAGATGAATTTTAGGTTGCTTGTTTTGTTACCCAAAGGTGTATACAACATTTACACAAGTACAAAATCATTTCATTCTTTTGGCTGACCAAACACATGCATCAAGAGTTAAAGAGATGGGCTAAAGGAAAACACTCTTGGAATGGAAGAATTGCCATGATAAAAATTAAAAGGCTGTCAATATTGTTGTTGCCTTTTCTGACTTTCTTGTAATTCTGTACAAAAACTAGGGCCCCATCAGCACTGTCAACATGCACACATATTTACACACAGGAACACAGAATGTCATCCTCGATCTAACCTGTTGCCCTCTTTCAGGAGGACTGCACGTCAGTTACATAATCGGAGGCCTTCTCAGTATATTGATCATTCTGCTGCTAATTGGTGCTGTGATTATATACAGGTAATTTCCTTGCCCTAGTCCCTCTGTGCTTCTGAATTCATCTTTTTGTTGGAATACTTCTGACAAAGCCCAGGCCTTCCTTGCTGTAGTTAAAAATGCCTCATTGGAACCAATGCCAGAGGACATAGGCATGTTGGTCTGCAACAGATGTGGTGGTGGCATTCCTGGAGACGTAACGAGTAAAAAGCAAAGTTGTAACCATAAACAAGGGAGGCTGAGATGCTAATGCTCCTAACTTACAGTTTTTGCATAATGTTGTGGACAGTTCCTCCTCCTCTCCCATTTGCCTCTGAAAAAATGACAGCATTGGTTTCAGGGAGCAGTGAAGAGTAGTTTTAACTGCAACAAATACTCGATTCAATTTTTGCCCTGTAGAAAGTTTTTGTTCCTGGGAAATTGTTCAAAGGAATCCTGTGGAAATTTGCACATGCCTTGGTTTGGTTCTTACATATTGACTCTTTGAACTCTGAACATTTTGCATGAATGTGATCTCTCTTGCTTATCAGTGGAATTGCCCCTGATTTTCCCACTGGCATACAAGTAAATAAATTTTTGCTGCCTCCCATGAGTGCAGTTGTGATTTGCTATCTGGGATGTTTGCTATCTGATATAAAAGACTTACTTATGGTTTGAGAAAGGAGAAAATACAAGACCATAGTTATTTTTTTCTGATAGAGTAGTAGTGCAAAGTAGGGCTTTAGCAGTTGAGGCTCTTTGTTGACAGTTGTATTCCTGCAGGCACAAGAAGTCCAAGTTCACAGATCCTAGCCTGGGCAACCTTACCTACAGTAACCCCTCTTACCGGACATCTACCCAAGAGGTAAAGATTGAAACAGTTCCCAAGCCAGCCATGTATAACCAGCTATGCTATAAGGAGGTAAGAGATGCCTTTAGAATGAGTCATCTGTGTCAAGCCACTGTGGTTTTAAACATCAAATTGCAATAAGCCTAACTAATTTGTCTTATTCTCATCAGTCCTAGCTACCCTAAAGAACCCTGTCCTTCACCTCTCACATTATTAGAAAGCCACTGACATGACTCATATAAGTTAACCAGCAATACTATTTATTTGATGCTTTTGTCTTGGGGCACCTGTTGCCCAAAGGAAATGAAGAGTTCACTTATTCAGAGTTTTAATTCCTCTATTCAGCCAAAAAAAAAAAAAGGAGTCCAGAGTGGCTTGCAAATCACTGCAACAAGACAGTCCCTGCCTCCAGGCTTAAAAAGATATGGCACAAAGGAAAAATGGATTGGGAGAGAGGAGGAAGTGTGAGACAAATTCTTAGTCACAGTTTCTGTTAATGGCCATTGGGAGTGGAAAAGTTAATGGAGAGGAGGTGCCAGAAGTTGCTGTCCTCCCAGCTGTTGGAGTGGCCCTGCATCCCTTCCCTTCCATCCTCTGCTGCAGCCTGATGGCAGGCGACAGTTGATGGAGGGAAGAGTCAGACTTCTCAGCAGAGCTCGGGGTGCTGCTGCTGCTGCTGCACCTCTTCTCTTCCCCTTCTCTGGTTCAGGCTGATGTAAGATGACACACTCCCAGTTCCCACCCCAGTGCCTGGTGGGATCCCTGTAGTTCAGTAGTCCTGAATGGCTGTATGCAGCTAGACAGGTGCGCCTGTGCACTGCATGGATCGCCAGTGGGAGGGAGAGCAGACTAATGGAAAATTGTTGCATTTGGAAGGGCACATGATGGGCTGTGATGTCTCAAAGCACTTAGTCTCTCTGTCTTTCCTCCTCAGCATCTTTCTCACCCCCCTGATAGCCTTTCACCATTCCTCTTTTGACCTGCCCACAGCCTCATATCAGGTATCACAGCTCTGCATTTGTGCAGCCTCTGCCTGCCTTATTCCTGTAGTGCTGATGAGTGGCCTAATGCTGTCTTATATTACTTGCTTCTTGGCTGGCTTTCTCTCCCTCTCTTTTTTGTGTGTGTGAGTGTGCGTGCGTGTGCACACGCACCCCTGAAATACTTGTGTGTTTGTGTGCTGGGAAAGAAAAGTGTTTTTGCCTTGGTTAAGTAATTTGAAACTGCTTAAAACTTTACAAAATATTTGTACCCCACCATCATACATGTGCAGGGTATGATCAGTAAAGAGGTTTTCCCCCTCCTGGAATTGGTGAAGCACAGTTATTGCTAATTTTCCTTGCCTCCATGTTTCCTTGCCTCTAATTTTCCTCTCCTCCATGTCAAATCTGTGTGCACCTTGCTGTTTTTATGAGAGTGTTCTTTAAATCTTTGCTATTTTAACATAATTACTGGTTGGACTGATCTGTGCAGCGCTTCTTAACTTCAGTGTTTATACCCATCAGACACATTATACCCATCAGACACATTTGAATTAACCAGGGTTGGCTTCTGTGTCCCACTCAAATATAGACAACATTTTTCAACTATTTCCACTACATTTCCTGTACTTTGGAACAAAGCTCAGGATACAGGAGGGTGACTTTAAGAAGCATCTAGTGCACCCCACCAGATGCTGTTGGACTCAGACTCTTATCATCCCTAGTCAGCATGGTCAACACCATGTTGGTGTTGGTGTAGTGGGAGACATCCTTCTAAGAGTCAGTGCCTGCATTCTCATAATCTAATCGATAGTGGCTATTCTGGAGCTGAATCTTAAGACAGTTTCCTAGTTTAATGCTTGATTTCGCCAGTGCTCCTTTTCACTACCCATGATTTGGGAGATATTTCTTGTCCTCCCAATTTATTCACTACCTTTATCATCTTTTCTTTTCATGAGTTGATGGGATGCACAGTTTGTAATGGAATTGCCAGTAACAGCTGGTCTGCTAGGAAACGCAGCGCGTGATGCATCTAGATAGTATTTCATGCACGCAGACATTCGAGTCTGGCAAACCTGTGAAAGCTAGCTCTCTTTTCTGGTGTTCCACCCCATGACCCTGGGATTTTTGCTCCCTTTCTTAAGATAGGTCAGGGACCTCCACAAAGAAAGAAAGAAAACGCCCGTGTGGTATGAAGATAGGTGTCGATAGCATTTTTGTCTCCAGTGGGTGGGTATTGCTAGCTTTTGAAATCTACTTTTGCACCATATTTGGGGGGTCAGAAACTGTTTTTTTCTTGCCTCTGTTCAGTCTGGCTAGTGACCTTCTTTCCTTCCCTCCCCTGCTGTGCCCACTATTACCATAGTGTGTGGTTACACCTGGTTAGTTGGAGCACCTGGAGTCATTTTCTCTGTAAGCACTTCCTGCTTCGTGGCTGTGTGGGCTTGGTGGGTGAACGGTCCTGTCTATCAAGCAGAAAGTTGCAGTGGTCATCTCTTTAGTCCCTCCCAAGTGTACAATGTGACTTTGTTCACATAGCAGGAAACCGCCTCTTGTGAGTTTCCTGCGCTTCAGTGTTCTGTCACCTGCTTTTTGCTCTTCAACTCGCATGTCTCATGTTATTGTCTCTGTCCACAGGCCGGCCCTGATCACAGTTACAGCAAGGAAAAGATCAAGATTGTGGAAGGGATATGCCTCTTGTCCAGCGATGAATCGGAGTGGGACGACCTGAAACAGATACGGAGCTCTCGGGGGTGTATCCTCCGTGACCACGTCTGCATGAAGACTGACACGGTCTCTATCCAAGCCAGCTCCGGCTCGCTGGATGACACCGAAACTGAGCAGCTGCTGCAGGAGGAGCAGTCAGAATGCAGCAGTATCAACGCGGCAGCGACCCCTGAGCGCCGCGGCTCCCTTCCAGACACAGGCTGGAAGCACCAACGCAAACCCTCAACAGAGAGTGATGTCTAAAGCACACAATGAGACGCTTGTCCCTCCTCTGTCACCTTTCGCACTGATGAGATAGGATCTTGCCCGCAATTCCAGGAGGAACTCAAAAGAGACTTGCCTCTGTGTCACACAGAGCCCAGAGACTTTCTTTCTGAGAGGAGCCTGAGCTTAAAACTGCCTTTGTGGCAGGTGGGAGACAACCTAGAGACTCTTGGCTCACTGTTCATTGATGTTTATTTATATGTCCCCTTTTGCTAGAAGCTGTGGTGTTGAATTCAGCAGCAGCTTTCCCAGCTGTGTCTGATGCAGCTTTCATTCGGTCTAGTGCACCAGCTAGCCATGGACTCCAACGCCACCAGGGAGGGATGAGTGTTTCCGAAGTTCCCTGCTCCTGATACTACTACCTTTCTTCAGAGTCTGTTGGCACTAACTAGGTTTTGCACTGCGCTCTTTCTGTCTTAAATGAAAGGGTTTGGGGCCAGGTAGAAGTGCCTGAAGTGAGAAAGGTGATGTAACAGCGGGTCACTTTTGCAGATACTTGTGTGGGGAGAGCAAACGACAGTTGTAACTTCACTGGAAGGGGCACTAAATTACCATGACCATCTTTTTTTAAGCTGTGGGGAAACACCTGTGAAATCCAACCTAGGGTGTCAGGAGTTCAGAGGGCAAAGCATTTGAGTCTGTTGCTGGCAACAGAGTTTGCTCCTGCCACAGTTCGGTGTGGCACAATGCCCACTCCCTTCCTAAAACATACTTCTGGTTTTTTCAGATTGAACTTAACACATCTGTTCCCTGGAGGGACGACTCGCTGTTTTTATTGCACTTCCCATTAGCTTTGACTTCCGAGGAAAGCGCCGGGTGCAATGGTATTTTATCATAACCTTCCTTAGTTAGTCAAGTCACAGGCCCATCCTGTGGAAATGTGTGCTACTGAAAACAACGTTAGCCTGTGGAACACAAGTGGGCAATATGTTTTATTTGTTTGTCTGTTTTGGAAATGGAATATAATTGGTCAGCGGGTGTACCTGAAACATCAGGTGCAAGTTCCAGCTCCAACATGCTGCTGGACAAACCCAGTAGGGGACATTTTCTAAGCCTTTTCTTGCCAGCGTTTCTGATTGGAAGTTCTGGGAGGATGGGTCTGCTCGCACCTTCTTCTAGGATCTGCTGTGTGGGTTGAGTAGTGTGGTGTCAAAAAGTGGGTGTGTGCAATTTGAGAGATGATGAATGTGTGTGGCTAGGCAAAGGCAGGCAGATGGGGAGTCAGGCAGGGCACCAGAACTGTTTGACTGTATAAAGCGCCTTTCCTCCTCAATGCAACTAGGTTAAGATTTCCATTCTATGAAGGGAGAACCAAGGCTAAGAAATGGCCTTTTCAAAATGTTTTGCAGGTGGTGGTTTGTGCAACCAAACACTTCCTCCACCAGCTCCAGACATGATTTGGCAAGATAGCACTTACATTGAGGAAAGTCCTATTCAGAGCTGATAACCACATTATTTATTCTCTGGGAATATGCACCACTATCCTCTCACCTTGCTCCTGCAAGTGCCTCTCTTGTGATTAGCACATGATGTATAGACTCTGCTTGTGTGAGTGTGACACTCTGACGAGCAGCACAGGTTCCCTGTGGCTAAACAGTTACATGATCTGATTGCTTCCTCTCATCTAGTCCAAGCAGGGAGTGCGCAAGCATTAAAAAAACCAGCGATCCAACTCTAGCAACCTGCCCCCTTGCAGCTTTCCCTTTATAACAGGTCTATATTTCCGTCAACAAGGCAACCCTCCCCCTTATGTGTCTTGTTGAGTTAAATATTTTATTGCACACCTAAAACCGTGATACATGAATATGACAATTGTGCATTTTTAATCGCATTCATTGAAGGAGTCCATGCACAAGAAAGCTAGGGTGGGTGATGCATTTGTACAGTGGCAATTGTGTTGGTTGCTGCGTAGTGTGTGGAGCAGTTATAAGTAGTGCATCTTTGTCACAGACACCTTTTCCTTCCAGATGGTCCACAGCAGACATGTCGTGCTTCTGCCTGTTCCCTCTACCATCTCCATCCCTGCTTACCTCTGCTATTTCCATCATGTTTCTTTACATTTGCTGCTGATCCTCTGTTGCCTTCGCCCACACATATTGGGCATGTTTGCACACACTCAGTATTGTAAAAACAAAACAGTGGAATTTTGGGTTGCAGCAGGAACGGTGCAAGCCAGTCATGGTGCAAGATCGGCATTCCTGACAATTAGCCCCAACCTTTCCCAACTTGTAGCCGGGAAAACCTGTTGCTTTCTCATCTTGAGGAAGGTATAAATTTAAATTATTTTGGGAGCCGAGTTTTGTATTTCAAGGAAACATGCATAAAGCTCTACTTCTGCAGCATCACACAGCAAAATCAACCTGTGCTTAAAGGTTTCAGTACTGTGAGCAAGTCTTTCTAGGACATGTTTATATTCTTCCATCAAAGACTCTCTCGTTCTGACTGTCCAACCTCAGAACTGTTTTCCTATTTTACCTGCTATTGCTCTCTCTTCCTTTTATTTGCATGTCATTTATTGTGCTTTGCTCTCATAGCTGTCCTTGTGAACTAAGAGTTGCATTCATTGCTTTCTCTGCATCAGCAGAAAAGACTTTTATCTGTGCAATAAGACTTCACTTCCCTCTCTTCACCCTTGCATCCACTCAAAATCTGCTCCAGAGTTTGGGGGGATGTGGGGACTGTGGGAGACGAGAGAAGAATGTGAAGTTCTGTTATGTGAGCAGAAGTCCATTTGTGCAGTGTTGGATTCCACCCCAAGTCTCTCATACTTTCATAGAGATCCATGTATTGAACCGCACCAGCTCTTGTGCCTACATTCATAAGTCCATAAGTGACTTCCACCCCCACTGTGGTGTTTTACCATATTCTCCGCATTCTCTTCCTTCAGCCGTTATTTTCCATTGGCTTCTGATTCTGACCCATCCGAAAAGATAGAACTTGAGGATCGAAAATGTAAAAACGGCAGTTTAAAGTCCAAATTAAACCAATTAGTTGTATTTATGTTATTAAAATCGCTCATCTACAGGAGCCATCCACACTAGGCTCGCTTTATTTTGGGGGAGTCTGGTGAGGGGAGACAAAACAAACAAGCAAACCCTGTAAAAGACAATGTGGAGAGCGCTTGCAGGAAGGCAAACAGTTACGCACCCTGCCTAGCCCCACTGATGTTCTCTTGAAAAGGCAGTAGCATGACAAGGGACTTTGGCTTGAGGAGATCTCGTTTACATCAGTTACATCAATTTCATGGGCCGTGAAATGGTAATATGAACAAGGGCAAAGTCAAGCATAGCCCTTTTGAAAAAGACAGCACTGGAGATCACATTGTGCTAGTTGTATCCTGGTGCCTTTTGTAGGAGGCTGGACTAGATCACTCTGAGATCCCTTGCTGTTGTGCATCCCTATGAAAAGTTGGTTAGAGCTGGGGCTTGGAGCAATGTTGTTATTAGGCTTTCCCCCTACTTCCAGGGGAATATATTAGATTTTAATTTAAATATATTTATTTGGGTCTGCTCCAATGAAGCTTCATCAGGCTGAAGATGAGGAAGACAAGTCTCAGCAAGATCTGTGGGGGTAGGGTAGCCCTGCTGCTGAAACCATGGACAAAATTAAGGCCATGTGCATTTGAAAAAAGAGTTTAGGAAAGCTGAAGCCAGGCACCTGGCACTGATGAGGGCCACCAGGCCAGGGTGAAGTGTTCAATATAGGAAGTTGCAATTAGAAAAAACAATATTAAAAATGGAGGCTGGGAAATAATTGAAAAATACTTGTCCTCTTACAAGTTCAGTAAATTAACAGAGAGAATGCCACTGCCACTAATGTCTCCCCTTGTCTTTCTGCAACTTTTTATTGCACATTCCAGTCTACATAATGACCTCCTTTCTCAGACCCCTTCTCTTGACCCATCTGACCCCTAGCGGCCCTCATAATGGCTGCAGAAGATTGGAAGAATGGTACCTACAGCTTTACTCCTACTTGTGAAGTAAGCAGCGATGAGATGCGCAAGCAGCCTTTGGCCAATGCTGCTGGTTATATGGGACTCTTCACTGCCAATGCTGATGAAGCAAAGTCTCATTGCACTTGGACTTTGCAGAATGTGGAAAGCCAGAAGGGACAATCTTGTGAGCACTGATTATGTAAAAAGAACATCCTGCCTCTGTCTGTCTTGAGCTGTTGGCAGCAATTTCCCTACCTTTCTGTGTAATGGTTTTAAATGTTACTCACTGGAGAGATTGGATTTCCCCTTTCCCCCCAAGTTATTTAACTACTATGCTCAGTATTTTAGGTTTGATGATAATTTAATATAAATTTAGCTTTTCTTAATCGCTCTGCTGGACTTGTGAGTTGTGAATCACGAATGCTACCCAAACAGGCTACATGAAGGCTCATCTCGTTGGAAGAAGTGACAGAGTTGGGACCAGAGCAGACAGATCCCATCACACTCTCACCTTTGAAGCAACAACTGGTTTAGTAGGATTTGGGTGAAAGCAGGGGAATGAGAATTAACTGTTACGAATATTACATATGGCAGGTTATGGCACTGCCAAGGACTAACGCCAGAAATGTCTGAAGCTCAAATTAGTAGGGCTGCTGCTTGCTTCCCTCTGGTATTAACTTGGCATTTCATAGAGCCTATTACGACCCCATGAAGCTTAGAGGGTTTTTGCATTTCTCATCCTGGCAATTTAAATGTTTACAAATGAATCGCTTAGAATGTACACACTTCTGCTTCTTGTCCCTTACATTTCTGTGCTTCCCTTTTAGTTCAGTGTGTGTCCCTGTTTCTCAATATACTGATTGATCCCAGAATCATGAGTCATAAATCAAACCAAATTGAAAGTTTACAGTGCTTTACTACATTTCTAGATGAGCAGATTACAATAATTCAAAACGTGAAATGATTCTTACAAATAAAATGAGAACTTACAGAATAATGACTAATTACCTTATTAGCTTCCTTAACAAATCTAAACACTAGTCTAATTTAAAAATAATTACTAACCAAAGTTTGTAGCTAGTTAGAAAATTAATTTCTATTAACCTGGCCAAGATTGTTCCTAGTTACACACTCCACAGCTGGTATTGATGTAGAGAAGTCATTTTTAGTCCAGAAGCAATTATTTGACCATTTTGGGGTCCATTCTATTAATGGACAAAACTATGACTTACAGCTTCAGACTTTAAACATCAAGTACCTAACTGCCCCAGACTAATTTTGTGGATATGATGACACCTGCAGCTGCATCCATAACTTGATGGCTTTTCCCCATCTGCTGGTGGCCAGCTTTGACCTTGGCAATGGTGCCTTTGGCATGACTTTTCTGTCCTGCCTTGCACCCCGTTTCTCAAGTGTAGATGTAAAATAATGTTCCCCCAAAGTTCAATATATCAGTAAATCAGCCATGTACCTTCTGTGCAGTGACAACCAAAGAGGCTTTGTGTTCAAATGGGAGCAGTTTCATCTTCTGAAGGCCAGCCTAAAAATCATATTTCCAGCACTTGACATCTAGCCTACATTCATCCTTAGATCTATATATTTCCTCACAGCAAGGTAGCATAGATAATGACAGCATATATATTTCAAAAATAGCAAAAATATGTGCCCCAAGCAGCATAAAATATGGTGATGCATCATGTAAGACCCTTGGGATAAATAGCAAACATGATACAACAAGACACATCACATACAGATACTGGCACAAAAAAAACCTATAAGCATGGTTTATATGCAGCAGATTCCTTCATTGGCCCTGTAAGAAGTATATGATCAGTATTCACAAAGGGCAAGTTGCAGTGTAAAAATTCACAGTATCATTTATAAAAATGTCCTCATTTTGCATTGATAGCCTTATGGTCAGATGTGGAAGACATTTTTATTAACATTATTTAGCCTGCATTTCCATCTACACACAAGAACCTCAAGACTTAAGCTTTTGTGTAGCTGCAAAAAGAACACTTGGCATCATTGGACTTTATTGGACTTTTCATTATTGTAGTTAATAAGTTTACTTACTGGGTATCAGATGAGAGGAATGTATTTCTCATGCCTGAGTACTGTATTCTTAATTTACTCTATAACATACAGCCATCTTAAAACATAATCACTAAAAAAGAAAAAGAAGATTTGGTTTACTCTTCTTAGCCTGCATATAAATCTTGAAATACCAACTCTGTACCCTTTGCAAGAGTATTAAAATAGAAACAACAGTGGACTTTTCCCGTGCTGCTTAGGGATCTGCATATCATTATCCAATGAGTTACAGATATTAGAAATAACTTCTTTTCTCCAAGAGGAGAAAGGAAAAGAATGCAAATATCCTCATACGTGCTTGGTTGTCCCTTTCCCTAGTAGAGTGGATAAGAATATTTCTTATACATACATATTGAAATAACTTTGGTTACTTCCATGTGCATGAATATGGACTATATGAGCAAAAATTCTGAATTATGCTGCTAGGTCATATAAACATTCTATTTAATTACAAACCAATATGTTTTTGTTATAAAAACCAGATAGAATCCATGTTTGTTTAGGAAATACATTAATTTCAAAATAGGAAGCTTGATTAAATCGCTCCACCCTTTTCCTTAACCATTGGGAATGTGCTACTCCAAACACAAAGTGGAACTATCAACATATAATTTTATGTAAGAACACTGGCGATTCACTTATGGTAAACCTTTTACATCGCTGGTTCGTGAATGTGAAATGAGGAAACAGCAAAATGCTTCTTTCCAAACAGCAGGATTCAGCTGTGGGACTGGCAACGGTCCATTCCAGTTTGTCTAAAGGGGCTCATTGTTCTTGTATCTTGTTATATCATCCACATTCTGGCTGGAAGAAGAAGCTCTATTCATCCAGCTTTAGAAATTCTGCCATGGTTGACAAGGCTGTGCCTACCACCTACCAAGCCAGTAATGGCAATTGCCAAACCACTTTACTTGGAGTAAACAGATTTGAATATTGGTACCAAGGAATCTTGAAGACTGTACTGTTCTTTCATCTTCATGTATCACCTTACTGTAAGGTGAAGTTGAAAGTTAATGTAGTCAAATGGTGTTGAGTCTGTAAAGCATTTTATAGAATTGGAAACACAACAATTCACATCTGTACCAGGACTGCCTTACACTCAAAAATGTTCAGTACTAAAACAGGTGAGGCACCCGTAACTACCTGATACAATTTCACTACAAGGCCAGAAGTAGGAGTAAAGATTGCCTGATGAGGTACGTGTTAATTCAGAAGTCCTATTGTGTTCAACAGAATAACTGTATAGGACTGCAGTCTTAATGTGACACAATTGTAACATTACGCAACATACACAAATGGCATATACAATTAAGGAAACTACAATGGGGAACTGCTCATGTATCACACTCTGAATTGCTTCATTAATTTTGGTATATACCAGTCTGCTATGGATTAAAAAATGCAAAGCAGGATCCACAAAGGAATATAATACCTTTGTATCATTGCATACAATTATCTAATACCCTTCTAGAAGCAAAGGGAGACTCAGTACAGCCTAGATTCCTTCAAAGTAGTCCAAAAGAAATTGAATGCTAGAAGACTCATAGACAGAAGTGTGTTTATTGTCTTGCCAATCAATCTTCTCTGTTCTTGAAGTCATACTCATTGTTAACTTACTGGTAAATACAAATAGCCTGGAGTCTTTCCAGCAAGGTGCCTCAACCCCCCAGTCATGCCATAATCAACAGCTGATTCTGGTAAAAATGCCAACTCTTCATATAAAAAGTTTTGGTATCACCCGTTTTGCTGAACTTTATCAATTAAATCTGAATGTAAACATTCATGGGATAGAGGATATCCTTTTTAGAAACTGTTTTCGGAGTTGCTAATCTTAATTGCCTGCCCTAGGCTGATGATGGGCAACTGTTAATTGATTACTACCTAGGGGTTCAGAAAACAGCTAACTTTTACTTAATGGACCTAACTTAGTCATGTTGATTAATTTCTATGCTGAGTAAAACCTAGTGAAGACCTCCCCCTAAGGTTAAGAGGCAACGAAAAATGTGTTAAAACAGAGTGGGTGCATGCCAATAGGAAGTGGCTTACTGCTTAATGGCATCCACTGAGTTCTATGGGATAAAGTTCAAGGAGACAGCATTTCAACAGTGGGATACACAGGGCATCCTTTATTTATCTCTGTCCCACAATGTCTCCTTTATTTGGGAATGGTGTCCATGATTAATCACTCGCTGGAATTCAGCATTTTATCACTTTATTATATAAAGAAGCAACAGGAACACATGAGTGTTTGTTTGCTTCTGGGATTGTAGTTCCATTTGTGTTTCACAAGCTGGTCTCTGACCATAATAAATTTCATGTACACGAGTGGGTGGGAGGAGAAGGAAGCAGGACACCTCTTTCCTTGGGCCCTCCTGAAAAAGGCCAGGAGACAAGAGAGGAAGAGGCATGTTGCCTCCACTCCGGAGGCCTCGGAATAGCTTTTGGCTTAGAAGTGGTGGGAATTAGCAAGCTTTCAATTTTTTCAACACTGATCAGACCATAAAGAACGACACCTTCATTAGGGCGAAAAGAAGTGCAAGCTTTTGAGATCCTCAAGACCCTTCAGCAGGCTGGATGATCTGCAAAAAGAAATGGGGGAGAGGAGTGAAACGGATAACACTATGCATGCATGAGTAGGGCAGAGGAGTAGGGCAGAGGATAAGTCACGTAGAGTTTATAAGTAAATGTGTATATGACTGCCACCTTAGGTTAGGCTGCATTTGGTGCAAAAATGACGAGAGCCAGTGTGGTGTAGTGGTTAAGAGCGGTGGACTCGTAATCTGGGGAACCGGGTTCGATTCCCCGCTCCTCCACATGCAGCTGCTGGGTGACCTTGGGCCAGTCACACTTCTTTGAAGTCTCTCAGCCCCACTCACCTCACAGAGTGTTTGTTGTGGGGGAGGAAGGGAAAGGAGGATGTTAGCCGCTTTGAGACTCCTTAAAGGGAGTGAAAGGCGGGATATCAAATCCAAACTACTACTACTACTAGGTTGCACCAAAGACAACAGTGAGAGTGAACCATACAAACCGAAAAACTGCTAGTTCTTACTATTCTACACTGGTAGCCTTTACTTCAATCTGAAAGCTTTTTGCACAAAGCAAAACTAGCCTAATTAGACCCCAATCCTATGCACATATTCTCTGAAGCAAGTGCTATTATGTTTAAGCAAGCTAGGATTGCTGTTTTAGTCAATGTAACATTTTAATGCTGTTTTAAAAATATTAATTTAACTTAATTATTACAAAATATAAGCAAAATATTGCAAATACATATATATTTCAGATAAACACACATATATAAAAAAGAACAAAAAGGAAAAAAGGAAGAAAAGAAAAAAAATGAGAAAAAGAAGAAAAGTTGGAAGAATTTCTTCCAAATTTATTCTACAAATATCTCAATAATAAAATTTCATTGATTGACTTCCATCAAGGCTTACACTGCACTTCCTATATACATTTTAAGCAAGATTGTATCTGTTATTCCGTATTTTCCCCATACAATCTCACACAAATATTCTAATCCATAAATTTTCTAAATCTTTCATAAATCTATTCTAAACACAACCAATACCTCACACTTAATCTTTGTCTGTTTTAATTTGGCGGACTTTTTCATCATGTCCTCTCCTTGCCCCTTCATTTGCCTAATCCAATCAGATAAAATTCTCTTGAAGTTTACATCAACTGGAAAGCTTGCTCACTGCTCTGCGCTCTTTTATTGGCCCCAATACATTATTACTCTTGTTATTTTTGGATCTCCCCCAATGAAACAACGTGACTGCCTACAGTTGTGGGCTTTTTAAAAAGGTTTTTGGAATCCACCCCTTCACTTCAGAGGAGGAAGGAAAAGTGAAGCAAGAATAAGAAAAGCATGGCCCCTGACAACGTCAACAGTCAGGACGAAAGAACCTGTCCGCCCTGATCTTCTTATTCTGTCCTGATCGTCATTGTTGTGACGGAGACGGCAGAGGCGGTCTCTACCCAGCTGCTCTGCTTAAAAGACAGGAAGAAAATGGACTTCTCCGCTCGTCTCTTGATTGGCTGCTCGAATCTAGGAAAATGTCATCTGTGAAGCTTCCATTGGTCATCTTGCACCGTCACTCAAAGCCTAGACGCAGCTAGCATGGCAGAAGGCGGCAGAAGGGGTGCTCTTGAAAGACTGGGCAAAAGTGGCGAGAACTGAGCGGGTGCAATAAGAGTATTCCACGATGTTTTATAGCAGAAATTGCTCGCCTTTGACCATCCAGATGATGTTGAATGACACCTCCCAACATCCCTGACTGGCCATTAGCCATGCTGGTTGAGTCTAAGGGGGGAGTGGGGAGTCCGACAATATTATGTGGTTGATTTCTCTTTTACAGAACTAGAAGGTTCTTGTTCTTGTTGAAGCACATAACTCAGAATCTACTTTATATATCTTTTTCCAAAATATATTTCCCATTAAAAGATCTCTTAATAAAGATGGCATGTCTTATTTTTAAAATAATGGATGTAAACAAAAGAGAAGCAGCGCCAATGGGAGTGATTGCCTCGAAAATTATGTTTATGCATCGATACAACAATACCTTCTGCCTCCTTTCTACCTACGCATAACTGGGCAGCATCGAAGTGCGAGGTGTAAACTCTCCTGTCCCCAGGACTGAGCTATACAGCTGCAAATAAAACGTTTTAAATGCAATATACAATGTGATATGATGTAAGGCGATGGTGAGCCTTATGGAAAATTCAATGTATTTTTTAAAAACGCATTAAAAAACCACACAGTTTCAAAACGATTTTTATATGTGTGTAAATTCCACCAGGTTCACTTCTCTCCCATACCCCACCGCCTTTTCCATTTATTCCCTTGCTCTGCACACGTTGCATTTTGAATGTGAGTGTTCATGCATGCATGACACAGCAGTTCCATAAAGGAATAAGGGAAGGGGGACTGAACAGAGAAGGAAAGACAGCTGAACAGAGCCACATGTGAGTGAACTGAGAGATTAGTAAGTGATGCCTCCGACGTTTGAGTGTAGGGATTTGGGAAAGCTGTGAACTAAAATTAAGGGGGGGGTCACCCAAAGCAGCAGTTCTATGCAGACTTGGCAGTAAACTCCATTGAACCCAGTGGGACCTACTTCTGAGTAAACCTGCAAACTAGGCTGACACACTTGTCATGCACTCAACATCTCAGTACTGTGTCTAAACGGTTCAGAAAAAGAGGAAACATCTTATGACTTAAATTAATTTTGGAGGAAATACAATAAACAAGGTGTATTTTGTTTTCACAATAATTAATGCAGATTATAAATATGGCTTTGTGCTTTCAGAGCAGGCGGTGGGAAGAGTTCCCTAAAAATAAATTCCATTGCTGCTTAAAATTTCAAAATACTTTTTTTCAGCCCTGATTTAAGATGTCTTCAAATCATGACAGATCTTATATATTAACACACTTTCATTTTGTTTCCATGGCGTAGTAAAAAGTTGTGATTATTTTCCGAATCCTGTATTAAAGCTCTCTTTGACTTTCTGTGTTAACCTGGATTAATTTGACACTCCAGTTGTGGAATGGCATCTTCCATTTCCAATCGATTTAACAGTACAGTAGTAGTAGTTCTTGGAGCGGTGAAGTTTCTGAAGGTCTGGTGCTTACCCAAGTTTAGTTCCATTTAGAATACTTTACTGGAGGCTCATTACCATTTTGTAGTATTTATGATTATATCCAAATATGCAGATGCACATTGACAAAGAAAGGTACTATCAACCGTGCCAGGATTATTAAGGCAGTCTCCAATTCCTTTTAACCCTCTTCTGTCCAAACTTCCAATAGTGCCTGTTGGTCTCTTAAAGTTTGTTGCATTGAATTAGCTTCTGCTGGTGAAATGTTTATGGTCTGAATTATGTTTGTCTTACCACTGTCTACTTGGTTATGCCCTCTGCGCGGACAGACTCCTCTCCTATCTGGGGCTTGGCACCCAAAGTGCCCCTATTTTTATCTGTGAAATGTTGTGAAGAGTAAGCTTTAACTATTTAAGGAATAATCAAGAAGGCCTTTGCCCTCATTACTAAGACAACAACCAAGCACCACCTAGCTTCCTCCCAAAACTCCTGTGCCTTTTAGCAAATACACAACAGGCAGAAATACAAGGGGGGCAAGGAGCTTTCTCTGTTGCACCATCTCCATGCCAGAAAACACACAATCCGAACATCTGCCTGTCACGCACAGGGCTGGATTTAGGTTTGATGAGGCCCTAAGCTACTGAAGGTAATGGGGCCCTTTTTACGTCCAGCTGTCCTTTGTCAACAACAAATTGCCCCTGTTTTTTGTGTTGAATATATGCTATTTGGCAATTTATGGACCTAATAGGTATCTAAAGCCATTTGCACATAACAAAATATTAAAGTAATTGTTGAACTGAAATACAATTAAGAAGTATATTAATAGTGAAATACAATTAAGTATATTAACAGTGAAATAATTATTAAGCTCTAACTTAAAATGTTTGGGGGCCCATTACTTACATCATAGGAGCTTACACAACACAAAACACTGTTGCTGTATGTAGGTTTTATTTTATTTGTTTTTTTATCTTATATTTTGGAAATGTACATCCAGTTTTTCCCCCCTTTACATTTTTTTGGGAGAGTGGGGCCCTAAGCTATAGCTTGTTTAGCTTATGTACGTAAATCCGGCAGTGGGGGGCGGGGAGCTTTCTCTGTTGCACCATCTCCATGCCAGAAAACGCACCATCCGAACACCTGCCTGTCACGCAGCTATGAAAAGCCTAGTTGCGATGAAAAGGACATTCTAAGGTAGCTGCGAGGCTTTAATCCAGCTCCCATTTTAGAAACTAAACAGAGCGGAAGAGCGCCTTAGCTTCCTCCTCTGCCACTTCGTCTCCGGACTCTCCAAGCAGAAAGCGGTTGAGCACGAGAACTTCCGCGAAATTCCGGACGTCTCCCTCTCGGCTGGCGGCGGCGGCACCTGCTCCAAGCGGAGCCGGCGTCGCCGGGGAAACAAACGGCCGAGGGGCAGCGCCCGCGAGGCGAGTTGCCGCTGAGGGCAGCCAGCCCCCTCTGGAGGGACCCAGGCGCAGGAGCGGATTCAAACCGCCCAATGGAGCGTCAGATTGGGGGCAAGGGCGGGCATAGCGGCGGCCAATGGAGAACGAGGATATTGGGAGGTGTGGCCTGCGTCGGTGATTTCAAACCCACTTGAGGAGCGGCCCGTGGTTTGCCTTACCGACTGGCCGGTCGCGGCCTAGGTGAGTATCCGCCGCCTGCATGAGAGGGGGGCCTCAGCAGGTGCATGGAAAGCGGGGCTTGGGCCAGGACGGCCGGGGCGCGGAGCTCGGAGAAAGGCCGTTGCTCTGAGGCGGCCGGGCTCCGCCTCGTTCTTACTGCCATTCTGGTCCTCACGATGGGCTCCACAACACAGCTCCATCCCCACCCCGCTGCTCTTGAGGGGAGGGAGGGTTAGTGGTTTGCGTTTGTTCTTGGTTTTTGTTAAGCATTTTGTGTGTTTTTTTATCTTGTGTTTTTTTATGTTGTGAACATCGCCGAGATCTACCGATGAAGGGCGGCATACAAATTTATTAAGTAATAATAGCGGCAGCTACGGAAGGCCCTCCACCGATCTCGGCATCGCCTGTAAAACGAGCCCGCGCTCTCTGCGCTCTGTCTGAGGTGCACAGCGGAATAGGGCTTCCCGCTCGAGTCATCTGCGTGTGGGCATGCGCTGCTGAGGGCTGCAGGTTTGGGTGGGGGGCTCAGCAACTTGCTGTCCGGTGGAAGCCCCATGCCCACCCTTCACTAGGCAAACTCACTCACTTGCATCTCCCCTCCCCTCCCTGGTCAAAGGTTAAGCAGGGGCAGGGGGTAGAATTTTGCTTACTGCCAGTTGCCCACTTGAGCAAGCAGGTAGTACCAGTCGCTACTAGGAATATACAAAAAGCTCTTGTATTGAGTCAGGTCACTGGTTCATCTAGCTTAATCTTGTTCGCCCTGACTGGGAGCAACTTTATAGGGGTTCAGGCAGGTGTCCCTACCTGGGACCTTCTGCAGGCAAAGCAGATGCTCCACCACTGCTCTTCTTCTAGTGAAAGGGAGACGGCAGTTGAGTGAGCAACTGTAGACACCATACCACTCTGTGTTGCCATTGCTGCTAGCTCACTTGCCCAGTAGGGTGAGTGACACTGGTGACTAGAAACAGGACCTGCTTGTCTGTCCTCTCCCTTTCCACCGGTGCTGCTTGCTTGCTGCATGTGTGAGTTGACAAACAGACACTAGAAGTTCCTATCTGCTTCACTGAGGGATGAAGAGAGGCTATAACAAGCATTGGTGTTCACAATGTTACATGTACCTAATCTAGAGGGGAAGAGGAGTAGAACTTTAATACCTTCAGGAGGACCCAATCATGCTGCTGTGATGGATACTTCTACAGACAGGTTGTGGTTGGTAGTGGGCTCTCCTTAGGCCATGGCAGTTGCCGGAAGAATCCAGCCCTGGGTAGGGGCTTCCCAGAGAAGTAGAGGAACTCTTGATGGCTCTTTGCTCACCCATGACATAGGGAGCAGTGATGAATGCTAGGGCAGCTGTCACCACTGTGAACCAGTGATGATTGTCAGTAGCTGCTTTTAGGGAGAAGTGGGCAGAGGAGCTCACATCAGCAGTTGCCATTCCCAGAAACCATTGGTGTTTACTTGCTCTGGTGCACTAATGAGCAGCATTGACAGCCTTTCTTTTCTTGGCAGTTGGTGAATGTTGTTGCTGTCAGTTTGTTCAGGTGAGCTATTGGTGATAGAAGTGGCAAACAAGGAACAACCTCCATTCCCTACCCTCCAACACAAGAGAGTGAAGAAGACAGTGAGCCTTATGGTGAGGACAGGGGTCCCCTAGACAGCAAGTTGGCATGGGCCTATCAAACCTGGAGCTAGTTCTACTGTAGTAGAGACACTTAGGAACTATTCTGTGAAGGATTTTTCCTCCAGTGGGCCTTACATCCAAGCCATTTACTAGGGTTTCTATGCTTAGAATGTTTATATACCCATAGGTATGAGTGGTTTGATAGGCATTGTTAGTGCCTTCTACAAAGTGAGATGCACATTAATGCTTATTGTGGGCAATAATACATTTAATCACACACCCAAGAGGTACCCCGTTCAAAAAGTCTTGCTGGATCATATCCATGTACTGTAGTTAAATACCCCCCTTCCTGATGCCTCTGGAAAGCTTACCCTGATTTCTCCCCCCCCCCCCTAAAAAAAGTTTCATAATTAGGACCTTGAGCTCCTTCAGTTTAAGATACCTGGAAGTATTATTTGTTTATGCAGTAGATCTTCATTTGACTTCTCTCTTGAGCAGGGAAGGCAATATTCCTTTTGTAGAAGGAGAGGTATGTTTAAATGCCAGCATCTATGTCCCAAGGAGGATTGGATAAATCCTAGGCACCTGTGCACTTACATATTTTATACTGACATTTTTATATTGGAGATAATTTGGCTCTGCAATATTGGTAACTACTTATAAAGAGGATAAGCTATTAAAATGTTATATCTGCGCTGACCCTTTCCCTAGGCACCTGCCCTGTTCTGAAAGTAGCTTTCATCATGGTTGCTAAGTGCACTTTATTCCAGAACTTGGAAAGTCCATAGAACATAATGGATCTTCTATTTCAGAACATGCTTGTTCTTTTAACACTCTCTATAACATGTTACAACTTCAAAATGTCTTACTTTGACATTTTTACCCACTATTGCTACTGCACACTTAGAGACTCCATTGTTTATAACAGCAGCTTCTTTATGGTCTAGTAATAACATTTCTTCAAGTCTCCTGCAATCTACTGGTGGGTACCTCTTTCATCATTTAGGATAATGAACTGAGAATCTTAAATAGCTTTGTGGGTCTGGACCTGAGGCATTTGCTTTTAATCTCTGAATACAGATACTGTGTTACACTTCTAGTTCTTACAAGTAGGTTACCAATTACTGTTTGAAAATGTTTCATCTGAATTTGGTTGCAAATACAGTGAAAACATTTTTTCTGGATGAAGCAAAAATGTGAATATGTACTGGAATATTATTCTGCAGACTGCAATTACGTCATACTCTATTCTGTTTATGATTTTTCAGGGTTGGGCTTCACCATTTTAATCATTATTGTTTTGTATTGTACCATGCACAAATGTCAAAGGAATTATTTCTGTTTAAGAATATTGTGTTGGTGTATGTGAAATTTCTTGCTCATAGTGTAATGATTTAATAATAATAATAAATAATAAGTTTTTATTTATACCCCGCTCTTCCTGGTTCAGAAACCCGGGCTCAGGGTGGCTAACAACAAATTTAAAACACTTAATTGTAATACAACATAAAAGCAGCATAAAATACAGTATGAAAGCATGAATAACAATAAAGTTCAAAGTTCAAAAATCAATTTGAGGGAAATCCATCCAATAAACATTAGTCACCAGGGCTAGCTGGCTAAATTAGACCTACAGTGGTACCTCGGGTTACAGACGTTTTAGGTTACAGACTCCGCTAACCCAAAAATAGTACCTTGGGTTAAGAACTTTGCTTCAGGATGAGAACAGAAATCGTGCGGCGGCAGCGGGAGGCCCCATTAGCTAAAGTGGTACCTCAGGTTAAGAACAGTTTCAGGTTAAGAATGGACCTCCGGAACAAATTAAGTTCTTAACCCGAGGTACTACTGTACTTGGGCCAGTGAGGAGGCCAGGGCAGAATTAGCTGTGGGATCCCAGAGTGGGTAATTTTCATAAAAAGTGGGGAGGGGGGAAGAGAAGGGAAATAAAAGATCAGGCTGAGTTCAAATTAAAGGCCAGGTGGAATATCTCTGTCTTACAGGCCCGGCGGAAGGAGGTTAAATCCTGTAAGGCCCTAGTCTCATGGGACCAGGTCGGAGCCGTCACTGAAAAGGCCCTGGCCCTGGTGGAGGATAGTCTGACTTCCTTAGGGTCCAGGACATCTAAACTATGGTTATTCATGGACCTTAAGGTCCTCTGCGGGGCATACCAGGAGAGGCAGTCCCGTATATACCAGGGCCCTAAGCCACGAGGGGCTTTAAAGGTCAAACCCAGCACCTTGAACCTGACCCTATACTCCACCGGGAGCCAGTGCAGCTGGTAAAGCACTGGGTGAATATGCTCCCATGGCAGGAACCCCATGAGGAGCCTTGCTGCAGCATTCTGCACCCGCTGGAGTTTCTGGGACAGTTTCAAGGGCAGCTCCACGTAGAGCAAGCCTGGAGGTGACCGTTGCGTGGATCACTGTGGCCAGATCAGGGCAGGAGAGGTAAGGGACCAATTGCTTAATGCGGCGAAGATTATCAGTGTTAATGACAATCACTAATAGACACTCCCCCCCCCCAAAAAAACCTATTACTAGCTTTATGTATGTATTTATTTACTACAAGCATTTCCACTTAGGAACTCAAGGCAGTGTGCATGATTCACTCTCTTTTTATCTTCTCAACAACTCTGTGAGGTATAATATATGACACAGGCCCAATGTTGCCCAGTGAGCTTCATGGTTTAGTGGGGATTTGAACCCTGGTCTCTCAGGTTTGACAGTCATACACATTCATTCCAGCAGACTGAATGAAAACTAACGGTTTTTGCAGTGGTAAATGCTGTTTCCTTCTACTTTGTGGATGTTGATTTGTTTATTAACTTTGTTTCCACCTGGTAAGTTCTTGTTAAAAGGGGAATTATGGTTACACAGAACCTGAATGCATTTCAGAAGCATGGAAACATGCTAAGGATGTTCCTATTTTTCTTGACTTGTATTTAAAAAATAAATAAATCTTGTTTGAGGTGCTTTCTCCTTGCTGTAGGGTACTGCAGACATTTGCAGCCATAAAGGGTAGAGCTTACCTAATTTTTCTGACAATGACCTAGTTGCTGATTTTTGTAGTACTGTCTATTAAAGCTGTGAAATGGCACGTGCAAATTAAGTGGTTGTTGCAGTATTTATCCTTGACTGGTATTAGGATTATGAGCTTCGTTTTACTATTGTAGGTGGAAAGCATTTCAGCATACTGATGTGTGTTTGCGTGCACCTTTCATTATGTTCCTTTGAGGTTAGGTGATTGTAAGAAGGCAGGAAAACCAAGCTTTGATGCTTATATAAAACACGTGATTCTAACAAAGCTTTGAGTAGTGCTACAGAACGCTGAGCAGTTAAAGGTGTCTCCTGTAAATTTGAGGAAAGTTGTTGCACTTTGAACAGCTTCTATAAGGCAGGACGTTGTAGTTGGTTCTTCTTAGGGAGATGGGTCTCTGGACGTTTTTCAAAGGCCACTTATTTTGTCTTACCAGCGCAATGTTACAAAAAATGTTAATTCGAAAGCAGTTGGAGGCAGAGTAGTTCTTTTCGCAATTAAACGTATGCTTGCGGATTCTGTTTCGGACCACTATTTTTAACAGGTTCAATTTACGGTCCCTAGTACAGAGATCACACATAAGCACAACCCTGTACATACCGTCGGGCTCCTAGCCCCGCGGGATCAGCAAGACTTAAGATACGCGGAAGCCTCTTCAGGAGCACGACCCACCTAGCTCTAGCTAGTCTGGCCATAAGTGGACGAATGGCCTTCCTGGCCAGGCCTCTTGTTCAGCATGAGAACCCGTTTGCGACAGAAAGGGAATCAAAAAGGCTTGCGAACTGGTTAGGGTGGGGACCCTCCGCGGCGCGGAAGCCTCCGTAGAAGCGCTCTGCCTCTCTGATCGGGGGTGGGGGAGAGCGAAGGGGCGGAGTGAGCGCATGGTCCGTCCAGGGCGGGGATCCCTGCCTTTGTTTGTCACATGGCCCGGGGAAGGCCCTTCGCTCAGGTGCGACGGGAGGCGGAGGTTGGTGTCGCCGGCTGCGACGCGCCCCGCCCTTGGGGGAGGCGCCTCCTTCTCTGCCGGTCGGAGATGCAGCTCTCCGCCCGCTCCTGCTGCTAAGCCGGGCCGCGGTTGCTGGGCAAGCGAGAGTCCGGCCTAGTCCGCCCTGGGGGAAGGCGACGTTGTCCGGCGCCCGCTGCAAGGTAGGGCGGTGGCACTGGTGGCGAGGCCTAAATCCCCAGGGTGAAGGCCAGCTGGGGAGGGCGACTGTCATAAACAATGCCGGGGGAGCGGCCTGCTGCCCCGCTGCATTGGGTGGCCAAGTTGTACCGAGCAGCGTCTCTCGGTCGGTCGGTCGGTCCGGCTGGCGAGCGGCGTCGGCCGATTTGTTGTGCTGGTGGTTGTAGATGTCGACTGGCTCCGAGCTGCAGTAACTGGGGAAATGTGGCCCTGCTGGGCATAGAGCGGGAAACGGTGTCTGGGGAGCCTTCGGCAATTCCTGTCGCAGGGGAAGGGGACGTGCGTTGTAGGTCTAGACCGGCAATGTGATCTGGGACAGAAAGGGGATCCTTGACAGGGAAGGGATTCGGATCACCTTTTGAGATTCCCCTGTATGTGCTTGGAAGACGCTGGGGTGAGGTGGGGTGGCATGGGCGCGAGATTGTCTTGAATGAAGAAGGCCTATGTCAGGAATCCTCAACATCGAGCGCTTGAGCATTTGAACGGAGGTGTTATGTTATGCTGTTCTACTCTGTGAATGTTCACAACAACAACGCTGGCCCTATTTCAGGGTGCTTGCTTATTATGCTTCGTAGGAAATTTTCATTCTTTGAAATTTAAACCAGGGATGCTTAATTTTTGACTCTCCAGATGTTGGACTACAACTCCCACTAGAAATCAAGCAGGCACTATCCCTGTTTGAGATCCCTGGTTTAAAAGGTTTTTCAGGAAGTCCTTGTGTTATGAACTTGTTCTAATGTTTTCTACGTTCTGATGTTGTAACTTAAGTGTTAAATTCAATCTGTTGTATGTTTTGCTCTTTCCTGTAAACAGCTGTGAGATACATAGTAAAAAGTGGGGTAAAGTAAAGGTAAAGGGACCCCTGACCATTAGGTCCAGTCGTGGCCAACTCTGGGGTTGCGGCGCTCATCTCGCTTTATTGGCCGAGGGAGTCGGCGTACAGCTTCCGGGTCATGTGGCCAGCAAGACGAAGCTGCTTCTGGCGAACCAGAGCAGCGCACGGAAACGCCATTTACCTTCCTGCCGGAGCGGTACCTATTTATCTACTTGCACTTTGGCGTGCTTTCGAACTGCAAGGTTGGCAGGAGCAGAGACTGAGCAACGGGAGCTCACCCCGTTGCGGGGATTTGAACCACCAACCTTCTGATCGGCAAGTCCTAGGCTCTGTGATTTAACCCACAGTGCCACCCGCGTCCCTAAAAGTGGGGTATAAATATCTTAATCATCCCTGACTGGTCATGTTAACTGGAATCCAACATCTGGAAGGCCACAGCCTAGGCTAACTTATTTTAAGCTTTTTGTATCTGGTGCTTTGCAGAGCATTTTTTTAATTTAAAAAAAATGATTTCTTTTCTTGCGCTCCTCTTCATAAAAAAGACTTCCAGGGATGTATTGTATCCCAATTTGGTACAAAATTTGAGGAATTATTTTTTCGGGATTACAGTACAAGTTTTTGAAAATGGTACCAAACAATGTTTTAAAAGGCTTGTAACAACAAACAGTTCCTAGAGTTATAGCAGAATTCTATAATGTTTACCCAGAAGCAAGTCTCACTACCCCATGCTTCAATTTTATTAAGTCTGTTACAAAAGTTGGGTGCCTCCCACTCTCTCTGCTGGGTGGTGGCAAAAGCCCATGGGTATTGAGACACAGCAGAGACACTTGTAGCTTTAAGAAATATGGGTTATTCATTCATTTACCCCTTCAATCTGCATTGAGGGAGTCCAGATCTTACCGCATGGTCATTTCAAGAGGGGCTTGTACCCCACAGCAGTGCAGCTCTGGAGTCCAAGTCATCTCTCCCAGTAATTTTCTCAGCCAGCCTGTCCAAAAAATGGCTCCCAACCCTTCTTCATCCTCCTTCCCTGAACCCCTTACTACCAGACTCCCTTTTCCTGTCACCTCAAACATTGTTTTGCTGGCAACCTTCCAAATCCCCAGTCACTGTTCACCTGGGGTGGGGGGAAAGGACAATTCCTCAATGATTCTCTATTGTTTCTTAAAGGCTTGGCCAGCTTGTTTAGCATAGGCTAGTCCAGGAATTGATCTTCAGATTGTATTTCTCCCTTCACACCCCAAATCATCAAAATCCTACCATTTATTAAATTCTGAGAGTAACCCTAATCAAGCACTGTGTTTCTGGCTTCAGAAAACATATGATTACTTTGTTGGAGTGCTCAGTTCATTTGTTCTCTCTCCCCAGTTCTTTTTGATTGGCTGTTTTCTTTTAGAAGACATCTGAAGGTAGCCCTGTTTAGGGAAATTTTTAATATTTGCTGAATTATTGTATTTTAATCTTTTGTTGGAAGCTGCCCAGAGTAGCTGGGGAAATCCAGCCAGATGGGTGGGTTATAAATAATAAATAATAAAAATTATTATTGTTGTTGTTGTTTTATACTTGAAACAGCAACTGCCATACTGTAAAATATTTCAAATGATGCAGTCAAATTTAAGCACTTTTAAGTCCCCATTATCTGAAAGTAGGAAAAAGTTAAGCATGTCTGTTAATCCTGTTGAAATTGAGAAGGCATAAAGGTGCTGGGTCATTTAGCTCAATCTGATATCTTTAGCTCAATCTGAATATGTTTTCTTTGAAATAAATCTTACAGATTTCAGTGTGGTGTACTCTGGAATAGCTGTATGTAGGATTGCAGTTACCGGTAGATACTTCAAAGTCACATTGTGTATTTAAAACACAAATAATCAATTCTGTACAATTCTGATATTAGAAAGCTTTTATCATTTGTGTCCTCAAAGCAGCTTCTGTGAAAAGTAACATTTTGAGATGGCTTGGTTGTGTTGTTGTTTGATAGGTGAATCTTTCTTGCTGTGGGTGATGTTGGAGGTCCATCACACTGTTAAACAGTAGAATGCACTGGGTAATAAACTCTGGGCTCACCATACTTGCTACGTGGTCCAGAACAAATTACAATTCCTCTGCCCAGCTAATGTCATAGAATAATTACAAAATTAGATGTGAGTTCCCCATAAAAAGCAAAAAAAGGAGGGCAAGCTGAATGAACAGATTTGATCTTCAGTTGCTTCATCTTTTAAGCATTGGGGAGCTACAGGTGAAGTTTTGCAAATAGAATTGGAAAGGAAAGTTTTGTTAAAAATTAATCTGAGGTTTTGCTTCTAAGTGAGATCTTGAGCAAAGCTTTTCCTTGGTTGCAGCAAAACAATAGTAACTTACGGAGTAATGACAACAGTGGCAGTGATCCAAGTATCAGTTCAAAAGTAGCGATCACAGTGTGTACTGCAATTAAACACATCTATTCTGAGCTACCTTTGGTTCTCCCTCCTTATCTTCTGTCTTCCTCACTGGCTCTGTTCATATCTCCGTTCATGTGCTGTGGGTTCATTTGCTCCCCTCTCTCACCTCAGTTTTCTTTTTCAAAATCAAGGGGCCTATGACTATTAACAAGGCATTACTTCCAAGCCACTGAAGATTGAATGCATGACATTTTAATAGAGCCATTGTCTATTTTAAGCGGGGGTAGGGGCGCTTATGAAGCTCTAAGATGTCATGTATGCTCATTGTGTTGTAGCAATAGCTGATTCATAAAATGCCTGCTTCATGCCATGTTGATCGTTGGGTGGGTGGGTGCACGACTGTGATTTGCCCCTACTGATGTCTGGGATCTGCTGAACAAATGCTGCCTGTTTATGCAGCAGCATGATCTTCCCAGCTTGAGATAAACATTACCAGGACAGAAGTGATGTGGGACAGCTGACTGCATGGTTTTGACGCTACCCCAGCTGCAACATAAGCTGCTTCTATGGCAAATGCAGGAAAGCATCCAGAGGCAGTTTGGTCAGGGAGTGCAAAGGAAAAGAGTCTTGCACCATCCTAACCTATTTTGAGTCTTTCCAAGGGGAAGGACTGTGGTTGTGAGAGCAGGTAAACCTGTTCAAGGTGCCCCAGAAAGGAATTGGAAACCAGAACAACACTAGAGGGCATCCCAATTTAACCAACCATATCCTTTTTGAGCACTTGAACACTGACATTAGCTTTCTTCTCATAAAGGGAGCTGACTGCTTCCATCTAAGGCCAACAGGCGAGGAAAATACTCAAGTTGGTACTGGGGGGAAAACTACTTTAAAAGCATTGTTTGTATTGCTGAAATAGCAAAGGACCGCAAAATATTGTTTTTTTAAAAAACTTCATATTTTTTGCAGGTACTGCAGTGCTTCACTTAAAATCTTATGTACTATATTTAAATATAGTAAAGTATAAGAGACGAGTAGCTTTTCTACATGATATGTAAGGAAACTACCTCACATTTTGAAACTTGGATTAATGACTAGTTTATTGCAAACAAGCTATATGCTTTTAAAATTATTGTTAACGTTGACAGTCGTCCTGTTTTGTATGGCATTTTAGTGCCTGGTTCACTATTAAAATCTCATAAGTGCACTTGTTCTTTATACAGTTTTTAGGGACCTGGTAAGCATTTTCTGCCATAGTTTTAGTTGCCAGTGCGAGGGATTGTCCTACATAACTTATTAAATTAGGAGCCTGAAGCTTGTCCTTTATTTTTGACTGTTTGGAAAGAGAATTGCACCTGCATTCTTTAACATTTAACAACTGACACGAAGAGCCTTATAGTTTCAGTGCTTATGGTCCGCTGGTATTAATGTTATTGTTTTTAACTATTTCAATAAAATACTACTATTGAATTTTTATTTTGTTTTATAAGAAAATTATACCAAGAGGAGGATGAGGAGTAAAAATGTGATAAGGGAAAATAAAAGAATTATGTGATCTGTGAAGGTTGTATATATTAGGTGCTGAATATCAATGACTATCTTGTAATCCCTTCTGTAATAACTGACAGTGGGAGTACACTTTTGTAGCAGAACCAGTAATTGGGATGCCTGTGATTTTTAAACTGCTGCATACACAATCCTGAAGTGCTTTGGGGAATTTGCCTCATAGTTGGAAATGGATACTAGTTCCCATTTGAGGTAACTCAAAGGCTATTCTATAAAAAAATAAAATAATGTAACATTATACAAAGTTGACATTTTTTTCTTTTAATTCAGTATACTATCAATAAAGTAGATGCTGTTTCCCCAAGTTTGCTGGTGATGCTGTTACCTTTTTGCCTCCTTGAGTAGATTTCGGCATGCCTGAATCTTCTAGGCTTTACTTGTCATCTTACCAGTGTGTCTATACCTTATTGTTAATATAAGAAAATCTTATTTATACTAGTTGGACCAGATAGCCTTCAAATACATTCCAACTCTTTCTTTTGCATGAATAAAAATGACCTCTTTGTAACTATTCTGGAGAACCTTGAAATGTTTTCGGCATTATTTAATATTTTATACATTAGTTCAGACGTTATACAGAATGTGTAGGAGGTGTTGGAACAGGTAATGAAATTATTGGGTGGTGCTTGGCTTCCTGTCCATAATTAATATTAGGTAAGGCAATCTCAACCTACTGTGGCTTCAGTGAAGTAATTCTGTATAAATAGTTGACTTATTTTGCCAGCTTAACCTCTCCTTTCAACCTGGCCACAGAAGTTAGATTAAACTGGTAATAGGTGTATGGTGTTTTTGTTAAGCATGTTCTCTTTGGAAGATGAGAGGTTTTCCACTGCTGAACAGTCTTTGGATGTCATCCTGGGGCCTCCTCCAGCTCCAATGTGGTTTGAAAGTAGTTGCTGAATTTGGATTTCCTTGTGTATTTTTTCCTATACACAGGAATAGGGAAAAAATACACCAGTAAGATCACTTGAAGTTGCTTAAAATTCTGTTTCTCTTCCACAGTCTTAAAAAGCTTTTAAAATCTATTCTTTGGGGCACCACAGACTTGCTGTCTCTTGCCAGTAGCTGCTGTGATAAATTTCCACCAGTTGATAGTAGCCCATTTGGTTATGGTGCAGCAATAATCACTTGACTCTAGGGTTAATATGGGATGAGGGCATGTTGGTGCAGCCGTCTTGAGTTAGGTGACAGAGGGTTGTGGGATTGCATATCAGCAAGTGAATAACAAGACTTTAGTGGTGCAGACAGGAAATAGAACAGGCTGTAGGAAGGTAGAGGTGCTTCTGCAGTCTGGAAAATGCTGGTTGTCGAGATTAAAAGTGCAGTTAATTTAGTGGCTTAATAACTTGCTCTGTATTGTGCATCATTAGTTGAATTTGGCATTTAGAAATATGTTATTGACCTGATGAAGTTGACACTGTATCAGCTCTGAGAAAGCCATTTATGTTAAAATACTGCTAGACCATGTAAACTTGCATATGTCTTGGAATGATCTTACAGAGTTGGGTGTGTTTCAGAATATATTAAAAGCACTTTAGGGGACTGAATGAGAGTCCGATTAACTATGTTCCTTACTACAGAACATTATTGCTGCATCTATATAATTCTGAAGGAAGATTCCTGTTGCTTTTGTGTCTGCCAAAAGAGGGACAGCAAATTACTTAATGATATATTTTCTCATTTCATTGTAATTTCTATAGCCCTTTTATGGTGGCATTGATCGTGCATTGACAGTAAAAATTGAGGTTTGTGTGTATTTTGCAAATGCAACTATGACCAGTGACTGTTAATTTTACTTTCACCCCTCCTACCTAGGAATTACTGATTTACAAGAAACTAAAGCACCATGGGGGATGATAGTGAATGGATGAAATTACCCATTGATCAGAAATGTGAACACAAGGTAAGAAGATTGTCTTAAACTGTAACATAGGTTAAGACAAGATTGAGTATGTGTGTATGTTAGCTGCCAAACTTGTTAAAGGATAACTTCAAAATGACTTGTGTATACACTAATCTTTTGGGTGGAGTATAAATAATAAATTGTTATTATTAGAAATTGTTTGGTCTTTTTGTATAATTATTTGAAATGTTTGATGTTCTTCTGCATGTCTTCTCAAATGAGACCAGTTTGCTCACTGACTTGCATTGCATGTGACTTTGCTTCCATCCATAATGGAAGACCAGTTTTACGAATACTCTCAAAATCAGTTATAGAGGCTATAGAAAAATAGCTACTTTGTTTGATTTTTGTCTTATGGGGTCACTGATAAATGTTTAACAGAGCAAAATGGAAATGGCAGGTAGTAAATATGTCTGTTATATGAGAAGCTATAGGAAAAATTTAGGTGCTATTTCTCACTTGCTGCTTTTATTGTTCTAATAAAGGGGGGGGAGAGAAAACTATTATTTTAGAGAGTTAACATCTTGTTCAAGTTAAGCAGAAATCTTCCTGATATCTTTCTATTCTCGTCCTAGTTGTGGAAGGCTAGGTTAAATGGCTATGAAGAAGCCTTGAAGCTGTTTGAGAAGATAGATGATGAGAAGAGCCCTGAATGGTCCAAGTATCTTGGACTTGTAAAGAAATTTGTGACCGACTCTAATGCAGTTGCTCAACTGAAAGGATTGGAAGCAGCCCTTGCCTATGTTGAAAATGCCCATGTAGCAGGAAAGTAAGTTACTTGGTGTTTGCCTTCACTCCACATTTTCTAGGAAGGAACTCTATCAGCTCTTGCCTTGCTGCAAATAATTCACCAGAGGAAGCATTAATTAAGTGACTCTGACTTTTCTTGAGACTCTAGAAATTCTCCTATGAAAACCTCATTTTTTACCTATTCTCCTTGTAATCTCCCTATTGTAAGATTTTGTTGCTCCTTCATAATTTACCCAAAATTTCATTCCTTTGTAATAAATGCATGCGTTCAGATTTGTATCTTACACACCTTTTAACAATAGTCTTACTTTCGGTAAACTTTGAAAAGCAGAAAAAGAAGTTTCAATCGTAGACAAAGATTTGGAATTAAAAGGGGTACAAAATCCAGTTGCAGTTTTTAAGCGAGCATCACATTGCTGCTGCCTTACATCAAGTGGTTTATGGGTAGCCTTAGAGCTGCTGGTCAAGCAGAGAAAAATTAAGTGATGCATATACATGTCTGTAAACCAACATTTGACATGTACTCTTGAATTACAAGGGAACCTTATATTTCAGGGTGATCTATTCGCCTGTTGCTTAGGGCTAGAATGAGTCATTAAAGGACACTTCAGATACACTTCACATGAAAATTGTCTGTGATCAGAATAAATGTTTAAATGGCTGCCTTAGGTCATTTAACAAGATATGTAAGAGTCCAGCATTAGACAGAAGAACATGGATGGAGATTAGTGCTGTGATTTGTTTGGAGTAGAGTGCATTCCTGTACATACAACAAACAAAACTTAATTCCCCCAGGGAACAGAATGGTTAATGTTTATGTGACCTAAAAGTGTTGCCTTCTTTTTCTTTTTTTAAAGAACAACAGGAGAAGTGGTGTCTGGAGTTGTAAATAAAGTGTTTAATCAGCCTAAAGCTAGAGCCAAGGAGCTTGGCACAGACATATGTCTTATGTTTATTGAAATTGAGAAAGGGGAGATAGTACAAGAAGAGCTTCTGAAAGGCTTGGACAACAAGAATCCCAAGATCATAGTTGCATGTATAGAAACACTGAGGAAAGCACTAAGGTAAGTTAATCTGAAGAAGCTGTCATTCCAGCCATGTGAGGAGAGGGGTGTTTGTGGTGATTAATAATCTGGGGAAACCCAGCCAGATGGGCGGGGTATAAATAATAAATTAATATTATTAGTATTAGTATTATATAATAGAATTTGGTATTGGTATTTGAGAGTGCACTGAAGCAATTATAACAATCTACTAGAACAGAGCAATACACGGAATTGTATGACTCTTGATGAACTCTATTGTAGCTTACTGCGCTGCCAAGGAGAGAAATTGATCCAATTTAACAGATGGTTTCCTTAAAAACATTCCTGCTGGTAGCATAGTTGTTGATTAATAAAATAATTGTTAAAGACAAAGCAAAAATATTTGTCCAGGATCAAAGAAGCCATGAGAGTGTCACATGCCCATAATGGCTTTTAACTTTAATACTAGCTCATACAGCATGCCAGGTCACTTTTTTTTTTTAATGGTGGTTTCAAAAGTAGTTTGTGACTTTAAAAATGGGTAGCTCCCACTTGATCATGTTGTGGATGCATCTAAATAACTATTCTAATTCCTCTCAGACTTCTTTGGTTATGTTTTGTCTATTAAATAATTGCAAGTCTAATCACAAATACTCCATTTTCAAAGTGTTTTTAGTGAAGGGATTCATGGAAATAACTAATTTCTATCTTCAGTCTTGCACCATTCATATGTTCAGATACTGAGATTGTTAATAAGCAGTTGATTATAATCCAGGTATCTAAATTATTGTATATATACTTCATAGTTATAAGCAGGAGAATTGTAGCTGCTGCTAAATTAATAATTGCATGAGCAGAACTTCACTCACATGACATTGATTCAACACATTGCCCATGTTTGTATGACTCAAAAGTAGGCAAACATGAAATTCCATAAGAGGGGAATGCAGGGAAACCAGTTTAAGTAACTATGTGCATTTAATGCTGCAATCCTAAATACAGTTAGGATTGAATTTGTATGAGAAATTCTTGTAAGTGCATCTAGTATTGTGTTGTGCATCGTATTCAAAGACTCACACACTTTTCAAATTAAATGTTAAGAGAAGGTTTTACATATTGGCTGTTTAGTATGAGTAATCTCAGATTAACATTGATTGAAATTGTTGCCAGTACAGATCTGCCAGATGAAGGAGCTAGTATACATAGTTCTCCTATTATAATAAGTTAAATAAGCCATGTTCTAATGTCACAGTAAGTCATAAACCATTAAAAAGTGGCATTCTAGTGTATGCTTTTGAATCACTCCTATTCTTCTCTTCCCTTTGTCAAATTTGGGAACAGCAAACCATGAACCTTGGGCTAAGTGTAACATGAAAACCAGCCCTCATTGTTAGTTTTGTCCAAACAAACCAGTACTTGTTCTTGGCTTACCAAACACAGTTTGTTTGGAAGGAACAATGAGTGCTGTTTCGCACATTATGTTAAGCCAGTGGTTGTGGTTTGTTGCTCCTGGCTCAATGAAGAGATTCAGCCAAGTTCACAGCTCATTCACAGGAAACCATGGCAGTGGCTTACCATGACGTGCAAGCAGGACCTAAGAATAACCGAGTCAATGTGCATTATTTATTTATTTATTTATTTATTTGTCTTGCATTTCAGTGAATATGGTTCAAAAATAATCTCACTGAAGCCAATAATCAAAGTGTTGCCAAAACTCTTTGAGTCTCGAGAGAAGGCTGTTCGAGATGAAGCCAAACTTCTCGCTGTTGAGATCTATCGGTGGATAAGGGATGCTCTCAGGCCTCCATTACAGAATATAAACTCTGTTCAGGTAAGCTTGGCAAGTACTGTTTTCTAGCATTCTTAGTGTAAGTAGCCGCCCACCAGTAGATCAGGGTATATTTTTGTTACATCTTTTGGCTTGAGCAAAAGGGAGGAAATGAATAAATCTTTAACCTAAGCATGAGGGAGGGCTGGCGTTTACCCAGAATTCATGCGGAATCTTTCCAAACAAGATGCTACTTCACACAGAGGCTTAATGTGACCAGGTAACCATGTCCCTTTCTTTAGCTTTAAGCTTCAAAAGGTAGAGTATCTCCCAGACCATGTTCTAAGTATGAAGTGGCTAAGTAAAAGCAAGAGAGCAGGTATATTTGAACCCCAGTGGTGTATCTGTGTTTTCATTGGGCTTTCCCCCCTTTAAGTAGAGGAGCAATTCATAAATAAGAGCACTATTATCCAGTAAGCAAAGGAGATACTTGGAAGTAGGGTCTCGGTTTTAGGGAAAGTAAAACTGTAACTGAAGACAGGAGTGCCTGGCGTGTTCTGGTCCATGGGGTCACGAAGAGTCGGACACGACTAAACAACAACAACAAAACTGTAAATATTGTTGTACTAGGGGCTGCCAACCCCATACCCCCACACGTGGCCACCCCCTCTCCTCTTTACATCTTGCCCATCTCTTTGCCAAGCCCCACACAGGACACCCACATCTCCCTTCACCTCACAGCTTGCCCCAACTCTCACTCCCTTTTAACAAACCACTCTCTGAAACTCCTCTCACCCTTCTTTAAACAGCTGTTGCTTAAACTTGCCTGCTTGCTGCTCTGTCGTTACATTGGCCTTAGGCAGCTACACAAACTTCAGCATGACAGGCTTACAAATTTATTATATAATAAGAAATGCCCACCAGACCCTAGCTTGAACTGATGTTTAACTAATATTTTCCATGAGAAATCTCAGATGTAATATTTTGCTGCATGTTTTTAGATCTGTCTCAACATTTTTATCTATTTTTAAACTGGCAGATAAATTCACACATTCAAGTGAAGTCACAGCATTGTATAATAGATTTATCACTTTTAGCTTATGCCTGCATTGTTAGCTGCCAGACTTGATAGAATGTTGCATAACTGATGTGATAGTAATTCATAGGTTCAAGTTAGCAAGTAATAACTTGAGTTGGGAATTGTGTTTGACATGGTCCAAAATTTGTCAGCTCTCAAATAATGAATGTCATTTTCTTGTCTTAAGCGAAAGTATACTGCTGTGAATCCCCTCCCCTTAAGACAGAGTTAAGACACTAATTAATTTCCCTGAATTTAATTTGGTGAAAAAGCAGTTAAATTGAACCTAGGTAATGAAGAGATGTTAATGATCTTCTGCTCTAGCTTTCCTACAGTAGCTCAGGATTATGGCAAGGTTAAGGAACAGTTTTACTTGTGACAAGGGAATGCACACATATCAGTAGGACATTTCGTGTTTTGATTCTCGCAGTTAAAAGAACTGGAAGAAGAATGGGTCAAACTACCGGTATCAGCTCCCAAGCAGTCACGGTTCCTTCGCTCCCAGCAAGAAATGAAAGCAAAGTTTGAGCAGCAACAGGCAGCTGGTGGAGATGCAGATGGAGGTAACTGTTGACTTGGGACTTCACAGTAGATACCTTTGCTGACTAAGAATCAGATGAAGGTGGTCAAAAAACATAAGCTGGCATAAAATGTTGATGCACATCAATCTCTAGGAAAAGTCATTGATTGCAGAGTTAATACTCTGCTTCACAGCTTATTATTTTACATATAATAAAGTAAAAAATGGTGACATAATTAGCCCATCATGGACTAGTGCCATGCTGTTTTTATTGAAATTATTTGTATGTTTTAAACGTATTTAGAACATATTATAACGTATGTTTTAAACATTTTTTGAAAATTCTATTGATGTGTAATCATCTTTAAGCTTTATTGAGTCTTGTCAGAGAAGAAGGCGGAGGATAAAATATATATAATAACAGTGTCTGGCTATATATACTAACAATTCTTTCAATAGGAGGAGATGATGGTGATGAGGCTGTTCCACAGGTGGATGCCTATGAACTTCTGGAAGCTGTTGAAATTCTCTCCAAACTTCCTAAAGATTTCTATGACAAAATTGTAAGTGGTGATTCAGTTAACCATTATTCCTTCTGTAATCTTAATACAGTGGTGCCCCGCAAGACGAATGCCTCGCAAGACGGAAAACCCGCTAGACGAAAGGGTTTTCCGTTTTTGAGTTGCTTCGCAGGACGAATTTCCCTATGGGCTTGCTTCGCAAGACGAAAATGTCTTGCAAGTCTTGAGATTTTTTTCGCTTTTCCCCTTTATCTAATCTGCTAAGCCTTTAATAGCCTTTAATAGCCTTTTAGCAGCTAATCCGCTAAGCCTTTAAGCCTTTAATAGCCGCTAAACCGCTAATAGCGCTAATCCGTTAAGCCGCTAATAGGGTTGCTTCGCAAGACGAAAAAACCGCTAGACGAAGACTCTCGCGGAACGGATTAATTTCGTCTTGCGAGGCACCACTGTAATAAATACACAAATGAATAATCTTTTTCTGAACCATAGACACTAAACTATCTTTCCCATTTTCTTTCACAATTAACTGTCATGTCCTATGTATCTACAAAACAGCTTCATTTTTCAGCAGTCTTAATTAAAATGGCTTCATGTTCAGGGACATTAAAGTATTTGATGGGAACTCCTGAGCTGTCATTGAATGAAAATAATAAAAGTGCTTTTATTATTGTTTATCTTGGGTTTCTACAAGTGTGTGAAGGTGCTTCTCCTGTACACAGAGATGCTGCCTCAGCACAAAAGCGCATCATGTCCAATAATGCATATACATAGACATAAATCATGTTGTGTATATAAGGCTACATGTTTTTCCAGAAACAGTGCACATCTATTTGCGTCTATGTCTGCTGGTGGTAAAAGTTTTCCCTCAGCACACATAGAAAAATCTATACTGTCAGTGTAAAAAACAAATGGCTGAAGAAGGCTCTGTCTGCAAGTGTTCTGGTTAACCTTACAGGATTTGCAACAATTTCTGAAGACCAAGGTATATATAATTTTTATGTTTTGCATTGCAGGAGGCCAAAAAATGGCAAGAGAGAAAAGAAGCTTTGGAAGCAGTGGAAGTGCTAGTTAAAAATCCCAAACTTGAAGCTGGAGACTATGCAGACTTGGTGAAAGCTCTTAAAAAGGCAAGGACCTCTCTAATACCCAAATAGTCCTTTCCAAGCCAAATATGTGGCATCACTATTACTGTATTTAAAAAGAGGTTTGATAATTCATTGGTTAACACAGAGTGTGATTATAAAGTTCATTCATGGGATTGATTTGATCATGTGACAGTGTTTGAATTGCTGGAATGGGAATAGAAACACTGACATTCAAATATGTGGGCGTGCAATTGATATAGGTGGTATAAGAAGGGGTTGGGTGGGGAAATGCAGCGTCTAGTATGGTTCTCCTGAGTCTGCAGAGGTACACTGCTGCTGCTTGTTTAGACATCCCATCCAAATAATCTGTACAATACAATACAATAATACTGTATTGTAATGTTCCTCTTCCCCCACAGGTTGTTGGAAAGGATACCAATGTAATGTTGGTTGCTTTGGCTGCCAAATGCCTTGCTGGACTGGCTACTGGTCTCAGGAAGAAATTTGGACAGTATGCAGGTCATGTAAGTATGCAGGTCACTACACAGAATACAACTATTATCTGCAGACTAGAATATCTGAGGTTAGCACTGAGCTATTACTGGTTCCTGCTGCTTGAATATGAACTTCTGTTAAACTTCTAACAAAGTGAGATGAAAAAGAGCATCTACAGGAAGGCTTCCCCACTTCGCTTTCCCCCTTTTTTAAAGGAAAAATAAGAGCACTTCTTAATTTTTAACCTTATTTTAAAGGGCTATCTTGAATAGGCTACTCGCACAGTGTTCCTTGAAGTAATACAAGTTCAGTGTGTTTGTTTTTCTGTGTATGGGGCACTCTCCTAGAGCACAGTGGGAAAACAAACATTAATTTCAACTTCTTAATACCTTGGTAACAATTTTTATAGGTTGTCCCAACTATCTTAGAGAAGTTCAAGGAGAAAAAGCCTCAGGTCGTACAAGCATTGCAAGAAGCCATTGATGCAATCTTCCTGACTGTAAGTGCATGGCTAGTAGTGTTTTAAACAAGTTTAGCAGACCATGGTTTTGCCAGAACTAATATCCTTTAACCAACCATTCTAGACCACGTTACAAAATCTAAGTGAGGATATATTGGCTGTGATGGATAACAAAAACCCAACCATCAAGCAACAGACATCTCTCTTCATCGCAAGAAGCTTTCGTCACTGCAATTCTACTGTCCTTTCTAAGAGCCTGCTGAAACCCTTCTGTGCGGCACTTCTCAAGGTAAAAAAAGAAGTTCTTAGCATTGTAGAGGTCTTTGTTTGGCTGAAAGTAGTATGTGGAACTGGAGAGTGTTTCTGTAGTGATTCTTGTGCTGGGATGCACAACAATCATGAACTGTTTCGTAGAAGAATTTTATTTCAACCAGGTAGGAGAGCAGACAGCTTGCCTTAACTCTGGAGAAGAAAGGAGATCATAGAATCATAGAATTGTAGAGTTGGAAGGGATCCTGAGGAGAGATGAGACCGGTATGAGAGCAGTAGCTCTCCAAAGGGAGGAAAGCCAAAATAAGCCAAATAAGCTTTGTAGCCCTTAACACAATTGCTTTTTTGTGCTTCGTTTACTATGAAAAGGGCTTACACATTGTGCATGTTTACAAGAAAAATCCAGGGCTTAAGACAAATTGTAAGAATCAATGCAGTTAATAATTTCTGTCCTTTTGCTGCAATGCTCAATAATAATAATAGTAATAATCAGTGGTGGAGCATCATCCATTTTTTTTGTTAGATTACTGCGATATGTTATATGTAGGGCTGCCTTTGAAGGTAGTTCGGAAGCTTCAGCTGGTGCCGAATTTAGCAACTGGGTGCTCATCAAAGCAAAACAGCTTGAGCATATAACACCTGAGCATATAACACCAATCCTGGCCTGACTGCACTTGCTATCAGTTGGTTTTGGGGCCTAATTCAAAGGGCTGCTCTTGACCTATAAAGCTGTATGTGGTACCCCTAGGACCACCTCTTGCCATATGAACCAACCCAGGCTCTGCAGTGGTAATTTGAGGTCTGGAGGCTTGACTGGTGCCAGGCAGAACTTTCCTATATAACCAGACCTTTGACCTTTAACTACATGTATCTTTCCCCCCTTGGTTTTAATCTACCAATGTATGATTGGTCCCGTCCCCCCTTTTCTTCTTCTTTTTGTTTGTTTGTAAGTCGTTTTGGGTTACCTTGGGCAAAATAAAAAAATGAAGAAATGTAATAAATAATAATAGTGTGAATGGGAAATCTAGTTGGCAAACTCCTCAGGTCTTGTGTTTTTGCTACAGCATATTAATGATTCGGCTCCAGAAGTTAGAGATGCTGCATTTGAAGCCCTGGGTACTGCCCTGAAGGTGGCAGGTGAGAAAGCTGTGAATCCTTTCCTGACAGATGTGGACAAACTAAAACTAGACCGGGTAAGTCTCACTGTTCTGACACTGAATCATCAGGCTTTTGCAGTTTCTAAAGACAGCAGCATTGGGGAAGGCCTGTACATGGGCTTTAGGCCACCGGTGGGGAACCTCCACAGTCCGTGTGCTGCATTTCGGCTTGTAACCAACTTTCATGTGGCCCATGGCAAAGTCATGCTCCGGGGCCTCCACCCCTTCAATCCTGAGCCTTTCCCAGCAAGAGAAAAGCAGTACATAGTGATGGGGAAGAAGCTTCTTTAGGAATGAAGGGGAAAGAGGTGGTTAGACTTAAAGGAGCTGTGCCTCCATGTCCGTGGACTTCTTGTTCCCAGTGCAGAATTCACCGCCTCTGCCTGAAGGAAGTTTTCAAGGAGGCAGTCAAAGTCTTTTCTTTTCCATTCTGTTGAGTTTTCCTGTTGCTAAGTGGCCCTTCATATAAAAAAGTTCCTTACCCCTGAGACTCCCACTGTTCACTAAGCTTCTTTGATTCCTCTATTTGCTTTAAGAGTGGCTGGGGCAAACCAGTCAGATGGGTGGGTTTCAAATAAGAGTTTATTGTTATTATTATTATTATTATTGTTGTTGTTGTTATTAAAGTTATACAGATAACACCTCAAAGTAACAAAATGTGTTAGCATTCATAAGAAGCATTATAAGTGATTCTTGGGGGCCTTAATGGTTACATACTGAAGATTTATTGTAACTCCTTTGGTCTTCTGATTCTGTCCACTAGATTAAAGAGTCTGCTGAAAAAGTGGAGCTGGCTGGTGGTAGTAGAGCCAGTGGAGGAACCGATAGAAAAGAGAGCAAACCTGTTCCTGGGAAGGCTCCAGCTCTTTCAGGGGCTGCAGGAGACAAAGATACAAAAGATAATTCCAAATCTGGTGCACAGAAAAAGGCACCTGCGGCTAAGGTAAGGGAAACTTAATCATTTTAAATTTTGAGTAGACCTATGTTAATATAAATAACTAATTTCATGTTCACAATGAGAAAGTACACAAGCTGCATTGGCAAATGAACAAATAGGGAGCCAGATGTTTTTCCCAGGGGAAGGGAGTGCTCTATATTGGGAGCTACAACAGATATTGGAACATATGGACATAGACTGACTGCCCTTTAATAAGTATTGATGTAAACTATTTAGGGTATTTAAGGGTAATAACTGACACTTTGAATTGTCATCAAAATAGAATTTGTTTTGGTACAAAAAAGGGAAACCATAGCTATTGAATTTTGCACCAAATGAAGTATCCAAATGCATCTTTGAATACAGTCCCAAGGAAAGTTCATTACAGTATTCCAGATGGTGCCTATTGTCACGCATACCTTAGTTGTGTTGATATGCCATCAGCCTAAAACATCACATTTCGATGGCTGAGAATATGGGAAAACCAGAAATGTGATGTAGACAGATGCTAGTCTTTTGAGAAAAGGCAGTCTGGAAAATGAGAATCCCTTTCTTTTTTTACTTTTCACTCAATTTCCTACCCTCATCCCAACAGCTGGCATGGTCATCATTTTAAAGCTTCAATCCAAGCTTTGCTTGGATTCAGAACTTGATTCAGAACTTTTAAGTGACTTAACCTGCTGCTTTTTTCCTGTGTAGTCTGGTGGCCCACCCAAGAAGGGCAAGCAAGCTGCAGCTGGTGGGGCAGGAAGTACTGGAACAAAAGGCAAGAAAGGATCTGAAGTAAAGGAGATATTTGAGCCAGAACTCTCGGTGGGTGCTTCATCTGTGTTAAAATTCAGTGTAAAATTCTGTTTTTTTAAAAAAATACCTGTTCATATTTTTTTTCCTGTGAAGGGTCAAAGCTCAGTAGTAGAGTGTCTGATTTGCATGCAGAAGGTCCTGGGTTCAGTCCCTAATGGCATCTCCCCAGATAGGACTGGGAAAAGGCTTCTGGAGAGCTGTTGTCAGTCAGTGTAGACAGCACAGAGCTGGATAGACAAAGAGGTTTGATTTGGTACAAAATAATGTTCACATTATTTGAGTTGCTGTTAGGTGTAAACATAGTGGTATTTCCCTAGAAAAAGTCACAAAATTAGCAAGGGCAGCCCCCCCCCCCTTTTTTTTAAGCCAGGTATAATACTTTTGTTCTGCATCTAAAGATCAATGGGCTTATGAACATGCTGAAGAAGAAAGGGGGAGAGAACATAAAGGGATTAGAGAAGGCCAGAATGGGAATTGTTTGCTAAATTACATAGTAGTAGTATTCAGGATCAGTTGAAATGTTCTAGCCATTTGTGTGGACACCAGTTTTAGGACATTTTAAAAGCAATCTTGTAGTTTATGCATCTGCCTACCATGGATGTGAAATGGCTTGGTTATTCTTGGCCCAAATAAAAGGGAAAGCATCAGATGTTTTATAGCAGTCCTGCAAGGCACAAACCTAAAGTTTTTCTTAACTAAAGGAGTACACCACAAGTGCAGTTCAGTGTAGTGTTAATTATTACACCATTTTGTACAGGTGCTCTCATGGGTATGGTTTTCTTTTTAATTTAGGTCCCTTGGCTATATAAAATATGCTGCAGCACAAAAATAATCTACCAAAATAATAATTTTTTCCTTTTCTCTTTTTGTTTGCAGATAGAGGTATGTGAAGAGAAGGCTTCAGCTGTCCTACCAGCTGCTTGCCTACAGCAGCTAGACAGTGGCAACTGGAAAGAAAGGCTTGCTTGCATGGAAGAATTTCAAAAGGTAATCAAGAGTGTGGTCTTTTGGAAGTTAGCCTGAATCAGAGAAGTGGTCTCTTGAGCTGTATACACCACCTGCTCATAGCTTTTGAAGTCCACTGAAACCCTTGGGCATCATACTATGCTTCATAACCTTCTGGACTATCCCTTTCTTACTAAATGCAGAGTTTGTTCTGATGGGACATGCAGACATCTTTTTCGAAGCTAGAACACTATTTCTGGGAAATTGCATTTCCCCCTCTATCAAACATCCTCTTCAAATTCATTAGCTAGTCTTGTAGCTTCACTGATGGAGAGCTGTGAATTGTTTCTTCCCCCACACCTTTGCTTAGGCTATTTCAAAAACAGTTACATTATTGTTCTGTTTTGGTGTGTTATTTCCTCTTGAGGCTGAGTATTCCTTGCTTCTGCAGTCCAGCAAGTGCTTATGAAGGGTTTAGGGCAACCAGTTTTGAATCCCCATATGATGTTGGTCCCATCATTCCTGCCCATTGGTCACATTGGCTAAGGATGATGGGAGTCCCAACAATAATTATCTTCCTCTCTCCCCTGCCCACCCTTGGTAATATATTGCTATTCTATGTTCTCCCCTTGATAGCTGTGGAACACACATCTCACCTGTTCATGAAACCTTTAAACCAGCCCACACTGTTAGCTTTACAAAGATGGAACCAAAGTGATGGGGTTGTATGGTGAAGATTTGATACAGTCTTCATCTCAGTCAGCATATACATTATGTGTGTTTCAAAGTCATTTTGACTTTCCCTTTCCTTAAGATAACAAGGGGAATGGGGGAGGATATTTAACCAAAACCTGGCTTAGAATTCAAAATCTCCAAAACAGAGAAGCTGCTTTTGATAATTTTCATGTGAAACTTTTAAAATTGAAAACTCCTCTTCCTACAATGAAGGGAATAATAGATACATCTGTTGTTAAGATAACAGATTCTGTGGATGCTAAATGGAGGCCTGACTATAACTTGAAAAAGAGTTCCCTAATGAGTGCTGGATTGTATAATGTTTCACATTTTCTAGAATTAATTATCATCTTCTCCTACTCTTTAAGGCTGTTGAGCTGATGGATAGAACTGAAATGCCTTGCCAGGCTCTGGTAAGGATGTTGGCCAAGAAACCTGGATGGAAAGAGACCAACTTTCAGGTAAAGCAACACTGTTGTGCTATTAATGCAGCTACTGCTAGGAAAAGCTGTAGCATTAACTACTGTAATCTTTTATAGCAACTGAAGTCCAGCAAAATTACATTGGTGTTTAGGAAAACGTTGAGAACTATTCTCTTCAGAATAGTATGCTGAATCAACCAAATCAGACCTGGGTACATACAGCTAAAGCCACAAGGCATGGGCTGAAGCTACATTCACATCCTTTATTTTTCCTATGCAGGTGATGCAGATAAAACTTCACATAGTTGCTTTGATTGCTCAGAAGGGAACCTTCTCCAAAACGTCTGCACAGATTGTGCTGGATGGTCTTGTGGATAAGATTGGTGATGTGAAATGTGGGAACAATGCAAAAGAAGCGCTGACAGCAATAGCGGAAGCATGTCAGCTGCCTTGGACTGCTGAACAGGTATGTGAAAGGCTAACAACAGTATGAAACCAGTTTTTACATGTTTATTGGTCATTTATTTTAGTTAGTCTTACTGCCATATTCTTGTGGCTGCATGAGTTCTAGCTGTATTTTCAAAAGCAGTAATTTAATCAAAGCTCTCTTCATGCAATGTTAATAGAAGCTTTTTGCTCCTCAGTTTTACATTGTCCTCCTTTTGAGACTGAATTACTGGGAGCAAGTTGCTGATACCACAGGAGGGGAAAGTGCTCTTGAGCTCAGAATCCCACTTGCTGGTTTCCCACAGGCATCTGTTCGGCCACTGTGGGAAAAGAATGCCGGCCTAGATAAGCCATTGGCCTCATCCAACAGGCTCTTCCTATGTGCTTAAGATAATTGCAACAAGTTTGTGTGGCCATGTGCCATAAACTGCCTTCCAACCTTTTTTGTCTCATGGGCGGCTTAGGTGAAACTGTCAAAGGTGCCATTACAAAATGGTTGCTGCAGGAGTATGGCTAGCCTCAAAATGACTGGTTCATGGGTAGACCTAGATTGCTCTGTTTATCCACCACCGTCACATTCCCTGTACACAAAACAAAAGGCTTCTGCTTGCCATGTGCAGCAGCAGATATCTTGTTAGCAACAGAACTGCCCCATGCTGCCTCCTCTGACTCCCCCAAAAAGCCTTTTTGCAAAGCATGGGCAGCAACCAGCCAGATCACCAGGTTGGAGGGACAGGGTGGTGCGGAGGTGGGGGCCAGGTTTGTTATCACCAGAGGATAAAGCCCTGGGAAGAGGTCACTGCTTCAGATTCTTCCAGCCCACTGCCCAGCTGAGCAATGGCAGGTGCAGGAAGTCGAGATTTTGTCATTTGGCTAATTTTCTTTGTAAGGCTTTAAAAAATCCAGTTGAAGGGAGTGGAGTGCCTCTTGGGTGCTGTTTGCAGTCTCTGTAAGTGCCACTGCACCCATAGGTATTGTGTCTCTTTTAGAAGGTTGCATGTTCCTGATTTGTGGAGATGGGTAAAGTCTTACGTTTTCATTCTAGGTAATGTCAATGGCCTTTTCTCAGAAGAATCCAAAGAACCAATCGGAAACCTTGAATTGGCTTTCAAATGCAATTAAAGAGTTTGGGTTTTCTGGGTAAGTTTCAAAATACTAGACTAAAGAGCTTTAATATAGAGGAGCCATTTGACTCATAGATCAAGCACTACAGTCAGTTATTGTATCATTGGGCATCACCTAAAATGGGTGGAGAACCTCAGGCCTGAGAGCTGAATATGGCCCTCCCATTTTCTCCATCTGGCCCTCTGGACTCTCCTTCACCAGACTAGTGTTGAGTATATTTGTCTGGCTGAAATGTGTCTTTCCATCCCCCATGTGATAATTCTTTGTTGTTTTCCTGGCATTTCCAGCAGTCACTAGGATATTCTTGTTGGTGTTATATACCATTAATCTGGTATAATATCATTATTTTATAACAATTTTCTTAAATTCAGGCTTAAGGAGAACCTGTGGAATTCCCTTTAATATTTGAAGACTCCATCATTACCCCATGGTTTATTAAGTTTCTATAGCTAAAGAATTTCTGGTTGGTTCCTGTAATTCAGTTAAAGACTTACCTGGGTCAGAGAAACTAGAATTAACTACAGGCTTATCTAGAGAGATTTAAGATGGGTAATAATAGTCAAATGATGGTCAGAAAAGACACATGGCCAATAACTTTCTCTTTCTGATTCTTGACATCTAGCATTTGAAAAGTAGTGACAGTAAGGTGAGGCAATGTAGTTGTTCCAACTCTGAAAGAAAGTTGGAACAGGAAAGAGGTTTTTTTTCCCTTGCCCTACCTTCCATTCTTTAGTTGGACTGACATCTAGTCTTTCACTAAAAACTAAATACATTGGGCCTGTTTACCCACTATTTCCCCTGTCCCACGTTTCCTGTATAATGTGCAAATTCTCAGCAAGGAAGCTTCAAACCACCTGCCTCAGGAAAATGAAACTAGTTCAGTTCTCAGGATTATTAAACACGTTTTCTTGTAGGTACCATTTGAATTGCAATCCCATTGTGAAAATAGACAAAGTACCGTATTTTTTGCTCTATAAGACTCACTTTTCCCCTCCTAAAAAGTAAGGGGAAATGTGTGTGCATCTTATGGAGCTGTTCTGGCTTCTGAGATTCAGAATATTTTTTTTCTTGTTTTCCTCCTCCAAAAACTAGGTGCGCCTTGTGGTCTGGTGCATCTTATAGAGCGAAAAATACGGTACATTGTGTAAATAAGAGCTGAACAGAAAACTAGAGATTTAAATTCCATAGCAGTTGCTGCTTACAAATTGTTCCAAAGCAAACAAGTAGCTGTCCCGTATCTTGCTACTTTATATGCATTGTTGTGCTGCTTTCATCTAATCTGTGTGTCCCCCCTCCCACCAGATTGAATGTAAAGGCTTTTATCAGCAACGTTAAGACTGCTCTTGCCGCTACAAATCCTGTGAGTAAACTTCTCTTCAAACTTCAGTTCTAAATACAGTCTGAATGGTTGAAATTGAGCCTTTCTTTTTCCTATTTGACAGGCGGTGAGAACATCTGCAATTACCTTATTAGGTGTCATGTATCTGTACGTGGGGCCCCCCTTGCGGATGTTCTTCGAGGATGAGAAACCTGCTCTTCTTTCCCAAATAGATGCTGAGTTTGAAAAAGTAAGCTTCTTCCGAAGTGCTGCAAATGATTGTATTCAGCAGCTTATTGCACCAATTTAGGAGCCTTAGCTTGTGCGACTTTCAGTTAAGATACAGTGTTGTGCAAGCATGTGAACCAAGATGATGTGACTGTCTAACCACTGCTGACACCCACCCCCCAAATATGCATTCTCATTTGACTTTTCAGATGCAAGGACAAACAACACCTGCTCCAACTCGAGGCAATACCAGACACGTGGCTGGCAGTGGAGATGATGGGGAGGAAGGAGATGAACAAGAGGATGCAGGAAATGATGTTGTGGATCTCTTGCCAAGAACTGATATCAGGTTTGTATGGCTTTGGCATGCCGAGGACAATTTTTATAGCTACAACTTCAACATGCAAATTTATAGTTACTCATCTGTAAGCTACCGTATTTTTCGCTCCATAGGACGCACTTTTTCCCCTCCAAAAATGAAGGGGAAATGTGTGCGTCCTATGGAGCGAATGCCGGCTGTCGCTGAAGCCGGGAGAGCGCGCGGCGTCGGTGCGCACCGACACCTCTCGCTCTTCAGGCTCCAGGAAGCTATCTGCAAGCCTTGCGCACCCGGGGGGAGTTCCCCTGGGCACTCAAGGCTTGCGGGCAGCAGCCTGCTGCGCGAAGCACGGGGCATCCTCCGGAGGGCGCCCCGTGCTTCCCGCAGGTGTCGGCAAGCCTTGCGCACCCGGGGGATCTCCCCGGGAGCGCAAGGCTTGCGGGCGGCAGCCTGCAGAGCGGAGCACGGGGCGCCCTCGGAGGACGTCCCGTGCCCGCGCAGGTGTCCGCAAGCCTTGCGCACCCGGGGATCTCCCCGGGAGCGCAAGGCTTGCGGGCGGCAGTCTGCTGCGCGGAGCACGGGGCGCCCTCCGGAGGACGCCCGTGCTTCGCGCAGGGGTCGGCAACCCTTGCCCACCCGGGGGATCACCCCCCGGGAGCGCAAGGCTTGCGGGCGGCAGCCTGCAGAGCGGAGCACGGGGCGCCCTCGGAGGACGTCCCGTGCTCGCGCAGGTGTCCGCAAGCCTTGCGCACCCGGGGGATATCCCCCGGGAGCGCAAGGCTTGCGGGCGGCAGTCTGCTGCGCGGAGCACGGGGCGCCCTCCGGAGGACGCCCCGTGCTTCGCGCAGGTGTCGGCAAGCCTTGCGCGCCCGGCGCGTGGGGCGCCCTGAAGCAGAGCGCCCCTCACGCCGGGCAGACATCGGCCAGCCCCACAAGCTCGGGGGACAACGGGGAGGCGCAGCGCCGCCATCCCACTGTTCCCCGATCTGGTTTTGGGGGGGGAAATAAAGGAAAAAATTTTTTCCTTTATTTTCCCCCCAAAAAAGTAGGTGCGTCCTATGGGACGGAGCGTCCTATGGAACGAAAAATACGGTATGTTGTAAATTTGTATTCTCTGTGTGCACTGTTAAGATACTTATAATGTATTTCATCTTGTTTAACAGAAACTATAATCTGAAGTGCTAACTCTTCCTCTTCTTTTTAGTGATAAGATCACATCTGAATTAGTGTCTAAGATTGGTGATAAAAACTGGAAAATCCGAAAGGAGGGTCTGGATGAAGTAACAAGCATAATTAATGAAGCCAAATTCATACAGCCAAACATAGGCGAACTTGCACCTGCACTGAAGAGTCGTCTTAATGATTCCAATAAAATCCTGGTAGGTTATGTTGTAGAATTGAAAATAAACTTTTTGTAGTCTGTCATCTTTCAGTTATGAATACCAGTTTCATTTAAATCTTTCATGGAGGATTGAAATGACAGTGTTATCTAGTATGACATTTTAATGCAATTTAATCCCTTTCCTACAATAAGGAGCTCTAGAGTTCTACAATTGCTAGTTTGTCTATTGATGTGGATGTTCTTTTGGCATGAGCAGTGGAAATGGTACAGCTATAAATATACTCTGTGCACCTCAGAGAACCTGCTCTGTTGCTGTCAAAGCAGAGGAAATGCACTATACTACTGAAAGCACAACATTAGTACAATTGAGCTTTGTTAATCCCTTTGTTGCACATGCTCCAAAGCACAGCTGGGCAGATTTCATAACTCCCTGTTAATGGTGCTTCTGTTTGTCCTGAAAGTCCACTACAGATGATCATGGTTCTGTGATTTGAAACAAATGCAAATTTAAATTACAACACTCCTTTGATTATAAATGCCCATAAAATATGTGTGTTTGTAGCTTTCCCTACAGTTGCACATGCCGTTTTCCATGTATACACAGCTGTTTTCCAGTGTGTGGACAGTAATTTAATTATTTTGTTACTTTTTCTGCTTCTTATCTATCAAAAACAACAACAACAACAACAACAAGTCTGTCTAAACGGGCATCTGTTTGCAACCAAGTTCCATATGCAAGAAACTGCCTAGACTGCTTGGTTTTGTACTTGCTTGGAATAGGCCTTACACTTAAATCAGTCTTTGGGGAAGCCAGAATGGGCTCACCACCCTATGATATGATCGTTGCTGGTTTTTAAAGTGACCTGTCTTTAAGGACCCTGAATTGCATAGCTCCCTGGCTTAATTGGAGAGAGACTGACGGAGGCAACAATTAAGAAAGAATACTTGTGAGAAAGTACCTGAACTCTGTGTTTTACTGTTGTGAACACACACACACACAGAGAGAGAGAGAGAGAGAGAGAGAGAGAGAGAGAGAGAAGGCAATATTGCTTGAAGGCAATAAAGAGAGGGAATGCTAACCATTCCGCAATGCTTGATTGGAACCAGTATCCCACAACTGATCAGAAAAAACCTACAGTGGTACCTCTAGTTACGAACTTAATTCGTTCCAGAGGTCTGTTCTTAACCTGAAACTGTTCTTAACTAGAGGCGGGCTTTTGCTAATGGGGCCTCTTGCTGCTGCTGCGCCGCCGGCACACAATTTCCGTTCTCATCCTGGGGCAAAGTTCTCAACTCGAGGTAACTCTTCCAGGTTAGTGGAGTTTGTAACCTGAAACGTTTGTAACCTGAGGTGTTTGTAACTCGAGGTACCACTGTATTTCTATATAGATTCACAATTCTGCTGGCTTTTATTGTAAGGGTGCCTGTACTATCCAGTCATTTGACCAGCATAGGATCGCCAAATGGCTTAAAACCTTAAAGTTCCAAAGGTCCCTTGTTCACTTCACTTCAAATAATCTAGAATGTGGCAGACCTACATGGCTTTAGATTCCTCAGTTCCTCCTTTCTCCTATGTAGTCATCCAAGGAGAAAAACAGTTCACAGAGAGAGCAAGAGATATGGTCCTACCTCTCTTTAAAACCTAAAAATCTTGGTTATCAGAGCTCCACAGCCTTGTGCAAATCATGATGACATAAAGCCCTGGAGTAATCTAAGCACCTTTCTGCTAGTAACACTTCAGTTAAGAATCCCAGGAAAACGCCCCCCCCGTGTGTGTGTGTGTGTGTGTGTGTGTGAGAGAGAGAGAGAGAGAGAGAGAGAACAATTGATAGGATTGACACCCAGGGAAGTAAACATACATCAACATTTCCAAATTCCTCTTTTTCTGATGTTTAGGCTGCAAGTGTTTACATAGCAAAAAAAAAACTGCATGCAAGAGGGAAATGTTGGAACCTCAGGGTTTGCATAACTGCAAGAATTTTGGGGGGGGGGTCACAAAGGGGATGGTACCCCCAAATCAGCTGAATGAGGATGGAGCATCCAAAGTATCCACAGAATACTGATTCATCGCAGAAAATCAAGAGAAGGGATTGAATGTTGTCACTGGGAATGTGAATAGTAGCACTCCACAATGCAACATTTTATTATCTACAAGTCAGAACGTACTGCTTCACAAGCTTCTGAAAAAGAGAGATATGACACACTGGATCATTAAAATGGCCAGAGCAGGTAGACTAAGTCAATTTCAGAGTTAAAGTTCATGTGTTTCTTCTGTTTCCAGGTGCAGCAAACCCTGACCATCCTTCAACAACTTGCTACTGCTATGGGCCCAAATATCAAGCAACATGTGAAAAACCTGGGCATTCCCATTGTCACAATTCTGGGAGACAGTAAGGTAGACTCACATATTTCTCAGTACAGCCTGTAGGAATGAAGGCTATTTGAGACCAAAATCACCTTGTTTCTTGTTTGAATATGACCTCATTTAACACTGACATATACCGCTGTCCCTTATTAAAGTTACTGTCCTCCTCCTCCTCTCTGTAACCACCAGTGTTGTGTGGTGTTGGGGAGCTGGGAAAGCAGTGTGGCCTTATTAGCTGTGCAGAAAGAGTGTGGGGTGGACACACCCACCACTGGCATGCAGCGCTTCTAATATTGGATAGCATTAGTATAGTCAGGATTCAAAGTTTTGTGTCTCTGTTGTGGGAAATGTACACTTTTTTGTATGTGCTGTAATTTCCACGTCAAGAAAGAGGTGTAAGTTGAATATTTCACTGAGTTCAGGTGCTGTCTGTCCACAAAACACTGAGGTGTTTTGATAGGTCACATTAGCACTAAACCTCATTTGACATGCACCATGGTTCCTCGTTCAGCAAGTGATTAGTGCATGGAAGCTGAGTGTGAGGGTGAGAAGGTTTGAGGTCAGTTAGGTAAGAGCGGGGAGTACAAGGAAGGCTAAATTCCTTTCCTTCTCCCTCCAAAATGATTTTGTAAGTATCATACACAAATGTGTTAGACAGGTAGGAACTCCTTATAAAAGTCATGGAATCTTTTAATGGGTTTCCACTTCGGCCTGTATAGTAAGAATCCATTGTTCCCTGACCCTTGCAGTCTTTCAAGCAATCTGCGTACTGTAATAAAAGTACCTTTAATGGGAAACACGGGGGGGGGAGAGAAATATTTGCAAAAAGACCCCCAAACCTTGCTCTGTTGATTTTCTTACCGCTGCTGAAGTTTAGCATGTGTAAATCTTGTTTTTTTTCTTCAGAGTAATGTCCGAGCAGCTTCTCTAACAACTGTGAATGCCTGGATAGAGCAGACAGGCATGAAAGAGTGGTTGGAAGGGGAGGACCTTTCTGAAGAGCTCAAGAAGGAGAATCCTTTCCTAAGGCAAGAGGTAAAAGATTGTTCCATGTAAATGAACTTTGCATTTATCCTTTGTCAAGAGAAACGTGAGAAAAGCTACTTTATATTATGTCAAATTAGGTAGGTAAATTATTTATATATGTAATGTAGTGAAATGAGGCCTTTCTTTGTAATGTACTTTTGGATGCTCCAGTTCCTTTTAGTGTCCCAAGTGGCAAGTATCAAGTAGGAATTTTCTGAAGCAGTTTGAGGGTTCATTATTTTGTTCTTGAACAAACTGTAAACTTGTACCAACAACTATTGTGTCTCCTGCGCACACCTGAACTCTCTGCAGCTCATTTCGAGAGAGGGGGAACAGAAGTGGAGGCCTTGCTCTGTGAATGGAAGTCTGTTCCCCTCAAGTGAGCAGGAGTAAGCCAGGCAAGAGTGGATTATTCCCCTAAACCAGCTACACCAGACAAGATCACAACACACAGTAATAGTGATGAATATCTCAGCAATACCTTTCTCTCCCCTTTAGCAGTTACTTTTACCCCTCACTGCAGTTTCAGTCATGCATGTTCATATCTTCTGAACTGGGAGCAGGATATTCCTGTGACCACAACTAAATAAACTGTGTCATCATTTGGTTGTTACATTTGGGAAATGTTCTGTAGGACATGGAATAAGATTTCTGGAACCTTCTGAAAACATTGGATCGGCAGAAAATGAGTGTACTTATGTCTATAAGCAGGGATTCCTGTTTATATCCAAGGTGTATTGCTTTCTGCAGAATTAAGGGATCTTCTTTCTTTTCTCCCAGCTTTTAGGTTGGCTGGCTGATAAGCTCCCCACTCTCCGCTCTGTTCCATCAGACTTGGTTTTATGTGTGCCTCACCTATACTCTTGCCTTGAAGATCGAAATGGAGATGTCCGTAAAAAGGCACAAGATGCTCTGCCATTCTTTATGATGCATCTAGGCTTTGAGAAGATGGCCAAAGCCACTGGCAAGCTTAAGGTATAGCAAACAAACAAAATAGCTGAGTACAAATGGGGTGTGTGTGTGTACATCTGCACATATATCTCTCTGTGTGTAACATCATGATTTGCTTTATGGGAAATTAAACAATGGAGAAAATGTAGTTCAGGAGTAGAGCATTTGTTTTACATGCCAAAGTCTTGAGATCAACCCCTGGTTTCTCCAGGTAGAGCTGGGAAAGAATTCTCTCTGAAAACCTGGTGTCAATATAACCAATATTGAGCTAGCTGGACAGATTTTCTGATTCTGTATAAGGCAACTTATAAAACTGCAAATTAACAACTTTGTACATTGGATGAAGTATATTCACAATATCATTGGTACTAGGAATGTGATCACTATCTTCTTTCAACTATGTTGACCCCCAGATGACTGTTAAGAAAAAACTATTTTCCATGTATGTAGTGACTTGCAAAATAGGAGGCATGTGCCATTAGGTGCCTTTTAAATTCTTTCTTTTGCTTTCTAGCCAACTTCCAAAGACCAAGTACTGGCCATGCTTGAAAAAGCCAAAGCTAATATGCCTGCCAAACCTGCTCCACTTTCCAAGGCATCTTCCAGAGCAGTAGGAGCTGCTGCAGCCAAATCTCAAGTTGCATCAGGTAATCTTTCTTCATTCCATTGACATCCCACATTGAGCAAACCTGTATTTTAAGAGAAATAGAGGTTCTATTATATTTATAAGCCAGGTGTGTCTACAGATAGACACTGCAAAATCTAGGAGATTATAAACAGGATCCTACTGAAGTTCCTTGGATCTATAGCATAGAAGCCTGTAATCACAATCTTATGGTCATGATGTACTGTGTGAGCAAGGAGCAGTCATTTTAAGCATATTGGTTGTAAGTTTAGACCTATCTGAATTATTTCCACAGTGGTTTCACATTGAATAAAATGGAAAAGGCTTTAGTTTTTCGCCTATCATGTTTCTTTCCATAGTATCGGAACAAAAGACGGGAGACTTAAAAGTGGCTTGGTCCTATGTTACTCTCAGAATATGTGTAATTTGCAGGAGGTCTGTTGGGGTCAATTGACAAGAACAATTTCTTTGCCTATCTTGGAATACTAGCTGAGTAAGCCAACACTAAAGGAATGGTGCCCCCCCCCTTTGTATATATAAGGAACATTAAGTGTAGAGCAACTCTAAGCACTCAATCAATCTTAGATACTTCTGGATTTACAATTTGCTGCAAGAACCAGACAAATAAAAGTTTATATTTTGTCTTGGTGATGGTTTCCTTCCTAATAAGAACCAAATTAATGCCTGGATTCAAAAAGGTACTTCTCAAGGGTTTGAGTATGTCTAGTGTGGATTAAAGAGTGTGCATTCTTTGAGCAGGAGACATATTTTTCATATGTCTAAGAAAGGTGATGTAAAAATTCTGACATAAACAGAACATTGCAAAGCATTTGTGAACGTTGCTTTTAAAAGTAGTTTGCAATGTGACGTGGTGCAAGCTGAAATCTGCTTTATGTGGGGGGAACTTGTTGCATGCTGGGTGTGTTTCCAGCCTTATTGTGTAGTTAAAATTATGTTGATCTGAAGGTTCTAGTGAAGATTATTCGTCCAGCACCATGGAGTCCAAGGCTGATGCCAAAAAAGCCAAAGCAGGAGGAACAGCCCCCAAATCCAAGGTAAATACTACTTGAGCACAAAAGTAGTGGTTGAAGTCTAGGAAGTTTCATTGTGTTTGTGTATACTTTACATTTAGTGTAAACTATATGGAGATTTGATAATTAAGAAGGTTAGCAAAATAAACAGTTTTGTGGTAATAATGTGCTCTCTGTCTGGAGCAAAATCTCAAAATATATTGAGGGTGGGGTTTGTTTTAAAAGGGGGGGGGAGGACTGGGTAGCTGGGATAGCCAGAGTTTTTGAAGAGCCACTACTAGGAATAATAGATATTATTGGACTGAAAGGGACCCATCTGATTCCATGTTAGGCCAGATTTGTATGCCCATTTACGTCCATACTACTTTTAGGAGCTGCTTATTGCGAGTGATGGGAGCTCAAGTTGGTGGGCAGAGCCAGAACTGATGGTGGAGCACTTTTTCGCTCTGTCTCTGCTGCCACCATCACTCTCTTCCTCTTCCTACCCTGCAGCAGCACTCAAGTAACCTTTCCCCCCTAAGCCTAGTGCTTCCCCTCCTCACCCCACCCTGTAGTAATGAGAATAAACAATGAGTGAGAGAATGGGAATTTTATCTCCAAGTACAATTGCCATGACAGGGAGGGTGATTTGGAAGTGGGGAGAAGGATGGTGGTGCACAGGGAAGGTTTAATCCTCCCTTCCCTGTTAGGCAGTTAGGGTTTTAAAAAGTCCCATTTACACAAATAGGTCCTTTTTTCTAAACCTAATTGCCACGAGGAGCTGAGGAGAGGAGTCTGTGGGCTGGCTGTTCCCCAGTCTTACCTTTAGATGCATTGTAGTTCCTATTTGGAGTTTGTAAGCAAGTACAGCAGGCTTGCACATAACAAAGAATGGTCCATATTTACCTTAAGCAGCACTCAGAGGGATTAAAAATATTGCTGATGTGGCATACACCAGAAATATAATGGTATGATTTGGAGCCTGCTATTAACCACTGAGCATTTTATGACTTATTTCAGCATTCTGATGCTAATACAAGCCTCACCAAAGGCAATAGCAATCTGACAAAGAACAAGCCTACCAAACAGGTAATAAGTGGGTATCACCTGTGACTAGTGCACTGACCTGGAAGGAAATCTTGCTACACTAAAAATCTATGCACTATGGTGGGCTTCTTCTTCATAGTACTAAAATATACACCTGAAGGCTTCAGCACACATTTTAACACAACTTATGAGTGGGCAATCTCTTTCTCCTGCATGCTAGCGGGATAGTGTTTCTTCTGCTGAGTAAAACATACTTGGAGTGCAGTGCTACACTATCTGCTCAGAAGTACGTGCTGTTGAGTTCAATGTAGCTTACTCCAAGGTAATTGTGTAGGATTGCAACATAGGAGATTGCAATTTTGAAAGAGTGTATTCAGTGTTGTGGTTTTTTTAGGGTATACAGGGGAAGAAAGTACCAAGTAAATCCAACTTGAAGGATGATGATGACCGATCTGGTCCAGTTTTTATCTTAGTACCAAATGGGAAAGAGCAAAGGATGAAAGATGAAAAAGGATTAAAGGTGAGAGAAATTAACAACCTCTGATTTCTAGGACTCTGCTGGAACTTTGATACAGAACCTGTTACTCGGTCTTTAGGTATCTGCGTAAGGATGTTTGGCAAGAGTTATAAGAGTGCTTTTGCAGATAATAGTATTTCTACATACAAATATTATTGTCTGCAAAAGCACTCTTATAACCCTTCCCAAACATCCTTACGCAGATACCTAAAGTTAGCAGTAGCAGATACCTAACTGCTGTAAGTTAAATGCTATTCATTTTAGGAGTAACCTGTTAATGCTTTTTCATTTAAAAAAACACAGCTGTGTTTTCCACACAAAAGTGCTAGAGAGGAAACATATGAGCTTGATGCTTACTGCTTGTTTGTATAGCACTAAACTATGGTTGCTGGTTAGGCAGGTTTTGGGTTTTTTTAGGCGGTAACTACTGCACTTTGTGGTAGAGGACTGCTTTACCCTACCACAAAGTGTTATGGCTAGAGTGGCCAACGTTGCTTTTTTCCTCCTTTTCTTGCTGTGTGGGCCACTCTAGCTGCACCACAAGAGTGGTCTGCATGTCAAGTAAATGGCCGCTCTAGTCACGCCACTTTGTGGAAGATCCACTTTGGCGGGTCTTGCCAAAATGCCTCTGGGGGCGGGAAGCAGCGGTGGGGGAGGGGGTGCATACCAGCACCGCCTTTTTTCAAATAAAGCACTGTTATTAAGTATGAAATAGGTCAATGCAATTGCCGTAGGTTCAGTCTAATCCACTTCAAAGGTTATTGTGAGGGTAAAATAATGCTGTAATAGGAATTGAAACAAAATTTATTGTATCCATATTTAAGTGAACAGATACATTTGTGAAGGAAAATATTTTCCCTCTCCCAACATTAATTCCTTTTGATATCTATATAATTAGAAGACAGGTACTATTTACATATTTTTTAACCTAAACCATCTAACACCAGATGTGTTACCAACCAGATAAATCATTATAGGTATATTTTCTTTAAAAGAAGCAATCTCCCTCTCCCCTTCCTAACCTTGAGGTGATTTTTTTAGGTTCAGGGACTGAAGTTAATGCTGTTCACACCTTCTCTTGAGCAGGGTGCTGATACTGTTTTCCTCCCTCGCAGGTTTTGAAATGGAACTTTACTACTCCTCGTGATGAATATATTGAGCAACTGAAGACTCAGATGTCCAGCTGTGTTGCCAAGTGGTTGCAAGATGAGATGTTCCATGCAGATTTTCAGCACCACAACAAAGCTATTGCTGTTATGGTTGAGGTGAGAAGACTGTATTTGTGGTTGTAGATGAAGAATTATAGTAGCAACATTGGTGGTGAAAAGTATAAAGGAGGTTTCCCAGAGCATGCAAGCTTTGGAAACTCCCTGTTCAATGCAGAGCCCTACATTATAGTCTCGTAAGAATAGGGCAATTAGTATCAGCCTCCCAGTTTTCTCATCTAGGCCTTGTGCAACAGGTGTATACAGTGAAGCTAATTATAGGAGCCGACGCAAGTAGCTATTATGCATGTGCGGGCCAGCCATCTTTCAGTGTCTGGTACCAGGAAAGTTTCCGAGTTATTGTTTGGCTTGTCAGATGACTCTTTAATTTTATTTTAAGTGCTGCCTATTTGTCCGAACTTGACACTGCAATTTGCTTTTTCTTCTAGCACTTGGATAGTGAAAGGGATGGAGTGATCAGCTGTCTGGATCTAATCCTGAAGTGGCTCACACTGCGATTCTTTGACACCAACACAAGTGTCCTGATGAAGGTCCTGGAGTACCTCAAGCTGCTTTTTGCCATGCTGAACCAAGAAGAGTACCATCTAACTGAAAATGAGGCCACCTCCTTCATCCCCTACCTTGTTTTGAAGGTATCCAAATCTGGCAAAAGTTTTTGAGTCATGTCGCTCACAAAATACACTAAGCCCACCTTTCTCTGGAGCCTGCAGAACCAGAACTGGAAAACAGTTACCATTCTAGCCAGTAGGAATGAGTATTCCAATTTCCATCAGTTCTGCCTTTCATGGCGTTTCCCACTCAGGGGGAATATGAACCTTTCTCCCTCCTTGCTGTATCCAGTGGTCCAAACACCCAGGGTGTTCTTTTTTTTAATGGATTTTTTACAACTCGTATATACATCATACAATATCCATCATTTATCCCTTATCCTCATACTTCCCAGTATTCTTTTTCCCCAGTCACTGGAAGGCACAATGTTTGAGAGAAAGACTTGGCTGGGGTGGACTAGGAGCCAGCTCCCTCCAGAATAACCATACTAATGGCTTCTTCCAGCTTCTGTAAATCTGCAAATATTTCCTCCTCACCTTCCAGGTTGGGGAACCAAAAGATGTTATCCGCAGAGATGTGCGTGCCATTCTAAACAGGATGTGCCTTGTCTACCCAGCCAGCAAGATGTTCACTTTTATCATGGAGGGAACAAAGTCAAAGAACTCAAAACAGCGGGCAGGTGAGATGCTTTAGCACAGAGGTTTCCAAACTTTTCATATTGGTGACACACTTTTTAGACATTCATTATTTAATGACACAGTAATTCACTTTTACTATCAAATCAGAGGTTAAACTAACCCCTTTCCAGCCCTGGGAGAAGTGCGAGGATCATTCGTGCAGCACACCTACACACTGCAGCTGACACATTCAATGTGTTGTGACATAGTTTGGAAAGCTCTGTTTTAGCAGAAGCTGTTGGTCACTAAAATGCACTGCAGATTAGGATATTAAGTTTACAGAAACAAAGCCTTGTGGTCCCTTATACTACAATAATTACGGCATAAGATTTTGTGGACTTGAATCCATTTCAACATAGGAAGCTGCCTTATGCCATTGGCCCACCTAACTCATTATTGTCTACCTTGAGGGATGGCTAATGCATTGCCCTCCAGATGTTGCTGTACTAAAGCTCCCATCATACCTGACCATTGCCAATGCTGGCTGGAGCTGATGAGAACTGTAATCCAATAGTATCTAAAAGGGACCACATTGGCTACCCTGGTCGACACTGACTGGCAACAGTTCTCCATGATTTCAGGAAGGTGCATCCTGATGCCAGGATATCCTGGCATTTGTAAGCTAATTTTCACCCATTATGCAATTTTTACAAAAATCATTATTTCTATTCAGCTAAAGGAAACTGAGGTTCTTGATGAGTTGTAATTCAGAGGCTTTATGCCGGAGTTTTGGATTAAGTTTTTCAAGCAGTGCTTTCTTGAAAACTTTTAAGCAAATGAATGAAGAATGTGAACTAGCAAATACTTAATTCTGGTTTACTCAGCATTCTTGAAGACAAAGGATTGCATCCATTTTTCTTCATATACACAGTAGAGCAATTGAAAGTAATGTACATTTGCTAACTAACATAGGTCTATTAATTTAATAGATTTTGTAACTTAGTTGGATACTACTCTACCTTTCCCTTGCAAACACATGGGGTTCATAAAATTACTATAAAAGATTCTATTTTTATTCATAATAAATCAGATTTAGAATATACAAAAGCATCAACAAGTATTTTGTAAACCAAATGGGTGCAGCCTTTTGTTTTCATAGATGTCCATTTCTGTTTGGTTTCTCTGTAGAATGCTTGGAAGAGCTGGGATGTCTTGTTGAATCATACGGCATGAATGTGTGCCAGCCAACTCCAGGCAAAGTCTTAAAGGAAATTGCCATTCATATTGGTGACAGGGACAACACTGTCAGAAATGCTGCACTCAACACCATTGTAACAGTTTACAATGTTCATGGAGACCAAGTGTTCAAGCAGATTGGAAATGTGAGTAAACCGAAATGGACAGGCAATATTTAAAATATTGAACGTTTAGTATGTGTCACTCAGGTAATGTCATGAATGGATAGTCAGGTTCCTCAGGTCAGTTGCGATTAATGTTGAATGCTCTGTTTGAGTGTCGAGAACAAATATACTTCTTTTTTTTAAATGATGAATTCTGAACTCTAGAACAGTTATGAATTGTGAAGCAGGAGTAGGTGCTGTCTTCCTTGTAAGGAATGTGTATTTATAAACAGCAACATACAAAAGCAGTTTGGCTTCTCTGTTTGCTTTGAGCCTTGTAATTCAAAATACTTTAGGACTATTAGAGCAGGGAGGAGCTGAAGGTAATTGCATTAGTCAAAGGAGAAGGCACATACAAGCCACTCATCCTCATCTCACAAACTGGCCGTGGCATACTGATACAGTGAGACAGCTTGAGACACAAAGCGGAAGCACATAATATATTCCATGATTCTTGTCGGCATTGAGAGGTGCACTGGGAGTAATAGGAGCACCCGGAATGCACCATAGGTAACTGCAACGCAAAGAGAATAGGTTGGTTTCCAAAACTGACAAGGAATTTGGGGAAGCGATAGCCCCTTTGTTTTATTACATAGTTGTGCATATAGGAGAAAATAAAGTTGCTCTCAGATCTTATTGAAAAGTAGCTTCACATGGTTATCCTCTGAGGTGCCATTTGATAGAGAGGCTGGGGTGCACTTGCCTACAGGAAACTAGAGGAGGAAGTTCCCAGGGGAAATGACCGCCTTCAGTCTTTGGTTCCTTTTAGTCCATAACCACTCTTTTGATTCCTAATCTGGATTATATGGGAGGCAATGAAGCTTTGGCTTTTCCTTCCTTCATGAATACCTGATTTCTCTAATTCCATCAAATTATTCATAAATAGATGTTGCTTTTTCAGTGGTTCAAACTGTATAATTCTTCACTAAGCAAGTATTATTGGAATCATATTTTTTCCCCAAAATTGCTGCTTCTCCAAATTCCTTTAGCCTGTTTCCCAAACTGGACTATGTTTCCTTCACAGTGCTATAGAGGGTGGTGTTGTGTTGGTATTTTATTTAATTAAATGCCAGATTCTGCCTGTTCCTACTTGATGCTTGAAGGAATTTTGGTACACTTTATAACTAAACAGGCAGTACAGCAGTAGGCATAATTGCTGAGTACAGGAACTAGGCTAAGGGGTGGGGTTAGCTGTATTGTAAGTCTAGTAGTACACAGGAACAGCAAAGGTTTTGAAACACTCTTAATGGCATTGGAGTCTGAACTAAGGAGCATACCTGTCATGGCACTGAAAAGTTGCTGCTCTTGTACAGCTTTCGGAGAAAGACATGAGCATGTTGGAGGAGCGAATAAAGCGGTCTGCTAAGAGGCCAAATGCCACTTCAGCAAAGCAGGTAGAAGAGAAACCACAGAGGGCTCAGAGTGCCAGTGCCAATGCTAACATGCTGAGGAAAGGACCAGCTGAAGACATGTCTTCCAAACTCAAGTATGTAAAGTGGGAAAATGCAATGTTTGCCTGACATTTCCACAGTCTGTGCAAAAAGCATACCTTGCTGTTGCCTTGTGTTTTTGTCTTTTGTTTTAATCATCTATGTCTGCATGTGTCGCAAACTGCAAAAAAATGCTGCAAATCAAAATGTTTGAACCTTACTTCATTTGTTTTGTCGTGTCTTGAATGCTTTCTAAATGGTATTGTGCCTTTTTTCACTGCTTCTCCATGGACAGAATTATGTATCGCACTTATAGGATGTAAGTACTGACCACTAAATCCTTGGTAGCAGGGCTCTTATAGCTTTGTCTTACCTTTCCCATGCCCTAATCCTAAACATACTTGAGAATAAGTCCCATTGATTTCAATGCAACAATTCATATTAAGTGTGCTGTTTGGGAAGCCTGGCTTCAAGTTCCATCTTTGCTGTCAAAATCATTGAGTGGTGTCAGGCAGGTTGCTGTTTCTTGGCTATGTTTTTGTTTTTTTAAAATAATACTGATAAAGTGGCTTACCTCTCAGCTGTAAAAGAGCTAAACTTTGGAATTTTCAGGAATCTGACTAGTGTCAGCAGGGATACATTGTAAGACCAGATTGCTTTAACCCTTCCAGTCTTGAGTCACTGGTAGAAGATTTGAGATACCTGGAGCCCGATCAGCATCAAATGTAATGCAACAGCTATTATTTGGGAAGCTCATATAAGGAAGCTCATATAAGGAAATTAAGAAGTAAATCTAAGCTTAAAACCACTTCTGGAAATGGAACGCTTCTTGTTCCTAATGCTATGTGCCTTTTTCTATTCTAAAATGCCCTTTTGTGTAGGCAGGCTCTAGCAAAATAGGCATAATGGGGAGTTGAATTTGGAGAGTGCAAAATTCATTCTAGGGCATTTTGTGCTTGCTGGGCTGTATTTACTGTAATGTCTTTCCCTTATATGGGAAGAGAGCCGACTAATGAACCTACCAGGATTGTTTTGCTCTCACATTCAGTTTAGCATTGTGCAGTAGAGCATGTCTTTGCTGCTGCCCCTGCTGCAAGGCCTATAGGTGTTGAGGGGAAGCCAGCAGCACATTATCAAAAAGTTCTGGATTCCCAGCACCTACGGTAATTGCTGATGGGGCTGAATAGATTTCCTTATCTATGTTGATATGAAAGATTAGGAACTAGTAATAGATGCTAGCATGGATTTTTCCATCAGCCATAATAATCGGGTCCACAAATGTTAGCTTGGCTTAATAGCCAACCATTACTTGTGATCACTATGAACTTTTCCCCAAATCCTGCAAAAGCCCAGAGAGAAAGAGAAACCTATTTTCTCTCTAGAGTCCTCTGTGAACCGCAAAAAACTTGGGGATAGGATGGGTAATTGATTTGGCTGTGCCTTTTGCAAAATCCTATCAGGAAGGGAGAGAAGGCACTGTTCTCCAAGTTATATGCTGCTTATGGAGAACTTGAAAAGGTTTGTGTGCGCTGGGGGTGTGGGATGGAGGGACAGTCACCACGGGTGACGTGATGGGTAGGTTTGTGGAACCCTGATAATAAAAAATGCTTTTCTTGGTTTCTGTAGCCAAGCCCGTAACATGAGTGGCCACTCGGAGACGACGCATGCAGTTCCACGGGAGTTTCAACTGGATCTAGATGAGATAGAAAATGATAATGGCAGAGTGCGATGTGAAATGCCAGCACTTGTCCAGCACAAACTGGATGATATATTTGAACCAGTTTTGATCCCTGAACCCAAGTGAGTGCAGATCAAGGGCTGCTAATGAGGCAACGGGGGGGGGGGGGGGAGAGAGAGTGTGTGTGTGTGTGTGTGTGTGTGTGTGTGTGTGTGTGGTTTAGGTATATCAATCTCCTATATGAAGCCAAGTTCCCTTATATAAAGGAAGCTTCAGGGAGAAGCTTTAAAATGTGGAAACTATGTGTCAAACCAGGAAGGCTTTCAAACTGTACTTTATATAGCTGCTTATTCTTTCAAATATCATCTCCCTTCCCCAAATATTTTTATTAGCCACATGTACAATGGCTAATATCTTCATTCACATTTCATACTAAATTCTTACCAGAGGTATGTTCAGAATGGTGTGCATTAAACATGGTATTGCTGTGCAGCTATGGAATTTACATGTTGCTACACTGGGCATCCTGAGAATGGTGTGGTTCCCATTGAGGTCACAGGGCATATTTTTTCTTTCTTACAGGCTAAGGCAAAGGTTGGAGGTTGGGTTGGGGTATGGAATCTTAAAGCTTATTGTGGACAGTACTATCTCCTGTTCATAGCCTTTGCCAAAATGTTCAAATTCTTTGAAAGCCTGGATCTTGAAAGCAGAATAATGATGGAAAGGGTCAGATATATCAACATTTTATCTGCATAAAAGGTTTTATGGTTTACTTTGCCAGTTATGCGCAGCCATTGTTGTTATGTGACAATACTCTCTGGTAAAGAGTACCAACACCCCTCTTTTTGCTGCCTACAGCAACCTTTTTCTGCTGGCACCCACAACATTTCTTTATCAAGATATGAGTACCGGCACCTTTCCTTAACCCCCCACTCTACACAGCCCTTGATAAGAGAGATCCAAACATAACTCTGGGGACAACATACTGAGTGGAGTAGGGTTGTCCCCATTAAGGTGGCTTTTGTGTAATACCACAGACATTAATCAACTTGCTCCATCCACTTTAAAGAAAATGGGGTGCTTTTAATCTGAACTGCCTGGAGATGACAAATTGCTTCTAATCTTTTAACCCAGGGGCCTAAGTGACTTACTGAATCTACTGCCCTTTAAGCTATAACACTGTTTCTCCACCCAGGATCCGTGCCGTCTCTCCACACTTTGATGATATGCACAGTAACACCGCTTCCACCATCAACTTTGTCATCTCCCAGGTAGCCAGTGGTGATATCAATACTAGTATCCAAGCTCTAGCACAGGTGAGTGAAGGCCCCTCTGGTTGGCAGCTACATAACACTGATGGGGTCAGCAAGTAATATGCGAGAGTGATGAGTTGCACAATTGGTGGAGCTGAGTGTTGGTGACACAAGTGCCACTCAGAACCTCCCTGGTGACAAAGCCAAGTGCACAGGGGCCATCTGACTCGCTGTTCTCGACGAGAAAGAAAAGAGGGTGTTAGTGCAAAATGTCCTTTTCCATCTCCCAGGTGGATGTCTGATGCTTGCTTCAGCAGCACATATACTAAAAATCTCACTACCATAACATAGGCTGGTTTAAGCTTGATGGGGCCTTGTTGCCTGTTGATGAGATACAGGCAAGATGGGGCAGGCTCATTGCTTGCCTTGCTATGTGTTGCAGCAATGGAGCAGATTTCATGCATGAAAATGAAACACCAGAAAATGTTATAGAATCATTGATAGGCTCTTAATTAAGCTTTAGGTAATTAAACTATGGTCTGGCTTACTTGGGTTGTAAAAGTGGGTTTTCTTAGGACGTAAACAGTATGTCTGTTGGTACAGTAGATAACAGGAAACTATATGGAATAATTTCTAGTTTATTGCAGCAAAACCAGAGTTTTATGGCAGTTTATATATTTGTTATACTAAATTATTAGCCTTTAAGGGGCCACAAGACTCTTCATTTTTCATGCTATTCATGGAAATGATACCATTATTAAAAACTTGCTATAATGTTGGGTTTGTCTGCAGATTGATGAGGTTTTGCGACAAGAGGACAAAGCAGAAGCTATGTCAGGCCACATTGACCAGTTTCTAATAGCTACCTTCATGCAGCTGCGACTCATTTACAATACGCACATGGCTGATGAGAAACTAGACAAGGATGAGATAGTCAAGTTGTACAGTTGCATCATTGGAAACATGATTTCGGTAAGGCTTTTGATCGGGAAAACGTGGTGGAAGTTTCAGCCAGTAGAACCAATTAATAGTGTCTTTAGTTTAGTTTTTGTTGCGCTATACAATTGCCTCTTAAAGTACTGTAACACTTCTGTGCTGCAAACTATTTTGGTATCTAGGTAGTTTACAGCCTTGATCCACTCTGGATGGACTCCTGTACCTGCAAGTTTCATCCTGCTTTGTGAAAAAAGAGCTGTTCGACAGTGGAATTTGCTGCCAAGGAGTGTGGTGGAGTCTCCTTCTTTGGAGGTCTTTAAGCAGAGGCTTAACAACCATATGTCAGGAGTGCTCTGATAGTGTTTCCTGCTTGGCAGGGGATTGGACTCGATGGCCCTTGTGGTCTCTTCCAACTCTATGATTCTATGAAAAAGGAGGAAAAGTTGCAGCCATTAAAAAAAATTCTATTATAGAGCTGGGGACCTCTTTGGATTTAACTGGAAAGACACGAGAGCAGTTCTGAAGCATATATGGTTTCTTACAGATACAGATTAAAAGCAAATCCTATACTGATGCTAATCCCTAACTTTTATCAGTATTTTTATCATTCTTGGCAATAAAAAGCTTCAGTGAGATGTATGAAAATAGGTATTTACTTCCCTCAAATCAGTAAAAATGTAGGTTTTTCTCTTGTAACTTCTAGGTAGCAGCAAGAAATTGAGTTTTGGGGTGCTAATCCAGACTGTAGTGTTTTATCCTGAATATATCCTGGTATCTAACACTTGAATTCCATTGGCAGTTGTTCCAGATTGAAAGCTTAGCCCGGGAGGCCTCTGCAGGAGTGCTGAAGGACTTGATGCATGGCCTCATTACCTTAATGCTGGATTCGAGAGTTGACGATCTAGAGGAAGACCAGCAGGTTATCAAATCAGTCAACCTCTTGGTGGTAAAAGTTCTGGAGAAATCTGATCAAACAAACATATTGAGGTAAATAGATTTTTGCTAAGGGCAAACATCTTAACAAATCCCTCATCACTGCAGGCTCTTACCACAAGACTTAGCATGTGCTACAATTTGAACACCTGCTTGATGAGATATTATTGGTCTTCCTTGTTATAGTTTATTACCGCATTGTCAGATCTTTCTGCAGTTGCTGATCAAGTTACACTAAACCCAGGCAGTCATTTAACCTTGAGGTTTGTTCAAATCTCTGTGCTCTACGGGTACAAATCTGAGATCTGATCCAGTCTTATCTCTAAAAATGCTGAATGATCTCATTCCCTTTATCGGTATTTTGAATAACTTGAGCAGTCTGAACCGCTCTTTAAATCTATTTTAATTTTGATGCTCCAGCAAGTTTTGTTGTATTTATATTGGATTCTCTCCCCACTCCCTTTCATGGTTTTATGTTTTACTTTGTATTTCAGTAGTTTTTTTACCTATTTATTGTAAGCCACCCAAAAAGCTTGAAGTTTTAGAACAGCATGCAAATGTAAATAAAAATAAAATTACATTAAATTATAATATAATAATAATGAAAATGTTGATATTGTGCAAGAAATTGCATAGCACTGTGTTAAGAAGCTGAACTGGCCAATCAATTTGTGTTGTCCCATGTATTTCTGGAGATACTTGTGGAATTCGTATAGTTAATGCTTCATTTTTTTCATCCTAGTGCCCTGCTTGTTCTTCTCCAGGACTGTCTATTAACAACAGCAAGCTCTCCCAAGTTCTCAGAACTAGTAATGAAGGTGTGTATTGTTCTTGTTCTGTTTTTTATTTCAATTTCCTATTGCATAGTGATTGTGTATTAGCAGACTCTCTCATTACACCTATTCATGGTCCTTCTACAAAAAAGTGTGGTTATTGGCTGTACTGGAAATAACTAGCATGAATGTAAACTTAATATTGCCCGATTTGCAAATCACATTAAACCTCAGTTTAAAACAAGCTATAATTTGATGTGAATGCAGAGCATGCTTGTTTGGCTGTTGAGAACTTCTTGCTTCTTTTCTGCACAGCTTCTGCTCTTGCCATGATTCTGGGGAACAAGCCAGAATCTGACTTGTTGTGGCCCCTGGGCTTGTGGCTTGTCTCTCTCCAGCCAAACAATAGTACTAACCAAGGTTTGTTCTTTCCTTAATGCCTGTGATTTGTTTGGGAGAAAACAAACTCGGGCTCAGACATCACAACTTGTCAGGTTCCTGCATTTACCTAGACATGTGAATGCTCAAAAGCATGAAAGGGGACATCTTCATGGCCATTGTGCCCTCCCCCCACTCCCCACCCTTCGCTGCATTGTGTGGGAAGTCTGCAGGGGGCCTCCGCTCACAAGTGCAGGATGAGTCTACTCCTATTCAAGCAAATGCAAGTAGAAGCCCCCTGCAAACTTCCCCACACAATGCAGGGAAGGCTGGGGACTGAGTGGGAGGTTGCAACATTTACAAAGACATTGCAGACAGGACTTGGGGCATTCTTGTGTTTGGGCAGGCACCTGAACAAGCCCATTGTGAAGGAATAATCCATATGTTATATCATTTTAAGCTCAAAGAACCAAGTTCAGAGATGACATTCTTAGATTACTGTGAGGACTTGCTTTGTCTTAATGTTTATCAAAGAAACCATCTACCTTTCCACCCCCCTCCCCCACAGTGTTTATGGAGAATGGTAAGACTTCTCCCTGAAACTATCAACACTATCAATCTGGACCGAATCATGTTGGACATCCACATCTTTATGAAGGTCTTTCCAAAAGAAAAACTAAAGCAGTGCAAGAGTGAATTCCCAATACGGACGCTGAAGACTTTGATTCACACCTTGTGCAAACTGAAGGGACCCAAGGTGAGAGCAAACTGCTTCACCCCAAGGTGCTTATGATCTCTGGAATAACAAAAGGTTTCTTAATTAAAAGGTATCACACTTCTTCCTAGCTTTTGGATCATCTAACAATGATAGATAACAAGAATGAGTCGGAGTTAGAGGCCCACCTGTGCAAAATGATGAAACACTCCTTGGACCAAACTGGAAGCAAGTCTGACAAAGGCACAGAAAAGGGAGCTTCTCGCACAGTACGTATTCCATATTTTTAAAAATTGTTAAACATGACACCCTGGTGTGAAGCTTGTTAGTTTATTGAGCCCACAACTGGAATCTTTTCTGAATTGTGTCGTGCTTTTACCTCGGACCATTCAGAAGACTGATTAAGCTCTTCAAGTATCTCTGTTCACTTTTAAAGGAAGGAGAATGCAGCATGATCTGCCTGTCTTGCCTTCCTCTTCCCCTTTCATGTGTAGCCAACAGAAGAGAAAGCTGTGTGAAGAGGGGGGTGGCTTGCTTCTTGGCATAAACTTTGTCTCCTCTAGAACAGTAACATTGAAATACAAATCCATACAAACTTGGTGCAGCACAACTGCTAGCAAGTACTAATGTTAAAATGTACATTTTTAATTTAACATTGTTGTATCTTGTGCCTCTTTAATTACAAGGTTAACATCTTATTCTTACTGGCGTGTGGTAATGGTAATGCCCATTGGCCTCTAATTATCTCAGCTGGTTCCTTGAACAGCTGGATGCTAGGACTCCCCCCCCCCCCCGCCCGCCACAAGGTTAAAAATGTCTATGTTCTGCCCAGAGGTTCATCTGAAACAGAATGTGGAAACAGTGATTCTCAGCACCCTGTATGTATGTATGTATGTATCATAGCTTGTAGAGCTTCAGAGCAGGATAGCCAAGAGGTGGAAGAGGGCACATCTGTTTCTTCGCCACAGTACATCTTTAATCCTGCTTGGGGTTGGATTCTCACACAAACCTACAACTGACCATAAACCTGTATCATTGTATGGTGGTTAATGCAAGTTCTTCCCAGTCCAGTAATCCTGTGCCTCCAGGTCACCAAGTGCATTCATGGTTGACCAGGTCTTGACTTATACTGCAAGACCTGGTACAGTTCTTGGCTATTGAGCACTATGTCATTGCATAGACTTACAACTTGTTGGTGTTGGCGATTCCTAATTGTGCAAAATGTATGGAATCTGCAGCTGACCACTCTTACTCTAATAGCAATAGCAACCAACACCTACTGGTTCAATCAGGACAACTTATCTGCCCTTTATTATATTTATAGAAATGCTTCAACTGTCTAAACTGTCATCCCTCTATTTTGGTAATATGTCTCAATTTCTTTTTATAGGATGAAAAGACACCAAAGGCCAAAGTGAATGATATTTTAGCAGAGATATTTAAGAAAATTGGGTCTAAAGAAAACACTAAAGAGGTGAGGGCTTTATTACCATGGTGGAAGGTGAAAAATTAGGAACATTGGTACTTATAATGAATTCCCAAAGGGCTCATTTGGGAGTGTTGTCCATCGTGAAATAAAGAATATAGTGAATCGGCTTGAATTTGATGCATGAGTCTTAATGAAAACCAGCTATTGGTTGATTAGCAAAGAAGAGTGGATCCTAGATGCACTCTGCACTCCAGCAGGAGGTAATCTTCACGGTAAGCACCAGTCCTCCTTTGCCTGTTGGAGTGGGAGTCTTTCCAGATTGGGATATTTTTTAAAAAGCACTTTGATCACCTGGATTATCTAAATCACTGTTCTCTCATGGCCAGAGCACTTTCTTTTTTTTTCAAATAATTTTTATTAAGTTTCATATTACCAAATTAAACATATCAAACCAATTAGTCCAAATTATAACAATACATATATAATCCAATTATTTGCCAAATTATAAATTTTTTTTGTGGGGGGTACCCATGCTTCTCGATTGGCAGGAGTCCAATCCTCAACTGTTTTCTGCTGCCTTCATGTTAAGAATGATATTTTCAGTCTCCTCTTCTCAATCCTTGTCATTACACATTTTCCTTTTCCTTCGCCTCCGAATTACTCCGCAAATGGGTTGAAAAAAAACACCAGTCTTATTTGTATTTCTGTGTGGACTTTATACTGCTCTCTCGTAAATCCCAATAATCCAGGCATTTCCGCTTGAGCAAGCACTCGCCATCTTGTCGTTCAGATGAAATACAGTCTAAAGCTTGCTCTTTAGCTTTTCCGACCTGTTGCATCGTAAATTAGCCTTTTTCCAGGAGGGCTGCCCCTTCCAGTTCGCAATCTCATCGAAAGAAATAAATCTTCGACTCGCCCTCCCCCAAGACCAAAACCTCCTGCAACACAGGTCTCGTATCCAGTCTCCATTTTAAGTGCGTCACAGAGAGAGCCCTTCTTTCCAAATCCTTTACAGGAAATCTATATCATTCCCACACAGTTCATATTCAGTCCCATTTGCCAATTAGTTGCTGTGACGGATCCTCTCAGAGGGAGGGTTATTAGTAATCACATAGAGGAAAAAAAGATAAAAAGTCATTCCCCCCCCCCTTAAGTTCCGTTGCACTGCAATCCACATACCAGCTTGTCTGTAGTGCTTTGATTAATCTTCCGTCTCAGTCTTCTTCATTTCGGTGGTAAAATTGTTAGCAGATAAAAACCTCCTGCCTCTCTTGAAGCATGTGTGTTATCTTTCACCAATTTTTTCCTTTTAAGTAACGCAACTAGTTTCGCTCCTGAAAGTAGCTTGGGAGGAGTTCCGAGATCCGCCGAGGGTTTACACCCAGTGCCTCACCCCCTCCTTCTTCTGAACTCGGGGGTGATTTACGGCAACCGCGGGTGATAACTGCATCTCTCCCCCCTGGAAAGATGTTAGGGAGACTGATTTACTCCCCATAATCAGCCTCTAATTACCTCGTGTGGGCTGGATAGATCCGCCATCTTTCAAGGTGCCCCTAGCGGCCCCCTGGCCAGAGCACTTTCTGCAGCGCTCCAGTGCTACTATACACACAGATTGGGACATTTTAATGAGAGGACCGTTGTTGGAAAGTGCTATGATGCATAGTGCCACAGGGTTACAATGTGCCTTGCATGCCAGTGTGATGTATGCTGGCTGATTCACCTGGCTAAGGTAAAGGTAGATATGATTGTTTCCTCATCTGTATGGGTTAAAGGAGTCAAAATGCTCTGTTGCTGAAAAGCAAATGTACGTTGTGTGAATGTCATTCTGTGGACTAATTCTAATTACAGTGGTATCTCTGATTAAAAACTTAATTCGTTCTGGAGGTCCATTCTTAACCTGAAACTGTTCTTAACCTGAGGTACCATTTTAGCTAATGGGGCCTCCCGCTGCTGCCGCACAATTTCTGTTCTCATCCTGAGGTAAAGTTCTTAACCCGAGGTACTATTTCTGGGTTAGCAGAGTCTGTAACCTGAAGCATTTGTAACCCGAACCGTTTGTAACCCGAGGTACCACTGCATTGTTGACAGTGCTCTGGATGGTGGTAGATGTTAGGAGTGTATACCAACCACAAGTTTAGGTTCAGACCCTGATATGGCACTTTGGAAAACAGCCTGCCTCAGTCTGAGGTGCTGAGTCAGTCCAAAACCATTTCACATTTCCTCGTCCCCGTTAATTAATGGGAAGTAACACACACACACACACACACACACACACACACACACACACACACCATTTGACAGACATGGATAAAATTTGCTGGCATATGAGCCCCTCCAAAGCAAATAAATCCTGCCAAATTAAAAGCAGTTTGGCCCTGGGCCTTTTGTAGTGGACACCTTCAAACTCTGTTGTGTTTACCAGTTTTACAGCACACTCACCTTTAACCCTAAAGCTGGTGATGATTTTGTAAACATGTAACTTTTGAATGACTGAAGCTCTTCTTTCTGCAGGGTCTGGCAGAGCTTTATGAATATAAAAAGAAGTATTCTGATGCAGACATTGAGCCCTTCCTAAAAAACTCCTCACAGTTCTTCCAGAGCTATGTGGAACGAGGTCTCCGACTGATTGAAATGGAAAGGGAGGGCAAAGGGCGCATTCCTTCTACAGGTAACTCCCAGAGCACTGTGACAGCATGGACTAGAGGGAGCCAATGGCTGTAATTGACTGTAGGGGGCTTCAGAAATAATTCACCTGTTCTTTTGTAACTGGTGGTATGAAATATAGGCATGAAATTAAAACATCATAGGGCAATTGCACAATAGTCTCTCACCAAGCATATTTCTCTTGGCCTCAGGAGGTAATTGCAATTGACTTTCCCCCCTAAGAGCTGGTTCCTGGGCTGTGTAGAAGCAAAGAAAATTGTATCTCCCGATCCACAAGCTTCAGATCAGCAAGTCCCACCATCCCATGTTACAATGCAAGAGGGGAAAGCAGCAGCACGAGTCATGGGTCACTTGCGCATTGCCTTTCCTAATTGCTTTGTAACATACGTAAAGGCTTGTTCTCAGCCTTCCTATCCACGAAAACATTAGTAAAAGCAAGTAGTCTGCAAAGTCACAGCTGCTGTGAATCAACAATGTCACTCCCACTGCAGAAGTAGGCATATTAAAAGACCTCTGAACCAATAAGGACACATCCTGGCATCCGAACTACACTGGGGCCACTGCAGCTTGGCTCATTTTCCTTCACCTCTTAAAAATCATCAGAAACCTCAGACTGCTACATAGGAAGAACCCACATCTTGGTTCTTTCCCATAGCCAGTGTTGCTCCTGTTTCAGGAAAGGCAGTGCTGGCAGGAGGAGGAGCCATGCGGTGGACTCATGGTCCAAGGCTTCTGAGGTTATCCCCGGAGCACAGAAAGTGCAGCAGCTCCTACACCACATGGACCCTGAGAAACATCACAATCCTCAGTTGGTGTCTGCTTGGACTCATTTTTTGTGTTTGTGTTTGTTTTTTGTTTTTGTTTTTTCCATATTCCAGGGGTTTCTCCACAGATGGAGGTATCGTGTATCCCTACTCCCACCAATACAGTCCCTTCATCTATAGGAAATGCCAATGGGGAAGAGGTGGGGCCTTCCGTCTACTTGGAAAGGCTAAAAATCCTCAGGCAACGATGTGGCCTTGACAATGCAAAGGTATTCTCTCGATTTACGTATGCGGCAGTGTCTGTGTTTCAGCATCCTCTCTCTTTCTCTAGTCCTTGGTGAATCCTTGTCTCTCATGGCATGTTTGCTCTTGGGGCAGAAGGCTTGACACATCTTTGCTTGCAGACTACTTGCTTTCGCTAGACTCCTTGGGGCAGCCAGGTGGGACAGGAAGCTACTTCAGGCGCTGCACAGAACTGAGGAAAGACAAAGCACGAGTGTTATCACTTGAGCTGCTGTTTTCCCTGTAACATAGGAGGGGCTTGCTGATCTTGCCTGTCATGAAACCATTGAGCCTCTTGGGTGATCGATTCAGAGGTTCATTGATCTCTCAACCAATGATACACATTTTTCTTTGTATGTAGTGCATAAACTGTCTGATAGGAGAAGGCCTAATGTATTTTTGCCTCCAAAGCTCTAAACATCAGGCTTTTGCACTACTGCTTATTGTTCTATGAGTGTGTGTAGGCTTGGCGTACTATCATATCAGCATAGATGGGCAAGCCTGTGTATAGACTGCACTTGAAAAGAATGGTTTTGTGGCAATAAAATATTTGATTTGCAAAATAATAATGATGATGTGTAAAGGTTACAGAATTAATCAGTGCATATTGAGCTGTGACAACTAATAAAATTGTAAAGAAACATACTGTTTATATGGGGCAGAGATGCTAGAACATTAATGCCTGATAAATCACTGGAGAAACTGACCCAGAAGCACATCTAGATAAACTTTGGAACAGTGTTCTGTGGTTCCTTAGATGTGTGAACCATCTAGAAGCTCCAGTTGAGCACTTTCTAATGAGAGTGGGGAAAATGGAAGCTAACAAGTTGTGACCTGATTTCTCACACTGCCTTTGAATTGTTAAGATGTTTTTGGTTCAGTCACAAAGGTATTGTTAGACGATTGTTTCTACAAAGACTGGCTCCCTCTCAGAATGGAATAGCATCAAAGCTTCAGCTTTGTGTCTGATGTGGACTCAAAGAAATGCCATGTGTTAATTTATTATGCATCAAGCGTGCTTGAGCAAATTCCTTTCCAGCTGACAGGTGCTGTATGTGGTGAAAACACAGTTGGTGGAGGAGCAAGCCAAGATGCTGGATCGTTCACTTTAGCAATCCCATAATCAGGATTGCACTATAAGCACAGGTGTATGAACCCACTCATTATTCTAAACTCGTAAAAGGATCGGCACACCACCTTTTTTTTGAATGGTTTCCAAATAGCAAGCAGAACAGAAAATGCTCTGGTATTGATAATTTTTGCTTTGGAACAAGTGTTTTGAGCATTGTTTCTGTCCACAGCAGGAAGACAGAGCACCCCTGACCTCCCAGCTGTCCAAGCCATCAGCCCCTACAGTTGCATCCTCCACAGATATGCTCCACAGTAAGCTTTCTCAGCTCCGTGAGTCACGGGAACAATACCAGCACATCGATCTGGACTCCAATCAGACCCACTCTTCTGGCATTGGAACCACCACGTCCTCCTCTGCAGCATCCAATATTGATGACTTGAAAAAAAGACTGGAGAGAATAAAAAGCAGCCGCAAGTGAAATTGCATCAGACAGCGTGGCTGTTGAAGAGCTGTCCACATTTAGTTTACTAAACTAGAAGTCTTCATAGTTAAGTGGCCTCATGTAGGCCTTCTGTATACAAACTGGTTTATGTGTATAATACAGCAGATCTTGGAGGAGGATCCAAGTCATTGTGGCACAAGTCTTTGTACATACTTTGCTTCTCTGTGAGCTTTTATTGACCGTAGAAGACTGTCTGTATTAGTTTTAGTGTACAGAGCTGTAAACAACCATTCTCTTCAATCCAGTTTCTCATAACTTTATTTGTAAAGTTGTCTTCTCTTTCTTAGCTCTTAACTCTTAGAAGCTCTTCAGTGGTTTTTCTTTTATTTTTAACAACTTCTTCTCCATATAATCCTTGAACAGTTTCTGTACGGACGCATGGCATGAATTAACTAAGTGTCTTTTTGTAAATAAAGTTTGCATTAACTCTCTCTGGGAGCAGCAGTGGCTGTTGGTGAGAAATGTCCATCCATGTTCTTAGTTACAAGTGACTCAGCCTTTCTAGTTGTCCGTGAGCTGCTGTCTAAACCTTCACAGCAGATTAACTTTCATGGAGAAGCTGAGACACTAACATTGCAAGCATGCTTCAGGTTGAAGAAATCTTTGATTTCTATTGTGAGCACTGTTAGTCTTACCATGGCTTCCAGAATTGCGTGGGGCAGAGGCAAAACATTTCACCCCCCAAAAAACCACTTTCCAAGCCCTTCTCTGTGTTTTAATCTAGTTAGCCTACAAGTGCTAGAATGCTCAGGTTCCTTTTAAGGATTTAGTTTCATCCATTTTGAGAACTGATTTTTTAAAAATGGTGGATGATCAGTATCCTACACTGAAGACATGTTGGCCTTTCCTCATATGTCAGTTGCTATACATGCTGGAGCCCAGAATATTTGCTCTTAGATATATTTTTAGCTCTGCTGTCAGCCTGAAAGTTTTGTAGTAAATGTATGATCAGTGATTGCTGCTAGTGGTTGAGAACATAGTCTTGGGGACACTGTTTCCAAAATACATGTGTTCTCAGAAGGTGAATTATACTGTGGCAGTTGACGGTCACGTGGATGTGGTTGTGGGGAATTGTTCTGGAGGACTTGCTGCTTTTATGTATGGGTTATGCATTTGTGTGCCTCTTACAATCTGAGCTATAGCACACAGTTGTTGGAGTAATTTCTAGGTTAATCTTCCCTCCTCTGCCCCTGCCTTGGATATTTTGACATAAGTGGCATTGCACCGTCTTTAACACGCTCCCAGAAATACCAGCTCTTTCCTGTGGCTGACAGAGATTTAATTTCATTTGCATTTCTTCGTGCTTGTTAGACGTTGATTAAATAGCATTTACTATACACCATAGTTTAGTGTTGCATCAAATCAAATTGGTTGTCTTTATAAACTTTGTTGGTCATTGTGTACACATTATGATGTGTATGCTGATTTGGAAGCGATGCCCATAAGAGGGTGCATCCCAGTGTGTGCATTATTTGCCTTCTGGGAGGACTCTGCACACTTCCCATTGTTAACTTGCAGTTTTTTTCAGTGGATGCCACTTCATATTGAATCAGCTGCCTTAGGTAGGGCTATGAAAGATTGAATCAGCACCTGTCAGCCACTTTAGCACTTTGGTGTGCCTTGCAGTGGTGCAAAATGCATACAGTTTGTGGGGCTCTGAGTTGCTGCTTGTGGCATCTAGTGATAGCCTCCTCTTGTAGCTGATGCCCTGTTCCTTACTCTTATGTTGGAGCTCACACTGGTATAGTAAGTGCAAGGAACGGAGAGGTAATGGTCATTAGAAATACAATTTGCAGGGGGGGTGTATGTGTGTCATTAGTGAGATTTGGAAATGCAATGAAGTCTCTGGCAAACTTTGTTTTCTCTAAAAAGATGCTCTCCCCACCACTAGGTGTGGCTTTAGTTTTGATACATTCTCCCCTTACAGTGCTGGTTTCAGAAATGCCCTATTTAAGCCACATTTAGCTTAACCTAGAGCCAATGGAAATGTTTCTACAGTATGTTTGAATAAATGTTACATTTTACTACTAAAATTCTCTGTACTCCCTTAGTCTTGGTGATCTACCTATGATAGGTATTCAAGGAGAACTAGCTCCTTTGCCTACCTGTGTCTGAAAGGACAATGCCTGATCAGCATTAGTATAAATAACAGGTTTTTTATGAATATAAACTATCTTAAGGCGTATGCACCATATTCTAATAGCACATCCGAAGCACATTCTTTCCTTCAAAGAATTCTGGGCAGTGTAGTTTATTGCTGCCCGATTTACAATTCTCAGCAACCCATAACAAATAGGGCCCAAAATTCTTTGAGGCGGGAAATTAAAGATATAGTATGTAGGCAACCTTTGTCAATCTTCATGGAATTTGACTAGTTTTCTCCATTGTATCTTTTTATGATGCCTCACTTAGAAATGGTTCCTGCTGTAGAAAAGGCTCAATTTAACAGCCATGGCAATGGTGGGGTACATTTCTTTGCTTGCAGACACTACTGTTTTTTGTTTAATGGGATTGAATAAAACTGCATGCCACAGCAACCACACCAAAGAACACACAAGCTGCCCTTTGGTTTACTCCCATGAATATCATAGAGTGGTGCTTGTAGTTTCACTCTGAACTTTGAACTATATTTTTTGTAATGAAATTGCTGGAAGAAAACATACTTCAATCAAAATGTATCTGCTTTCTGCCCAGAGCCCCAAAACCGGTGAACTATAGGCAACTTCTTTTACTTTCTCCTTTTTGAAGGCAAAAACCGAGGCTAAGTGTACTCCTACCTTTGTTACTCTAAGAGAAATAAGGCCACATAACTTACAGCTTCTTATTCTAAGGTTGTAACCCTAGCCACACTTGAGGATATTGTGAGGCTTGATTCTAAAAGATCCTGCATAGGGTGCTCATTCAACCAGATGCAGTACATTCACCTTAGTCACAGTTTTGCTTTGCTAACTTTACATGTAGTACCTGTACTGCTAAGTTCACTTTTTTGCAATTGACAACAAAGGAGATTGAGTACTTGGTCCAGAACCTTTATTGAGGTTTGTGCCAAAATACGTTTCCTTCCTTAGGCTTTTAGTTACCTGTCATGTTTGACCAGTATACATACATCTCTAAATCATTGTGCAGGTGCTGAGCTTAAGTTCTTTAATGCCCATGTTTCTCAGTAACCTTTTGCAACCATTTCTTCAGGCGGAAGACATGGGTGTAGAATCCATATTTGCCATCACGATCACAGCCTTCTCCCCATGAGACGATACCCGTCTGATACCACCGATTATCTGTTGGGTTCTGGAGAGAGGAGAGTGCAAGAGCACCAAGGAAGAGTCAGCATACTGGGGAAAAGCATATAGGTCAGATAAAGAGGGCAAGCAGCAGCAACAGGACTATATTTCAAGACTTTCAGAGCCCATAGAAGGTCCAGATCCAGGTATTTCTTACAGTGGAGCTTTATGAGTATCTCTTTTCTAAAAGGAAATCTCACCCTTAATCGCAAAGATGTTGGATGAGGGGCTTCTTACCCAACAATGCATGTGAAGATTGACTTAACAATATAAATCGGATCCACAAGCTTGTTTCTGTGTCAGATGGAAAGTCCACGGAGGGTAGCATTCACTCAGGGCTGTAACAAGTGACCTGCTGACAGTGGGAGAGACTGGAGCCCATAGTGGGTAGGGCCAACCAGTCTCCACCCTGACCAGCAGACTGCCAAATAACAAAGAGGTTTCTCTTGCCAGAGGCTGAAGTGATTGCTTTGCTTACTAGGCTCCCTGCATCCTTGCTGAAACGTGAGCACTGTTCCTCTCTCATTGATCCAGTATTTTAAGCTCGGGGCCCACCAAAGAAGTCATGACATATGTCACCCTTTTGCTGCCACTTGAGATTGATGTATTACATCAATTGGAGCATTGCACATACCTTCATGACAAAAGGGCCTCCACTGTCGCCTTCGCAGGCATCTCCTCTTTGAGAGTCCTCAGGACTGTACCCTAAACAATAAAAAGGCATTTGGGGTTGACTACAGAGGATTCAGTCTCCTGTTTTCCTTTTGCTGCTTTTCACCATCTGATACTTAATCTTTTAGAAATCAGTGCCTGTGTACTGCCTTCTCAAGCAACCAGAAATCTCTTTTTCCAGAAAGGGGGAATCAGCCCTTAGTTAACTAAAACTGGGATCTAGCTCCATAAATTTCCCTGTTGCTTTCACTATTCTTCCATTTATTGTCATTTCAGTATGAATTGGGATTGGACTGTGTGTTTCTGTTTTTGTTTTTGTTTTTAAATGATATTTATTAAGAATTTTAAAATTACAAAAAGAAAAACAAAAGAGAAAAAGAAAGAGAAAAAAACAAAAGAAAAACAAACCACAGTCGAACAATACAAATTGATAAAAATCAAAGTCAAGAAATAACACGACACAATCAAAAAACAAAAATATGCCACAAACATTTGAAAACAAATCCAATATTCTCAAATCCTTAACTGTCATTACCTTCTTTCTTTGACCTCCTCACTCCTCCCTTTTTTTGTATCCTAGTTGTTAATTGTCACAGCAAATCCTTTCCATATTTCATAATATTCTGTCATTACATTAGAAGAAGAAGAAGAGTTTGGATTTGATATCCCGCCTTTCACTCCCTTTAAGGAGTCTCAAAGCGGCTAACATTCTCCTTTCCCTTCCTCCCCCACAACAAACACTCTGTGGGGTGAGTGGGGCTGAGAGACTTCAAAGAAGTGTGACTGGCCCAAAGCCACCCAGCAGCTGCATGTGGAGGAGCGGAGACGCGAACCCAGTTCCCCAGATTAGGAGCCTACCGCTCTTAACCACTACACCGCTCTTAACCACTACACCACACTGGCTCTCACATTACCTTAATCTATTTTAATCTTATCTTACTATAAAAGACCTTAAAACTTAAAACTTAGATCTTATTTATACCAGTTTCTCCTAACCATAATATTCTTACATAATTCTTTAAACATTTTTGCTAAAGCCAGATAATTTCATTCCAACATTTTTCTAACGTTCATCAATTTTATAAAACAATCCTAATAAAAAAAAAATCCCCCCCCCCTTCCAATCTTCATCTAGCGTCTCTTCCTCCTGGTCCCGGGTTTTGTCAGTCCTTTCTATCCCATCAATCTAGCACATTAACCTGGTAATCTTATGTCCGAGGCCCTTAAGTCCCTTCCATGTCCCATCCGCAGTTCTTCTTCATATTTATACCTGTACTTTACTTTGTCTCCTGCTCCTTTCACTCGTGGGAACTCCAACTTAACAGTGTTTTTGACCCTTCTCAACAAATCAGTCCCTTTTCCATAGTCCACACTAAACTCCATGTGGTATTTAAAAACATGTTTCAAAACTATATAGAGTCCACCCAGGAATCAAATCAGGAGTGTGCTCTGACAGAACAGATGAGGGAAGAGGTTGTTGCTGAACCTTGGGCGCCAGAGATCATAGAATCATAGAGTTGGAAGAGACCACAAGGGCCATCGAGTCCAACCCCCTGCCAAGCAGGAAACACCATCAGAGCACTCCTGACATATGGTTGTCAAGCCTCTGCTTAAAGACCTCCAAAGAAGGAGACTCCACCACACTCCTTGGCAGCAAATTCCACTGTCGAACAGCTCTTACTGTTGAAGGGAGCTGTGGCCCAGCAGGAACATGAGTTCTTGGATTTGACAAATGAACTTGGAAAAAGCCAGATTTGGAAACGATAAAGTTTGGTTTGGTTTGGAAATGGGGGGTTGGATAGACCCCCCCCCCCATGCAGGGATGTTTGGACTTTTCAAGTCTGGCAATGGGCCGTGAGATGTTTGGGGTTGTGGGGGATCTTAATTCTGGAGGGATTTTGAAACATGGACTGTGTGTTTCTGTACAGCAATGTGAGGTAGATCAGATATGCTAGGGGACCCAGTTATGGATCTCTGTGGCCTGTTTTCATCACTCCATGTATTTGCTTCACCATGTGTGTATCTGCCTCATGTACAGGATACAAGCAAATACCTGCTAAATGTATGAAGCACTCCTGTCTCACCTCTTGAGCTTCAGCCTACTTTGTGTTTCTTCTTCTCAGCTGAGCTTTGTCAAAGGCACAGCCTGGTGTCTAGCCTGGATTTTCATCACACTGCCCACACGAATACATTATTTCCTCTCCCCACTCCAGGCTGGGAGTTCCTGGCCTGTTGCAATTTTGCTCAGGGCCTGGTGCTAGCTTGGCCAAGTTTCTCACCTGACTGGTGGTGCCTTTCTTAGCATTAAATTAGAGGAAATCATGTAGGCTTATGGGTCTTCCTATTTTGTGCAGCAGCTTCACTCAGGGAACAGTACTAGCCAGACCAAAGGGAAATATCCCTCCCTTAGACACAGCTGGAGGCCACTGAGGTATTGCCCAGTTTGTGAGGGGAGGCCACTTGTCAAGATTCTTCAGTCTGGGAGTCCAGATTGTCACCAGCCAAGGGGGTTGGGGGTAGGAGTATTTATATGGTGAAGGACAGTTCCAGCTGTCTTACTGTGGTAATCGTATCTCATCCCAGTTCAGATTGGCTCATACTCTCCTTCCCTTGAAACATGTGGCTTGGCTCACTTCCAGTTGAAATCGTTGGCTTTTCCTTCAGTATTCCCAACCACACAGATACATAACCTCACCAGTTTCTCCCTCAGTTGAAAGAACGTATCAGATGCTAAAGAAAACGTACCTGCACAGAACATGTTGTCTGTGACTCTAATCTTGGTGGATGCCTTGCAAGTTTCCCGTGGCACAATTGGGAGGTTCACCTGCTGTAGTATGCCAGGCAGAGGTGACCTGCCAGAGGTCCATGTCTCTTGTAGGTTTCCCCAACCAGTCACACGCCCTTTGTATCCCGTTAGCATCAGGCTACAGAACAAAAAACAACACAAACCCCAGTAGCTTAAAATCATTTTGGCTGACATTTGTAGGCAAAACATGTTTCCTTTTGTTATGTATATGTAATGGTTTGTCTTAATCCTAATTACACTGCTCCAAACAAAAAACTGGTGTCTCCAGTGTGCGCTGAATTCTTCAGCAGAGACCAGGGTGCTACAGGAAGGAAGGCACCCATGGTGAAGTCCTCTGTAGGTATCTAGAGCACATAGGGAAGGAAGCAAGGCTAGACTCCAGAAATACAATGGCAAGTTACATCAAACAGCACGTTTCCATTTTGCTCTTTGCAAAATCCCGAGTTTTCCAGACTGGCTGTGCTCTCATTGTTTTTCTGCAACCGTGGGAATAGAAACATTCCTTAAACACACACTGTCTGTCTCACGTGTGCATGACCCCTGGCCTACAAGGTGCAATGGCTGTGGATGTACAAACCACGCATACTTTACTCTGCATTCGGCCTCTTTTGCACACAGCTGCCACATGTGCATTCTATTAGGCAAGAAGAACAAACACCATCCCTACCAGTAAATCCATCATTTGTCTTAAGGTTCAGATCTTCCACCCCAGGTCTGCACACGGGGCTCCTTTTGCAATCAGTACTTTGGACTAGGCACTCACGGTTAAGATCCGTCTAAACTTAGGCTCCCTATTCATTTTGTATTCTTTGCTCATCTCTACTTTTTAATTCAGCACAAATAGCTGGGAAGTGTGTGTCCAGCCAGCTTCCTAAAATCCTCCTCCTAGGATATCAAGTGTTCTACCCATTCTCTTTAGGCAACTCACCTTCTGTTGCAGGCAACTCCCTTCAGGAAACAGAACCCTTAAAGCAGGGGTGGGGAAAGCTTTTCAGCTTGAGGGCCACATACCCTCATAAACCGCCTTCTGGGGGCCACATACCAATGACTGGTGGGACCAGAGGCCAAAGTAGATGAAGCAATTGAGTTGTAACCTTAACTTAAATTGGAAGTAAGCCAAAGTGGGATGAGTGGGACTTATTTAAGCTCTCAATATTATGTAGGTTAGCTGCACCCTACCCTTTCCTATTGAAGCTACTGCTACTACTGGGAAAATATGAATGGTTGTGTCCTATATATAAGAGCTCCAGCTTTATTTGTCTGCCTTATTCAGTTCATGGCAACCAGGGCATGTCCAAGAAATTTTGCTGCCTGAGGCAAATAACCAAATGGTGTCCCAAGTACAAAACCTGAGTGGACTAGTCTTTGGATCTTACTTCAGCAATGGCAACAGGACAGGGTCCTCTACCATGTCTGAGGACAGCAGGCTAGCTCAGAAGATGCAGGGCAGCTTGTGTGGCACACAAACATCTTGCTGCTGCTCCCTACCACCCACCTTCCACTGCCTCAGTCTGCCTAATAGCAGGACCAGGCCTGGTGGCAACTTGCATCCTGCTAGTGAAGACTACCCACCTTCAGTGGAAGGCAGAAAGGGATTCATTAGTCAATCCCAAGGTTGCCTTTTCCCAATGTTGCTGCCATTCCAGATTTTATCAGTGGTAAGACTGGGAAGATGCATGTTTGAGGACACTCACAATCTACTTAGGTGATGACACAATGTCTGGATGGGCCAACTGTCCCCCTCACCAAAGGTTTACAAACCACTGACTTGACTTGACAGGTTCCCTATCATTTTGAATGGGGCTGCTCCCATTACAACCATCACGTTCTGTTTCCTTACCTTTGAACAATCTCTTTAGTGGGTAAACAGACTGGATGTATATAGTTGCTGAACTCAACGGGCTTCTTCAGTAGTAACAGTGCAATGTCCCGGTCTAGATTCTCCTTCCAATTGTACTTGGGGTGAATGATGACTTTCTCTATCAACATAATTTTCTCCATGGTCCTCTCATAGCTGAAACATTTCCCAAAAAAAGAGAGAGAAGCAATTGACATATTTAAATACTATCATCAAGATGCCTTCAACTTGACTACAGTTTACAATAAGCCCAAGCCAAGTAGATGGTGAAATAGGACTTCTGGAGGCTCCTTAATTGTGGCAAGGGGAAAAAAATACAGGTTGTATGTTCAGGTAATGTGTCTCCATGGGAACTAATTGCTAGGGAATTACTTTTTGATACAGGAACACTCTGGGATGTACTGGATAGGCATGAAAGATCATAGAAGTGGGGGCATAAGCATAACCCCCTCCCCTAAGTAAGAATGATGTAATCTAGGTCTGTGTTTTCTGGGCAAGGGAACGAAGGAGACTACAGTTTTCAGTCAGAAAGAGCTGACTTTATGGGCTATTCAAGTTCAGAGAAATTGCCTTCATTAGAGTTGCCTCTCTCTGGAGGTCAGGCAATCAAACTGGCTTTCTGTTAGTGTGTTTACCCTAAATCTATGCTCAACCTGTATATTTGTCAATAAACTTTAAAAATGCCATAACCTTCCAGAGACCTCCATACAAAGGAAACCAAAGCTGGGTAAATGCTAAGCCCCTGGGACTTCTGACCATTTGGCATAGTGGGGCAAGCCTAAGAATGATATTTAAAATGTGCATACTTTGAATTTAGTGTGTGGATGCATGACACCTTGGATCCTGGAAGATTTCCCTTGACACCAAGAAGCATGGTTAGTGTTCTGCATGCCCAGAATCAATTCTGACTAAATGACAGGAAGAACTTTCTGATGGCAAGAGCTGTTTGGCAGTGGAACAGACTCCCACAAGAGGTGGTGGACTGTCTTTCCCTGGAGGTTTTTAAGCAGAGGTTGGATGGCCATCTGTCACAGATGCTGAGATTCCTGCATTGCAGGGGGTTGAACTAGATGACCCTCAAGGTCCCTTCCAACTCTACAATTCTAGGATTTTTGTCTGCGTCCCCAAATGGTTTCCCTTTTCCCATATAGAAAAGAGGCATTTATACAGAGCTCTTATGGCCTATGGTCAGTATGCAATTTGAAAGATTTATAATTTCCTTTCCAATCTCTTACACCTTCCGGTCGTGTTTGCCAATCCGTACAATGATGTCGTCTTTAGTGAAATTCTTATCCCAAGGTGGGTAGAAGATGCAGTGGGCAGCAGTTAGGATCCAGCGATTACTGATGAGACTGGCTCCACATAGCAGCTCCTGGGGGCTCTTCCTGAACAGCATCACTTGCCTAGAACAAAATAGGCAGGGAAAGAGAGGCAAGGCTCAGGGTCTTAGCCGAAATAGCACATGACCAGAGCACAGGCTGCAGAGAACAAAACAGACTAGCATCTTTCTACTGACAGGCCATTGTTGTGCTTCAAAGGAAGAATGAGGCAGAAACACAAATTGCAAAAGTCTCTTCCTGGATTTGCTAGTGCCATTTACGGAGTTCTGAAAGGTCACCCGTCCATGCAAAAGAGTAGACAGGCATGGGAAAGGAACATAAGCAAACCTCAGTTATAATGCTTACCACGGGGAACTGCCTTTTTCAGCATCGGATCCCTTCACAATTCGGCCTGCCAGATAGGAGTCCAGCAGCTCCTGCTCAGTCTTATCAGATACGTGCAGCTTCTCAAACAGAGGACGGGAACCACAGTCTGGAAATACAGATCCATCCTTCTGTAACTACTGTACCCAGTTCTCAAATATGAACATATCTTTCATAAGCTAGCATTTCTGCTACAAGAAAATAATAATTGGTGGTGACTAAGACATCGACCCGGAGCTGGAATTTTATCTCATCTTGTTGGAAAGGTGAATAATGGGAGTTGATTTGGAGCATAGGTTCAGTCCTGGACAGTCTATATAAAATGCTGTTTTTATTCCTTTCAAAAGGTTTACATGAGTGCCAGCTAGATTATCGGACTTATGCTATTCCACCCTTAAGTTAAGGGATGCTAAACTCTGGCTGGATAGGACCATGTCTGAATGGATGGGGAGAGCATCCCCTTGTAGCCCACCTCCTGAACGTTCTGGGGGATCTTCTGGTTAGATGCTTCTGTTATAGCTCTGATCTCGCTGGGGAATGGACAGGGTCATCAACAGTATCACCCCTAAGTGCCCACTCTGGCACTGCGGAGCCTGAAACACACTTGGTTCTCCAGTGAGCTTTGGACAACGAAACAGGTCATGTGACCGCAACAGTACAAGTGGCATCTTGCACCAAGGCCAACCAAGTACAGGTCAGAGCATGTGACACCATTGTGTCCTTGGGTAGCCGTCTGGCAGAGGTGTTTTTTGGGGTTTTTTTGAGCTAGTGAATGTTGGCTGCTATTAGTTAGTTAGTTAGTTAGTATACCGTCCTTCGTTCACAATATAAAAATACAAAATGAGAACACAAAATACATAATAAAACAAACAAACCAATAAGTCCCCTCCCACAAAAACACTTAAAAGGATATAGGATGTTAATCAGCCATAGGCCTGGTTGAAAAGGAATGTTTTCGCCTGGCATCTAAAGGTGTACAAGGAAGGCTGTGAGTGCTTGGAAAGTTTCTGATCAATTAAAAAGGTGCCACTGATTATATGAGGGGGGATATATTCCTAATACCCCCTCCTACACACTGTGGTTAGCAGCCACTGTCTGAAAAGAGACATTTCCCTCCCCCCATTCACTCAGGAGGAAGGGCCTCTTCTAAAATGATAGTCTGCTTCTTGCTTCAGCAGAACCGGGTTGAGCCATTCTCAGGCAGTGTGTGCTTGAGAAGCAGCTGGCCCTGAATTGACATCAGGTTCTTTCATCAGACGACATCTCCCTCACCGAGGCAAGTCAGGGCCACAGGAGAAATGGGATTTCATCAGGTCCAACCCATGCCATAATTTTCCAAAAATGAGATAAACAAGAACATTCACACCAAGTAGGAAAAAATTAGCCTGAGGAGAGTTTGGAGAGCTAACCGCTAACGGCTGCTTCAATGAAGGCAGGAAAGCAGACTGGATTCTAGAAGAGCCTGCTTGCTTTTCTGCCTTTGACCACAAGGTGGAGCCAGTAACCACAATCAGCAAGAAGAGAAACCATTCCAGCCCCTGTTCCAATACAGTATTAAAAAAGGGTCCTATTATTCAGCAATGTGTTGTACGAAGAAGGTGTGGCTTAATTAATTGTTATTTTTCTTCCTTTTGACTTTATCTTGGCCCTCTCACCTGCTTCGCCTTGACCAAACGTCTTAGGATCAAAGAAGGTTTTGTGTTCTTGGACAGTAGTCCGGCCTGCTCTTTGCTCATCCTCATAATCGAAATCATCCACAAAACTTTCTGAAAGAGAAGACCAGGGCGGAGAAGAACTTAATTCACAGAAGAGTCAGTCTCCTCATTCCTGCTAAATCTACTTTCTACAATGGCCAGATACAAGCAGGGGCAGGGGGCAATCTTCAGGATACTTCTGCACTTTCAAAAGTTATGTGTGGGGGGGGTGTTCAGCAGGTGTTGCCTTTATGGCCATCTCTTTTTCTACAACAGGGGTAGGCAGAAGAAAGATTGGGATCTGTGGGGAGGTCTTGGGGTGATTCGCAATCTCACTCCCATAAGCAATAACTTAAGCTTCCCATGCCATGTTCTAAAAGGATGAAAAAGAGTGATTGGGCGAAAACCCAGAGCAGGTTTGTGGTTCTGTTTACTGATCACAACTTCCTGGGCTCAGCATGCGTTCTTAGCATATGTCTGCCTGGCTGGGACATTATTTTGCACTTGGCTCTGGCTGGTGGACCTCAGGGTTCAAACCAACCAACCAACCTACCAACCAACCAACAAACAAACACACTCATGCACTGGTAGATCCTGCAAGCCTGCAATCTGCCCATTGCAGCTCTACATAACTATTAAAAGGCACAAGAGCCCTGCCTTCTGTTCTTCGTGGCCACCCTATCTACTTCCTACCTGCAGGCCACCAGAGAAAGCAATTAAGTTAGTGGAAGCCCATCAAATCCATGTGAAGCTTTCAACACATGCACACCAATACCAACATGCATACATGACTCCCAGCATGCATCTGGCTCTCCCACATAAACCATCCTCCCGTCTCATCTTAAGAAACTCCTCTTTACCACAAAAAGCAAAGGCGCGTCTCTTGCATGCTCCTTACCGCAGTAGTTCAAGTCACAATAGTCAAAGGTCACGTTAGGATGGTTGATGTAGCACCAGACGCCTTCGTCGTCCTCATCCGGGTTGCGGCAATAATTCTGCACCAGGTTAGGGTTGCCATGGAAGGGTTTCCCGTGGCTCATCGCTCTCGCTTGTTCAGAGGCCCATGGTAAGCACTGGGCCCCGGAAAGAGTGACGGAGAGGGTCCCCGTATACTGCAGCCCCTTGTTCGGCACACAAGGCCCTTGCTTCTTCTGCTCTTGCCCTGGGGTCCTTGGGGAAATTGGAACTGAGGTCCGGTTCTCACCTGAAAAAAGAGGAGCAAGGGAATCATGACCATCGTTTTGTTTAAGAAGTTCTCCTTCACCGTATCTATATTGGTTTTAGAAGGGAAGCTGTGCATATATGCCTGGAATTGAAAGGAGGGATCTAATCAAACTCTACTTCAGACATCTTTAGGCAGCCCTGTTTAGGGAAGTTTTTAATGTTTGATGTTTTCTCGTGTTGGGAGCCGCCCAGAGTGGCTGGGTGTCAGGGACTGTGCTGAGGAGGGCTGCACTGAGGAGAAATGGTGGGAGCCTCCCCCTCCCCCTGCTCCTGAGGAGCAGGAGTATAGATTTGGAACAGTGGTTTGCAGAGGGACATAGCTCAGAAGACAAAAACTGGGAAATACTGGATGAGAAACAGCTAGAAGAAACACTGGAAGAGTGAGAGTTAACAGACTCCCTTTCACTGGAAAGCGTCCATCCACTCAGCCCCAGGTCAAGGAGAGCAGATAAGGTGGCTGCTCAGAAAGCACAGTGGTTGCGAGATCAGGTTGCAAGATGCGGAAGTGACGTGGGTGACTGGGGGGAAGTGGGTAGAACCCTTAATTGGGAGCACCTTCATTCCTGGAAATGGATTCTTTTGATCTCTCACTGTGATCATTAAAAATTATAACTGGTAAGAGACTCCTTTCGCTTTGTTCCGCTTATCTACTGCCAAAGGGGAGAGGAGCGTGGAAACTGAGCCCCTAAAGCCTGACACTGGGGAAACCCAGCCAGATGGGCGGAGTATAAATAATATATTATTATTATTATACCTGGAGCATCAGCACTAGACTCACCACACACAGGTACAGCACACTCTTCTGCGCGCACGACTGGGTTTCGGGTGTAGCACCAGGGACCCCTTGTGTTGTTGTTTGGATTCCTACAGTAGTTTTCAGTGAGGTTGGCATCTGGATGGCTTGTCGTGTTGAAGCTAAAAGAAAGCACGATACATTAGAGCGATACAGGAAACAGAAAATCTCTCCTCTTATAGTTGGGCTTGCAGTAAGGGAACTCTGGATCTTGCACCCAAAAGGACTGCACTGCAGTTTATGGCATGTTCTACATGAAAAGCACTCCCTCGGAAGAAGAAAAAGAGGTGAAGGCCAGACACAGATCGTCACGTACAGCAATCACGTGTCTGCATTTCACTGTGCACGTACATCAAGAACAGCTATGACTGGCTATGGCTTCCCGCCCAGCATGTGCACACCGCATGTTCATGTACACCAAAATGCACATATTCGTGTGCACAGATTTCAGATTCCACCACCCCCCTTCCCCTGATGCAATTGGCTGGGCATGTCCTCCATTGGCTATCTTGCAGCTCGCGGCTATTGGGAAGGGCCGCTCTGCTTATCTGAAGACATTCAAGCTTTTACTCAATTGTCCCTGTCGTCCGCATTGTTTTCATTCCCCTCCAACCACATTGCTTACAATTCTCCCTTCCAAGGATAACTGAGGATAACACTTCATGCGTTTGATGACGTGGATGCTAGTCCTTGAAAGTTTTGTTTACGTGGTTAACTCAGTGATTCTCAAAGGTTTCGTCTCCTTTCCTCAATAATTTATCTTCCCAGGAACTGCCATAGAAATCCTACATATTTCAAAGGGCTTTTTTTGGGGGGGGGGGGAGGTTTCACATTTATTGTCATGCTACTCACGCCTGCAGATCCCCTTTTTCCCTAGAGCACACCAATATTCCCCTGTACAATATTCCCTTGCGCTTTGTGCTTCCAATTAAAACCCAAGATGCACAAGATTCAATGGGCAGGCGACTGGATTTTTATTCTTGCTCAGTCTCTCCATCCAATGTTGCGTGAAGGCAAGTGGAAGTCAGGCTTGAGTTGCCTCCAGTTCAGAGAGTAGCCCTGCAAGCAAAGGGTGGCACAGAAATGTTTTTTTTTTCAAACAAGCAAGCAAGCAAACTTACTTAGGCTTGTGAGGAAATTTGCTTGACCAGTATTGGCATTCAATTCCTGACTTGGTGAACGAAATGGATCCCCTATAATTCTGCCCCGCATCTTTGACACAGTCACCTGTTGGAATGAAAAAATACAGGATGCAGTGAAATGGAACAGCTAGCAGCATATTCAGAGAGTCAAGCCATCTCAGTGGCTTGGATGTAGGCTGATACACATAACAAGCGCTAGTTCAGAGGTGCTTCTATGTCCCCTGGTTTAGCTACACTTGATTGCTCTACACTTCAGAAGGGGCAGCTGAATCTGGGAACTGACTCCATTGAAAAGCATTGTGTTTTAAGGGTCAGTAGAAAGAACACACAGAGAAAACGATGTGCTTGAAAATACATGTTCTATCAGTGGTGAGAGTTTGGGATAGACCATTCACATAGGCAATCGTTCATTGATCAAGACACATTTGGCACCCAATCCAAACACAGCCCTTTATTTATATTATTGTATTTATATCTGTTTATATATTTTTAGGTCACCTTTCAGGGTGCAACTCCTTCTGAAGATTATATGAACATGGAAAACCATTGAACTATGTTCAATATACAACATTTACTCCTATGCTGCCCTTGGTGCTGAAAAGAAAATGGAGAAAGTGCTGGGCAATTTTTATTTTGTTTACATTTCTCTATTTCATATGGGGAGGAGGGCTGGATCCATGCTATACTCTGGAACAGCTAAGATGCCCCACAGGCTTAGAAGGACCCCAACTAACTTCTTAGGCCAGCGCAAGGATTTCCATGTGCACAGTGGAGCATCCCCTCTTCTCCTTTCCCCATCCTCCTCAAATCCCCCTCCCTCCCCAAATTGCTCTGGAAGGATGGGGGAAACCCCAGAACGGGTTCAGGAGTGGGGTGGAAAATGGAGAGGAAGGGAAAGCTATGTTGAATGAACAGGAATCCTTGTACTGGTGAAATTTGTTAGATATTCCTGCAATGGGTTTGTTACAGACTATAATAATGTTACGCATTTATTATATTTGCTAATTGGTTTTCTTAACAGATAACCCAAAGTGATATTTGGGCACATCACACATTGCAGGAGACAAATGTGTTTTTGTTTTTAGAGATACGCACGTGCAGCAAGGAACCAGGCTCTGACTCCATATCTTTTAAATTACATTTGAGAATTTCAAAACCCATCCTGTCTCTCTCACAAGTTACAGTATTGTTAGTGTCTACATTAGGCAGCAGGTCTCCCCCATGCCCTGCTCTGCCACCAACTGCCCTGTGGGCAAGAATCCTGATGACTTGTTCTATCTTCATATTGTTTATTGTGAAATTATGAGTGTAGTTCAATGTTGCTTTAAGACACCTTGCAAGGATTTGTATCCTGAAAGCGGGGGGTGCAAGTAGCTGCAATGCATATAATAAATGGTATATAAATCACACACGTCTGCTAAAATGTTGTTTGCAGCAGTGTCCCTCTGCGAGTTTAGGAAAGAGAGAGGGACTCTCCTGAGAGGAATGCTTCTCAGTGATCTTGCCTTATTTAGAATTTGCCTCCAGTCTCTTCAGAGAAAGCAGATTCCTTGCACTCACCACCGCCAGGGCATCACAGATTCACTGTTAAGCTGCTTACCTTTCAGGCACTCATCAAGAGCTGCTCTGGGCTGCTTCTGAGACTTACATACTGGGGAGAGAATAATACAATTCAGCTTAAAGGGATCTTCAGCTCGTAAGAACAGCTCTGCTGCATCAGACCCGCCAAGACCCACCTAGTCCAGCATTTGGTCCTCAACAGGATGGACCAGGGGAAGCTTGCAAGGGGGACTGAATGCAACAGCCCTCTCTGCACTTGTGATTTCCAGCAACTGGTACTCAGAGGCATGCTGCCTCTCTGATACTGAGAGCAGCACACAGCCATTGGGAGATAGGAAAGCAACTCTCATTTTCTGACTCCAAAAGCCCCCAAGGGGTGAAATCCAACTATGCCTGTCTGCCAGTGTAACTGACTTCCCATTTGTGCAGCAGGAGATCTCCTTCCTCTCTTCTCCACTCCCAATCCCACAAATCTGCTGTGGAGGATTAGGAGACCACCCACAGCAGATTTATGGGGGCTTCAGGGGGAAAGAGAAGCAAAAATTCCTATTGCACAGATGTCACGTGACACTGGATTTCACCCAAACATTGGGCAAGGATGAATTAGGGAGAAGTTTCTGTTTCTCCATTTTTAAAACAGATGAACGGTCCAGCCTTGCCAGTAAGAAACCTTTGGCAGCTGCCGTCAGTGCCATCTTAATGAATATGATGTGTTGCTTAGGGATAGGCAAATAGCAAGGGAGAGAAGCGCTAGTGAAAGGATCAATCCTATACAGAAAGAAGGATCTAGCCAATGGGTGGGAGGACATTGGTAGCAGCAGGAGATGCAAGTTGACCAAGTCCAGCTGACTAAGAACTAAACATGAATGGATGAAGAGCAGCAACATGAAAAACTTTGAAGCTTGGTGTGGTGATAGTAGTTACTGAAGGGACAGGAAGAGAGAGGAAACTGGAGGACACGGCTGGAGGAAATTAGTTGACACAACTGTGAGGAAAGTGTGTGTGTGTGTGTGTGTGTGTGTGTGTGTGTGTGTTATGGCCAAAGTAGCCCTTAATAGTTGGGTCAATTTAAATGGTATGACTGGATTAGTTTGTGCAATTGGACTTCCACAGCAAGAGCTCCAAGGTCAAATATGGTAACAGAAGAAGGAAGAATTAAGATATGCTACTATTATGCTTACACCTTTATCATCCTATGCATGTTTATTTGGAGATGTTCTGCTGATTTCAAAGGATTTAACTCCAAATAAGTATTTGCAGGGACTGCTGCTCGGGGATATGCAAGGCTAATACTGGCCATTGACGTAGAGACATAATTCAGATCTTGGAATAAGGTTCAGTGGTAAATAATATACAAATAGCAAGGGTATTTGACAGAAGCTTTAGACATGCATACCTGAGTATTGTGCCCAGAATATATCCTGCAAAACAAAAGTGCTCACTTAGAAAGAAATACCCAAGAATGAGTAAGTCAACTGATGCAGTTCTACAGTACTGCTGATGCTATAAAGGTCTTACCCTGTAAGCTGTCAGGATGAGACACCACTCTGAGTTCTTTGGAGGCAGCATGAGATATGATTGTCATGACTCAGCAAGAGAGAGGACACATCTGATTTTGCTTCTGCCATCAAATTAAATCTATTGCAATTATGAGATGCATATAGCTCACGGGTAACTACTGCATGAATTAAACAAGCCCTCAGCCAGCCTTCCATATGTTGTTAGACTCCAGTTCCCATCAGCCTCAGCTAGTGTGGCCAGTGGACAAGCGATGATGGGCTTAGTAGTCCAACAACATCCACCCATTTTAGAAGTACAAATTTAGATCTTTGACATGGCTAGCCAGTGTATTTTAATATAACAACCTTTAAGGTTTGGCTGAATAGGGTGGTGGCATCTGCACCGGGCCTTTCCCCACTTACATCCTACAGCAGGCTTCCTCAACCTCGGCCCTCCAGATGTTTTTGGCCTACAACTCCCATGATCCCTAGCTAGCAAGACCAGTGGTCAGGGAAGATGGGAATTGTAGTCTCAAAACATCTGGAGTGCCAAGGTTGAGGAAGCCTGTCCTATAGTATCACCCAGTCTTTAGGAACAAGGGGAAGTCTTATGATAATGTCCTGTCAACTATATTGCTTAATGGATTATTATTTACAGAAACCGTTCCTGTTGTCTATAGCATATATAAAAACATGTATGGGGATAAACGCTTTCCCTGGTTATTGGGCTTCCAGTGGAGGTCATTTCTCATCTGTTCTTCTAAGAGAAGAGATGCTACCAGACAACGGACTCCTTTTGAATGACTGGTCAAAGATACGACACATTATGTAAAGGGACTGGTTTCTATATTATACAAATTTATTATTAATGCCTCATTTGGGGCCCAGAGTCAAAAATCATGATGGGAATTTAATTGTGACATACATCTGAGAAATGTAGTGGTGTAGAAGAGCTGGAAAAAATGTCACATCTGGCTACCAATGCGCCCCTTTGATTTCAGATAGTACATGGGTAGATGAGTCTAAAAAGCCCAGGACACAATTTTTTCACAGTTCTCTAGCAGCTATGGTGGCTAATTTACCAGAAGTAACGTATTTAGTGTTAACTCTGGAAGTGTATACTCGATTCTGACCAAACTAAGCCTCCTAGATTTATTTTTATAAATCTTTATTATTTGTAAAGGGTATCTTTATTTAAACAATTTATTATCCCTTTAGAGCTCCACTGGGTCTTTGTACTTTGTCCTTCCAAGCTGTGATGCATTATGGTTTAAATCCTTATTATTTGTTTCTTTTTGCTATGTTTGCACTTTTTGTTATTATTAAATTAATACATTTTTTATAAAATAAAATAAAATTACAACATCTGGAAGGAGACTGGGGAATTAAAGAAGAAATCCACTGTGCAATCCTCACAGTGGTTGCTGGGCCCTTGAATATGTGACTTAAGAGGCCTTGTTCTGCAGGAAGGAAAGTGGAATGATACCTACTGTTTGGGCATTAGACTCAATGGCTTCACGGGCTTCTTCATAGCTGCACACTTCCTCCAGGCACTCCCGTTCTAGATTGCCTTTGCGCACCTCTTCTAGGTATCCTTTGTTGGCTCGCCTTGAGCGCTTCAGCAAAGAGAGTGCTTGCTTCTGATCGAGAAAGACTAGCAAGAGCAGAACACCCATCAGTCAGTCCTTAGTGTGGAGGCTTATTCACTGGGGCAATTGTAATTCTGAAGGACCATTGAGTGGGAAGGACCCTACAGCCAGCCCTCTCCTCCAAGACATGATTAACCACCACAACACAAACACAGACAGATCAGATGACACAGTCTGGACATCAGTGGTCCAGAACCAGAACTGGGCACCTGCAGAAAGCTGCTACAAAGAAAATTTCCAGATGATTCAGCCCACGGAGGTACACCACACATGGTGGAGAAGGGCAAGCCATTGTCATGTTTTCAGTATAATGTTGCATATTTCAGGATATCAGCTCTACATTCCTACAATGCTCTCCCTTTGTAGGCTCCAGCTGCCTGATTACAGATGTAATGCATTGCCCAACCGTTGACAGTCTTGTGTTACAACAGACAAAACAGGAAGTTCTGCCAAATGCCCAGTTTTCACTTCTAGATCTCAATGGGGCTGATCCAACACTACTGTCAGTGGAACTCCATGTGTGCAGCGCTGGATACAACCCAGTGTGAATTTCTCACCTAATCTTCACCAATATGGCATTTATTTATTTCAACCATTTGCATGCCTCTTGACTGCAGTCATTTCTAAGCAGCGTGCAGGAGACCCAATACAATAGGAATAAACATGAGTTTATAAAATCAGAATTCGATAAAAAAAGACTGCTGGAATAAGAAAAAAAGTATTCACAAAGCACCAAATAGAAAATAATATTTCTAGTGTATTCTGGCCTTATGGTGGTAGAACCAAGACTCTTGTTCAGTTTAGTATCAGGGTTGTGCCCAGAACTGACCACTTCCAAATGGCAGGTCTCTTTCTGCTCTCTGGACACTTACCCTATTCCTGTTTGCACAGAAAAACATATTTACTCAGCCCTCGTTCTGTGTGCCTCTTTGCTGGCACATGTGCTGGTCTCTGTTTGCCCACCTCAGAATCTGAACCTTTGTAGTCCTCTCATTTCCCTTCTTCACATTCAGACATTAGAACTTTCAGTCTCAGTCAGGGGTGGGGAATGTCTGGCCTATGAGGCTAGATAATTAGGCCATGTTGGTCAAGTATGCCTACCTGCCAGTCATCTGATGATACTAGCCTTTGATACTAGGTGATACTAGGTTTGAGCAGGTAAAAGGGAAGCTAGGCTGGAACAAAAGAGGCTCCTTAAGATGATTGTTCAATGTTTCCGAAGTCCTGCCAACCAGCTTCAGAAGAGCTGCACACTTGTCTTCTGAAGCACCAACAATCAGCTGTTTGCTGGGACCTCAAAGCATAGGGCATGGCTCTTTGCAAGCTCCTTTCAGAGGCCTGCATGAAGCTTTGAACACCCAACAACCAGCTGATTACAGGGGGTTAAAAGCACCATGTCACCTGACATAATTGTAACATCAGCTGATTGGCAGGTATGTCCCCTACCCACCCATGAAATTTGGTCTGTGGGATGGGTAGGGGTATAAATCCCCCCTCCATCTGATTAAGGTCTTGCAATGGTTGCTGAAGGATGAGAAGACTCACAGAGCTACCCCACAACGGAAAGCGTCAAGCTATGGGGTGGGTTGGAACAGAGGCAGCCTTCTCCAATCTGGTGCCCTCCAATATTGTCAGACTCCTACTCCCATCAGCCTAACAACAAGTATAGCCAACGGTGAGGCATGATGGGAACTGTAGTCCAGCAAGATCTGAATGGTATCAGGTTAGGAAAAGGTGAGACAGGGCTTCTGACCAGGTCTCCTCTATTGGAGAGAGAAACAACAGGCTGCCCTGTGGCAGCTTGAAGGCCAACAATTTAGCAGAAGCTTTCATGGACTAGAGTCCACTGTGTCATTTTTTAAGATGCCACAAGACTCTGTTGCTTTGGCTGCTGCAATAGACTAATACAACTGCTCCTCAGGAAGCTGCCATTGCAGGCAGAAGGCTGTATCCAATGCAAACCACTGAAATTGATGGACGTGAGCAACATAAGACAATTCTTTTCAATGCATTACTTGATGTATTGCTTAGTTGGATACAACTCATATCGAGAGCACACCCTGTTTCTGAGGTGGTTAAACTGCATACATATGCCCCTCCTCAAAAAGGTACTTGAGGAGTACATTTTAATCTGTTGGTAAGTGCCATGTTCCTGCTAACTCTATTAAGAGTAAAGAAGAGCCTTCCTGTTAAGATAAAGAACTCCAACAAAGAGGCGCCCATTGGGGAGCCTCCCCCCTCCCCCCCATCCCATCAATCTTCCAGCAAGAAGCATGGAAAAAGACACACTATCATGTGATGTAACTCCCATGCGTTTGGTTATTCAAGTGTGCATACTCAAATACAAAAGCTAAACGATAACTGGTCTGGAGAGAGAGTGTTCTGGCACGGCGCTGCCCTACCTCCACCATCTTTCCTCAGTTATCACCTGAGATCCTTCCTGCTGCAAAGCTGGGAGTCTCTGAAACATGGAGTGACATGCCTGCCTCTCTATACAGCTGCCACATCCTCTCCATCTCAGCCATGCCATGCCAGTCTCTTTCAATGGGGCTGCTGCTGGGATTCAGGGCTGTAGCTCAGTTGTAGAGCCTCCCTTAGCATGCAGAAGGTCCTGGGTTCATTTGCTGGCATCTCCAGATAGGGCTGGGAGAGACCCTGGAGAGCCACTGCCAGTGAATGTAGACAATAAGAGATAGATGGATCAATGGTCTCAGTATAATAAAGCTTCCTATTTTCCCTGGATGCTTGATCTGCCACACTGAACTTCCAATGTGGGAGGCCAACAGAATGAGTATTGCTATCTGCTCTACTAGTCAATTGCAGCACAAGCCTACACATTTTCTCAGAAACCCCAGAGTTCAACATTCATCCCCTTAGCACATGTTCTTAGGATTGCTGCCTGTTCACTGCTGAGCAGGCTGATTTCCTTACCCTGGTTGTAGCTCAGTGAGAGGTCCAGAAGAATGGCAAGGAGAAGGGTCCTCAGCATTCTGGTTCTGCTCTGTCCCATTGCGTGTGCGCCTGACTGCAGGCAGATTGCAGAGGAAATGGATGAAGAATGATTGCAGCCCAGCCTGGGTTAATGTTGAACCAGGATGAAGAAACAGGAACCAGGTCACAGTATGTCAGGGACAGTAAGTTTGAAGATCTCACTAACTCACCCATCCTGGTTTTTCTCTCCCTCCCTTGCATTTTTGCTTTCAGGTGCCTTGGTGGCACAAGCAACCAATGGAATAAGAACAATTCCATCCACACATTTAGATTGTTTGTGGTTTCAGAACACCAAATAAACATGGACTGATATTAGGAAACAATATGCACGTCTTATTATTACGTCATTATTTCATAAAGCAGAGGACATTTGGCTATCCTGGCTTAAAATAAGGGAACTGCCATTTGTTTAGAAAATCCTCCTGTTGCAGATATTTAATCCAGATGCCAAAAGGTCTATTCCCTGTCTTTACTTCTGTGATCCTGTTCTAGAATACACCGAGAGACTGAATTTCTTCTCCTTTCCACAGTTTATAATTCTTTGATTCTTGGATGTCTCTCAGCAAAAATCCAATGAGATCCCCATGACTCCTTTCTGAATGACCAAAGAGAGGTGCTTGATTATACGTGTGTTGGAGAGGAGTCCAAGAAGTCAGTACAGATGGAAGACACCAAGGAGTCAAGTCATTAAATATTTGCGTCCTGTTTCAGTTCATTTGTATTTTTAAAATTTCCCCCGTTTAATTGTGGTTTGGACATAAATGAACTTGAAACAAATATTTGGTATATTGACCAGCCACTTTTAATGGGTAAACGTAATTTTCAAACAGATGCATGTCATAAACTCTTCAAGATTATAGTGCAAGTCCTGTAAGGTAAATACAGATGAATAATTATTGTATTCACTGAACACGATATTCAATATTCCTTGAATACAATATACAAAATTGAATACAAAAACTTCATTGGGTTCAAATGGGTATGGAAAGGCAGCTAAACTCAAAGGCCCAGAGCACCTTTCAAATGAAGATAGGCTTGAGAACATGGGGTTTTACTTTAAGAAGGAACACAGAAGTTTGTAAAATCATGATTGCTTGGAGCAAGCAGCTAGAGTGAAATGTCTTCTGTTTTCATAACACTTATGTACACTCAGTGTAGCTGACAGACTAGGTGCAGGACTTAAAAAGGAAGCACTTCTTCACACATAATGTAAGACAATAAGATGTGGGGATAGTCACTAGCAGCTTGGCAACTTCTTAAAAGGATTAGGCAAATTAATAAAGGCAAGGTTCATCAAAGTCTATTTTAGTTAAATGCAGTGCTATTTTTCAAGAAAAAGAGGTGCCAGAACTCACCATGAATGCCTCCCTCATTCTCTTAGATAGCAAAGGCACCCACCTGACATATGCCAGAACTGAGTTCAAGTGAGTTCCCCCTGAAAATAGCCCTGGCTAAATGGAACCTTCATTTTCAGGGGCAGCACAGCTCTGACTATCAGATGAAGAAAACACCACAGAGTGACTATTACCATGCTTATGAGCTTCTAGAGACATCTGGCTGGCTACTAGAAACAGAATGCTGGACTTGATAAATCCAGCAAAGCAATTATTATCTTCAAATTTATTGAGATGAGCCTCATTGATAAAATAATTAAATTAGGAGCCAGTACAGTTAGATATTGAAAGGCCATAATCTGAGCCGTATACTCTTGATCAAAAGAAATTAGCAACATCAAATTCATCACTTGGAATTTAGGTCTTTGGAGATTCCAAATTAGTCCACCGTTTAGTAAAACAGGTCCCTACCCCGTCCTCATCTGAGACAAACTGTAAGAGTAGGAGGAGCTTAGAGAACTATCAATCTCAGCCCCCTTTCTCTTGCTCTTCTTTGTCTCTCTTCTGTAATGGTCTTCTAGTCAGTATTTGTTATCTCCATGGTACGCAAGTAAATATTAGCATTAGGGTAGCTGGGAAGTGACTCTTTGGCCACTTGTACAAAGAGCAATTGCACAGTCCCCACCTCCAACAGATTGCAGAGTTTGAAGAACACAGAGTCTCTTTCTAACACACAATAAAGCAGAGAGATTTGAGAAATGTCCAGTTCTGGGTCTAGCTTACTGGGATATTTAGGCAGAGCCTGAGTTCAACCACAGGAGAACATCCAGACAAAGAGTTCTGGCCCATGTATGAAGGGAAACTTTTGAAGAACATTCACAAGCTGTCAAGACTGATTCCTGTAACATCTTCTCAAACCTGAACCTTTGTGAAGGCTGAGATCAGACTAGTAGCCCTCCTTAGTTCAGCATTTCTAACTTCCTGAACAAGTCCCCTTTTCACCTTATAACATCTGCTACAATCTCTTTCCCATTCCTACATACAGATCTAGTACTGTAAATATTAATAACTGCCAATCCATCAGGTTGCAGCAGAAAGAAAGATGGGAAGCAGGGCCACTCAATTATCTCAGATGAGAGGCTATCTCCATTTGGCTCCACCTCTCCTTGACTTGTTTACGTTCAGGCTGGTCTTTGCAATAACTTTGTAACTTAAAAACTGGTACCCAAGTCTGCTTAATTCTCGCCACCTTCTAAACATGACACAAAAGATAGTTATCTTGTGTGTTCGAGCTCTTACATAAGTGGCTCAAAGAGTTTTTTTTGTCTGAGGCATTATCACAGGACCCCCAACCCCTTGTTTTCCAACCATGTGTATCATGCAAACAAGTGCATATGCTTAAAAGACTGGCATAAGACACCTCCCTCCAATCCGTGATTGGTTGGGATCAGCGCAACCAACAAACGTGCTTGACACCACATCAGCAATGACAGAAGATTGATATTTTGACTCATGAATGGATTTCTTGGGTTTTGGCATCAGGAAGTCACTTTGCAGCTGTGTCAATATTGATTTATGCAAAAGCTGCACCACTCTCTTGGAAAAGACAAAAAACATACATGCCAACCATTCTAGATCACTGCTCCAAATCCTACTGCCTCAAAAGACTGCTTCCTTTGTGATTGCTTGTAAATGTACCACTGGGTGAGCCCAACAGTAGGAAGTCAGTACTGTAATCTCAAGCATCTGTTTACTTTATCAAAATGGTTTGGAAATGTGGGGGTAGCAGAGACATAAGAAAAGCAACAAGTGTAGTTATGTGACCTATTGCTACCAGAACCAAATGACAGCTGGCCCATCCTAAGTATCCAAGAAGGAAGCATGTGGTAAATGAACACCACTTTGCAGAGGCTGTGACCATATAATAAATGATATTGTTGACAATGGGAGCCACCTAGTGAATGAATAAACCCAAGTGCAAATCTCAATATATTTTCTGGAAATAGCAAAGCACTAAGGAAGGACTGTTAAAATGTCATATTGGACCACAGACACTCGCAATCCAATTTCTACCCAGCCGTGAAGTTTTGATTTGGCTTTGGGCAATTCAGACTCTCTTGGCTCAGTTTCCTATGTGTTAAAATACCCGACTGGCCTATCACCACAGGATGCTGGGAAGAAGAAAATTACTCCCAAGTAGTGAATACAACCGCATAAAGTGATATAAAAATGGAAAATAAAAAAAATTCCCATCCAACATTAATTCAAATTAGCTTGGACCAAAACTACTAACTATACATTGCAACACTATGGTGCAACATGACCTCCTGACAGGAAGGCTGTGATACTCACTGTCAAGGAAAAGCTAAACAAAACAAAAGTAGAAAATTTGGCAAAGTACTATGTTGAAACGAGACAATGTAATTAAGCAACATTTTCATTTGTCATTGTTTTTATATACTGCAATGAAATGCATTACAGGCATAGCAAAGCTCTTCCTCATTGATTTACTTTCATGTGAATGAAAACTGTCACCATTTGAATCTTGCTCCTGCAGTATGAAGTGGTCTAATCCAGCAACACAGGTATCATATGCAACTGCTGAGATGATATTTACCAGATCCAATGAATTGGTTTGATTTTAAAAGCAAACCTTTGGATTACAGTTGCAGCCACTCTGGGATCTACAATTCTCACTCAGATTGCAATGTGTTGACTTGGGCAAAACCCAAACACTGTCTTGGTAGGTATCAAACGAATGTCTCTGGGCAGTCAGGACCCCACATCATGGTAATAATATACATAGCCAACAACCACAATTTGGCTAGATTGCATGGTGACTATCACAGCATCACCAGCACAAGCCCATGGAAAGGTATAACTGGCAAAAGAAACACCTATATGTTCTGTCTGAGTCACACGATTGACTGCATGTGCTATCACAATGTTTTTGAGAGCTGCTTACATCACCAAGCTAATGTGGGAGTTGGATCTTAGCCAATGTTGTCGTTAGCTGTAATTAAAGCAGGCATCTGATGGCTTCATCCCCTACTCAGATTCAGCAAGTATCAAGTTAAAGCACATCTAAGCACAGTTTGGGCAAATGAGTCAGGAGCAGTAGCTTCCTGTTATTTATACCTTTGAAGCTAAAGAACTCTGAACCCTCACTGGTGTTGACATAATCCTTGCACACCTCAGAAAATTGTTGGAAGTTCCTGCTCTTTTACTTTAAAAAAAGATATACTTCCATACTTTCTACTGCATTAATTTTTGGACCATATGTGCATAACCATGTGGAAATCTGCAGACTCTTCACCACTCAGTCAGTTTTGCCACGTTTTCACTAAACATATGTAACACACAAGCAGAACTGGTACAGTTCCTGACACTGGATCAATTTGAAACAAATTCTGATAGTATAGAAGAGATGCTTAGTGAAGGCTTTCTTCCAGGCATAACCTCATCTATCAGGCTTTTGCCCAAGCTTACGGGCTTTGGAAATGATGGTGGGAATCCAGCCATAGCCTTGGCCAAACTGAAGTCACCTATTCCCTTCTAAACATCCCAGTATATATTTCATAACCCACATGCTGTTTTCTTGCAAACACATAGATAGAGCACATTTAGACTTCCAAAGATGTTTTAATGCCATCTGCAAAAAGATTGACAGTCATGTCCGCACCTCCACCTCCACCACCTCTGCCACTGTGCTAAAACTGACACCCTCTTGAATAATGAACATGTCACTGGCGGAGCCCTGCTCCTGCACAATGATGCATTCTTTCTCCGTGTCCGAGACAGCAATCTCAATGACGTTCTTGTGCTTGGCAGAGCTCTGCTGTGCAGTAACATAGTGCCCATCATTGGTGAGAAGGAGCTCTGTGTGGTTTCCAGGCCCTGCCCTGTCCACAGAGTGCACTACCAGCACAGCTGGCTGCTCTGAAGCTGGCAGCTCCTGGGGGGCTTTCGTGCCCCTTTTGGATGGATCCCCTTCTAGGTTTCCTTTGTGCTCAAGCTGGTGACGTCGCAGGCTCTGGGGGAGGGCGTAGCCCATGCCACAAATTTGGCACTGGTGCGGCTTGTCAGCGTGGTGGGCTTTCTGGTGGCGTCGCAATTTTGTGGCCAGAGGATAGGATTTGGGGCACAGATGGCAGCGGAAAGGGCGCTCGCCTGTGTGCAAACGTTCGTGAGCCCGTAACGTGTGGGGATCACGCAGCGCTTTCCCACACACTGTGCACAGGTGAGCCTCACCTGTGTGGGAGATCAGGTGACGGCGCAGCTCAGGGCGCTGCGGGAAGGCATCTCCACAGAAGTGGCAGCGGTAAGGGCGCTCCCCTGTATGCAACCGAAGGTGCCCACGGAGATTGCCCTGCTGGCGGAAAGACTTGGGGCAGTAGGGGCAGGTATATGGGCGTTCCCCTGTGTGCAGCCGCATATGGTTGCGCAGTGACCCAGGGTTGGCCAGCTGCCGCTCACATATCACACACTGGCAGGCGGCGGCAGCAGATGGCCTTGGCTCCTTAGCCTGGTGGGTTTTGCGATGGATCCGAAGAGAGGGCCGACGGGCAAAGGATTTCCCACAGTCAGGGCATACAAAAGGGCGCTGGCCCGTGTGCAGCACCTGGTGTTCTTGAAGGTCCCGTTTGGTGCCGTAACTCTTGTGGCACTGTGGGCAGGGGAATGGCCGCACCCCTCGGTGGCCCAGTGTGTGCGCTTTAAAGCTTTCTTCCGAGCTATAGCTCTTGCCACACTCTGTGCACAGGAACGGTTTGTGATCAGTGTGCACAAAGTGGTGCTTCTTCAGGTGGCAAAGCTGCAGGAAGGCTTTGCCACACTCTTCACACCGGTATCGTCGCTCGTGGTCTGCCTCCTTGAGCTGTGGAGCACCACCCATGTTGCTTGGAGACACTTCCTCCTGCTTGGGATTTTCACTCTGCTCCTCTGCCCTGGGTGTAGACATGGCACATCCACTGGGGGCTCCTTCAGCACAAGATTGGCCCCTCAACACCTCCACCTTCTCAGCCAAGTGAGGACTGGGTTGAATTGCATTGGATGGGGGCGGCTGTGAACACATGTCAGTCAGTTTTACCTTGGATAGTGTCTCATTCACTTGCTCTGTTTGAGGATGCAGCACACCATATTCTTTACTTCCACCCTCCTCAGCCACAGAGCACCTCACAAAGGGCTGCTTCTCTCCATGCTGCTCCTTGGAGTCCCTGAGCTCATGTTGCAGGAACCCATCTTCATTCCTTTTCTTGTGATCATTTTCCAGGCCAGGAGGTTGCTTGACTGGCAGCTTCTTATCCAGCAAAGGAAGACAATGGGCTCTGGCTTTCTGCTCCACAACCTTGGGGATATCAAGAGCACCTGCAATTTGAACCAGTAACCATTAGCTCCCTTAACAAAGAAAACAAAGTAATTATTGACACTTCAAGGTGAGACCTCTGTTTCTATGCACAGCTCCACTCCCCACCCACTGCCTCAATCATGTTGAACAGAGATCTTTTGCTGAGCACAGAGGCTTGAGAAGTCCCACTAGTTATCAAAGCAGTGCTTCTGAGAATTGAAACATAGCTGGTTATAGCTAGGGAACTCTGCTTGAATTTAAATATTCTAAAAGTTTAGAATTTGGGGAGGAATATTTCAGTATCTTCTGTAAGGCTCACTTTGGAAGCACAGCTTCCTTAATCTTTTTGATGCAAATTGGATTTCTCTGAAGTGCTTTACTACATAACTTAGAATGAGGTTACAGAAATGTGTAGAAACAGCAAATTTCAACACTCTTATCATTTGTAATCTTTGCTGTTTTCTTTAGAAAGCAAGAATTGCAAACTAAAACAGCTTATCCACACAGTCACAATACCAGGGACCTGTGTTTCTCCCTTATTCACAACAAGCAGAGTTACCTTGAGCAGTTTAATTCACCTAAGAAAATTCTTAAGGAAACAGACATGGATATAGAATGTCATAGGGAAATGAAGTTCTGTGTACACAATTGTGTGTGAGGAAACAGAGATAGTAAGGAGCCTGACTGATTCTACCATTATAGACAGGAGTTGCCCACATATCTGAAAGGGCCAGGAACATAAGTAACTAAATAGGCTCCTCACAGTGTATGAACATGCAAATAACCGTAACTTAAAAGAAGGAACCATAATCTGTGCACTGCACCTAAAGTCAGGCATCTGGATTCTGCATCAAGAGCTGAAGCTTAAAGTCTGAATTACAATAATTCTTAGTGCCCCCACCAAACTACAACTCTCAAAGATTATTTGTGGGTACCCATGATTGCTAAAATGGTATAAAACTAACATAAGCTTCTAGTGCAGACATACCCTCAGATATCTGATCAAATGTACTCTGGCATGATAAACATTCTGATTCACCATGTGCACTTCTCAAAGAAATCGCCTCCTCCAGCACTGCAATAAAATAGCAAAGCACTGTTTGCAAGGGTGGGGCTGGCCAGTGCTGTTGAGCAAAATAAAGGTCACTGGCTAGAGGAGTGGACATTGGCCTGAGTTCCACTTCTGCCCGGCTGTGGGCTGATTGAATTGTCCTGGGCAAGAATATGCTTCCACACTTGGTTCCCATTCTCTGTACTTGGGATGCCGAAAGCCAGCCTCTCAGGGGATTGTGCCCTGAAAGCACTGAAGAAATATTCCTTATTCACAGCAAGAGAGTGTATACATTCTGAACAAGTTGCCTCCCACAGTATCATTTGAAGGAAAAAAAGGAGCCCCTAACTTTCAAGTTAAAATATTACTATCAGTCTGAGTTTGTTCACAAACAGATGACAATTTAGGTCTGTGAAAATCAAATCATGTACCATAAACTCTTTTTGTGAAAGGAAGGACAAAACACAGGGTGCTTCAACTACAGTTGCCTGCGTGTGCAGAGTTTGGCAATGGAGTTCTTTGCTTAAGGAACATGCATGTTTCTATTACCAAGTATGTTAAGTCATTTTTTTAAAGAATGAAAACCCTTCCTGTTTCCGATGCTGCTTAAATCACCTGTGATACCCCCTTCTGACTAAGATTCTAGGAATTCAGGTACAGTACCTGCAAAGGAATCTATTGCATCGCCATCTAGGGAAGCATCTCCTTTCTGTGTCAAAGTCTCTGCTTCCACAGTGGTGGTCTTAGCTAGCTGCTCCTCTACCATTTTCCTCTTTGCGACAAATACCCCATCTGATATATTTGCTGGTGCATTCTTTTCCAGGCAAGCAGGACTGGCCTCTGCTAACCAGTACAGCAATTCAGTGCCAGCAGCAATGGGACAGGATACTCTGATGTGGAGCTCCCCATTGATCCAAACTAATGCCACATTTGCCTCATCTTTATCCCGGCTTTGCTTCACCAAGCTGTAAAACACATTATGCCAAGCATCAGTATCCAATATGGGCTTTGTCCGAAGTACAGGGCCATGACAAGGCTCTAGAGAGGCAGTGCAGGTGGGTGTTATGCAAGACTGAAGGGGGCCTCAGACAGGTCTATTAACTAATATGTCTATAGATCCTGACGGTTTTTTTGAGCAGACTCCTAGGAAAAGTTAATTCAGAATACTTTTTCTGAAGTTACCTTTTGTTGAGACAGATTTATGAGTCCATCTAACTCAGCATTGTTCACATACAATGACTGGTAGTAGTTCTCCAGAATTTTAGGCAGGGGTCCTCCTTAGCGGTACAGTGATTGAACCTTTAAACTTTCCTGAAAGCAGTTTAATGAAACCATACAGGTAACAAAACACCCAGTTCATACAAAATGGATTCTGATAGTGGCCATACAAGAGTACTGATTAAGGGTACAAAAGTCTTGCGGCTGCTTCAACGTTTGTTATATTTAAAGTCACATATAGGACATTTAATCAGCACAAAATTGTTGGCTCATGACTGATTGGTCAAATTGCCCTCTCCAAAGGCTAAATGAATATATTTAGATTTACCATCCTATTTTTTAGGAAGATGAATAATTATTTAAGAGATCTTTGTTAAACTGAATAGAAATTTATTGCCAGCTGCAAAATATTGAGTTGTATTCAATTAAGTCCAGGCAGAACAGAGCCAATGAAATTAATGAGCCCAACTGAGTCAAGTCCATTAATGTAATGGACCACTGGTCATAGTGGCTAGATCTGGGGGGAGTTGCAGTCCAATTTTGGGAGGGATTATTCCTTTGCTTTTAGATCAGGGGTGGGGAACCTCCAGGCTGAAGACCAGATTTTGACTGCCAAAGGTTCCAGTTTGGCCCAGAAGGCAGTTCTCCCCAAATTACACCCACCTGCCCCATACATGACATCATATATGGGGCAGGTAGAGACACAGACGCCAATGCACATTGGGAGCCTGACTGTGCATTGGTTAGGGAAAGCAGGCTTCAGCTCTACTGCCCAGATAGGTGAGAGCCAATGCTTCCCCTTGAGTTCCCTGCAAGGAACTTGTTCATGCAGCTGATGCCTGCAAAAAGTAGGATTCAGCTCTCCTGCCCATCAGCTGACTGGTGGAAGAATGGAAGCCTGTTTGTTGCAGGAATCAGCTGCCTGCTGCATTGCTGTGGGGGGCTTATAGAGCTCCTTGCAAGCCCCGTAAAGCAATCCAATTTCTGCTTTCCTGCCTGTCAGAACCACATTACAGTGTCTGTGACACAAGATAACCCAAGGAGAAAGGACAGTGACTCTGCTGAGTTTCTTCCTCATTCTGTTGGTTGACCTGCCTGCCTACCCTGTAGTTGATTTCCTTTAGCATTAGGAAAAAGTTGCAAGATGAGAAGACAGACAGCAGAGGAGCTGCTCAGCTCTTAGGGATGACAGAGGAAAAGAGCAGAGCTAGTTGCTATTAAACAGGCCAGTTTCTACATCTGCAGCAAAAACATTTATTGATCACACATTTATCACCCATTCTTCAGTGGCTAACATACCAGAACCTATATATCCGCTCACAATATCACTAGTTACTTTTGGATTTACAGAGGCATACAGAGTCACCAGAAATAAATTCCAGGATCATATCTGATTTTGGCTCACTTGACTGCAAGTTGGTCCCAGTCATGGAGCAAAATTTATCATCTCATTGCTCTGTTATATATCTGGATTGATTTTTGAGATGTGTGAGAATAAAGTCCTTCACATCATCATATGCTGAAAATTCATCTAGCTGCTTGAAGAAACCATCAAGTGATGACTGCACTACAGTTTGTGATAACAAACACTGAGCTTGTGGTGCAGCCACAAGCTTTTCAACAGAAATGGCCCCATGCTGGTTGCTGGAAAAACGTTAAGTGCTGTTGGTGAGATAAATACTAAAGTCTGATTCTCACAACTTACATAATTTTCAGCCTGACTCAAGCAGGATTGATGGTAAAACGTCTATGTGGTTTACAAACAAGTTAAAAAACAGTTTGCGTGAATTGACCCTAACTTGTTCATTTTGGTTTGAATGATCGTAGCCAACAAACCACTTCATTAGATGTATGAAGTTTGCTGAGAAAGTTGTAAAGGAGAACGCAAGTTACCCACAGAGTTTTGCTGTTCTCACCTTTTCCAGCTTGCTATCTTGTTGCAAGCAGAAGCCTCTTTCCAGCAAGCTGGTGGAAGTTCCTGAAACGTGAGAGTAAGGGGAGTCCCAGTTAGAGAGGTATTTTAATTCCCACGGGCAGATCTTAAGCCGAGAACTAATGGGCTAGCTGTCCTTTTCACATGAGGGTCAATTCAACAATCAAGCTGGCATATTAAGAATGAGTGTGGTGGCCTATGCCCTCAGGGCCAACATACATATAATGTAGGCAATATGCTGTTGGGTCTTCCAATGTCTTTTTATTTACTTGAGAGCAGCTATGCACCCTCACCTGGATCACAGACTTCACACTGTTTCCTCTGTTGAAATTACCATCCTAAGTTTAAATGCACAGCTCACATCCTCTAGCAGCTGTGCCTTCAGTACTGGGCCCAATTTCATGGAACGCCCTTCTATTTGAGGTCAATCTTCCTCCCTGTTGAACACTGGGTGCCTACTGAGGAGTTTTTATTCTGGCAGACATTTAAATGAAATTGACTGATTTATGGCTTCAACTGATTTTTATCTTTATTGTATTACACTATTGTACTTTATTTAAGAGACTACTGTAATTAAGCAATACATAAATTGTCAAAATAAAAATAAATGAATGAGCTGTTGTTTGCCCTCCAGGAGGTGGGGAGGAAGTCAGGTAATGTCATGAGCCCCTCGGCCCTATCAGGATTGGGCATCTGGAGGTGGAGGGTGTGGGTCTTCCCCATGCAACTTTAGATGTCAGAAAAAGTGAAACAAAGCTACATCCTCTTAGCTGTTGTCACTGCTCCTCTTGAGAGGCGCAGATAATTATTAGGGAGGGAGGACGACTCTGACTAGCCAGTGGGAGGAGCTGAGCAAGAGCAGCTCCAGGGAGAGGGGCAGGACAGTCTAGTGGCCACAAACGTGGCACCACTTTTGTAGGTGGGATCAGCTGCATCTGCTCCAGAGAAGCACACATGTGTGTGCAGCAGGCTAGTGAGGCAAGAAAGTCTCGTGAGTGAACATACTCCACCTAGACTTTTTAAAACTTGGTGGGAGGGGTGTGACAACCATTGGGACATCTTCTAGCGTCATTAATAGAACCAAGAATTGTAGAGCTGGAAGGGAACTCGAGGGCCATCTGGTCCACCTCTCTGCAATGCAGGAATCTTTTGCCAATGTGGGGCTCAAACCCACAACCCTGAAATTAAGAGTCTCATGCTCTACCAACTCAGTTACAGTGGTGCCCCGCAAGATGAATGCCTCGCAAGACGGAAAACCCGCTAGACGAAAGGGTTTTCCGTTTTTGAGTTGCTTCGCAGAACAAATTTCCCTATGGGCTTGCTTCGCAAGACGAAAATGTCTTGCGAGTCTTGAGATTTTTTTTTTGCTTTCCCCCCCTTTATCTAAGCCGCTAAGCCTTTAATAGCCTTTTAGCAGCTAATCCGCTAAGCCGATAAGCCTTTAATAGCCGCTAAACCGCTAATAGCGCTAATCCGTTAAGCCGCTAATAGGGTTGCTTCGCAAGACGAAAAAACCGCTAGACGAAGACACTCGCGGAACGGATTAATTTCGTCTTGCGAGGCACCACTGTATTCAGTTTTGAATCACTTATCTTGCTCTTGTAACTTGAACTCTTTACGACTGAACCTGTGCTTGCTGCTAGCCTGAGTAAAGATCGCTTCCTTACTCTGAAGTAAGCACTGTGTGATTTCAATCATGGAAATAAGGGGAAAGAGTTAATCATATTCCCTAAGCACTGCTTCACCATCCCATTATCCTCCCTCTGCAGTATGTTTTTTAAGATATAAAAAAAATAATCCCAAGATACAGTGATTGCTACTATATGTTCAGTCCTCAGATCTACAGTAAGAATTATTGGTAACTACTGTAATTCAACACATGTTCAACTGAGTTGTCAGAAATGGGATGAGCTTAGATTATTATTTGTAATACTACTACTTGTAAAGTCACTTTGGGGAAATATAGCCATGTGGTGAACTGTTTGCCTATAGAGCTTCAGCAGCTACAAACTATGCCCCCATTTTCATTCAGTTGTAGTAAATACTTGCCTCGCTAGATGGCCTGATACTACAGAAGACCAACTCTCCCTACACAGTTGCGGTCACTCAGCAGTGACCTTTTAAGCAGCTGAAAGTAGTGCGCAGTAGTGGCTAGACTATGTAGGAGACCAAATGTTAAAACTGCTCAGATAAGAATAGAGGAGTAAGTGGCCTTGAGCAACAATAACTTTCAGTGCTCCTTCACAGAATTGTTGAGTGGATAAAAATGTGTCTGACTGTAAGTTGTCTTGAGTACTTACTAGTAAAGTGGAATATAAACTAAGCAGACATCATGCCACATTCAGTCAGTTTCAACCCATGCAATGAGCAGGGGTATGCCAAGTGAGGGCTGAGTTGTGTGCATGATGGAACAGATACATGACTGCTTCATGAGGAAGGGAGAGACAAACTTCACCTTTGAAGCACATTCTCAATGGGACAACTAAGCAACATGAAGTGACTACAGTTCAGACTTCTATAGACAGAAAGAGGAAACCGTGGCACCAGAGCTAGATGTGTGTGCAATTACCTTCTAACATGAAAAACCTTGCTAGTTTGGACAAAAGGTCCATCTAGCTCAGCATTCTAACAAGTCTGGTATGAGGGCAATAGGCCACTCCGTCATGGTATTCAGTGGCATTCGGCTGCCGAAACACTTTGGCTAATAACCATTGGTATTTATTCCCTATGAACTTTTAAAATCATCTTTTAATGTCACCTAAGCTAGTGGTCACCATATAGTGTGACAATGAATTCTGCATATTAATTATGAGCTGTGTAAGTACAGTACTTCCTTTTCTACCCCGTTTCGTTAGCTTACTGGGAAGCGCTAGCATTATGAGAGGGTGGAAATGCCTTCTATCCCCTTTTTCCCATCCATGCGCAGGTGTCAAGGATACCAGAAACCAATCAAAACTATTTTTGGCCACCCAAAGGTGATTAGATAACACCAAGACCAGGACAGCTGCACTTTGAAGAGAGAAATTGGGCAAGCAAGCTGCTTTCTTAACTGGTGGATAGAACAAGCTGCGCCTGCCAGAATCCCTTCTCCCGGCAACCGAGAAGGGTCGGGCGTCTAGATGTGGTTGGCCGGGCAGGGGGTCGCGAGAGGGCGCCCCCACCGGCCTGAGGGATCTGACTGGAGGCCCAAATTTGCCCGCCCATCGCTCACCGCCGGGCAGGCGCCCGCCTCCTGCTCCTCTTCCTCCGGACCAAGCAGGAGCAGCAGCGCCCCCGGCTGCAAGGGGCTCCCCACACACCACACCCCAAGGCCCCTCTCGGCGGACAGGGAAGGGCCCAGGGCTAAGCCCCGAGGAAGGCTCCACACTGGGCAGCAGGAGCAGCCGCCGCCGCCGCCGCGCGCGTCCGGGGGCCGACCTGAAAGGGAAGCAGAGACACGAAAGGGACGGTGAGAGCAGTCAAGGACGCGGGGCCGCAAGCGCTCTCCGCTCCCTCCCGTCTCCCGAAAGACACCCGCTCGCCCTCACTCTGGCCGGGGCTCTGCTCCATAACGGCTCCTGGGCGGAACGTTCCGCGCAGCGCGCCGTGTTTGCGCCCGGACGGCTTTTCCTTTTCTCTCGCCGGCCTTTCCCAGAGGAGGCGGGAGCGTGTTGCCACGGAGACTCGTCCCTTTTCCGGTTCGGAGGCGGATGTTTGTGAAAGGGGGGTTTGACAGGCGGGAGTGGCGGCTGCTGGCGAGCGGAGGAGCGCTCAGGGAGCGCGCAGCGCAGGAACTCCGTACTGGGCGCGCGTCGTCGGCGTCGGGGCTGCATTCCCTTCCCCCCACCGCGCACACCTTCATGAGATAAATAGTGAGTGGAGGCCCAGGCGCCGCTTCGAGGGGCGGGGCTGCTTTTGGGTTTATTCTCTTGCTTATGGGGGGGGGGAAGCGGGGGGCTGGGGACGAAGTTGAGGGAGGGCGCATGCGTCGACTCCAGCCTCAGCGTGACTTTCGGTGGGAAGGAGGGAGGTCTCTTGTCAAGCAGGGGCCGCTGCCAGGCTTCTGGGCTGGGCTTCTGTCTCGACCCTCCCACCATCTCCGTGGGTGTCGTCGTTCTCAGGGCTGCCAGGTTCAGATCTATGTCAGATTTTGGAAGACGCCCCCCCCCGCTCCCTCAGCAACCCAAGGGGCCCCCATGCCTTTGTTGTTAAGGAGCCCCCCTCGCCCTCGGTCCTTTCCTGAAGATCTTTTTTGGTGCTGGAGGTGGAGGTGCCTACACTGGGGAGACTTTTAGGAGTGTGCGCGTGTGTGCAGGTGCTTAAAGGCGGCGGGGGTGGGGAGAGATGGGAAACATTCGTTTACTTTAAAGTGAACTGATTTTAGCACCCAAACCATTGCCACCTGTGCACATTGCACACTTTTTTTGGGGGGGGGAAATACTTGCAATTTGGGAAATACTTGCAACTGAGTTAAGCAGGGGTAGTAAGGTCAAGGGGTGTGGGTTGCTTAAAAGCAAACATATAAAGACTTTCCCACCACAAAAATAGTGCCAGAACTCCCCATTTCTATTGAATGGGGCTTGTCACAGAGTAGTGTCGGATGACTGCGTGTTGGCCTCCTGTCCGTTACGCAGAAGGGTGCTGGAGTGAATTGTGATGTCTCCACTGCCATCTGTATGAAGCTGTTGGGTTCCACTAGGGACCCCATTTGTACCATGGAGTTAAGCATATGCTCATGGTACTCCATTTCTCTGTTGCATCTGAATCAAGTGTGACTGTGCAAGCCCTGGATGGGTATGTGGTATGCACAGGAAGTGGGGGTGAATCCTGTTAAGACCAAGCCCCTGTAAGCGACTAGCTCTGTGCATGGATTTTGGGAGTTTGCTTTTTCTGGACCAGGGTTCTACTCCCTCTACTGGAACTGGAATGTCATATGGGGGTGCTCCTTGATCATTCTTTATTTCTGGGGGTACAAGTGACCTCAGTGGCTAAAGGTTACTTTTGCCACCTTGTACTCTTGCACTAGCTGTGACCATTCTTGGACCAGTGCAGCCAAGCTACAGTGACCCATGCATTGGTAAGCTCAAGACTGCATTATGGCAGTTTGGTCCATGTGGGACTGGCCTTAAGGCTGGTTTGGAAGCTGCAGTATATAATATCTGTGTTGAGGGAATTGTGCTGCTGAGTGAAGTTGAAGGTTTCATTATACCTACATATTCCTAAACTTAAGGGAAAAACGGTTATTTGAGAGACTGCCTTCTCCCATATAGATGTGTCTGCTCGCTAAGGTCTTCAGAGAAGGCCCTGTCACTTATTCTGTGGCCCACAGAGACTTATCTCATGTTAAGCTGGAAGAGGGCCTTCTCCTTTTTGGCCTCCAGCCTGTGAGATGCACCTGCTGTGGTGAGCTTTCATCTGCTGTTAAAAACACAGCTACCTTATTTGAGGCTTCCCTGGCCTCTGATACAATGACTTGAATGGTTCCCGGTTCCTGTGTTTGTGTTATGTTTCTTTTATCAGACTGTTTCTATTGTATATAGAATTGCTTTGTTACACTGAATTATTTTGTTGCACTCCATTTTGATATTTTAAAGAGGTGGTATGTAACTATTTTAATTTAAACTTTCAAAGTTTCTGGAGCCCTTTGGGGGTTTGAGTCTGGTAATTCTAAATGTATGCTTTGCTAGTTTGCATAAATCATCTCACAGAAACTGCTTTATCCTGCTTTTATCAGGATTCTTACATCATGCTTCTGTGGTAAATGTAACCCCACAAATACTTGAGTCTACTGCATAAGACTTTGTGGCCCATCACAAGATTGTCACTAGGGCTTTGTGGTTTACGTATTTGAGCTGGAAAGAAAGGGGGAGTTGTATAGTTCTGTAAAAGAGAAGAGTGGGAAGTGTGAGGTGTGGTAGGGGCTCAGTAAAACCAGAGAGGTGTGATAGCACTTGTTTAAGGAGAAATCATTATTTATTGTGTTTTGGTTCATGCATGTCCATAAACAGAGCATTGAACTAGGATGGATGGAGCCACTTATCGGATTATTATGTCTGACTTGTGAAGAGCATTCTGAAGAAGGAAATATGACAGGAATGCCCACTTTCATGACAAATTTTTGCTTTGAGATAATGAGTGAAAGAAATTAGAGGGATTATATAGCCTGCTTGGGAGTCTTTGATGTTCAGCTGTTCCTGCTGAACAAAAACAGTCAAATTTAAAGTTCTTTGGTTTAAATGAAATGTTTGAGATTATTCTATGCATCTATGGTTTCATGTCCTTTGAGCTTGCAGTAAAAACCCTAAAGCAAATAGACAGAATTATCCTGGAAGCAGGGTAGGCATGTGCGTTAAACATGTGGCACAATTCTCCCCCACCCCATGCTTGAATTTGTGTAACATTTCCAGAGTCTCAGTGTAAGCTCAGCAGCTGGAAAAGGTTGGCTGAGGCAGGGCTGAGTAGTCAGGTTTATGATCTGACCGGAAAGGTGTGGTGCCTTTTTAGTTCTGTCACCTAACTCAGTTCTGGGTGTTCAGCAGATTGCGTTGTTCAGTGAGTGTATCCTGTTTGATTTAAGCTGGTAGCTTCTGAGGGAGGGACTACCTTGGCTTAACTCTTCTGCTCCCTCCCCTTGAGGTTGAAAACAGTGTTGGCTAGGTAAACATAATGGCTGCCTTTCTTTACCGTACTGAAATATGGATAAAATTAAGTGGATTTCACAATCAATGCAGCACTGGAGGCCCAAACAGCTGTAGTGGACACGTCTATATTGAGTCAGCAGGGTTGTTGATAATATGAAAGAAGTAGGGTGTGATGTTCCCATGACCTAAAAGCAGGAATCTTAACTCACCAGCTGTTAGAACTATGATTAGTTGAAAACCTCTCTTGCAGTTAATGTCTTCAGAGAGATCCCTTTTCCAGTTATCATTTAAGGAAATTTGGTTTATGGAAGTATGGAACAAGTTGTTATAACACTGCATCTATGGAATAGTTTCCCTGTGGAGATTTGCTGTATAGCAACACATAAATGAGGGTCAGAGTAGTTTTAAATGGTGGTGTGACTGATGCTTTTAGAATGTTGCAAGGAGTGAAACAAGGTTGCATTATGGCTCCCACTCCTTTTAGCATTTATATGAATGATTTGGTGCCATATTGAGCCAATGCAAACACCCCTCTCCAGTAATTAGGAACAAGCTCAATCTTGATGTATGCAGATGATTTAGTGCTCCTCTCTCATTCCTGATTGGGTCTCAAAAAGCTCCTGGAGGTGTTCAGCACATACAATAAATCGGGAAGCCTATCCATAAAATACTCTAAGACCAAGATTATGCTTTTTGGCAAACAGTCCTAGGCAGTGCTATTTAGAAAAAGAGGTGCCAGAACTCACTATGAACAGCTCCCTTGTTCTTATAATGACAATGATGCCCACCTGAAAGGTGTGGGACCAAGTTCTGGTGAGTTCTGACTTTAAAAAATGCCCTGGTCCTAGGTATAAATGGTGCTTAGATCAGAAAGCTACAGAACACACTTGCTCATTTAGATACCATACCTGGGCCTACTCTTTAGTGAAACCCTCTTTTGGAAGTGCCATATGGCGGCAGTGAAAGCCAAAGCACAAAAAACCATAGCAGCAGTGATGAAGTTCTGTTACAATAAGGGAGGGAAACTGATTGAACCTGCCATAAAAATATTTGGTAACAAACCACTTACTCAAATCCTCTTTGTAGCATTGAAATATGTGGCTTTGATTCAACTCCATTAAAGTTTTGGAAATTGCGCAGAATGTCCCCCCCCCCCCCAAAAGCTATACTCTCTACAAACAGGAATATCAGCAGCTCGTCCTCATAAAGAACCAATTAAGGCAAGAGTGGATAGTTTAAGTATATTTTTAAAAATACTACTATGCCTATTGAGAGTTTTCCTGTACTGTGCTGTATGGAATTGGTTGAAAACCAACTCTGGAAAGCAGCTTAGATCATTATTGTTTTCTAGAACTGAGCTCTGCTTTGACCTTGAATAAGTGTCAACTAAGGGATTGGCTCTGCTGGATAAAATCCAGAAAGGACCTGCAGCTAATTAGAAATACCACATTCTCTTTCCCCACCCCCTGGTATCCACTCTTGATAACTATTTCAGTGAAGCATAGATTAGAAAAGCCTACTGCTAAATAATACAACAAATGAATGGCCATGGTATATGAAGCTTAGGGTGCTTCAAATGTAACACCAACCATAATTTGGTGTTATGAGAACACAGTATCATTTTCAGGCAAATGGAAATAATGGTTTTCCAGTTTGGATGAAAAAGCAAGCCAGCTAAGTTTCAGTCCTGATTTTCAGTAATCAGTTACTGATTTTCAGGAATCAGTAATGTACAAGGGGAGGAGAATGTGCAAGTCAAAGACTCCTCAGGCATTCTTACATTCCTGAATGTAAACCCATGGTTGAATAACCCATTAAAGTTGTTCAGATCTCAGTGATGTTTGTCACATGGGGGGGAAATGAAGTAGAAACACAAAGTCTATATGGCTAGGCTGTGGAATTTTCAACACAATATTCAGCAGTCAGATTCAACCATAATCTAAAGTCCTTTAACATCTCATGCCTCAGGAATGGTGAGCCTGTGACCTTTCAGACGTTGTTGGACTCTAACCTTCATCTTATCCAGCCAGCATTGCCAATGATCAGGGATGATAGGAACTGTAATCCTACATCCGAAGGGTCACAGGTTCACCATTCCTAGAGCATGGAATGTTAAAGGAGTCTAGATTATGGTTGAGTCTGAACGCTGAATATTGTGAGTTGGTGGAGTCTTGCACAACTCTTTTATTTTGCTGACTTTTGTGTAAAAGCATTTAGATCTGGATCAGATTTTTAAATGAATAGGCATATTTAGCTACAACACTACCTGACACTAGGGAAAATGAGATTTCAAAAAATATTTTCACTGTGTCTGCCTCCAAATGGAGAACAGACCTAGCTGAAAGATCCAGAGTAAGAGGAGTTATTTCATAATATGATAGGAAGAATTAAGATATGCTTAACTCTCTGCTAGAAGGAGGATCAGTCTCCACTGAACACTCAAGTTTTTTAGGTGGTATGAAATTTGTCTATAGTGTTTGGTCTGTGGTGGTCATTTCAGTAAGCTTCTCAGTAGAGTGATACCAAACTTTTTTTGGACCTGTGGGTACACATAAATTGGATAAACTGTTGAGAGTGCCACACACCTCATCCACATGCACACCACATGTTCTGTTAGCTACAATTGGAGTCCTTTTTTAAAGCTTAACTTAGCAGGGTAAGGTGCTCCAGGGAAGACTTCTGTAGGTGTATGTGCACACCCAGGAACCACATTGGTGATCCCAGTTCTAAGTCATCAAGTGAGGAAAATGTATATGTAAATTCGTCCATAAAGTTATATAAACAAATACCACATGGGTTTTGTTCAGCAGAATCCCAAATACCCAGTACTCCAAATTCTTTCCCATCCACTAGTTTGGCAATGTCTACATTCAACAACCAGTTTTCCATGTTCAGTAAGAGTCTTCTTTCTGTACATGGGATGTAAAAATAATAAATTCTCCTGCCAAAATGAATATCAGTAGCATATCTGCCTCATAGAGCTCATAACTTATTCTTAAGTGCTTTGCTAGTGCAGATCTGGCAAAACTGTAGCCCCCCCCAACACTGCAGTGATCCAGTTGCGCACCACGAGCTGAGAATATTCAGAATCCCTTGATAGAAGAAAGCTTGGGGCTGTCTGCATCCTACTGCCAGGGTAGGGGTTTTTTTGGACAATTTCAGATAACTGTGAGAGTAAGTTGCTGGAACTGGAGTTGTTTCAAAATGAATGAGTCACGGCAAATGCTGGTTAGAGTTTCCATAGAAACTGGGTATATTGCTAAGGGCAGATGGTTGACTGCAATTTAAGCATGGTTACAGCATTAGCTAATAGCTCAGAGGAGCAAAGTGTCTTGCTCTTTACCCCCACTGAGGTCAAGCATCTCCTCCAGCCTGGAGAGACTAGCAAAGAATAGCTGAGGCTGACTTTGCTGATCTGCTGTGCCCTGAATACTTCCTGATCTGCCTTGAAGATCATCTGCCCATATATGTCGTGTTTTGTCTGGTTACAGGAATGCGATTTGACTTGCTGCGCAATAAGCTTACAGCCATCTGGAAAATAAGGACAATGAAATAATTATGTAAGCATTGAAGGAGAAGGGAAGAGGTCTTGTGCAAATCGCAGCTTCCTTCAACACTCAGAATTTGGACAAACACTGGTGAATTTTTTGAGAAATGTCCAGAGATTCCTTTAATGAAGCATGAGTGACATTCATTTGACCTTCTCTGACCATATATTTATTGAAATGCTAATATTGATCTCTGATATTAGCTGTAGCATTAGCTTTGGTCACAGTAACTTAACTTCTGTTTGAGGGCTGATGTTTTAGACCGGTTGTTTTCGGAGGCTCTTTCTGTTTCTTCTTGTTTCATGATAGAACTGTGTTCATGTCCTACCTCTTGAGAACAATGATTAACCTTTCTAGTGATCTCATATATGGGGTTATTTATTGACCAGTGGTGTGCCTTCTTTGGTGGTGACTAATCAGGAGTCCATTAATGTTTAGTGAACATCCAAAATTCTAAAACTGTTGTCTTTCTCAAGCTAATAATGACATTTCTTCATGGAGAAGGTCCAAAAGTACTAGGAACTGAGTTCTTCTCAAACCCCAGAACTCTTTGGCTGCTTTTTCAACATGCGTCACTCAAGGGCAACCTGTCTATTGTTGAATCTGCCCCCTCACAGTTCTGCTTGTAGCACTGTGAGGAATCCTCATGTGTGTCTCTGTTGTTGGTTTGATAGGCCAGCGGGGCAAGGAGTATTTGGGCACCCTTCCAGTGCAACACCTTGCTGTGCAAGCTGTTTGGCTATTTGCCAACTCTACCAATGGAGCGCAGGAAATGGGAGCCTTTAGAATCAATGCGTCAGGCAGGGGGTTGGTGTAATCTGTTGCATTTCCCTGCCGTTTTGGCTTGTATGCTACAAACAGAAAGCAACCAGGCCGTATTTGCACAGGAGGGGGAAATGGATGGAGTACAGCCAGTGGTGTTCCCCTAGCCAGCCCCCTCTCACCTTTGATATGAGGAAAGGTTCTTCTGGACAAGACATCTGTGGCGATATATAAAGGAGCAGCTTTGGGAGATGATATTGAAGATTGCTATGTATTTGCTTGCTTGATCTGTGAATCCCTGTGCTCTTCCTTCTGGGGTTTTTAGGAGAGCAGTTAAAGCTTGGAAAACATGGAGCAATACCCAGATCTACAGGAAGACCTGAGTTTGGAGGATACCAATGAATCCCTTAATCAGCTCAAATTGGCCTCTCTAGATGATAAGAACTGGCCACCAGATGAAGTGCCTGTTTTTCCTAAATCAGGTGAGTACTTTTACTAGCAATGAAGTGACTAGAAAGGAATCTATATGCTGCAGCACTAATCTTAAAATATACCTTTAATAGCTTTTTATTTATTAGATTTATTTATATCCAGACTTTCAGGATAGGCAGCATCCAAATGATATCAAAATAATTAATAACATAATAAATAAGTGGAAAAATAACAAGATTCAGGGTTCAGCAGGTTCTTTTTGTGTTATATTCTTGCATGATAGTTGTATACAGTATAGCCCTGTGGGGGCAAGGGTAGTCTAGTGGAGCACTCTCTGAGGTCTTTGCCTGTCTGCGTCTCTTTCCTCTTTAAGATGCTGCAGAAGTACTAGTTAGCCCCTGTATCTAAACTGGGATGTAGATCTTATCTAAATGGGGTGGTGAGAGCATGGAATGCTACAGACCTTATATGCCAGAGAAGTATCTGTCTCTCTGTGCAGTGTAAATAGTTTATTCTAGTGGATGAATGTGGAATTCTGTAGTGGAGAATTTTAGATCATTGATTACTTTCCACTTATAGTGTGTTTATACATTTGAGGCAAATATTGACAAATAAGCTAGCACAATTGGTCTGAATGCATGCAATGTTTTATATTGAACATAAAATGAACAATTGCACAAAACTAATGCTATTCATCACAGTTCCTTCTGGTTCCGTGATATACCTGATCCCTTCTCTGTGTTTTTGTATCTTCGTATAGCTGTGCTGGTTTTTATGTTCTCTGCATTTTCCTCTCACCCCATCCCCTTTATTTTAAAATGTAGATGACTTCAAGGGCTCCCCTGACCCTGTCACTCACTTACGATGGGATGACCCATACTACGACATTGCTAGACACCAGATTGTGGAAGTGGCAGGTAATGGGTTCTTTTCATTTCTTTGTCTTCTACTTCAGAAAGCATTTTGATACGGCATAATGACTTGGGATATAGGGTCTATTTTATTGTTTTGCTGTTTTGTTTTATTTATGTTCATGTTTTTATCCTGTATTTTATTCTGTGAACTGCCCTGGGATCTTATGATGAAGGGCAGTATATAAATCTAATAAAAAAGTAAAAAATAAAATATAAAATAAAATAAACCAGCCCAGCAGTGGCCCAACAATAGGTTGGATCCCAAGTTGTCTTTTAGTGAATGATAGGATTCCTTCTGTTTGTAGAAGGAGCCAAGATCCAGCAGAGGCTCCTGCTGGAGGAAGCAAGCAGGGAGGAAGCTGTTTTTGCCTGTTCCCCTTGCAGGTCACGGCACAACTGTCCATGCTGTCCTGGAAGATTCTTTGACTCGTAGGTGCAGTTCTGCCCATGGGTAGTCTGGATCCAGCCAAATAGCTTGATTCACATAGTGGTCATCGTCGTTGTGAAAATAGCAATTGTACAGAGCAAGAGAACTTTGAGAACCATGGGCCCATTAGAGTTATTTGATAGTCACTTGAAGCAGCAATCTGACCCCAGACTTACAAACTACGTTATGAACTCCTCAGTCAGATGTTGCATTGGCTGATAGTACCATGAGTTACTGAGGTTTGGTTGGCTGGGGTCTGGAGAAGGGCCTTTTCTATTGTAGCATCTGCTCAATGGGATGCATTCCAGGGTGGATGGGTTCCAAAACTGGGATGTTTCCACCAACTGTTGAAGACCTGTCTCTTTCCCCTGGCATTTCCTGACAACCACCAGTTTGTTGTTCCAGTTACTGTGGTTATTGCAATAATGTTTTTACTTGATTTTAATTGTTTGTTTTACTTGATTTTAATGGATTTTGTGTATTGTGAACTGCATCAATATTTTTGCTAATGAAAAGTATCACATAAGCTTTGAGAATACATTCTGATAAATAGTGACTATAGCACACTGGACTTAGAAGAGTTCAAATCCATGGTCTGCCATGAAGTCTACTAGATGACCTTGGGTCATTCATTGGCTTGTATCCGACTGAGTCATACTCAGAATAATTTAATTCCATTGATTGCAGTGTGTCCACTGTCAGTATGACATAATCAGATAGAACCCATTATCCCTCATCCTGGCCTACCACATTGAGTTGTTATGAGAATAAATAGCAGGAAGGGAGGACCATGAACACGTACTGTACCTAACCTTGAGTTCTTTGGAGAGAAGAAGGTGGGAGAAAACAGTATGTGCAAACCTGAAAACTCATTCTCCCGAAGAAAAACTGTTTTAACTTGTTTGCAGGCTAGAAGAGGCTCTGCATGTGTGCCTCTAATTTTCCTGAGCCATGGCAAATCCCTCAACTGTCTAAACAAATCAGTCAACTTTAGGTGACTGCCAAGTCACACTTGAGTCCAGGGCATCAGTGGGCAACCTGTGAACTTCCCTGTGTTGCTGGACTCCAGCCCCAACCAGAAATGCCAATGGTAATGGAATATGAGAAATGTAGTCCAGTATCACCTGGAATGCCACAGGTTCCCCACTTCTCCTGTGGAGCATCCTGGAGTGTGGAATTGTGCCACAGCTGCAAGGAAAGAGTTAAATCTTAATTATTTTTTAAAAAAACTTATTGATAAATGCAATACTTACAAACACAAAACTGAACGCTAAACAAACTTATTATACATAGATACACACACCTCTCAATTTAGATTACAAAAAAGAAAACAAACAAACAAAACATACAAACATAAATCTTGACTTCCCTCCACCTATGTGTGGCTTCCTTTATTTCTTTTCTTCTTTTCGCTGTGTTATCACTATTATTTTTGACTATCTCATCTTATACCCATTTCTTCTTAAGTTTTTACTCTATAAGTTTCATTCATTGCATATTGATATATTAATACCAGAACAATGTTTTTTGATGTATTCCTTCACGCAAGTCCACTCCTCTATCAGTTTTTGGTCTGATTGGCCTCTTACCATGGTGTAAGTCTTGCTGAATCTATATATTCACAAAATCTTATTTGCCATTCTCTTATTGAGGGAGTTTTTTCTCCCTTCCAATTTTTTGCTATAATCATTCTGGCCGCAGCGGTTGCATATAAGAAAACTTTTTTCCTAGTGGCAGAAATGTCAGTCGATATAATTCCCAAGAGGAACGCCTCTGGGGTTTTTTACATGATATTTTAAGCATTTTTTAAAGTTCCTCTTGAATGTCACTCCAAATTTTTTAATATACACACACTCCCACCACATATGATACATGGTTCCTATCTCTGTTTTATATCTCCAGCACAAATTAGATTTTGATTTATAAATTTTCGCCAATTTGACCGCGGTTAAATACCATTGATATATCATTTTCATTATATTTTCTCTGATTGTGACACAGGCTGTGAATTTGATATCATATTTCCATAATTTCTCCCATTGATCTAAACAAATCATGTGGCCTATATCTGTGGCCCACTTAATCATAACTTCCTTCACCTCTTCATCTTTTAATTCCTATTCTAATAATAGATTATACATTTTAGATAATATCTTTTTAGGATTTTTTATAACTCTGTTTGTAGTTTTGATTCTTCTTTGCCAAATCCGATAATCTTATCCTGCCTGAATAGGTGATCAATTTGATAATATTGTAGCCATGTATTACAATATTGGCCAAGTTCTTCATAAGATCTTAACCTTAATTGGCCTTGATCTTCTTTTACTAATTGCTGATATGTGACCCATTTGCCTTCCGTATTTTTCTTTTTTCTTTTTTCCTTACATTTCACTGACATTCCTGGGTTGTCCTGTATGGCTGCTTCACTTACATTGTCTACAGTTCAGTTACTGATTTTAGCAAACTTGGTTTCCTGCAAAGAGGAAATTTGCTGTGTAAATGATTGCTGGCAGATTGCTGGCAGTGCTGTTCAGAAACTGGAGGCAGGAATAAATGCTGGGAGTTTATTTATCACCAGCTTTTGCTATTGACCATTATGCCAGGTATTGCAACAGTACATCCTCTTGGCTATACAGACCATTATTCCTTATGCACATTGATAGCTACTGCCAACCAGTGCAATATAGAAGTGAAGACTGGTTAATTTATAGCAAGCAATTGATCATTAGAAAAGGGAAGAAATTGAAATGGCAAATGATCTGGAACAAGTAGGAGCTGTGCTTAGCTTTTACTTACGCTTTTATTTACATTTTACTAACATCTGCGTGGAGTTCATCTCCTCCCTTCTTGGTAGCAATGTTTGTTTTGGGCTCTAAAATTACTGAATTCTCTGGAGTTTGTCTCCTCCAGACATTCTGGCTGCTCAGGATAGTTCAAGGAATGGTTATTTCCTCTGAGACAAAACACATCTTAACAGTTTTTGAATTTAGTTTTGATTTTCAGTGTGTGACCTGAGAAGTCCTCAGGATGGGATAGTTCTCTCCTCCCATTGCAGATACATTGAGGATATCTTTCTATTCCCTGGGATGGTGAATTGACATTAAACAATTTAATCAAACAAAGATCCCCAGTGTTAAGTGACTAGATGAGTTCAAACAAGATATTTTCTGATACGCATTGTATTCAAATGTATAATAATAGCTCTATTGCTGACATTCCAGGATTTCAGCCAATTGAATGAGCTTCACTAACATCATGCCCAACTCTGGCAGTATTGCACATTCATATACTTTGATAAATAAAGAATTCCCTAACAACTGACATATCCTTTTCCACTATTGATAACATTAGTTATTTCTTTGTTCATATAGATGTATTTTGAAGTGCTTTCCCCTGTAGGACTATGTATTACTGAAGATTCATTTCACTTAATATTTTTTTAACTGGCAACCACATGCCTTAGATTCCTCTAACATCTATCACCCAGAGCGTTAGCACTGTGTTGGCTTCTGACATACTGAATGATGGAAAAAATCTCTTCACTGTGGGCTCCCTTAGCTCTCAACATGGTTCTGTGAATTTTCAGTGCCAATTAGGCTTGTGGGTGGAGTTGCAGTGTGAGTGAAGAGCAAGCTGGAATTTAACTAATAGCTATATATCTTTAAAATGTGGATTGCATAGATGCATTTCTAGCACCACTAGTATACTCAATATTTAGAGAATCATCTCAGAAAGTAAAAGCTTTAAATACACATAAATGTGTAGGCTCTTTATTACTATACTTACAATAGAGGCACATCGGCAAGGGTTGTGTGGGATTGTTTATACTGCCAATAGCCACCATTTACTGAAATTCCCTGTTCAGAGTTCTTGTCCTAATTAGGAAAAGTTAATTTGTCCACCTTTTGCCAAAAAAATTAAAAAAGCACAACTAAATAAAATGACTGCAAAGAAATAGTTTGACTAGATGCTGTATCTGTTGGCAGCTATCAATGTCTTGAAGGCATTTCAAGGCTGATTTTGTTTCTTCTATCTCCAGGTGACAACCTGAACCACTGCTGCTACTGATTGATAGCTTGCACAATGGAAGCAGGAGGCTCTTTTTAATCCTCTAACCTGTGCCCTTTCAGATGTTGTTGGACTCCCCCCCCCCCCAGCCAACAATGCCTGTGGTCACAAATGATGGGAGCTGTAGTTGTAGCTAAATATTAGGCTAGTCTAGGTAGATATGCAACTTCCTTGTTGAACTAGGGATGGTTGTCTGAGGCAGAGACGCAACCTCAACTTTGGGGAAATGTGGTCATTTCTGATACCAGGCAGTGTTGTAACTTTGGTTTCAAAGACAATGGAAATGCCATGTCCTTATCCCAAGTGATCATCCAGATTACATGCCATAGGCTATTCTGAATTTAACCTTTGAGACGCCTATCTTTTATTACTGTGGGCTTGGGGCCCTTGATATGCCTTGACAATTTTGGGGTTCTCTGGAGTCTAGAAGTATGAAAGTTGCTGGAATAGCTTGTGATGGGGAGCATTGATTAGTAAATCTTTTGGTTTCCTTTCTTTGTTTGATTCTGCTTTAGGCTGAATTATTGGAAATGATTGTTAATACTTTTGAATTCAATTATTTCAGTGTCTGATGAGCAATTATCATGCTGTACTCCAGTGATTGACTTGGGGAAAGCCTCTTAAGGCTTTCGTTCTGTGTTCTTGCAGCAGCATTTTTAAAACTGGGAGACTACCGTTGAGCATGCGTCTATGTGTTGTAGTGGGACTTTGGGACACTCTAGGTAAAGGATAGGGAACCTGTGGCCCTCTAAATGTTGTTGGTCTACATCACCCATCAGTCCTGGCCAGCATGGCCAATGGTCAGGGATGATTGGAGTTGTAGTCCCAACAACATCTGAAGGACCCAGGTTCAGCATCATTGCTCTAGGATCTGGCCTAGGGCTGTCCTTTGGCGATGTACATCCTTTTGCCTCAAATGGAGCATGCTTACTTTCCTGTAATCTACAGGAACTTCTCTTCCTGCTTCTGCCTGTGTATGTTTGCTGGCTTTTCAGAGGTATTGACCAAGTAATGAGGGATTTGATTTCCTGAATTATTGTTTTGTTTTTTTTAGTTCTGCCGAGCAAGAAGCAGTCCTTGATCCCAGAAGTGTTAGGAGCTGAAGTTATTTCTTAAACTCCCCTGTGACTGGCTACTCTTGGGTCTCAAAACTTGTGTGAAAGAGGAGTGGAACAGGTGGTGGTTCTGAGTTCTTAAATCCTAGAGCATTCTATTTTCTATTTTCTATATATCAGGACCAATATTAAGAACCTTGAAATGGACATGGGAACATTCATTTTTGTAACTGAAAATGGGTTCACTGACTTTTCAGTATTAGCAATATCCTGTTGTTTAAATGTCTGGTAGTATGAAAAAGCTATTGTTTACCTTTTCATGCATACCTTGTATGGGAAACCTGACATATAAAAAAGCAATAGTTCATCCAGATTGTAGCAGAGTCTAGAAAGGGAGGAGGGGAAAAAAATCAACTTCTAGATTTATCTAGTTAACAACTAGGTAATCATGTTTTTGAGCTTGTTGTAGTTGTGAGTGTTTGCAACTGTGTGTGTGTGTTGGAACTTTTCTGTCCAGCCCTTTCAGCTCAGTCCTTAAGATTATTCTGGTTAAAGGACTTTGGTTATTATGGTATAATGTAACTTTGTTTCTGTTCCTCCAGGGCAGGGTGCACTTCATGGGGTCCAGCCAGGTAGGTGGAATACCTGGTGTCATTGGCATTTAAAGAATGTGGCATTCTTTAGCATGACTGTGGCCTGTGGCTGGGTTATCTCAGGGGAGCCCAAATTCTGCAAAGCTGAGGGTGGCATCCCAGAACCTCAAAGTTGTACTTGATGTGCATTATGTCAAGTAGATTGCAGCCATGCTTCTCTAAGCTGGTGGTATAGCCATCTTGGTAGCTTTCCAAACTGGATATGTAGCTTGGAAATTCCCTGGCAGAGCTCTGTGTGGACTTCAGCTTGCGGTCTTCACTTTGGGTGCCGCAGTTCTCATTTGATGCTTCAGCCTGCCTTCTTTTTTTCTTGAATGGTGATGGGTATACTATCCATCAGGACATTCTCTCCCAGACAGTCATTACTGCTAACTTTCCCAATCGGAAATCTTTTGCGGGTGATTTCTTCTGCAGCTAAGAGTTTGCAGGATATTGCATGACAGTGATGTGTGATTTATCTTATTTGGAATCTATGCAGGATGGAGCTGTTGTTGCTTTATTCCCACTATGGCATCATTCAGACACAAATCTTTGGCAGAACTTGGCCTCCTTTATCCCCTGTGACCCAGCGGTAGGCTGAACCCATTGTTTGCTGAACAGCCTATGCAAGTACATTTGCCTGCCATTCTCTGTTTATTCCGTAGTAGGTCTTCCATTCTTCATCATCTCTTCTTGCAAGTGGTCACTGGCCTGCTGTATCTGCAGATCATGTCTCTGATTCTATGCTAATCATTTCTCCACCAATTTAGATGCAAGTAGATGGTTACTTTGAAACACTGACTAGTGTCAGTTCTCCACTGTGCTATTTTTCTAGAAGAAGAGGTGCCAGAACTCATCATGAACACCTCCCTCGTTCTCTTATAATGACAACCTGAGAGGTGCTGGAACTGAGTTGTGGCTGAAAAATGCCCCAGTTCTCCATCTCTAAATGTAGCCATTGACTTTTGGCTTCCTCAGGCATCTCTGCATATATCTAGAAGCTCCATGAAGGTCACTTTGATCACAGAAGTGGTGTAGGGGAAGCACCTTGAACTGCCACAAACCCTGAAAATTGTCAGCCTTGTTTATGATGACAAGACTGTTTCCGCTTTTGTATTTTTTATAATGCTTTTGTACCTTCAGAAATATAAATACCCTAGACAAAGAGGTGCTGGCTCTTAACTATACCACCATTGCTTTCATTTCTTTGCCCGGGTTATGTCTCAAGCCATTTCCCCGATCACTTTAAGGGCCGTGTCAACTTGATAGTGCAGGAAAAGGAGCAGCCGTAGACTTCCTGTTTAATCAAGAGATGTGACAACTCACTGTATTATTTGCAACATGCAGTTCTCCACATTCTGCATTCTGAGAACTTCTCTGAGGCTTTTTAAACAATCTGGTGTTTCCTTACTCACTTAGGTTAATTTAGATGTATTCCCCCCCCCCCGATGGAAAGAATCCCTGCTATGGGAAGTGCGGTTGTTAACTAGAGTATTCTCAGAGGAATAAAAGAACTGCTGCACGTCCAACAATGTGACGTGGACATGTTTTCCTAGATGGGGAGAATGTTAGTGTGTATGTGTGTGTCTGTGTGAATTATAAAATGGTGCTGTGTTATAACCTAGGGTATTTTACACTTTTTACTGCAATAGCAGAACATTTCTAATTAAATGGGCTGCCTTGTGCAGATGAGTACTGTAATTCCATACCTGAGGCATTAATCAGGTAATAAAAAAAATGTCTTTTCTCATTTGATTTGCATAGAAACTTGACACATGGGTTATTGTTTCATAGTTTTCCTGAAGTTTATCACACTTTGGACTTGTTGCTCAAATTTCAAATGGTCTGGGCATTTTTCTAGATAATGCACAACATGGAAGTGCTTTAGTTTATTTGAAAATAGTCTTGTAGAAGTTGTTGTCATTGTTAGCTTTGCAGCTGTACCTGGTAACAACAGGGCCACACACCACAACTGTGCATTGGAATTTCTAATGCATACAATATTTTTATGGTTCAACACCAGCAGGGGCTTTATTTCAGATTTAAGCAGGAGCTTTTATGATAATTACAGCTAACCCGTTTGGGACAAAGGTGGCTGAATAATTGTTTACTGTTGGGTGCATGCTGAATGCTCCCTGCATGGACTGATGGGACTCTATCTAGTTGTGTCATACAAGAATAGTGCATATTTGCATTTAATGGATGTTATGCTACCTTGACTAGAGCTTGGTCTAGAAGTAGACGCCTATAGAAATAAGCCTTGCTTAGTCTATGAAAAACAAATGGAACAATCAGGAGATGAGCTAGAAAAAATCAGTGACTATTAAGAGGCTTTATCACTTGATTTGAGATTGCATATGGGATACTTACTTCAGGTAACCAGAAGCTTGTGGGACAAGTGTAACCATAAACTGGCTTTTAATTGTCCGGTTCCTGAGGAGCTAGGTTTGACCTGAAGTTGCAGTCTTTTCCAACTTTAAGACCTTGAAGTGGAACCATAGTTATATGTGTTCCTTTCTCTTGACACTTACAGCTGGCAATTTGAAGATCCATCCGAAATACCCCATCTGCCTGATGTTGTTTTCTGACCCACCAGTTGGAAAATGCTGCTCTAAAGCAGTAGATCTGGTTTGATCTTGCATTGTGTTCTATTTATACACTGCCAAGTTTTGAAAATCAATTTCTCAAAAACATCTGCACAGGACTAATTATCATAATATGTTGCATTGGTGAAAGTGACTACTATAATTCCACACCTGAGTTATTAATCTATTCAGGTTCTTTTCCCATTTCCCATTACAGAAATTCACATTGTCTGAAACGACCTCTTTGTCAAAGGAAGATTCTCCATTTCTTAATAGAACAGCTGTGGTTTGCAGAGTCAACAGATACTACCATTCAGGTCTTGCCACTCAGATTTCTTTGGGCAGGAGCATTTCTTCTTCCAACCTAATAGGGTTTCTTTTCATGATACATTGCACCATCATGCGTACTGGGAATTATTTTTGTTCTCATCAAAAAGGGGTGCAAGGCTGCAAAATATCTCATAGGAGCACCATTTTACTACATTGGTCACAAGATTGTGGCACCATTCAATGTACTGCCAGGAGCATCTGCAATCTACTCCAGTGCGTACACTGGATGTGCGTACACACAGTTTGTGGCCATTGAATATATGGGAAGCTGTTTGGAAGTCCCTTGGTTAGGTACTCTATTTTTGGGCAACCGTGGGATAAACTGTTGGACATTGGTCTTGTGATCTGGCTGTAGTTTTGTACGGTCGTTCCAGATGACCTCTGCATTGCTCTTCTTTTTTTTCTGTCTCTGGTGGGTGCCATGTTGTCCTGCAATGTCTTCTACCTTCGCATGCTTCACATGTGTTCATGTGATGGTATATCATCCTTGCATCCCCATGGCATTTACCTGGTGCTCCCCCTCTACCTTAAGCATGTCCTTGACTTCCCGTGCTGCAGCTGTTTGCATATTTTTTTGGGGGGTGGGGTGGAGTAAGTTTTATAGCTACATAATCTCTGTTTATGTGTTGAAGGAAGTCAAATGAGAAGAGGAAAATAGGCAGGATGAAGGGAAATTTATTATGGTTAGGGTTTTAGGTGGGTAGAGTAGCATACTAGATACATAGCTTAATTGACTCTTTCTGTTCCTGTGATGTGCAGATTGTCATTCCTTTTGTGTATATACAACATACCAGAGACTGCCACTCCTACTTTCTCTGCTCTGTGAAGTAAAACACTGAAAGATGTATCCACGACTTTTAGTTACTTCCCTCTCATGAAGGCATTTGATTTGTTTGGATCATGGGTTGTAGTTGGTATATTTAAAGCTTTTCTACCTTGCTTTTTAGTAAAAAAAAAAAGCTACTAGTGCAGCTTAGCCTAGAGATCAATAAAAACAAGACTGTCCCTGCTTACTTTCTTAAAAACACAGAGAAAGTGATAAGGAAGGAAGAGGAAAACATGTAAAGTCTGGCACCAGATTGTAAAGTTACAAAGCTATTATGAAGACCAACTGGGATAGCAAGGGTCCAGGGAGAAGAAGAGCCAAAAGGAGCTAGTTCCTTAGAGTTTATGGAATGCTCCTGCTTTCCATCTCCCTCATTTGTAACTTAATGGAATGGTTGCTGCTAAGTGACAGTTGAGGGTAGAGGGAAGACCAAAGGGTTGCCTTCTAAATTAGATAAATCTTTATCACCCATGAATGAGTTTTATTTACCATCCAGTATGTGTACTGAACAGACTTCATGCTTTTTGTTCTTTTGAGTATGTAGAACTCACAGAATCCTGAGGCCATCTTCCTTATTTTATTTTACTTTTTAAAAAACAAAACTCTATTCCCTTCTGAGCCTGGATTAAGTATAAAGTGGGCTGGTAGTGGTAATAAATGTGAGGTAAAGGTAATAAATGATGGTGGCTGACTTTGCAGCATGGAAGATGTACATTTTTTACATCTTCAGTGAAAGCCCCAAAGAGCTTTCAGTGAAATCTTCAGTGAAAGCCCCAAAGATCTTCAGTGAAAGCCCCAAAGAGCTTTGTGGCACAATCTGGTCCCTCCTCATATGCAGAAATGTGTACCTTTGCACACATAGGAGATGGTCATTGGTACACAATTTCTTCCTCATGGGTACAGGTTTGTGTGCGTGAAGAGATTGATCCTGAGAGAGGGTGATTCAGACCAAAATTTATTGTAGCATGAATGTTTTTAGAATAGAGCTAACATTGTCAAATGCAACCAGCTGCTGATGAGGTAACTTCTAGTGAGAAGTCCATGATCAACCAGAGCATTTAATGGCCATTCATTAATATGACCCGCTTCCTTCTACAATTTTGTCTTACTTATCAAATGCTTTTAGCTCCGCTCATTGTAAGTAGACAGAGAGGCAAGACCTGTGTTTATGCGTTGTTCTACCGATAAGTCATTATTACTGCTCTCAGCCATAGATTATTGCAAAAGCTTTTACTGTTGTCATAAATTTCACATTAGTGGTAATTTCACTGTCACGAAATAACCAGAAAAAACCCATGGTAAGGCATTTATTGGACTTTCATGTGACAAGAGCTATATATCACCCCCAGGCCTAGTTTGTAACACTGCTGAAGCAGACTTACTAGGTCATCTGCCTCATTTGGGACTGGGGAAGAAGTTAAAGATTATTTTACAGAGTATTTGTTCCAGGCTGATAGCACAAAATCTTGTGCTTTTGCAGTTTGCTGGTGGCTTCTTCTCACAGCTGATTCGCTTTCTGATCCATAGTGTTTCAGGCCAATTCGTCATTGTGCAGTCCTTGATTTTGTTTGTGTTCTAGTTCTTTATCTACAAGGACAGCAGGTGGTATGGAACTGTGGATACACTGGGGGGAAATGATGGACAAGGCCAATACTTTGTAAAGGATCAGTGACCTTTTCTCTGAATGTTTGTGGGGGAAGTATTGTCTTTCCTCCCCTCTCCACCTTGGAATCACAAACCTCAGCAATGCTTACTAGAATAACCCTGTGGATACTCTGCTCCTCTGGGGGTATTTTAGGCTATTTCCTGCTTGAGAATCATTTCAAATTGTCTGCTCGTGATCCAAGAGTATGTGCCCCTCATAATTTCTTTTCATCATGCCTTGGTCTATTCCACTTCTCACCCTTGGGTCCTCTCAAAATGCAGCCTTCTCTCCCTACTGGTGAAGTTTCATGTTGCATTGTTAACTTTTTTGACAAAGCAGAGCCTTTGAACTTTCCACTAGTATCACCTTGGAATAGTTGAGTACTCCACAAGCAGTGCTCCATTATTTGCCTATTGTGGTGTCTTCATGCTTTGTCTTTCAACCTGCTGTGATGTGTGGCATTTTTTGTCCTCAGGTGACGACAAGTATGGGCGGAAAGTAATTCTGTTCAGTGCCTGCCGGATGCCTCCCAGCTATCAGCTTGATCATGTGAAACTGCTGAGGTGAGTGCTGCTGGAGCGAACCACCTGCTTTGGTGAAGATTAGACCTGAGACTTTCCCCTGATCATTCAAATCTGTAATGATTTTGACTACATGAATTTGGGTACCAATTAACCCCCAACTAAGATATAAGTCAAAATTCCTTAAGCACTTGGTTAGGAGTGCCCTTCATCAATCTGACCCCACCCTCTGGCTGTATATTCACTACCTCTGTGCCTGTGTTACCTATATTACTTTCCTTATGCTGTGACTGCAGGAGGCAAAGAAGCAAATACATATTTTTAAAAAACTCTGGAGCTTAGGTATGTCCATTTCTCCTTAGCTATTTGAAGTATACATTGGACCAGTATGTTGAGAGTGATTACACCTTAGTCTATTTGCACCATGGCCTGACCAGTGAGAACAAGCCATCCCTGAGCTGGCTGCGGGATGCCTACCGGGAATTTGACCGCAAGTAAGTGTGTGTGGCTGTGGATTTTGCAAGGGTCAAATTGCTGTGCGGGAACTTTTTTGGGTGAAAGGGTTGGCTTGGCTTCTCATCTTTCTCTCATTATTAGATACAAGAAGAACATCAAAGCATTGTACATTGTGCACCCAACGATGTTCATCAAGACACTGCTGATTCTCTTCAAGCCCTTGATCAGGTAGGAAAGTGCAAAGGTACTTTGCTCTGTGGTGGAACTCGCTTTGGTATGAGGAGGAGTGGCTTCCTTAGGAGCCAAGTGGGGTTTTATCATCAGAATCCTGAGACTTTTTTGTTAAGTAGGTTGCTGGTAACTTGTGTATTTGTAAACACTTACTGTGATGACAGCATCTGATAACACCTTTCATTTAATTTTACATTTTTATCCATGTCCTTCCTCCATGAAGCTTGAGGGTAGCATGCACTGTTACCCACAGTTTTATCCTCGTAACAACTCTATGAGATAGATTAGATTGAGAGAGAGAGAGAGAGAGAGAGAGAGAGAGAAAGTGACTCACAGTTGCAGGTTCAGATCCCCACTTTGCATCTCCGTGGCTTGTCAGTACACAAAATATTGGCTCTAATTTCTATAAGCTATAATTTCTATAATGTGGGGCTCCTAGAGTGTTTGTTCATTGCAAGGATATGCATAGATGGCTCATCTTGTATATTCCATATCATTTTTAGACAGCTGTTGCTCACTGATGTCAGCTATATCCTGTCATAGTTGCAAGGTCCCCTCCATTTTCTGTCCAAAGCTTTCAGTGTGTGCCTTGAATTGCATTATATCGTCCTATGAGGTCAGAGGAAAGTGGGTATCATGTTCCTGCATACTCTTGATCTCTATCTGAGAGTGTGGAAATTGTGCTGCAGATTAGTACTTCACTGGAGCTTGTTGCTTCCTCTTTTCTGTCTAACTGAAGAATTAGGTTTGATAAACTTTGTTTCTGACTTATGCTGAGTGACTGACCCTGACATGCAGGCCCCTGCTTGCATTGTTGTCCTTTAGTTGGCTAATAGCCCAGACTTGCTTCAGATATTTCCTGGCCTCTGCCAGAGAATGAGGAGGAAATAACAAAGGACATAACATGTATTGTCAGCAAAATCCCCAGGTTGAGGCACCAGAGAAGTACCTTTTAGCACATTGTCAGGCCTAGCTGGGGTATTTCAGTAACGGACAAATCCATGCCTATGTGTTGGGGAACTGCAGAGTGGTGCAACTGGTACACAAGCATTACCTCACAGTTCTCGGTACCATTTTTACCTCTTCATCTCATCTCTACAAGCCACCCACAGATGTACTAGTGCTGCTACTCTGTACCCTAATTTCTTTCTTACTGGTTTGTCACCTGTCTTGCAGCTTTAAGTTTGGACGGAAGATTTTCTATGCAAACTACCTGAGTGACCTGGAGGAGCATGTGAAACTGGAGCAGCTGGGTATCCCAAGCCAGGTGCTAAAGTGAGAGCATGTTTAATTATTTGCTGGTGTTTAATTTTACTGTTTACTATTAGATTCTGATGGATTGTTTAATGTTGCTTTGTTTGACATAAGTTGTTTGTTTTAAAGTTATTGTGACTTTTTATATTGGATTAGATTGTTATTGTTTGATGTTTCATTATGCTTTTATACCTGTTATTATTATTATTATTATTATTATTATTATTATTATTAACATCATCATCATCATCATTATCCACTTTGCCTACTAGCTTACCTTTTGTTTCTGTAGAGGAGGCTGTAACAGGGAGGAGAACAGGGTGAGCAGAGAGGGAGTGGGGTGGCGAAGGGACACTGGGAGTCTGACTTGTCGGCACATACAGTATGATGTTGTGAGCTGCTGAGATGGCTCTCTCCTCTGCATGGCTTGCTCTTTATTGTCATGTGACCCTCAGAAGGTTTCCCAAGAGGGAGTGTGGCTTCGGGCTAAAAAAGGATCCTCGCAACTGATGTAGCAGAAGTAGCTTATAAGTACTTCTTACAAGAAGTAGCTTGTAACTAGCGTAGTGCCAGGGCCTCTGGGCTTGTGTTTACAGGATAATGGGACACTGGACACCAGCTTAGCACTTTTTGGTGTAGTTTAGAATGATTCCATACATACATGTTTGTGTCTGTCTCTCACTGTAGGTATGATGAATATCTGAGATCCCTGCAGAAGCCCTCCCAAGTGCCTCAGAAAGTCACCCCACCACGCCCACCTCTGCCAAACCAACAGTTTGGAGTTTCTCTCCAGCAGTGAGTATCCTCATCTTTTTTCTTTTCTTGGTGGACCAGTGATACCTATAGTCTATCTGTGGGTAGTTCTGGAAATGCTTTCCAATCATCTTGAATCGGCACCTGTGGTTAGCTTGACTTTTGCCAGCCTTGAGCTTTCTAGGTCAGGGCCAGTGATACACTGGATATTATGTCTGATTCAAAGATGTTTCTTTGGGGGAAGTGACAGGAAGAGTCTAAGCTTCTCCTTTCTCAACAGCTTACGGGAGAAGAGCTTGGATCAGAATCCCATTCCACTTGTGGTAAGGGAGACCATTGCCTATCTGCAGCAGCATGGTGAGTGAGCTAGGAAGAACCCTCTTCTGACTTGTCTTGTTGCTACATCCACTGTCCTTTGTCTCCCAACAGCACCCTTCTGTTGCATCAGCCTAGCCTTTTTAAGATGCCTTAGCACAGACTCATTCTTTTTCCACTGCCCATCTTACTATCTTTCTTGTCATTTGATTCTGGTCTTCAGAAAGACACAGCAAAATTGAACACTAGGGAGCTGAGGGATTCTACTAACCTAATTCCCCAAGTGCCTTCTGCATAGCTGTTCCCATGCAAGTGTCCCTGTGCATGTGGCTTTCAGGATGTCCTTGTCCTGTGATATTGGAAAGACTTGCTGTTATGTGTGGTAGGTCTTCCCTGAGACTGTGCTCTTCTGTTTCTCTTTGTCCCCAGCTCTTAACACAGAGGGGATTTTCCGACGATCAGCAAACACCCAGACAGTCAGAGAAGTTCAGCAGAAATATAATATGGGTAAGTGCCTGCATTAGGTTCCAGAAGTCTGCTTAAGCTACTCCACTGCCCCTTTCCACCATTCTTTTTGTCTAGGCCCCAAATCTGCCCTTAGCACTTTGGACTTGTGCCCTCCCACAATGTGCTTTAACTTCTGAATAGATCTCTGTTTGAAACTTGGCTGGAATCCAAGGAGTTTATTCCTTTTGACATAAACCTATTCCAGTCTAAATCTATACCCCCTGGATAAAGGAGGTGCTTAACCTTCCACAGCAATTATGTTTGATCAATGTATGATGTGTTTCCTCTGTTTTATCCTCTGGGGTGTGTGTCTCTCCATTTCCCTAATATTTGCTGGAATCCTGTTGCTGGTATTTTTGAAGCAATTCTTCCAATGCTCCTAATGATTGCTGCTTTGGAGGAGGATTGAGTACCACTGATCCTTTTTTTTTTGACAGTGTGTTTACCTGCTCCTGCCATGCTCCTGCCTCTAGTTCCCGGTCTTTGGATAAGTTCCTTATTCTGCCAGGTGGAGGGGGTTCAGCCCTGGTGCTCTAGTTATGGCTTTGAACCTATCCACTTTCTTACCAGGGCTGCCTGTGGACTTTGTGCAATATGAGGACGTGCACCTGCCCGCTGTGATTCTCAAGACCTTCTTGCGGGAGCTGCCTGAGCCTCTCCTCACCTATGGTCTCTACAATGATGTCGTCAGTTTCTACAGTGAGTGGCTACCAAGAGTGTCCTGATCCCAAAGCAGAAAACTCCTCTAAATACGCTCTACCCAGAGTTGTGCTGTACTCTCACAGCAGATTGGCTGTATTACGCTTTCCCAGGGCAGCATAGTAAAAGTCCTAATTCTAGTACAGTCATACCTTGGAAGTTGAACGGAATCCATTCCAGAAGTCTGTTCAACTTCCAAGCTCCTGCAGCCAATTGGAAGCTGCGGAATCCCCATCGGACGTTCGGGTTCCAAAGAACATTCACAAACTGGAACACTCGCTTCCGGGTTTGCGGCGTTCAGGAGTCAAAACGTTTGACTTGCAAGGCGTTTGGGATCCAAGGTATGACTTTTTGAGGGCTTTTCCTCTGCAATCCATCTCTCCACATGAAAGCTAGGACTTTGCTTGCTGGTATAAATGCCCCACTTGCTTTCCTTTCCAGGTGTAGAGGAAGAAAAGCGTGTAGATATTGTTCGCAAAACCCTTCAGAGTCTCCCGGAAGAAAATTACCAAGTGCTGTGTTCACTGATGTCCTTCCTTGTGCAGGTGAGCTGTCCCAAAGCATTTCTTTGCACAGCATATATGCAACATCTGAAATTCGCTGCCACAAGATACGGTGATAGGAACGGGCTTAAATGGCTTTCAGGCTGAATTAGGCTTTTCTCTCTTGTGAATTTGCGAACTATAGTGACTAAATGGCTCCTGTGTGTTCAGAAGCAGAGTACATCTGGATCCTTGATGCTGGGGACAGCCAATGGGGTGGGATTGTTGCTGTTACACCCCGCAAAAGGCTATGATTTACAACATCTGTTTTGCCATTTAAGTAATCTGTTAATGCTTTTCTCTGAAAGCTTGAAGCCTAAATGATTAAAAAAGGAGTTGGTGCAAAAGTAGGTTTTATTTCGATTAATCAATAGAAGAAAACAGTTTCAGGCTAAAATTTCCAGCCTGTGAAGAAGCAAGAATGATTGCTGCCACATTTTAGTGTCTCGTCTGCAAGTTATCTCTTCATGCATGCTTTCCATTGGATGTTCCTTTGTGTATAAGCCTAGAGTTCTCTAGAGGCAGATGGTGAGGAACTAGGGAAGACAGAATCAAAATATATTTGTCTCTAAAGTGAAGTATTTTCTTCCTCCCTCCTACATAGGTCTCTGCTAACAGCGACATCAACAAGATGACCAACACTAACCTGGCCGTCGTTTTTGGCCCAAACCTGCTGTGGGCCAAAGATGCAGCCATTACCCTCAAAGCCATTAATCCTATCAATACGTTCAGCAAATTCCTACTGGACAACCAGAGGGAGCTTTTCCAGAGCCTGGAGGCTTGATTGAGAGCCTGTTTGTGCTGACACACCATGTGTCCACTGTGACCACTTCCTTCCTTCCCTCCCCCTCCCCTTTTCCTTTCTACTTTATCTTGGAACCGTGGCCAAGCTTAGAAAAGCATAAGGTGATGAGTGGAGTGAAAGAGGAGTAGGAGATGGCATTGAGTGTGTGTGTGTGTGTACACGTGTGCATGAAAGAGGAAGAGAGAGAGAGAGAGAGAGAGAGAGAGAGAGAGAGAGAAGGGGTGGTCAAGTGGGCTGGGAAGCTGGCCTCCCCATCTCTAGAAGTGGAGTGTCCAGATTCCTCTTAATTCCTTCAGTTCCCTTCCTTTCCCAAATTGCTCCCATCAAGTAGCTCTTCTTGTACCCCAGCAGAATCCCTACCTCTTGGTGCCTGTGTGATCTGGACTAATATGTGTTGCTGCAGTGGCCCTTTGGCTGAGAGGAATCTATTTCTACTTCTCTTCTTTGGCTCACATTGGTTCTCCACATGCACCCAAATCAGTTCTGAGCATTCCCATTTTGGAAGGCTACGGCCGCTACTGAACACAACCAGCTTGCTACCCTTGATGGAAAAGCTGACCCCTAGCCCTATGGAAAACATGGGGTATAAAAGAAGATTGCTTTGTCCTGGAAGTGCCCATGTTTCTGAATAGAGAGCTATTTGTACATTTCAAGGAACTCTAGCACTTGTGGTAGGTGCTGTTACAATTTCCCTGCCATGATTTAAAGGTTAGTGCCCTCAGATATTGTGGAGCCCACTCTATCTTTTTGTAATGCCCTTCTGAAGAGAGTGTCTCTGCGAAACTGGCCTTGCCATTAAGGTTTTCCATTTTTTGGGGGGGGGATAGTGATTTTGTGTGTGTTTTGCTCTCCCCCCTGCCAGACAGTAGGAGTCATGCAGAGGGTGTCTGCTGTGGTGGTATTAGCTCTTCAAAATGCCAAAGGCCAGATTAAAACACTGCCCATTCCTGTAATTGAAGCACAGACATCTGTGCCTCTGGTTGCTGCTGCCTTACCATTGTGATGAGAGCATACTCAAGCAAAAGACAGATCACTGAGGCCAAACTCAATAACCTCATGCAGTGCAGAAACCTCCTTGCCCCAATCGACTGGGCAATCTTGTGCCAAAATTAGGGGAAGGTGAGTTTTCTCATTGAAGGACCACTGCCATTGTGTCCTTGTTCAGCTGAAATATAGTTGTTTTACGAATACCAGAATGGCTCTGATGGACCCTTTGTTTCCTTGGCACATGGAGATAGGAAGCATTGCTGCTCTTTTCTCTGACCTGAGAAAGGTTATGCAGCCATGCAGTATGGTTATTCCATAGATTCATGCCTATGTGAGTTGTTCCCCCTTTCAGATCAGAAAGCTGAGTTATGCTGAACTCTAAACTAGGCTAAGCCATTGGCCTAAGCACATAAGTTTTAAGCCAAATGTGTTCTCTCAAAAATAGCAGTTTTCTGCTGGGCCTGTAGAAGCTTTTGCTTTTTAATAGTGTTGTAAAAGTGCATTTTCACAATGTATTACTGCCAACTGTCGTAAGGCTATTTTGTCCACACCCAACCCATTAGTTGGCCCTGTAAAATAGCAAGCTTGGAGTTTCACAGGATTACAGAGAAGTTGGAGGTGTTTTTCTCCACCTTCCCAGAACCTGTGGTTTCCTGTCACAAGACAGTTAGAGGGAAGCTGGCAAGGTGTGTTTTGTAAATGCACAGTAGGCTACTGTTTAAAACTGAATAAAGGAAGGCCTGTGCTATGGCTTTAAAGTGACAAAGTGAGCACTAAAATCTGCATGTGAATTATCAGTGCCCGTAGCCCAACCAGATCCAGTGAATTGGATTCCACATCTGTCACAGATGGCTGGAAATGGTGAAGTGAAGTGCTTGACACTATTATGAGGAGCTGACGAATGTGTTGGTCAGAGTTCATCATCCTGCGTAAGGTACAGGATCAGTCAGCATATAGGAAGTGTTCAGTCTGGTAACATATAAACTTGGTTCGAAATTTTGGAACAACACAGCAGTTGGGAACATTGATTTTTCTGTTTAGCTGAGACATGGAGAGGCTTTCACCAAGAACACTAACAAGTGAACAGCTATGGGAGGAGCAAGAGCCTTTTGCCTTCTAGTATCTCTTGTATAGAATAGTTTAGCATGGTTAACTTGCTCGCTCCTGTTCGAAGTTCCCAGGTTAGAAGGAGAAGCAGCTGGTTTCTATGGAAATCATTGCCTCGGAAATGGAAGGCCCAGGCACTTTAGGAGACAAGGCTGCAGGTTCAGCCACTGCACTGTAACATTAATTCCTCATCTTCTTTTAGGATTAGGAGCAAGATCAGGCAGGAGGGAGAAAGTGCTGTCATAGCTGCCCAGTAACTCTTTTATGAAGTCCACAGATTCCCAATTTGTGTGCGTGTGTGATTTCCCCCACCCCCAAACACATTGCAAATCTTTGTATTGCTAGCTACTGCACACAGTTAAAAGTGCACTCACAAAGCCCTGCAAGTAAGCCAGTGTAATAGCTCTGTTGCTTTCCCTACTTTGTGGGAGCTTCCAGGACACCTGGAGTACATACATGGCAGCAATGTCTGCTTTGTCTCACTGCCCTCTCCCCTCACCATTTTTTTCCATTTTCAAATCTCTTACCATTGTGGGTAATCGGTGGAGCTGCATGCTAGGCCTGACTGCACCCTACGAATTAAGTTTGCATCTTTGGCCAGTTAACTCCGAACTTCCTTCCCCTTCCCTTTTTTTGATTGCTGCCATGTGTGCTATCTGAATTAGGATGGTAGGCATCCAAGCAAGTGGTTGGAATTACTAGAAGACCAGCATCTCAAAGGGCCAATTATGTCCTTCCATGCTCCTCTTGTAATAGAGGCCAAGAGCTGGTTAGATCGCCATGGCTGCACATTGTTTTCTGTCCTCCTGCAAACTTCCAGTGCTACGCCTGCTTGGCTGCCCTCTTGTCATGTAGCTTCCATGTTAGATATTGGCCACAGTGCTTCTGTGGGTGGAGCGCTCCATCTCTATTGTATCCTTTGCTTGCCTAATAAAGCCCATCAGTGTCTTGGTACCCCCTGAATACACTCTGTGCTCTCACCTCTAGCAGTCAGTCATGTATCTGTAGTGAGAACAGCTTATGGGTGGTGCTGCTTATGCTGAAGCTAATTGGATGCCTTGTGGTAGGAGTGAGGAACCTGTGGTCCTCCAGATGTTGGACTCCAGTGCCCATTAGCCATAGCCAGCCTGGCCAGTTTTCAGGGATGATGGGAATTGTGATCCAGTAACATCTGGAAGGCCACCGGTTTTCCACCTTTGCCTTATGGCAAATCCCTTTGCTGACTCAGCAGAGGTCTTTGATGGCCAAGTGACCCCTGGTTGCGTGTTCTCCACTGGGGTCTGTATGCAGAGTTTACAGCTTTGCTTTTTGTTGCTGTTATCTTGCATTTTTGTTCTCATTGATGTTTATTGGGAGCAGGGCTGGGTTTTTTATTTTTATTTTTACTGTGACATTAATTTACACACCCATGTTTATTTCCTTCTAATGGTACCAATCTTGTATTTCACAGTTTGCACTTTTTGTACTTCAATAAAAACCCAAAGCCAATACCAGTTTTGGTGTTTTTCTTCAATGTGTTGTTCTAGAATCAGTCAACAAAAGAGACTGATTAGTATCATCCACCTGGTGCCTATACAACAATACAGTATGTGGTGAAATTCAAATCTAATCCCTTTCAGGGAGAAGGTCCTTTGTTCATCCTTGAGCTCATCCTTTGTCCAGTGTAGCATTGTCTGGTAGGTGTAAATTGATCATGGGACCTTTCCACCTTTTATTCAGGCTGTACTTTGTTACATTACTTGCTTCATAGCTGTCTGTGCTATATACAGTAAACCTGCAACTTGTGCTTGTTTTACTTGTGCAATCACCTTATGCAGATGAGGAATAGAGAGCTGGGGAAACCCTCCCCTGTGCATATTTAGCCCGCACCCCACACACCCAGCAGGGTATTCCTTGTTTACTGGGCTTGGGGAAGGGAGTGCATAACTTGACTTTGAGTGTAGACCCCTGGAACTGAACCCTCATGTAGGCCCACAGTATTTAATATAGTATATTAATATAGTCGGGATGCGGGTGGCGCTGTGGGTAAAACCTCAGCGCCTAGGACTTGCCGATCGCATGGTCGGCGGTTCGAATCCCCGCGGCGGGGTGAGCTCCCGTCATTCGGTCCCAGCTCCTGCCCACCTAGCAGATCGAAAGCACCCTAAAGTGCAAGTAGATAAATAGGTACCGCTTTATAGCGGGAAGGTAAACGGCGTTTCCGTGTGCTGCTCTGGTGCCGGTTCGCCAGAGCAGCTTTGTCACGCTGGCCACGTGACCTGGAAGTGTCTGTGGACAGCACTGGCTCCCGGCCTCTAGAGTGAGATGGGCGCACAACCCTAGAGTCTGTCAAGACTGGCCCGTACAGGCAGGGGTACCTTTACCTTTATTAATATAGTATATACTATAGTACTATATAGTATATTACTATATATAATATAGTAATATAGTATATTCATCTTGAGAGTCCCATGGACTGCAAGAAGATCAAACACATCCATTCTTAAGGAAATTAGCCCTGAGCGCTCACTGGAAGGACAGATCGTGAAGCTGAGGCTCCAATACTTTGGCCACCTCATGAGAAGAGAAGACTCCCTGGAAAAGACCCTGATGCTGGGAAAGACTGAGGGCACAAGGAGAAGGGGACGACAGAGGACGAGATGGTTGGACAGTGTTCTTGAAACTACAAACATGAGTCTGACCAAACTGCGGGAGGCAGTGGAAGACAGGCGTGCCTGGCGTGCTCTGGTCCATGGGATCACGAAGAGTCGGACACGACTAAACGACTAAACAACAACAATTCATCTTCAACATAACTAGCACCAAGTTCCTAGTTTTAAGGTTTATTCATCTTACGTTCACCAACCTGAACTCATAGTTGATCATTTCCCAGGCAATCATGTTCCCCCAAGTGAAAGCTGGTGAAAATCAATCTTTGCTAGATAATGGGTATGACAAATGTTTTCCCCTGTGTGAAGGGAGGATGTGCCCTTTGACCCCCCTTTTTTTACTGGCTTTTGGTTTAAGAATGGCACTACCACCAACTTCTGTGTTGGTAACCTCAAGGCTGGATCATTCCAATGAACTTTCTGTGGCTAGCCCTTGGGCCTGATGCAGAACCTCCAGCTGGTGCAGATTGTGGTAGCTAGACTGATGGGGGCACATGGCTGACAACACTAATTAAAACAGCTACACTGGTTGCCTGTTAATATAAGGATGTTGAACTTGGCTTGGTAGTTAATTTACAAACACTAAACAACTTGGGCCTGAGGTACCTTTGGGACCATCTGAACCAGCTCAATTACTGAGCGCCTCTGTAGGCACATTGCTGGTCATCCCCTGGTATGGCTTATTTGACACCAACAAGAAACCAAGTCTTTCATGCCATTGGCCCAATCCTGTGGAATACTCTTTCACTGGAGATTGAATAGGTATGTTCAATATTCACCTTCAAAACCTTTTGATGGCATCAGACATATGCATAATAAGAAAAACTTTGTCTGGAATATAGGTAGTTGATGACCTGTGATTTTAAATGTTTTTATTGTGTATATAGAATTGCTGTAAACCACGTTGATTTTTAAAAAAAATGAAATTGCGGTATACAAGTTTTTCAGTAACTAAAGTAGTTGAAAAATTAGCATTTTCCAGCAGCTCCACCACTTACCTCTTTGAAATAAGACTTTTCACTACCTCTGGCTTACAGCTAAAGTAAGTGACATAAAATTTTTATTGGAAAGTATATGAATACATGTTGAAGTAACTCTTGAAAATTAGTTCCAAAGAAATATAATTGAGGACCCTTCTCCTTTTAACCAAAACACTTGTAAATTATTAGCTATGTACAGTGGTACCTCGGGTTACAGACGCTTCAGGTTACAGACTCCGCTAAGCTAGAAATAGTACCTCGGGTTAAGAACTTTTGCTTCAGGATGAGAACAGAAATCGTGCAGCGGTGGTGCAGCGGCAGCGGGAGGTCCCATTAGCTAAAGTGGTACCTCAAGTTAAGAACAGTTTCAGGTTAAGAACGGACCTCCGGAACGAATTAAGTTCGTAACTAGAGGTACCACTGTACTATCATCAGCTGGTCTTGGGAAAACCATTGGTCACCTTGTAGGTCATTATTGGAATATAATTCCATTGTGCTATATTCCAGTCTGGCTAGAAGGATAAAGAATTCCCAAAGCACCTAACAAACCACAGAAGGCCCTGGATCAGACATTATACAGTTTGTGGCATTTTGCAAGAGACTTTTAGGGGTAGTTTTGATATTGATATTACTTCTGCCAAAGACAAATACCCAGGGGCACTTTAGGCTAGAGACTGGGGTTAGATCATGTTTTTTCATGGACCAGTGTCATGCAAAGGTATTGCCAGTAGCTACTTTGAATACAAATTGAAATGCCATATTTGAGCACATAAATAAACTCACAATTTTGAGAGTTAGTAATGCAAAACAGCAACATGCTTGAAGGCAAGAAATTGGAGCTTCAGCTCATTTCTGTCCAGCAGTAGGGGTGAGAAACCTTGAGAGGTTACATGGTTAGATGATGGCTGTTGCCTAAAACAAACAAACCCCCTTTATCAACAAGAAATGGAACCATATACTTCAGGAAGTTAACATCTCATTACTTTAATCAGGAAACCATAAATGGTCCTTCATGTCCACAGTCATAAGAAATAGTTTATAAGATAACAGGTTGCAGGGAATGGTCTTCGGCATTTTACAGTACAATCCTAAGCATGTTTCCTCGGAATTAACTTCCCCAGAGTTTAATGGGATTTACTCGCAAGAAAGTTTGCACAGGATTGCAGTCTTAGCCTGGTTTCTAATGAAAAGGAAGAAATAAGTTGTGCCCAGAGTCTAACTTATCCCTGAGCTGATGCTTAGTGTTGTTTTTCCTTCCCCATATTTGGTGAAGAACAGAGCAGGCAGATCAAACACATAGCAATGTCAGCCAATCACACTGCTTAATGGCTAAGTCATTACAAAAATAAACTTTTAGCCAATCAAAACCCCATCAATTAAAACAAGTACCACAAACTTCTTTAAAATGTGCTTGTCTGAAAAAGCTACTTTCTAACTAAGTGCAGATCACAGCGAATGTATAAGCCTGTCAGAGACAATCATTTTAGAAACTTTCTACCAGTGCACTGCATCAACATGTGCATTTTTATTTATGACATCTACAGACCCAACAGGGCAGAATGGAAATCGAGTCACCAGAAGAGATCATTTTGAAAGCATAACCATGTCTGTTTCTGAAAATAAGTATTATAGTTTACCCTGCAAACGGGAGTGGGGGAAATGACAGCTGTTTGGAACAACATACTTGCAGTGACAAAGGACAAAGCAGCCTATATGGCTACTTTACAAAGTGAAAGCATCCACATACATTTTTTTTTAAATATAGGTTTCCTTTAGAGTAATAAATATTTCTTATTTTATGATAGAGCAGCAACATTTGAGGGGAATAGAGGAAAGAACTTTGGACTAAAGACCCCCCCCCCCAAATTAAATAACCCTAGAGAATTAGGATTCCTAATTCATATTTACAACTGCTGACTGTAAACACAGCCTACAAACTCTGGATCTTCTCCAAATGCCACAGACCATGCTTGTGGTCTTGGGGAGGCAATATATTGACACACACCATGTTGGCAGGTAATATACAAAAAACAATTCTTTTAGCGTCTGTGGCTTACCTAGAAACTGCACTAGACAATCAGGTCAGGCCCCTCAATTCTTGTTTCCATACAGATGTGCAACATTGTGTTTGCTTTGTTTAGGGCACCACTGGTGAAAAACGGCCCCTTGCCCTTATGTTTTAGCTGCACTTGCTGAAGGCAAGCCGGTGTTTGAACCACGCTAGCAGAATCTACAGTGCTCGCAAGACAGTTACATTTAGTCAGAGTTATTTCTGCTTGGCGTTACTGCAGATGCAGGGAAAAAGACTGTCCCCAGGAAACCAGATTGTAGAGCCCTGTTGAGGGAGGAAGAAGCATCGGTGTCTCTCAACACATGAGAAAACGGAAGAAGAACAGGCCTTGATCTTGTTTCCTAATGCACTGTATTCAATACGAACCTCACACGGGTAGGAAAGCAAGTCACACCCTTCCCAAGGACTAGTTCAAAGAGATACAGACCACTGTTTCTGCACCTGACAGAGCAAAGCAATAGTGCCTACGAAATTGGGGGATGGGGACAGAACAAGACACTAAGGGAAGAAAGGCAGAATGCATGGGCTTCCTTTTCCAGGGTGTCTAAAAAGTTCAATGCTGCTGTAGAATAAGCCGTTTTACTGTAAGGTCTCTACAAAGGCATCAAATTCTTTGACATTTTTCTCATGGACAGCCAGTTTATCTGGTAGAGAATCCTGTGAAGACAAAGAAAAATTATCAGTAGCTACATTAGCCAGTTCTTTTTTTTTAACATAATACACAGCAGGTGTGGGGGCCCTCCAGATGTTGTTGAACTCCCAACTCCCATCAGCACCAGCCAACATGGTCAATGGTAAGGGATGATGGGCATGGTAGTCCAAGAGCATTTGAGGGACCACAAGCTCCTCACCCCTGAGACACAGGAGTAAAAGAGGTAGTTCAAAAAACATAAAACAGAAGAGCAGAGTAAGGCATAATTAATAATAATAATGCCTTATCTGAAGACAGATTTGATTCAATAGATTCAGCACAACATTACTATCAAACTATGAAATGCTCTCAAGATCTCCCAACCTGTATGCAGAGCTACCCTGGAAAGGAGTAAAATGCTGTAAACAGCATCTATCCAAGTCCATGGCTTGTTTGTAGGTGTGAGGTACATGAGATTGTGACCTCTGAAATTTGCTGGAACAGCTTTAGCACAATTACACTTGTCAGCCTGCTGCTAACAGATGGCAACTTGAGGGCTTTTCTTTCAAAACCTTTTGTACATTTTACAGAGTTTCAGAGGCAAAAACAAACATGTCATTAACCATGAAGAGCATATGATCTATAATAAAGCAGAGAAAACAAAAGGGAGGGAGAGAAGAGTGTGAGCAAATGCAGTCAGACTTGCTCGGCTACAGTTGGGAATGAAGACTGAAGAGTTAAGACAAAGACCTCATGGGAAAGATATGCTCAAGGGGCAGGGGGAGCACTGTGCTTAAGGAATCAGTTCTGCACATAGGAGAAAATATGAAGTTGTGACTAAGTGCAGGATACTGTCTGAGGGAGCTACGGATGGTACAATTCTGAGGATGTAGGGAAGCAGGGAAACGAGAAGCAGTGTCAGAAAACACCTCAGATGATCTTGTAACAACATATTTATGTGGTACTTCAAAATGTTACTTCTTCATATACTGTGCATTATCTCAAGGAACCCTACAAAAACCCTGTAAGGCATGTCAAAATGATTATTCCAATACATCGTGTGGGTGGTCACTGGAGCGGTCTAAGGTGATGAAAAAGTGGCCTGCCTAAGGCTATGTATTTTTATAGCACTTACAAAAGATTTGAACTTGGAGCTTTGGCACTTTTGAGTTCACAGCACAGTTATCTAATACATTAAATAATGAATGACCTGTTTGATCAGTCCTCTCAAATAAGGCATATTTGGTTTATGTATGGCAGGGAGCAATGTCCCTCAAACTGAAATCCCATTTTTGCATACCAGATCTTCTGCCATGGACTGAGCCCCAATGTCAATGGAGAGGCTGCTGAGCTGAGGAGGATTCTGAAATTCACGGTAGAATGTTCCAAGGTCTATTGGGAGAATGTCATCCTTAGAAAATGCCGGTTTCTAGAATTAAATGGACAAATATCAGTCAGCTGTACATTGATAACACAACAGTGCTCTGTTCAACCATCATCTCATAATGTATTTAACCACTATCAATGAAATGCATTCCATTGTTTCACCCAACAACAGCACAATGTACGGCATATAGTAGAACATGTTTTCATCTTTCTCCTATCAAAACTGGTCATCTGGCTATTCTCTGGACTGCAGGTGAACCTTTAGTCTGTAGTGTGTGATGTTATATTGCTTTTACTATTTTTGTTGGGAGCCGCCCAGAGTGGCTGGGGCAACCCAGTCAAATAGGCAGCATATAAATAATAAATTGTTATTATTATAACCTGTGTTGTAGACCACCTTCTTAGATACTGCTCTTTGCTCATGTCACCCTATAATCTGAGTGATGTAGAGAATTTGCTGAGATTGATTTGGGGTGACAGTTTGTGAAAAGGGCCACTTTTGGACAGAAGGCTGCATCAAATAGCCTTTGAGTTCTAGTCCTATGAGTAAAACTCATCATGGGTTCTTAAGAATAAAAGTTTCAGGTCTCTCAAAAGGGTCCAGTATGCTGGAATTCCTGCAAGCTCAGTCTTTCAATATTCTGGGAGGCCACATCAGTACACTTCTGCTTTTTAATGAAATAATATTCAGAGTCATTTGCCCCACATTGGTTCTGTGAAGATGCCTTTTCCCAAGGAATTTCATATATTTTAGCATTTCAGTTCTGCTTCAGACATCGAGGCGAAGGATGTATGTGTATGTAAAGGGCTGCATCAACTTACAAAATCAACCATAACAAAATCGTCATGGATGTTCCCATTGCTGCTGCCACTGGAGCCCACTGAGTGTAGGCTGCCCTGGAGGGGAGACTCTATTTCTGGAGAGTCAGGAGGATTCACCTGTTGAAGAGATCCAAGTGTCAGACCAACATACCCAAATACTGGCATGAGGGAATTAAATGGATGCTAAAAGTTATGTTTTTCAGTCAGAAAACACAAGCATGCTAATGGCTGGGTTAGGAAATTCAGACCCACTCAAATCTGAGAAGGCAGGACTGAGCAAGACTGGCATTTCTTACCATGGGGTCATTATCTTCTGGCTCAATGTTCTTGGGAGCAAACATAGCAAAAGGAATGTCCAAACTGGCCATGGTCACCTAGAAAGGATCAAAAGACAGAATCCCAAATGTTCAGTCAAATGCTGCTCCTCTTACCCAGCATGCAACACAGCACTGTGAATCTTCAAACTATGATCAACTAATGTTCAAAGGAGAAATAAATAGAAAGGCTGCTGTTGTTTTCTGCCTGCTGTTTCAAGGGAGAGGATATTCCTTGTGTTTTTTCTTTCCTAAAGAACAGCACATCATAGAATTTCAGAGCTGGAAAAGACCTTGTCCAACCCCTTGCTCAATGCAAATCTTGCAACCACCTATTTCTGACACAAAGTCTCCAAGAGCAATGAACTTAAATTACCTGGTTGATAGGTTTATTGACAAAGGCTCCCACCTTCCGCACAAATATTGTCTCCCAGAGATCATGTGGGGACCCACTCTTTCCTTCACTGCTGTTAGATACAGTTTCTGTGTCCTCACTGAGAGAGAAAAGAGAAGGGGTATTAATTGATTTCCTTTTGTTTTTCTTGCTCTGCACAAGCTCTGGAATGAAGCACTGGTACATGAGAGTGTATTATTTGTTTACCCATATGTTGTACTGCAGGTACAAAAGGCAGTATTCTACACACAAAATATCAGCAAAGTTCATGGTGAATCAAAGTCATCTCAGTAGTCGTCCCAAGTAAAACTGAAAAGGCCCTCTCCTGGGTACCCACTTGCTGTATTTCAGATAGTGGTGATCCCAAAGGAAGGTATCCAAAGTGGAGTAGAAATCCTGGACAGACTCATTTGCAGGGGGGGTGTGTCTTAACATATTGTGGTCCCAAGATTTTAAATATCAAAGCCAACATTTTTAATTGAGCCTGAGAACAAACTGGTAACCAGTGAAGTTGGTGGAGGATTTGTGTAATACAATTTGAACAGAACCCTCCCAGCCACATTCTGGATAAAAGACTACAAAACTGTTCCCACAGAATATTTCACTACTCTTTTCTCTTTCTTTGTGCAAAACAGAATTTTCCTCAGTGGATTTTGTTTTCTTAATATTTTCATGGGTATCTCCCCACTTCAAGTTGTGATTTGTATGTTGAATTAATATCCACACCATAAATGTCTTCAAAAGGCAATGTCATTCCAGGCCTTTAGAGCCTCCTGATCATATCCCTCATGGATGCAGGTACAGGTGTGGAGAGGGAGATTACAGCCATATGAACAGGGGCACTACCCAGGCATTATGGAATACACGTGAACAGGCCCTAGACCAAATAGTGCCCCCTACACCTGTTCAGCTTTTGAAAGCCCTATTTTTTATTGCATTTGTATCCCATTTCATGACTTTGAGGTGTAGTATGCATGGATGATTTATTCCTGTCAAATATGGTGATTAATTGGCACATGTGGATCTGTCAATCTGTATATATTGATATCACACATAAACATAAAAAACACTAAATTGGCTTCTAAGCTTGTGGGAGCTTCCTAACATTAATTGAAATGTACTAACATCAAGAAATTGAACTGTACAGCAGTGCTGGCTGGACCAGTATTAAATAGTGTTACAGCTTTACAAGTGAAGATGAAGTGTTTGCATGTTTATTTAAGTTTATTTAAGGGGACAGACAGTGGGCAATTTGAGACTAGCATCCCAGGCGCTTGTCTAAATTACATCCTCAGGAAAAATAGAAATGTTAAATTTGCCAAAGCTACCAGTATTAAACTGCAAATGTCAGTGTTGGTACTGTCCTCAACTCTAAAGGGCAAGGTTTCTGCTTAACCCTAACAGAAGCTCTGCAGGAATTGGTGTTTGAGGTATTCTTGTTAGAAGCTACAACTATGCTTTAGTACCTGCAGTCAGTCATTTTACAGAAATGAAACCACAACTACTTTATTATTACTAATGAAGAGTCTAGTATGTGGAACTAATGAAATGTCACAAGGTGGAAATAGTGGCATTAAAAGTAGCTGGATCAGACAGATGTAGATCTTACTAAGAGTACAGCTCCAGTTCTTACATTTTTAGCTGCTACTGAAATTTGTAAAGTTTCCAAAGTCCAAAACAATGCTGAACTTTGGGTGCTGATCCATCAAGAATAGTGAAAGTTACTGTAATTACTGAATACTAAATAATGTTGATTTTATGTGTGTAGATGCATTTTACTATGAAAACATTCTATCAAACAGCTGTTGGATTTGTAAAATTACTGTCCTATCTTCCTACAGGGCTGTAGTTACTGCAAATGTAGGAGAATCCTACTTACACATGCTTTCTCTGCACTTTCACTTTGGGGGGAAAGAAAGGGAGGAAAAAGAATCTGAATTAGGGAAAGTTAAAATCCTCTAATGATCTTCCTAACTGCCTCTTTCCAGAAAGCTGCTTATAGCCTAGCAAATGAATTATTATTTTTAAAACCTGTAGTAAGACTATGAATCACCATGGAGAGATGGAAAACTTACCTGCTAGCTGGAGTAACTGCAGAGTAGTGACCCCCATCCAAAGGGGTGCATGTGGCCATTCTCTCATGATCAGCCTGAGTGCCATGAACTGGTTGGCTAGGAATCAAGGGCACTCCTCCATCCTTCCCTGGAACCATCAACTGGAGGAGAAAGGGATAAGAAAATTAGATATTTTAGTATTCATTTAAAAAAGCTCTAGGCTCTTTTATTTTCAAATGTATGGTTGCCTGACTCTCAATGATAGGTAGCTGACAGCTGGTTACATGTTATACTCATGATATGAGAAACAGCCTGGTTCTGCCTGAAGGCTTCCTACCAACAGGTAAAGAGAACTGGAGAGGATCTCAGTCACTTACAATGAAGTTAAGACAGGGAGCACCAGAAGAAATTATCAACTAAGGAGAGTGATAACCAGACATGACAAAGAAAGATGGGCACTGGCCCCACATTCCCAGCACTTGACTAGGATATCCTCCAGTTTTCTTTGCTTTATGGCAGAAAGCCTTCAAATTTCTTAACAGGCAAAGCAAGGCTGCTTCTCATGTTGCTCAGCTCTGACTGTACCCTACAAGTAAAATAATGGGGTAAGAATGGATAGAGAAATATGTCAACAGTTAAGGAACAGAGTTAGCTATGAGACATATAAAATGGTCTCAAACCTCTAAGAATACCTGGTGAGGATGTGCAGCACTCAAGCCGCCAGCAAAGACTACTGGGTAGGCCAGGTCAGCTGATCCAACTCCCAGGGCTGTAGGCTGATAAGAAAGACGAGAGCTGGAGAGCTAAGAAATGAGAGGGGGAAAGGGAAAGGGAGAGAAAGGGAAAACCCCACACAGTCTGAATAATTTTCAGAATTACTGGAAAAGGCCAGGAAAAGAAATCAGATTTACAGAATAAAATACTAGGCTGGAACTGAGGTAGTCTGAGCCACATGCACACACAAAACCAAACTAAACCAAACCAATCCTAAACATCTTTACTTAAAAGAAAAAGTTGCCACCGATTTCTATGGAACTTATTTTCAAGTTGTGTTTAGGATTACCAGGGACCACTCTCAAGCCTGGATTTTGCTTTAAAATGATGCTCAACACCTACAAATGATGGAGATGACATTCATATAGGACTGAGAGGATAGTATGAAGTATGTTGACCAATAACATGCTGGACAAGAGAGCAATTACTTAAAAGCTGTGTTTATTATTTGTTTTCTATGAGTTTTTTTAAAATGACTGTTCTGTGTTTTATTGAAATGTTTTATATATTATTGTTATATGCTACTTCAACTTCCTATTGATTTTCACTGCCTTTATTAAATAAATGCTACAGAAGAAGCCTGGAAAACCATTGCACTGACAGCAGACTCTAACTGTGGATATAGGTTCATTGTCAAACAAATCATGTGACCAACTGCATGCCTCTCTTTGACTCCCACACCAAGAAGGGCAAAGCCCGAACATAAAGCCTCACATTCTGCATCTCAGTTATAGAGGCAAAAGTTTCCAGAGCAGGCATTTTATAGTCCTCAATGTGAAAGTCCACCTCATAGCCCAAACCTTCCTCTGCTTAATATTTTAAAAATCTTTAAATTGTATATATAACCTAATAAACAATATCATTAAAACAAGAATACTACATCAAACCCTTAAAAGAACAGTTGTGTAAAAGCATATAAAACAACTGAAAACAGGATTTCAGGGAATTCAAACAAATAAAAACAGGACTGTTTTCAAAATGACTCAGGTAACATTAAAAAATAGAATCTATTGGTATCACACCCCCAAAGCAGTCTGAAACAGCTACAGAAAAACACTGGACAACAAAATATTAAATTCCTCACTGGGCTATCGGAAAGCTCTGGAAAAGAAACAGAAGAAATGCCTATGTGGAATACTGGGCTCACAGTAATTAATTAATGTGCTCCAAAAGCCAATGTCTAAGGCCAACTGTAACAAAATTAATCCACTAGAATAAAATTGACTCCTGAGGTACAATAACTGCTTCAGCCCTTTATAATGGTGACAATAAACTTTTAATTTCTTCAGAGGTGAAAAATACTCTTTATTTCCTGTCCCCTGGTCAACTCAAGAAAACACACAGCAATTTCCAGAAAACTCTATTCCACGAAGCGATCAGTATTCTACAATTGCTCTATAAAGTTTGCCCTGTAGTCTAAACTACATATTTTCATTGCAAATTTCCTGTTCAGCAATAAAGACAATAAATTTATAACTTCAGAGATGTTTGATTCATTTTCTTTCAGTGACTGAACAGATTTTGCAAACCTCTAAGCACATTAAACTCAAATGGGTGTTTCATTTTAGGCTAACCAGCCTCAAGAGCCAAATCTAAGGAAAATTATTTACTAGTTAGTGAAAAAATACTTTTGTCATGCACCTTCTTTATTTTAAAGGTGATGTCAGGCCAAACATATTTTTTTCTACTATGAACTCACTTGATGTGAAAAGGTCAGCCCCATCAAAGGGCCCTTCAATGTATCCGTCACGACAGGAGGAGGGGTCTGAAAATGTGCTTTAGTGACAGTAAATACACACTGAACACAGACACACAAAAGGAAAAGAAAGAAAAAGACTTCAGAAAGAAAAACTGAAAAGAGTTGGATGAAGTGAATGTTGGTGAGGACTGTGGCTACAGCTATGAGAAACATTCATACATGTCAAAGAGTTGCAGAATTGCAGGGGAGCTGCATGCTTTATAAAGGGTTTAAAATGTCAGGAAACTGTTGTCCGCTTTTTAAAAAAAGTGTTCCTAGTTGTAGTCTTTATCAATGAATTCACTGCTGATCATATATAACCAACAGCCTGAAACTCTCTTCTAAAGTCAGATGTTGTAGGACTTTTATTGATCATCTTAACAACTAGGCTTGAATAGCTGTTGGTGACAACTGAGCAAAGGGGGAGCTATATGAAGTGGAGATCACTCTAAGTCCTCATGCATCTCAGTGATCAAAGCAATCTCCAGTTGCACTAGGCTTGAAGGTTCAATACAAACAGTAAGACAATAGGCTTTGTCAAACACTGTTTTTTTAAAAAAAGATACCTCACGCTGTTACAGAGCAGCTGAACACAAACCCTAGCAAGAACAGAGAAAAAGCCTTGAGCCACAAACTCATCAGCTGTGCTGGCTGTCAAAGTCAGAAGCCATGTGTCTTCAGACTAGAGTTTGATTGAGACAACTGAAGTAATAGATTCAGAACCTTTTATAGGAACTTGTTTCTCTTGTGATATTTGACTGGGCAACCAGGAGAGCCCCTAAGCATAAGGCAAAAATCTTTAGAGTGCCCCAAAACATACATAAATTGGAACTGGACACTTTGATCCAGGAAAACAGGGGTGAAGCAGAAGGCTGTGCCCAACCCACAGCTGCCTGTAGAGCATGCTCATCCTCTAGCCTGAAGTTAAGATATGATCCCCCGCAGTTTCCTAGGATTATGTGCACCACAAGTGTTACATGCCTTCTCCTTCCCTAACAACATCTGTTTACATATCTTCTCTTCTGGAAATGCAATCAGAAACTCATTTCCACACCAGGGTTGCCCTAGTGAAGGAGATTCGAAAACTAAACCTTCAACACCAACTGCACAGCTCCAAAGGCTCTTTACCAGTCTTTTAAATCTATAGAATACATCGGCCAGAGTATGCAAAGTTTTAAAAGGAAAAGAGAAGAGAAAAGTGACCCAATCTTTAAGTATTTTACATTTGCCAGGTATAGAGAAAGGTTTTTAAATTGCAGCAGGATGGAAACAGGTGAATACTATGCAATCAACAGATTGTCAGCAAAATTGATTCAGAACTTAAACTGTACTCTGTGCAATCAAGTGTGACCAATACCACATTGTTTTATCTATAAAGAGACAGAATTTTTGTATGCACAAGGAAACTTATCATTAGGCACAGATGTAGTAAACTATCATTTAGTTTTCAGTAACCTTCATTTTTGTATTTGTCTAACAATCTGTAATATTCAATTTTTTAAAACGTTAACTAAAAATACAAGTGTCTGTAAACTAAAACGTGCCTTGTTGACAAACACGACAATACAGCTAGCTGCCTCTCTGAAAGAGGCATGCTGGAAAACATACAATGGTCTCTGAAAAATTGTTTACCTGTGATGGTGGAGAAGTAGAAAAAGAGGTGGTGCAGGCTTCTTGAGAATCTTCCACTGATGGGTATGCATTTTCCTCACCAGCTGTTCTGTAACAGAAGGAGATAAACTTCAAAATGGGAATGTTCAATAAAACGCAAGATTTAAAGTACATACAGAGACAGACCCAGAACATCTGAGTGGAGTTGAAAGGAGAATTATGAAGGAGCTCTAACTCTTTCCTTATCGGGGTTTAAATAAATGCTACTAGAGTGGATTAAGTCTGGATTTTATTTGTCCAGGAGAAGTATGAAACATTATTCACCTATCTGCCTTTTAGTTTTTGTTAGGAAGACTCTTCCTGATAAATGTTACCTATGCTACCAGCTGTAGAACATAGCTGTCAACGTTTCCCTTTTTTAAAGGGAAATTCCCTTATTCCGAATAGGATCCCTCACAAGAAAAGGGAAATGTTGACAGCTATGCTGTAGAGATGTACAAAATGTAGCTTCAAAGCCAGTTTAAAGCACCTTATCATTGCTTTTGGTCTGACTGCAAAGGAAATATTTATAAAATAAAACCTTTTACTAAAAGAACCCTTTGATTTTTATGACCACCTGTTATGTATGCTTCAGTTGAGATTCCTGCACTGCAGAGGGTTGGACTAGAGGACCCTTCAAACTCTAAAATTCTATGATTCTTTGTCAAAATATTATACATTGCAATGGGTTGGCTCTAGGCTTCCCATAAGTGGAATTCCACTTCCAAGATGCTTCCGCTGGATAAGGAGGGGGTAGTTATTCATCAGTTCCTAGTTTCACTGCTCCTGAGGGTTGCAAAAAGTGAGGGAGATGGCATACCTCCAGTCCCTCTTCCTCCAGCAGAAGCATCTGCTGGTAAACATTCCCTTTCACAACTTAAAGTAGATCCAGTATTTGAAAACTATATGAAATAAATGAACCACGAATGCTTTTGAATGCTGACACTTGAGTGTACAAACACTAAAATCAATGCTTGCAATGCACTGTGTTAGCTTTCTTCTGCAACTCATTTCACTTAGCAGTTAAGAGTTTTCACTCTGCATTGTATTTTTTTCTGATTATATACTAATGATGCAAATGAGAATTCATGTGAACCACTGTCTACATGAACTGGAGAGAGTCTGAAAGTCTAAGAACCCTCTAGACCATATGCCATTCACCCACTTCTTATAGAATAGAAAATGCAGGGTTTTCCATTTCATGTAAGGACTTTTTCTTTTCTCCACCCAGCAGTGCATGATGTAGAGGCTCTGTATTTGGGAAGAACTGCCTTCACCTATGATCTGTGATTTGCATTTCCTCACCTGTAATTGCAGGGATGCATGGGTGAGGAGCTGGGGTAGGGACGGTCCACAAAGTGATCAATGATAATCCCCATGATAGGTGGGGTCCTCTCAAACTGCCTGCAATGCAACAAGCAAATGGTGTTATTCATAAGACTGTGTTCTCTTCTCTGCTGCAACCCCAATTCTGACAGCTAGACTGCTCTTCTGCATCAGTTAATGGGAAGCAGAGCATCCCCACAATTCAACCCTGCAACTCCACACATGAACAAGGAAATTGGTGTTCAGGAGCATGACTCAGGGCTACCAAACAATATCACTCCACAAAATCTGAGAAGCCCAGGATTTGGGGCTTCAGAAATGGAAAGTGTCCTGGAAAATGTGGATTAGTTTGACTCTCATGCTCTCACCTGGTAGACATGAAAGCTAGGTTGATTCTGTAGGCACAGGACAAAGTGATGGTGCCTAATGGAGTACCCACTGTCCCAACACGGACGGTCTGAAATCCTATGGAAATAGAAGAAAAATTACCAATAATAATAATAATAATAATAATAATAATAATAATTTAATAGTCAGCATTAAAGATAAAGATTTATTTGCCATTTCTCTGTTGCTGAATGACAGTTTATGTCATTCTGCTAGCAACAAAGGGATAACAATATGCTCTCCTGCCATATCCCTTACTGAAGGCATACCTCTTCCTAATAAATCTCTCAGCATCTTTTTTAAAAAAGTTGTTTTACTAATTGTGCTAGTCCATGTAGGGACTGATGCACGTGCTGTTAATAAATGTTATATTGCTATTATTGACCTCCAGTAAGGGACTCTCCTAATTTCCCCTACATCCAAAATCCTTCATGTTACTGGTATATAGTAATTGGTTTTTTTTTTAAGTCTTCAGCTAGTTTGTTCATTGCCAAACCATACCTTCTCCCAAGCCACTCAGCTGAACTTCTCCGAAGTATATCCTATGAGAGAGAGAGAGTGCACATTAAATATAGTCTACTAGGTAGTATAAAGTCAGGTGCACTAAGTGTTTATCATTGAGCTGGGTCTTCTGATTTACAAAGTACTTTACAAGATTAAGATTCTTTACCTATACAATATTTATCTGAGTATTATTGCTTTTTACTCATGAGTACATTGTTGTTAGCCGCCTTGAGCCCGGCTTCGGCTGGGGAGGGAGGGATATAAATTAAAAATTATTATTATTATTATTATTAACTGGGACTGAAAGACAGCAGTTTGTCCAATGCAGTCATCCAGTAAATTCATGGCTGAGCTGGAAATCTGAACCCACAGCTCATATTCCATTCACTGGTCATCAGATGAACCAGAAGTACCATTGCAAGACCCAATTCAGGCTTGCCCTTTCTATTTAAAAAGGATCCCCCCTCACCTGCCAAACCTTTAGCAGTTCGAAAACTTTCTACCAGACATGTTCTAAGACAAAGATGGGAGAAAAAAGTTATGTTTTAACTAAGGATCCTTTTAAAGGAAACAACTGAGGAAGCAAGTTGGCTTTTAAAGGGAAAGATATTCTAAGAATATGGAGAAGCTAAAGAAAAATAATGAAGCGTTGATCAAGAATTGCAAAATACCATAGGAAAAAATAAGTGGGAAAAGTGCATAAGAGCCAATAGTTCTATTGTTTCTATTTCAATATTTATTACCTGTACAATATTACATATTCATGACCTTGTTTCCTGGAGAGTCTGTAGGCAGGAGTCACCCTTGTTATAGCAAGTAAAGACTTCAGTAATAGAGACAGTCTGTTGTACACAGTGTAGGAAACTTTGATTTCTTTATCACACCTAAAAAGCACACAGAAATGAGTTAGTCCAATATTCTCAATGAAGTGACACAAAGTACACTAATACAAGCTAGAGACAGTGACATTTGTGGTCTACTTTAGATTTAGCCATGTAAAATAGAAGCAATTGAGATTACAACCTGCCCTCAGAAACACAATCTACACAATCTATGCAATTTGTTCCCAAAGAATATTTATCTAATTGCAAAAAAGTATTTGCAGAAGTTACAAATAATCTTTTACTAGAATTAATCAATGTTAAGTTTTTGAGCATTTTGTAGCTTATTTTCTTATATAGCTTGTAGATACCTATATAATTATCTTGCATAATTCTTATTTTTAATCAATTAGAAATCCTTGTACTTCAGCACCTAGCCAAAAAGATACACATGACTTTAAATACTGAACAGGTATGTTCTGTGAAAAGACACTTGAATTTCTCAGCTAACAGATACCAAGAGTTCTCTCTTACTTGAATGATAAATGTCGTAAAACCTTAAGTCCCTTTGCAATTTTTCTAGTCTAGGAGACAAGTAAAAGCTACGAAGCAGCAGATGCTTGTGGCTAATTATGTTTGCCTGATGCAGAATTAAAAAAAAAAATCAGAACTAAACTGCTGACTCACTGTAGATAATTTAACTCCAGTGTCTTCTACAACATTGTTAAATCAAAACAGGCCATTTAAATCATGGGTCAATAGGAGGATTTATTTTAGAGTTTTCTGCCATCTAATAATAACTGCCCTTTTAGATCCAGGGTGAATTGATTTAAATTAGTCATTTAAAATCACCAACAACCAAAACAACCAACAGAAAACAACGTAATTTAACTCAACTTTCCTATTTTGTAATTCATGCATTTCCTAAACCTGAGTGCACACGGAGTGGTTGCTATTACCATTTAACCATATTGGCTTGCAACTATAGTCATTGAAGATAATCCAAACCTCACATGGTTTTAGCTCTACCCTGTTATATCTGCTTCAAGGCAAGTGGGGAAACTGTGAACATGACTAAGAACATAAGAAGAGTCCTGCTGTATCAGACCAAATAACTATTTAGTTGAGTATTCTGTTTCCCACAGTGGCCAACCAAATGCATATGGGAAGCCCACAAACAGAACATGAGTGCAACAACCCTCTCCCATTGTTGTTTCCCAGCAACTAGTATTCAGATGAAGTTCTGTGCCCTTATGCACTCAGTCAGCCAAGGAATATCTGCTTATTGGACAAGAATCAGCAACACACACTTACTTTTCATTCATTTCCAAACACCAAATTTCCAACTCCATGGAATCCCCCTGCAGTGGAAAAAGGAATGTTTAAATAACATCTTTGTGAGATGCTCAATGAGTGGGAAAAACCTGCAAAATAAGTTTATCATCATATGAATAATCTTTTTTGATCTTACTGTGGTTCCTTTGGAAGTTGAATGGAGACACAAAATTCAAAATACTTCATGTAATAATGAATTTGTAGCTATGGTTTGCTCCTTCTGATTCATAAGATTAAAGATTTGTATATAAAAACAGGAGCACCTTTCCCCCCTTGTGAGATGCGCTCAGCTTCCTTTTGACTTCAAATGACAAATATACTTACAAATGGCCTCAACAGTTTGGCCCACATGCTTCTGGTGGGCTGTTTGTTGAAAGCAGTTTGTTTGCTTGTTTAAAGCTCAACCCTATACGTGGTAACCATCATACAGTTCATGTTTTATTTTTCTAATGATGATTATTTTAAAAACAGATACTGTATTTAGGCTGAAAAACTATTTTGGATAGTTAGGGTGCCTCTACACAACCCTCTATAAAGAATGTGACAACAACATAGTAACTGCAGTTTATGACCTAGGGTGGCTCTTTTTTATGTATAGACTCTCCTTAACAGTGTCAGTAGTGGTGCACTAAAAAACGCTTGCAATAGATATCATGTGTATAGTATGAAGACATTGCTGACATGAGCCTTAAAGCATGAAGATGGCAGAAGTATAGTTTTGCTTAGGCTTTACCTCAGAGGTTTTGAGAGAGATTTCCACACACATTGACCGCCCAACAGCAGGCAGCTGTCCTGCCAAGGCTTTTTTTGCTTCATGGGTAACTTCTGGGATATCTTTGATTGCCAAGTTGAACTGCAAAATTAAGAGAGTTGATTTTACTTTTGAGGAACTTATTTGAGAAATCTACCATGTGTCACACAACAGGAATGTATGTATTGGAACTTACAACTTACTGTATTTACTCAAATGTAATGCACACCTTTTTTTGCCAAATTTCATCACAAAAATTAGTGTGCGCATTAGATTTGATGCCGCATTTACATTCGCAAGCAAATACTTTTTTGGTTTCCAGGTTTTGAAATTTGAGGTACACATTAGATTCGTACAAAGATGACAACAGGACAAAATATTCTCTGCTGTCACACACTGATGATTACTAATAACAGTCTTGCTTTACTTTTTTTTGGTAAAGCAGATAATATCATCACAAAAATTTCCCAGCTCCTTCCTTGTTCTCTCTATTTACAGTTCCTCTCTTGAGAGCTTTTATCAGAGCCACAGATGAAAAGCAATTAAGAGAAATCTACCCAGAATCAGCTGAGGTAGAAACTATTCAGACATATATATTATTTTTATATCCAGTACCACAAGATGCCCAAATAGTAGTTTTATGTGGTTAAAAAGAAAAGGAATACTGTTTTAACATTTTTGCATGGTTCTATGTCTGCAGTTCTGCTTCAGTCTTTTGTTTCCTGTATTTTAACATGACACAAGTATGGGAATAATGGGATTGCTATGAGGAATATAGTTTACCCAGTCAGAGCCTGTTGGCGAGGATGATGATCGAGTACAGATTTTTTCACCAAGTCGGGCCTGGACAATCACTTGTACAGTCTGAAAGAGAAAATATGAGATTTGTGAGAAGTCAAGATTTGTTACTAAACAGGAGAGAGATGAGATGAAACACAGAAACAAAAGTAACCGCTTTCACTACTTCAGTGTTTTTGTTGGTCTTCCATGATTTTATCCTTCCCCTCTTGCTGTCGAGATCATTCACCTCTCTTGTTGGTAAAACCATACATTTCTCCTTTAATCTGTACATACGCTTTACCAGCTTGCTCTGCAACATCTATACTAATCTCAGTCAATCAGCGCAGGACAATCAATGGGTGCTATAGGATGCTGTCTATAAGCAAGGCTTTGATATCTAGATACCTCCCTTCCCTTCCCTAACCTCACCACTGTGTGGCTTCCTGCTTTGTCTACCTGGAATCCCAGTTCCAAACTCCCTTTCCTTGACTCTTAAGCATATGTGATTCAGTCCCAAGGTCTGCAGACAAGTCACCTGACAGTCAAATAAGAGCTTGTCATATTCAAAAGCTGGATGACTATGGGGCTTTGTTTTGTTTTGATACTATAATCTATATTTTTAGAAATCCAAATGAAGTCAGAGATCAGCAGAAAATGTTGTTTTAAAAGGTTTTGACATTGCATCAATCAACATTATGGCACGGCAGCATGTGGCATTGCAATAAGTACAGGGAGTTTTGGTTTGTCACAGTGCAACAGGAATGTGGATTTTTTTTATTTTTTACTTCTATTCCAAAAAACAAAAAATTACCTTCAGAGCAAAAAATTTGATGAACTTGTCCAGGTCCTTCCTGTCCTGGGAGCTGAGATCAGTGTCCATTGCATATGGAAATCTAGAATAGAACAGGCATAAATATTCCAATTTGTTACTAACAGAAGAGCTTACTATATTATTTAAACTAATCAAAGTTAATGAACTTCAGGAAACTATGGTAATCTTAAAGAGACATAAAACTAATCTTAACCTTGCTGAGATAAATTTGTGTGATTTACATTAATAAACTACTAGCCACGAAGAGAATATGCACCAGTGAAAAGTTTATGTGCATTTTGAGAATCAGCTCAGTTGTTATGGGAACTGGAGCAGGAAAAGATCACATTTCATTTAAGCTGCTGAACTTGCTAGAACTAAGTGCCAAATGAGTTTGGTCATTATATGCATTTAAAGAAGCACATTTGTACAAAGCAATGAGAGCCTACACATGGAAGTCATTTTTTGCATAAAAATTGACCTATGTAGGCAGCAGAGCAGTACTGGCAGGTGACTGACCCCCTGATGGCAGTATAGCTGATGATATTTTTATTAAGTCCTCCAATTGTGTTGCTGGAGTGGATATGTGGGCAGAGCTGGCATTTGTCATGTCACAGCCCTACTGTAGCTTAGTCATACTTATGAGCAGGTGCTAGTCTGTGAAAGTTCATGCCATAATAAATGTCTTCAAGATACCCCCAGACACTCCCCACCATCCCATCTCTCCACCATCCCAGAATGCTTCACAGGTACATTCCTTGAAACAATATAATGTTAAAATGCAATGGACTCAGCACTGGGCAAAAGTGCAAAGTACACCTGAATAATACTGTCTCTTTCTCTAAACAGGTGTGATATTTGATAAACTATTTCATTTCTTGATAAATGAACAATGATACCTACCTAGTTATCATGAAACTGTGACAGATAAAATGCAGTGTAGAACAAAAAGGGCCAACAGATTTGACCTAAGCTGTAGTTAGGAAAATTTGCATGTTTGCTTGCTGAAAATAAAGTTTTATATATCAGAATTTGACCAATATATGGATCATGAGCTGGATACAGACTAAGTCGTGCTTGAGAAGACCCACTGAAATCAATGGAACACAAATTGACTAACTTGTCCCCTGAATTTGAGTGGATCATGCTAAACATCACACACTATTTTTCTCAGTGATCTACCAATGTTACTGAACACAGCTGGAGCCTTAATGTCAGAATATTTATTTTCAGCCCAGAGGATAACCAACATTATCTAAAAGGTGATATTTTTTACCTATGAGCTAGTCAGGTCAGGGAACTATTGGGTTCTAGGCTTCAGAAAGCTTTTTTGCAACTGACATCCCCATCCTCACATGAAAATCAATACACACAAACTGTAGCACTTATCAAAATTTTCATTTTTGAAGTTTTGAAGAAAAACTTCCATTATATAATGGAAATTAACACAAATTCACATATGTGACACACCTTCTTTGTGATGGTCTATTGTATATTTCAGACATGCTTGTGCTTTACTGCATGGTGGTAATTTCCACGGGACCAATCCTACTCTAAACCCTTGTTGCTTTTAGTGCCTCTTTCCTGAGTAACTATAATACACAGCATATCTAAAGCAAAATATTTCATTTATTATTATTTATATAACACTTTTCAGGTAAATCTCACAAAGCGGTTTACAAAAAAATTAAATTAATAAGTATTACCGTATTTTTCGTCCCATAGGACGCACCTAGTTTTTTGGGGGGGAAATAAAGGGAAAAAAATTTCCCTTTATTTCCCCCCCAAAAGCAGGTCGGGGAAACCGAACAAGGTCGAGGAACAGCGGGATGGCGGCGCTGCGCCTCCCTGCTGTCCCCCGAGCTTGTGGGGCTGGCCGATGTCTGCCCGGCGCGAGGGGCGCTCTGCTTCAGGGCGCCCCGCCCGCCGGGCAGCAGGCTGCTATCCGCAGCGTGGGGAGCCCTGCGGGGAACTCCTGCAGGGCTCCCCACGCTGCGGATGTCTGCCCGGCGCGTGGGGCGCTCTGCTTCAGGGCGCCCCGCCCGCCGGGCAGCAGGCTGCTATCCACGGCGTGGGGAGCCCTGCGGGGAACTCCTGCAGGGCTCCCCACGCTGCGGATGTGTTCCCGAAGCGCCGGGCACTCTGCTTTCAACGTGCCCGGCACTCTGGGAAGCAGGCTGCGGATGTCTTCCTGAAGCCTGGAGAGCAAGAGGGGTTGGTGCGCACCGACCCCTCTCGCTCTCCAAGCTTCAGCGAAAGCCTGCATTCGCCCCATAGGACGCACCCAGATTTCCCCTTCATTTTTGGAGGGGAAAAAGTGCATCCTATAGAGCGAAAAATACGGTAATTAAAACGGAGTAATAAAGCAGCAAAAACAAATTACAATGACTTTTTTTCCAAAAGCTAGATACAGTATCGCCTTCTCTCAGATCAAAACTGTTCTTCAATAACACTGTGGTGGCAGGTTTCTTTTTACAGGGTAAGGAAACAGCTTTCTTTGCTCTCCATTCTGGCAGACACATTTAAAACAAAGGGTGTTAAGAAATGAGTAACCTCAACCCATATAGTATTTCAATGAGAATATAGGATGGACAATTATACTGGTTATGTCTCTCAGTGCAGTGATTCTAGAACCTTCACAAGGTACTAGAATATCAGAGATACTTCATGATTCTCAGGTTACAGATCATTCACTTTGGGCCAAGCTGTAGTTCAGTAGTAAGGAATTAACTTTGGAGGCAGAAAGTTCCAGGTTTAATCACCAGTTAAAAGCACTTCGGTAACAGGAGGATGTGAAAAACTTTGGTTCAACAACTTTGAAAGCTACTGCCAGTCAAAACAACCAATACTGGGCTAGATGCACGCAGTATAAGACAGTTTTCTATTTCACAAGGCTTTCCAATTAACAGCAGCATTGCTTTCTCTAGTGCAAACTCCTTAAAAGCAGGAAAACATTTTAAAAGAGCCCAATAAAAAAATTCAAATAAAAGCCAAACACATCTGGTTGACACACAAAGCATTTATGAACCTGCTCCTCCTTTGCCTGTTTACCATGTTTTGAGAGTAGGGAGCAGTTGTCTTGGCAACATTTGCATCACAATCTCCTAAGAGGAACAAGAAACACTAGATAGAGCTCCAACTTAGGGGTTGATTCTTTCAGGAGAAATAATTATCCTTGAATTCAAGTCCAGGCAGATCTAATGTATGCCACCTCACCATTAGTCTTTCTTGGACCCAGAGAACTGAGTGTTATGTTAAAGGCAAGAAATTTCAGCCTGCTCAGTACCTAGAAAGGAGAGTTTGTGGGAATCCACTGTAAGTTACTGATTTCCTGAATTAAAAAACAACAGCTACATGTAATAATAATCATAAATTATTTAACAACATTAGAAGAAAACTGACTATGTAATATTTTGGGGCAGTAAGAATATGTTGCAGTATGGAGTGCTTCTGTATGGTGCTCCAGTCAGCCAAGCCTTCCTTCCTTACACTCCTGGCATCACCCACCTCAGTCAATGTACTCAGCCTTCAATGGGCTGTTTTGACTCCCCTGCCTCAACCTAAAGATTTTTAGTACTTTTGCAAGCTGGGATATCCAGAAGCCTGCTGATATCTCTCTCTTGTGCATGCATGGTAATGTTTTGATTACATAAACACTGGCACTTGGATAATTGAATTTGCTCTTAGTACAGATTCTATGATAGAAAGCATATGTTTATAAACTTGACAAGCTGGATCTCATTTTGTTCTGGAATGAAAATTATTTCTGTTACATTATGAACATATATTTCTAAATTTGGAGAAAATACTAAATATGATGTCCTAAAGACCTATGGTTCACTTATCCCCATTTATTATATTTCCTAAAACAGTGAGACAGCTTACAATAATTCCCCATTTTGTACCTCCTGAGGGCTGCTTCCAATGTGCATAGTATAATATGTGTACCTACAACACTGCCCACTATGTGCAAGAACCATATTCTGTTTGATTTGTGTGCGCACTACAGATGTCATCAAAAGCTACGGCTGGCTCTGGGGTCCCTCAGTGAATGCAGCATACATGAAAATCAACTACAGCAGACATAAAAGTCTAACACTTTACAAGGAACCCTATTGGCAGATATAGTACACAGAGGCATATGCCTTAATTCCTGTAAATATGAAGCAGCCCTATTTTAGGTTTTGAGGTAGATTTTCTTCTTGATAGGAACCAAACTATGATTATCAACTTTTTTATTCTTGTTGTTACAACAAACTGGAAGGTAGCAAACATTGCTTAGTCCCTAAGTTAATATAAATTCTAGGGGAAAAGAAATGTAATTTTAAGGCAAATAAAAACATGTTTCTAAAATGCCTTTTCTCTTTTATTGAAATTCAAAAAAGCCAGTGATTCTAACTAAACTATTTTTTGTTTATGCGAATGGCCTAGTTTTTCCATTACGCAATAGGTATTTTAAAGACCCAGAGCCACATTCCAATGCAGAGTTAGGCACACCAAGACTGAAATACCAAACGTATTAACTAGAGAGAAAGCCCCACTCCTCGTAGCAGAATTGCACTGTTTTGGTTAAGATTTCAGTGAACTTAAGCATACTTGAATTTGTCTTGAATTGTGGCCCAAGAGTTAGAAAAGCCTCACATTATTTCAGTCACATTGTTGCCTGAAAGATTTAGAAATATCTCTAGATCAAAAGACCATGAGGTCAGATCACATGATGAAGACAAAGTATGCAGCATAAAGACTGGCAGCTTGATCCTCAAAGGAACACATGATGTAGAACTAGTTAGTGAAAATAGGCCCTGTGTTACTGGAACCCTTTGAATACTGTTGCTTTAAAGCAGCTTAATCAGTTATCAACGTCAGTCAACAAAACTCCCTTTTGGCAAGGTCATGAAATAAGTTACAGATATATTCAAGCTCCCACATCACACATGCTAAGAAATTTAGTGGTGCAGCTGGGTTTAAACCCAAGGGCATGCACGTGCCACGTCATACGTTGACTACATCACATCCTCAAGGAGGTTTTATTTTCAGTACTCCTTAGGTTCTGAAAGGTTTGTCTAGAAATAAACAGTCCTCACAGCCCTATTTTCCCTACTACCCACAACTCTATACAATCAGACTGTGATCCGCTGCTCTCCCCACCCCGACCTACTCTGTGGGAGCAGACCCATCACCCTACTCCAGCAGAAGCCTAGTCGAAACCCATCAAATTATGTGCATCTGAGGTGCAGGGGGGAATTACCTGCGGGGAGAAGGCTGAGGTGACGGCTCGGGGTCTCATTCCGGGGACGAGCCCGGAGGCTATCTTAGTCCCTCCTCATGGTCAGACCCAGTGGGCCTCTCCGAAATCCTCGCGGCTGGTTTCGACTCGAAGGGCTGGAAGGTGCAGCCCTCGCCGCCTCCTGTGGCTTCTTTCCTCGGAGAGGAGACGTGGCAGTGAACGTCCTCTGTTGGGGTCACCTCAGGAACCCCAACGGGGGCTCGCAGCACCAAGACCCCTCCGGCCCCGCAGACTTGAGGGCCGCCCGCCTCTCGTCTCCCTTCTTCCTGGCGCACCTTTCGAGCTCGGCTCCGCTGCCCAATTCCCGCGCGGGACAAGGCTTTTTCCTCAGCCCCGTCTGGGAATATGGCGGGGGGGGGGGTGGTTCGTAGATTCGTAGCCCAAGCCTGCCGGGAAAACAGCGCCTGCTGGGGAGAAGGGCTGTTGGGACCTTTAGTCCCGAGGCGGGTGACCAATATCCGGCCTCCACTCGCCGCTGCTCAGTGCTTGGTCCAGCCCAGGGAAGGGGTTGGGAATGCCCGAGGCTGGCTGGCCCGCGTACGAGTGGAGTCTCCGCTTGCGCCGCCCCTTCGAGGAAGGCTCTGAGGAACCGGCGCCGGCCTTCGAGGAGAAGTCGCTCAGTCTGCCGGCCCTACGAGCCGACCTGCCCGTCGTCGCAGGTTACACAGCCAGAGTGTCCCTCACGGCCGCAGACTCCCCCTGCAGCCGCCGCCGCCACCGCCGCCATTGCTGCTGTTTGTTTTCATCCGCTCAGGGCGAGCGGGGAGCGCTGACTCCGCATCCGCCGCGGCACTTTCCACAGAGACGAGGACCCGCCTCCCGTTATCAGCGACGCCCCCCCGCCCCAGTGGGCCAGCCCGCAGCCGTTAATTATCGGCGGGAGGCGAGAATGCCCACCTGGGAGGCTTAAAGGGGTGAAGGGCCGGTCTCGTGAGGAATCTGCGATTGGGAATGAACAGGCCGGGCGCCGTGAGAGGGACTTGGAGCTCCGCCTCGGGATCCGGGTGCTGGGAAGGGACTTCGGGACAGGCTCCCTTGCGCTATCGGGGTAAATCGGGGGCCCGGCGGAGAGGGAGGTGTGGACGCGTAGCCGCGCCGCGAAACATGCTTATATCCTGCGCTTTCAGTCTTTCTCCAAGCGCAGAACCCCTCTCCCGCTTCCGTCCTCCCTGGAAGACCCCCTTGCGCCCCCCCTAGTCTTCTCCCCGCTTCTCTAGGGAGGAACTTGTAGTCCACCACAGGGCCGGATTTAGGTTTGATGAGGCCCTAGGCTACTGGAGGTAATGGGACCCTTTATATGTCCAGCTGTCCTTTGTCAACAACAAATTGCCGCTGTTTTTTGTGTTGAATACTGTATATACTATATGGTAATTTATGGACCTAATAGGTATCTAAAGCCGTTTGCACATAACAAATAGGAGCCTACACAACACAAAATACTGTTGCTGTATGTAGGTTTTATTTTATTTGTTTTTTATCTTATATTTTGGAAATGTACATCCATTTTTTTCCCCCTTTAAATTTTTTTGGGACCCCCAAGAGAGTGGAGCCCTAAGCTATAACTTGTTTAGCTTATACGTAAATCCGGCACTGGTCCACCAGATGGTGTTGCACTACCGTTGCCACCATTGGCCATGCTGGCCAGTGCTGATGGGGAGAGTTGGAGCGGGTGAGATTTCCCACAACTACTGTTGGGTTACCCTGCTGCATGTTCCGCTTTCACAGCATCCTCCAATAAGGCAAATTCATGCCCCTTTCGCAGAGACCTGTCTGCTTTTCAGCTCTCTTTTGCAGTTCCTGCTTCATCAGGTGCCCTTCACTTCCCACCACAAACAGTTTAATGCCTCATTGCCATTCTTCTCCCTCTCTTGCACCCCTTCACCTTTCGTCATTCATGCTTTGGGTCCTTTAGGAAAGTCATTCCTGGTGGCTCAACCGAGAAGCGTGAATGAAACCTTGAAAGTGACACATGAGAACCCATCTGGATTAGACCACAGGCCCATTTGATTCTGTATTGTGCCCTCACACAGTCACTAACCAGATGCCTGGAGATGGCCTCCTTCTTTGGGTGCACTCTCTTCTTCAAACATAGTCTTGAGTGTCAGACGTGTATTTTGCTGCACAAAGGTTATTGCATGTTTTTTTAGACATACTCATATAGATGTGTCTCATGTATGTTACAAAACAAAACATTGCATTCTCAGACATTGATAATGATGCTACATTTCCTTCTAAATCTATTTACAGTATCTCAAAATGATGATAGGGATATTAATGACATATCAGTTACAACAGTTAATTGTGGGCTTAACAACTAGCTGCTAAATACCAGGAATATTTTTTTTAAGTAGACATATTGCCTCAGCTGTTACTGAGACAAAATAATATATTACACATATGTCAGTTGCAACTACTTTTGTATTCATCGCTGGAAAAAGGAAAGCATTTATCTTTTAGTCTCTTGGCTGGAATCTACACACATTTAGAAAACACTATGAAAATGCTTTTTTAAAAAAAGTTTTGAAAAATACATTGAATTTGGCATAGCTCACTCTCGCCATCTAGTGTCACATTTGTATATTGCACTCTACAACACATTTAAAGTATTTTATTTGCAGCTGTGTAGCTGAGTCTTGGTAGCAGAGTCTGTATGTATGCTGGCACGTCTTCTGAGTTGGTTTATTGACGTAGGTAAAACCTGCCTTGTTTTTGACAACTTGCCAGGTACTCATGGGTGACCAAGAAATTCATGTAGGTGAATGAACAGGTTGGTGGAGGAGGAGTGGGTTACTTGGTCTCTTCTCTGCCAGTCCACTTGGTTTCTTTGCTAGCCAGGCAGGAAGGAAAGCCTATTCTTTCATAACCATGAAATAGGCTAGTGAAGGAGGAGCAGATATACCCTTCCTTCCTACATGCCCTTTCACTTAGCAAGCTGGTTAAAAAAGCTGACTTCTAAGAGTCTAGTAGCTTGCATTTTCATGTTGGCCACAGAAGAGGGGACTTTCCCTCCTCCATGGCCACCATGGCAACACAGACTTCTGGCTTCTTAGTAAGCTGTGGTGGTGAGCTAATTACTTTTGTGGGCTTATTTTCAATGATGGCTAATACTAAGTAATCCCTCAGTTGTTTGGGGGAATTCACACCTTTGGTATCAGATGTTCATAGAGGAACCAGACCAGATTCAATCCATTGGTTTTTGGTTTTTATTATTATTAAATTGTTAATCTTGTGAGTGCACAATAACACAACTATTATGAGAGAGGGGATGACAATCAAGCATTGTCCATACATTCAGAGGGACAGAATGTTATGTTTATGTAATGCAACACATGGGTATATGAAGAGGGGGAAATGCTTATTACATACAGGAATGAGGAGATAATGCAAACTGTTAACATTTTGGCTGCTTCCAGCAATGGACTCCAACTGAGAACAGAAAAATTCTCTTGTAGAGATGCCACCCTAAACTTATAGGCTATATCTGATACCAAAGTGCCCCTTACATTGCTATTTAATTAGATACCTACCTGCCTCCTTTGTATTATAACTACTGGGAGTCACTGGTGGACATTAAAAAACAGGATACAAGAAATACAGTATTACTTTGTTGAAACTTTGATTTTGCAAGATTGGAACTCCTTGGTTCTCAAGACAGCTCCTTGCCACTAAAATATGACTGACTTGTTTAACAATGGAAAAGAGTGGTTGGGTGAAGCATCTCTGTTTATATAACTTGCTCTTCTTAGGCACATAGTTTCAGTACATTTATCAACTCCAGTTGTTCCAGAATTCTAGATTTTGTGTGCACTTGGACAAACAGAAAAAATATCCTTGAGGGACAGCACAGCTTATTAACAAGCATTAGAACAAAGCAACTCTTTGTTTCTCAGTGCTTTACGTTTCTAAAAATATCACCAGCTTAAGTTTTGCCAATTCACACCCTCATGCCTCATACAGCCAATTAATTTTAATGCAGTAACACATAAAGAAAGAAATTTTCCTAGTCTTGTTTAACCGGTTCAGAGAGAGAATGTAAACATAGCACTAATTTATTGTGAAATATGTACTCAACAGTTCCAATTTTGCGTATGACCCAAGGTCAGTACTAATTGTGCATTCTTGCTTTCTCAAGAATGTCCCATGACCCTGTGTGAAATTATATACAGCTCCAAAAAAAATTCCACTGGAAATTTCCCAGAACTACGACCATGATTCATTGGCTCTTTCATTGAAATTAATAGCAGAATCCCATGGAGATAATATTGTCAACTTTTCTGGTAGAATGTTATCTGGTAGGACTCAGCCACGTTAATAGGACTGTGGGAAAGTTTTCTATATTTCTTTTCCTTGTGTTCTCAGTTGTATGATCTGGTCTCATAGCAATTAGTGTAAATGCCAAGTTAAATTAAAGTGTACATTTGTAAACTAATTTCAAAACCCTATTTACTTAAGCCAATAGGTTTATTTGTGTGTAATTAGTATGAAATTGACAGTAGAGTCAAGTAGGCTGTTAGGATCCATGTCCTCAATTTTCCTTTTTTTTGGCTCCAATGTAGGTGAGTAGAGAGAAGAAAGATCAACCCATCATGGCTGTTCCCATAGCCATTCTTGATTGTGATCTCTTGCTATATGGTCGTGGGCATCGAACACTTGATCGTTTCAAACTGGAGGATGTGACTGATGAATATCTGGTGTCTATGTATGGCTTCCCACGTCACTTCATTTACTATCTGGTGGATCTTCTGGGTGCCAGCCTTTCTCGTCCTACACAACGATCAAGGGCCATTAGCCCAGAGACGCAAATTCTTGCTGCATTAGGTTTTTACACTTCTGGTTCTTTCCAGACTCGCATGGGAGATGCCATTGGCATCAGCCAGGCCTCTATGAGCCGTTGTGTTGCCAATGTTACTGAGGCCCTGGTGGAGAGGGCATCTCAGTTCATTCATTTCCCAGATGATGAAGTGTCGGTGCAGCATCTGAAAGATGACTTTTATGGGCTGGCAGGTATGCCAGGGGTACTAGGACTAGTTGATTGCAACCATGTCGCAATAAAGGCACCCAGTGCTGAGGACTTGTCATATGTGAATAGAAAGGGCCTTCATTCTTTAAACTGCCTGATGGTTTGTGACGCCAGGGGAATGCTACTGAGTGCGGAAACACACTGGCCAGGCAGCTTGCAGGACTGTGCTGTGCTGCAGCAGTCAGCCCTCAGGAACCAGTTTGAAGCTGGCATGCACAAAGATGGCTGGCTACTTGGTAAGTTCTTTCTCATGACTGGCATCTTTGAAAGTCTATTTTGGTGGAATTTCTGTTTGGTTCTGTGACATGCCACATAACATTTATGTGTCAAAACTGCAGATTTTACAGTTCTCCCTCTATAAAGATAAATCAAACAAAGGTAGCATGAAACAGAATAATAGGGTAGCATAAAACATAGAATCTTAGAGTTGGAAGGGACCCCAAGGGTCATCTAGCCCAACCCCTTGCAATGCAGGAACCTCTGCAAAAGCATCAGTGACAGATGGCCATCCAACCTTTGGTTAAAAACCTTCAAGGAGGGAGAGTCCACCACTTTTTGTGGTCAACAGCTCTGACTGTCTGAAAGTTTTACCGAATGTTTAGTCTGAATCTCCTTTCTTGCAACTTGAAGCCATTGGTTCGAGTCCTACCCTCCAGAGCAGGAGAAAACAAGCATGCTCCCTCCTCCATGTGGCAGGCCTTAAGATATTTGAAGATGGCTATCATATCTCCTCTGAGTCTCCTCTTTCCCAAGCTAAACATACCCAGCTCCTTCAAGCGCTCCTCATAAGGCTTAGTTTCCAGACCCTTGATCATCTTGGTTGCCCTCCTGGCTTCATACACATATCTGGCTTCATATAGATGCCTGGTTTTATTATCAGGTGATGGAATTATTTGCACTCTCCTGTCCCTGTTTGGTTTGTGATCTTTCTTTTTCTTTTGACAGGTGATAGTTCATTCTTTCTTCGCACTTGGCTAATGACCCCTCTGCATATTCCTGAAACGCCTGCAGAGTGCCGGTATAACATGGCACATTCAGCCACTCACAATGTCATTGAACGTACATTCAGGACAATTCGGTCCCACTTCCGTTGCCTGGATGGGTCAAAGGGCACGTTGCAGTATTCTCCCGAGAAGGCCAGCCACATCATTCTGGCTTGCTGCGTGCTTCATAACATTTCTCTAGAGCATGGACTGGATGTGTGGTCTTCCCAAACGATGGGACAGATGGAACAGCCAGAGGAAGAATATGAGCATATGGAATCACTTGACTCTGAAGCTGATCGAGTTCGTCAGGAATTATTACTTGCTCATTTTAGCTAACATTACAAGACATACTAAGTTTGACATATTAAAAGACATGCAAACAATTATGATAGATCCTGATTTTCCTCTTACATTCATCAAGAGAAATAAATGGGGATGCAACTATTGAAATTGAAATTTTGTGTTTGTATAATATTTTGCATTTAATATACTATTTTGGTTTCATTGTGCACATTGTATCTGATTCCGTCAGTACTCAGTATTTCAGTACCTGCTACTTTTTAGTGTCCAGCCTTATTAGAGGACCATTTTTCAAGGACAATATGATATGGGAGGAATGCATATTCAGTTTAATATTGTAGTTTTAAGTACTTAAAAATAAAAAAAATGTATCTTGTGTATGGTGTAACAGATTCGGAACACTTTTGTTTCAGTTATTAACTGAAGTTCACCCATATTGGTCTGTACAGACACAGCAGGTGCTGTAATTCACCCAACAGTTTAACTTTACCCTTGATGGCGCACTTTTCCATTGTCTCTTGAGACAAATGAATGCCAACTAACTAAACTGTAAAGGCGGCTTAAACATGGTTAAAAATAGAAGCATTCCTCTTTTTTTGCTTGGTAACATCACTCTTGTCTATCTTTTTTCATCCAACAGCAACTGGATTTGTGTAACGGAAAGGGATGTTGTTATTACATAGATTGAGGCAGGAGGGAAGGAATGGTTTGTGGTCCATTTTGTTGTCCCAGTTACAAAATGGGAAAATGGCCAACATTGAAATGGACATGTAATTCCTGAGTCATCAAGAATGAGAGGTCAGAGCAAAAATAGCCTCAACAAATCTACAAAAATATTCCCTATGATCAAATAACCTTACTTCTGCCCAATGTACTAACACAAATCTATGTAAAGTCTTAGTAAACATTAACCTAGAGATTAACCTCTCACTGTGGGTGTAAGAAAGGTTTATTGTAGAGACCCCTACATTCTTCACAGAGACTTGCACCCCATGGAGTCTATGTTGGTGTCAGATTACGGAGTCTTCTTCTTTGGCGATCACTCATAACCGAGTAAGATTGTCTTCCATAAACACGGTTTTTGTTTTTTTATAACAATTTATTAATTTTCCAAAAAGAACATAAAAAATAAACATAAAAACAACAATATATAATGGAGAAAAAACCCATCATAATCAAAAATTTTAAACCATTATTTTTGCTTGACTTCCCTCCCCTCCCCGTCTTGGTTTCATTGTTTAATACTTGTTCGTGCACGTCCTTATAACCTTATAATCTTTTAAACTTTGTTCATCTTAATACAAGTGAGTTTTAAAAGTTATACTAACGTGAAAGTCTGTACACAAAGCTTAAAAGATGAGCATTAAACCTTTACCCCTTTTTTATTATTCAAAGTCCTCTTTCTGTCTTGGGTTCTACATTAACTGGTTTATCCTGTATAGTTCAATAGTTTAGTTTACCAGTCTTCTTCGTCTTCTTTAACGGAGGCTTATTCCTTCTGCAGGGGCTGGCTGGTCTTGGCCTGGCGTCCAATCTTGCGTACTGGAACAATGTCTTTTGTTCAATAAGTCCAACAAGTTCTGTACATCTCCATGTAATAACTTCAGTTTTTTTTAACAACAATCATTTCCCAATTTGTTTTCAAATCTCTATATGTCTTATCCCAGGCTTTTTTAATGATTTTACATTGCCGCCACATATAATAACCTTTTATGCTTTTTGCTCTCCCTTTCTGTTTTTTCTCTATCACAGTCAAAGCCTTCTCACACAGGGTATCATTTTTAGCTTGGACCAAGTCATAGGCCTCCCAAATCAATTCACACAAGGTGTCATTAACTCATAAACACAGTTTTAACAGTGATTCCATAAGGGACTATGGAGGCCAATTCTGGATCTACACATCCTTCTACAGTGGGGACATAGGTTTCCAGGCGGGAGTTGATCACTGTGAGGGTTTGCCAAGTGTGCCTTCCTCTTAGCATGTTTCTCCCTTTCGTCCTGAGTTTGAGTGTCTTCAAAGCCCATGACACCTTTGGTAAAGGCTGTTCTCCAATTGGAGTGCTCGCAGGCCAGTGTTTCCCAGTTGTTGGTGTTTATGGTTTCCAGTGATGGGTTAAGGATTTGGTTCCAGCACCCTTTTCCCATTCTTAACTACTTCTACCCCAGGTGAGGCCCTGGCCTGGAAAAGAAGTCCTGATGTCACTCCATGCCCAGTACAATCTCAACAATGGGGGGGGGGGAACCTGCCCTCTCAAAAAAACCTGAGGTGGCGCAAAGAGCCTTGGCCCCTTGAAGCCAGTGCTTATGATGGGAACAAATTCTGACCTGCTTATTTGTCTTGGTAATGTTGCAGCTAGATCTAACTGTGTGCCAAATATATAGAAAGCTAGGAACCATGGTGAGGAAAAGCTTTTTGAACTCATTTGTAGAAAAATTGACTCCATATTCCAAAATTTATTTTACAAGATATGTAAAGTACTTCTGTAATTTAAATGTTTGCTATGGTATTTGAGATCCGGGACACGGGTGGCGCTGTGGGTTAAATCACAGAGCCTAGGACTTGCCAATCAGAAGGTCAGCGGTTCGAATCCCCGTGACGGGATGAGCTCCCATTGCTCGGTCCCTGCTCCTGCCAACCTAGCAGTTTGAAAGCAAGTCAGAGTACAAGTAGATAAATAGGTACCGCTCCAACGGGAATGTAAACGGCATTTCCGTGCACTGCTCTGGTTCGCCAGAAGCAGCTTAGTCATGCTGGCCACGTGACCCGGAAGCTGTATGCCGGCTCCCTTGGTCAATAAAGCGAGATGAGCGCCGCAACCCCAGAGTCGGCCACGACTGGACCTAATGGTCAGGGGTCCCTTTACCTTTTACCTATGGTATTTGAGAACATGCTGCAATGCTAGGATGTGCTGCTGTAACTCTGAACGAATGTTTGTCAGGTTAGCATTTAGGCAACAATGCTAATATATGCTAAACTCAGAAACCAGATTGAGGCAAAATTCAGGGACAGACTTTGGTAATCTGTTGTAACGTGGTGCCTCGGGTGAGGACAAAATTTGGTGCCATTCAAAATGGATCTTCTCAGTTATGGATCTTCTCAATTTTTCTCCCCCTCAGCTTAGTGCCCTGTGCAGGGGGAATCACCAACACCACCCTAAATCTGGTGCTGCAAAACTGATTAGAAACGAGAGGGCCTTATGAAACTCAGACACCTACATGTACAACATATTGTTCCACAAGCAGGTGATGCAGGACCTTCATTAAGTACCTGTCCTTAATTATATTTGTGTTGTAATTATGATGCATAGCTCCTGGTGAGATCATGGCAGAGCTGTCAGTGACTCTGAGAGCTAAGAGGACTAGATGGGAAAAGATGGGAAAAGCAAGCCTAAAGAGAGCCTAGTCTTAATGCAATCCTAACTTTGTCTACTCAGAGAAAATCCTATTGAATTCAATGGGGTTTACTCCCAGGTAAAAGGGGTTATGATTGCAGCTGTTGCACAGGGAGTAGTACATTTTGCTTTGTGAGTTGTTGAATACAAGCATTTGCTTCTTGTGCCTTTTTTTAGTTTATTAGCAGAACTAATATCCTCAGACACATCTAGAAAGTCATGCAGCACAACCTTATGTAGGCTTACTCAGAAGTAAATCACAATGTGGTAGCAGTAGGAGGCCTCTTAAGTCTCTGTTTCAGCGTGGATCTACACACAGGAAAAAACACGATAAGTAAGTCACAAATTAAATCGTTATAAAAAACGAAAAAAACACTATGTAAAATCTCATAGAAAAAGTTTGTTCTTCAGCACCATCTGGTGTTGCATGTTTATAACATTCAAAACACTGGGTTTTTTTTACTAATGTAGGTGAGTCATCAGTGCCACCAGTTTTAACAGCAACCCTGTGCATATTTACTTCATAACAAGTCCTGGTGAGTTCAGTGGGGCTTATCCTAAGCCAACAGCCATACATATAAAGTGCATGGTTTCCCCCAAATCCTAGCACAAACTACGGGGAAAGCTTTCAATGTATGGTGTGGATGTGAACCTTTTTTTCTGCACGAAAGTGTGCATTCATTATAAAAAGTGGAATTGATAGTGTATGGGGAAATTTGGGAAATGTGATTTTTTTTGGGGGGAGGGGAAATATCCAGTGCACAGTCATGGTTTGCCAAATAAAGTTATACTGATTTTTTTTATTTTAAGTCTTTCAATAAAAATGTATTGGAGGCAGTGGTGGTTATTTATGACTTTGATTTTGCGGGGGGTGGTGTAGCCATTTTTAAAGAACATGTGTTGTACTTTATGGAGGTCCCTGGCAGATGATTACCAAGGGGACGAGGGCGATGTGAAGGTGAACATCTCCCCTCCACGTATCCCTCGGCTAAGGGCTCATTTCGCAGCAGACGATCTCAGAGCCCCGGAAGGAGGCGCCTCCTGACGCAGGCCTCCCCGTGGGCCCCTCCCCCTGCCTTCTTTCCCCGCCCTCCAGGTCCCGAGGACAGCGCCGATCCCGCTCTCTGCGTTCCATTCGTCAGCTCTGCTCCGCTTTTTGCGCCTGCCGTTCGATTGGCTCGGCACTCGGCATCTCCGCACTCGGCTGCTTAGGTGCTCGGCTAGGCGCCCTGGCCTTGGTAGTAACTCGGAGCAGCAGCAGCGGCGGCAGAAACTGCAGGGGGAGAGGCCGCCGTCGGATTTGGGTTGTCCCTCCCTGGACCAGGCCCCGACCAGCCCGGAGCGTGCCTCACGCCACCGCTCCGGTCCTCTCCGGGATTCGAGGGCGCCAGGCCTTGGCCAGCCCCCCCCCCCGCCGCCTCAGGTAGGCTCTGGGCCTAGAGGCTCCGGGCCTGCCTCCTCTCTAGGGGGGTTGCCGGGCTCCCTCAAGCCGGCGGGGAGAGAAACGCGGCGGGTGGGGCCGGCCGGGGAGTTGGGGAGCCTGAGGCGAAGGGCGGGACGCGTTTCAGGAAGGGTCTCCTGGCGGCGTCGAGTTCCTCCGCTCCACCCCGCCCACCGCGGAGCCTCCCGCGGCCGCGTCTTTCTCGCGAGGAGGCTGCCTGGCTGTGGCCCCCGCGTCCTCCCCGCTCGGAGAACCGGCTAGCCAGACTCCTGGCGGCCTTGGCCTTCCTTCCCGGGACCCGCAGAGCGAGGCTCTGAAGGCCCGCCCTGTGTTGTTTCCGGAGCCGTCGGTCTAAATACGGGGAGGCAGCGCTTCCTTAATTTAAAATACATTCGGTTCCCCTCCGCCCACGTAAACAGTCGGCCGCACGATTTTTTCCCCTTTTTCAGGGATGCGAGGAGGAATTTTCGCAGCGGGATGTCTGTTTTCCTGTGCGAATGTGGCTCCGAGCCTGCCCGCGCTTCCTTGAGAGTAAGGCCTGGTGGGCACGGGGACCACGACGGCTTGGCTCTGAGGAAACGAGCACGAGATTGCAGGGAGAGTTGGCTGTTAACTCGCTGGGGTCTTTCTGTACACGGGTCTTAATTAATTATTATTAACTAAGAATAATTAAATGTGAAGAGGGTTGTGAGGCTTTGTATGTAGAAGAAGGTATTTGGTTCGGAGAACTCAAGCCTGTTTTCCCCAATGTTTTTATAACTCCATCCAGCCATATATTTAACACCATAATTGGGATACAATTGTTTTTTCCGGTCATCAGGATTTTACAGAATTGTGGACTGGTATATGTTGGTGTGTGTGTGTGTTCTGTACCATGAAATTGCTTATTAGTTTTCTAAGCTGTGTGTGTTTGGTATGCTTTAAGGATTTGGACTTCGCTGTGTATTAAAGAAATTTCCTAACATGTCACCTAAATATGTTTTCTTGCAGTTTATATTAACTGCTTCTTAGATCCAGAAAATATTTTTTCATTTACTATTTTCTGGAAGCTTGTTAATATTTGAATACTGGCAGTATGTTAGTCCTATCTCAGTTCTTAAAAGGTAGATCCTTTTAGTTTGTCTTAATGTGACTTGCTTTCTAGACTGTTTATCACATTTGTAGTTTTTCTCTGAATCCTCTTCTGCCTATCATCATCTTTCTTTAACTGAGGTATCTGGGTAAACATAACACACTGAATGAAACTTCTCTGCTCAGCATTGGGTAGTACAGAAAGAACTACTGTACTTGATACAAATCTAATGCAGATACAGCTCTCAGGATGGCATTGTACTTTGGAGCTGCATCATTGCCTTCATTGCTCATTTCATTTGTTTACATTTTTCTCAGAAGTGTTATTGAGTATTGGAACATCTGCTTTTATAATTGTGTATTGGATGGGTCTCGTATATAAATTTTACATTTGACCTTGTTGAATTTTACTTCATTGTTAACTCCTCGGCTCTTCATTTTGAAACTATCTGGAGTTGTTTTGCTTTTCATCCAACATGTTTACTGTTACTCCCATTTGTGTTGTACTTGCAGATCTGAATAAATGGATAACTACTTCATCCAAGTATTTTTTTTTAAATAAACTTGCTGTTGTCACCACTAAAATTATTTGGTGATATACCCTATAACACACAAATGGTTTTGTATGATAAAACCAAGCAATAGGCACAGGAAGAACCAGCAGAGCAAATATTTTAGGTCTAAAACTGATAAATAATTATTTATTATTATTATTATTATTATTATTATTATTATTATTATCTACCTTTTCATCAGATTGTCCCAAGGTGGCATACCACATTAAAAATAGATTAAAACAGATTGATGTTGCTAGTCCCCTTATAAAGCAAATGAAACTGAACTATAATTGCATTTTAATACAGTTTTAAAAAAATTTGTCTGTATATGCACAGTTGTAAAAGTTAGAGGATTGAAATTTTTGAAGGGTGGTTATATAGCTGGCCTTCTAAGGGAAGCTGGGTGAGAAAATTTATGTTGAGCTTCCTTTAAGGATGAAATCTTGAAGGAAGTGCCGCTGAATTCTGTAGGATTTACCTTACTTCTGTAGGAGTAACCTTACAGAGGATTGGAATGTTGCTTGATGAAGCTCCAGTAAGGCTGAATGGCCAAAAAGACTGGGTTGTTAAAAAAAGAAATTAAACAAAGACATATCTACAGTATTATAATCTTAACTTTGAAACATAGGCAGGTGTACAGATAGATTCAAAAGGGTGAGCAAAAAATCTTTACAAAAAAGGTCATGGAAAGTTTTATTTAATGTGAAATTGTCAAATAGCACTATTGTGCTTTTGACTGAGTATTTATGAGAGGCCCCTTTTGCAGAGGTTGACAGTATTGTGGAGTGCCTTGTTTAGGGTTTTTTACTGCTGCAGTCCTTCAGATAGGGGTGCCCAAACTTTTTTCAAAGAGGGCCGGATTTGATGACGTGAACATGCATGAGGGCTGACCAAAGTTGTTGAGCTTTTTTTTACGATTTTACCCCAAAGTTGTTGAAGTTGTTTTTTAGGATTTGAACCCAAGAAATAAACTGCCACAGGGGCCGAATTAAACCAGCCAGGGGGCTAGATGAGCCCCACCCACGGACTTTGGACATGCCTGCTTTAGAACAGACCACACTAGTGCAGTTTGAGTGTCATTAAACCATATTTTAAAACGGACAACGGCTGCATGTGTTGGTTTGTGCTGCACAAAATTTCCCCCAGTGCTCTTTCCCCATTTCTGCCATGTTGCAGATGAGATCAGCTGGCATCTGTTTTGTCATATTTGAACCTGAGCTTATGGTTACTTCTCTTCAAACAAACAATGAATGGTAAATAAAGCCAAGAACAACTTTGGTTACCACTTTGGTTTGGAGAGAAGCAAACTGTGAGTCCGGGTTTGGACAACACAACAAGCTAAGCTCTCGGTCTTGTTTCATTTTCAATGCAACAGGAGCGGGGATGAATGCTGTGGACTCTTCTGAACAGTGTGCACAACACGTTGCTCATTCACATTACAACATCATTAGTTTAAAATATGGTTTAGGGTGATGTGTAAACTGGGCCATTGTGTAGTATTACTGCAGTCTAACAACGTAATGTGTATATTACGTTGTATAATATATAGTTTTCACAAGGCCTTGTATCTCAGAATGTTCTTTCAGAGTTGACAAGTTCCAGTCTGTGTTCTGTTGCCTTAACCCAACTCAGCAAAGTGCTATTAAAAGTGTGCTTACTAGAATGATCGTTTTATTATCTCTTTTTCATTTTGTCTTCGTCATTTTTGCCACTGTGAAGTATAACCCAAACTTACTTTCCCTCCTTCATGTCTTCTTCAGATTGTCATTCAGGAATGCACTAGTTCCAAACCTGCCAAGTTCTATCATCTGTGGATCTACTTTTCCTTTGTTTTGGTAAGAAAAATCTTAGAACTATTCTTTGATCTTTTATGTATTGAGTTGCATTGTAAACAACTGGACAGTCTCATCAATTCACATTCAGTTAACATAAATTTTAGGCTTTAGAAACTCCATGGTAAGTATCCCCCTTGAGTATAGGAGCTGGCTTTTTCTGCATTCATTCTTTGTAGATTTTTAAAAAACATTCTCCTTTTCTTAACCATGTGAGCATCAGCGTTCAGACTTAAAAAGAGATGCATTGTTTTTCGTGTTTTCTCTGTTGGCTTGAGCCTGACTTTAAGAACTTTCCTCCCTTTTAAAAAAAGTACTATATATAACTCATTTAACTTGAGTAGTCCCTATTAAAAATAAATAAATAAATAAATAAATAAATAAAGCAGAATCAGTTCTTCAAATGTTGAAAAACTTACTTGGGGAGTAGGGGAGAAAATTATTTGGCAAGTGTGTGTGTGTATGTGGGGAGTTTAGTATCATTACCAAATCCTCGTGATTCAGCAAACTTCTATAGCAAATGGTAGGACCAAGTTTCCCTGACTTTTGTCTCTGAGGAGAAGATCGCATTTCAGACTATAATGATGTAAATGTGCATCCAAATGTGCATCCACAGCAGGAACATCTGGGCACATTTTAAAACTAGCTTTTGCTATTGCAACATTGATTTTTTCTCAGAAAACTCAAAATTGACCAGGCCTGCACTTAGCTGATAACAGAAAACTTATTGTACTTCACAGTTTGGTAGGAAATTGTTTCTCAAACTGAGAGTGCCAAACCACAGCAGAGACATTGCATGTGGTTCCACAGAAATAAAACTTGTCTATTATGACCTATTACATGGATACAGATGCATGGATTGTATGAACTGAAATGGGACAATTAGTTGCAGCCCTCCAGCTTTTTAATACAAAGGCCTTTGGAAAACACATTCTCATATGTGGGAATATGACTTCCCTCCCTTTTTCTCTAGTGTTGAGGCACTTGCAAGAAGTGGTACTGGAACTAACCTAACTCCCACTGTGCCAGAGGCTTTGATTGTTTTATTGTTCACTCATCTTTAGCATATGCTTCAACTGAAGTAGTTCAGAAACTATAATAAACTATAATAAAACGTGGTTAAAACCAACCAATGTAACAAGATATTAAAGACATGTAAAGCAGCTGCTGAAAGTAAATTAGCTCAAGAATAGATCTACAGCTGCTGCTATTTTAGCCCATCAAAAGCACCTTCTTAAATATTCACTGCCTGTGAACAGTCATCAAAGTAGGGGCAAAAGCGACTATTGTTAGAAGAGTATTCCATAGACTGAATGGTACAGTGGAGAAGACCTGGATCCGTGCCTTTCTATTTCACATGTGTGTAAGAAGGGACATGAACAGAGTCTCCCCAGCAGGTTGGGAAATTAGAGATGGGGAGGTATTTATGGAGGAAGAGACTTTCACTGGTATGTAGGATCCAAGCTGTACACCGCTTTAAAACTGAGAACCAGCACTTTAAATTGGGCCTGGAAGCAAATAGGCAGATAGTGCAACTGATAAAACAGGAATAATATGTTCTTTATAAAGTGTACCCATCATAAGGTGAACGGTTGGCTCTTGCACCATCTGCATCTTTCAAACAGGAGGCAGTCCTGTGTAGAGTTCATGGCAGTAATCCAAATAGGTTACAAATGACAGAGGCTAGGTGCCAGTTTGAGAGGAGCAGCCAAAATTCCCTCAGATGTTACTAATAAAGTATATTAGGGAATTTGAACACTTGTTCACATACATACAGATATCTGCCATTTTGCTGCCTATTCTCAGTGCTGTGAACAGTTTATTAAAAAAATACTTTCTTTTCCACCTTTGGATCCAGAAGGATTTTCAAGGTGGCTTATATAAAATAATGGAGTATAATTGCGTTAGGGCTGCTTCTGCACCTTGCAACATGTGCTGTTCTACAGGCAGTACTACAAGTTCTTCCAAAACAGTTTTCATTACTTCATTCTTTCCTTTCATCCTTCAGAATGCAGCTCCCATGCATTTATCTAGGGCAGCAAGATGGAATCATGTATAACCAATCCTAAAAACTGCGCTGGTGGTTTGTGTTCCACTGGGCCTAATTCAAGTTATTAGTAATGGCTTGCAAAGTCTTCAACAACTTAGGACTCAAACCTCCATTTCCTGCCAACTTGATCCTTAAGATTAGCAATGGGAGGCTATTGCAGCCCCCCATCAGGATTTGGGGAGCAAGGATCTGTAGAAGGGCCTTCTCCATAGTGGGACCCGAATTCTAGAATTATCCCCATAGGTATGCCTGTTGCCCCCACTTTGGTTTTCAGACGTCAATTAAAGACATTTTAATTCATCTAGGCTTTTGTAGTTTAAATGTTTAACCCTTGGCAACAGTACTGGAACCAGTGTTTTAATGAGTTAATAATTGTTTTAGTGGTACATTTTTACTGTGTGTGTTATGATGGATATATGTTTGTACATCACCCTGGGCTCCTTTGGAGGAATGATGACAAACAAACAAACAAACAATAGAATGGCATCTCATTCTCATGGTTGGCAAGTGATTGGTCCTTTGTCTGGTTTCATGCTTATTATTCTCTTTCCCAGGACTCTAGGACTTGTTGCTGAGCAGGGGCAGAGAGGGAGGATCCAAGTGCAGCAGCTGTACATTGGGTCATCCACTAAGCAATAGTAGTTGGTCCTGTAACTTTTCTCAGTACAGTGGTACCTCGGGTTACAAACACTTTGGGTTACAGACTCCACTAACTCAGAAATAGTACCTCAACTTTACCTCAGGATGAGAACAGCAATCGCGCGGTGGCAGCGGGAGGCCCCATTAGTTAAAGTGGTACCTCAGGTTAAGAATGGTTTCAGGTTAAGAACAGACCTCCGGAACGAATTAAGTTCGTAACCAGAGGTACCACTGTATACTTTTAGACTTGCATTTCTTTGAAGCGCTGCTAATTATTTTCATACAAAATGCTATTAATGCACAATTTCACTGTTCAGATGCTTTTGCAGGTTACAATTCATTCATTTATTCATTTGGAGTATTTATACTCCACCTACTAACCAAAGTAAGCAACTTACAATGTATTTAAAATATAGCAAAATAGGCAAGAGTTACCAGACAGGCAAAAGTGTTACCACATTCCCCCACCCCCAAATGTCCCTGCTACTACTTTGTTTTTGAACATTTGGGCTAGAGCAGATCTAATGTTGGTTAATAAGAAAAAGGTCCAGTTCAGAGTTTTGAGGTGCACACCTCTGTTCATCACTGTAAATTAATGGTTACCTTCTGCTTACTATCTCTAGAGCCATTTACTGTTCATGTTCTTGTTGTCTTGTACTTTTATTACTGAAGAGCTATAGGACTCTTAAATTTGATTTGCTTTCATTAGCTAATCCAGTTGCTCACAGAATGTTGTAAGACGTCTTTGAGGAAAACAAGAAAGCAGATGCTGTTGCAATCTGTGTGAAACTACTGGGACCTGTTTTGGCTATTGGTAGTTTATGCTAATACTGGCCTGCTGCTGTGGACCTTAAAACAGTGGGTTATAGCTTCAAAATAACAAATGAACTTCATTGCATTAAAGAATTATGGCAAGAAGCATGTTCTGATAAGGGAATTAAGTTATGCACGGCAGGAAAATGAAATGTTGCTGGAATTTTATTGTTTAAAATTTGCAGTTTCTTCCATTTGGTTGAGTGAAATTGAGGTGCTCAGCCTCTTATTTAACTTTAGAGGACCTTGGTGGGCACAATTGCCTTGGAAGTACCAACTGCTAGCAGGGGACAACTGGCCTTCATCATGGGGCTGAGTGAGTTCCAGCTGCTCGCCTCTACTACTATGCCTCAAAGGACCTGCTGCCTGGCAACTGCCAGCAAGAAAATACTGCTTCCCTCATGGAATGAGCAAGAGGCAGCTGCTCGGCCATGCTCCTTTGCCTCAAGATTTTAGTGAGGGCTGTTCCTGGTATTACACCATGGAAGAGCAAGGATGCAAGCAGAAAATGCTGCCTAAATAATTCTGGTTCCATGCAGTTACTGTGTAGTTGTTATTTCTGTAAGCCACTTTGAGAGCATCTCAGGTAGCATCTTGGGATTATAGAATGGGGATTGAAGTACGGTGGTACCTCAGGTTACAGACACTTCAGGTTACAGACGCTTCAGGTTATAGACTCCTCTAATCCAGAAATAGTACCTCGGGTAAAGAAATTTGCTTCAGGATGAGAACAGAAATTGTGCAGTGGCGGCGTGGTAGGCCCCATTAGCTAAAGTGGTACCTCAGGTTAAGAACAGTTTCAGGTTAAGAACGGACCTCCAGAATGAATTAAGTTCTTAATCCGTGGTACCACTGTATTCTAAATAATAGTAAATATGGATAGGGATCTTCACTCTCTCTTGTAATGTGATGATTTATTCTCTGTTATTAGGGGACATTTGGTCTGCTTCTCCCTGTGTTCTAAAAGTGGCTATAAGAATAAAAGGACAACTTTCCAGTAGGAATTTTGCAACTTGTGGGGCAGCTTTTGATTTTTATGGCAAGGATTTATTGGGTACAGTAAATGCTGTCAGGGAGTGTGGAGGTTAGCAATTTCTTAGTGCAATACTGCCTTGCCAAGTCATCCTTGTTCTGGTGTCCCCCCCCCTTTATAGCCATTTATATAGCTGATGAATGCTGTATTGTGACCAGTGTCTTGGGTTTAACCTTGTGTAAATTGCCACTTTTGACCTGATATTAATATGGATACTACAATATGCTCTGAGATACGGATGTCTGAAACGTGTGCAACACAATTCTAAACACATTTACTGAGAGGTAAGCCTCATTACCCTCAGTGACTTATACTTCCTATTAAATATGGTTAGAATTGCAGCCATGCAACCCATGCCAGTGTTTTTGGTTGATTGTTCAGATTTCATGTTGGTCTTGCTCTTTCTGTGTTGAACAAGTTCATGGATTACACGAAACAAATGAAGTAGAAAGACATAGGATTTAAGTTTTGAAATAGGGATAGCCAATGTGGTGCTCTCCAGATGTTCTGGGCTCCAGTTCCCATTGGCCTCAGCCAGCATGGCCAATGGTCAAGGTTGATGAAAGTATAGTTCAAAAACAAATGGAGGGCATCACATTCACTACCCATGTCTATTAGTGAAAGGGGCTTGGATTAGTCAATAATTACAGCAAAAGATATTAAGATTACTGATTGCTGAATGTTTCCTGCAGAGCAGGGGTAGCCAACATGGTGCTCTCCAGATGTTGTGAACTGCAACTCCCCATTGTTTCTCACCTTTGGGCATGCTAGCTGGGACTAATGGCAGTTGTAGTCCACAACATATGGAGGGCGCCATCTTGGTTACCACAGCTGTGTGTTTGGTATCCCTAAACCTTTTGTTGCTGTTTCTGATTCATTGTATGCTTTGTGATACTCTCGGTTTACAGCAACATTGATTTCCCCTTTCCTACCTTTGTTCACTAAATAAATGTGGGCTGATTGGGTAAGTTGCACATGAAGAGCATTGGAAACATGCATGATATGAATTGGAGTCTTATGCTCTCAAGTGAGCCAAGGCTCTTCCATGTGCTTCTGTTAACTTATCCTTAATTTGTATTACCTGTTCCCAGGTGTGTGGGAGCCTTGATTTGCACCATCAAAAGCCTGGTGGAAAAGGAAAGTGTTTACTTGGTGCCAAAAGTATGTCAATAAAGGTATCAAATGGACCTTACTTAGAGATCAAGGCAGGGCTCATTATATGGTTGGATGGGTTATTTTGGGTTCCAGGCAAGACATTCATGAGCTGAGGCACTTTGGATTTTTTTCAAGTTCTTCCAAGTATTAAGTATTAAGTACTGGGGTGCTCCATGACATCCCATGCTTCTTCCTCAGAGGAGGTCTCTGGTGTTTTTGTTGGCAACTGGCATCTGCATTCATTTATTCTGCTCTTGATTAAACAGGCTTTCACACAATTGCTAGAACTGTTCTGTATGTACCTGGAGTTGAAAGCAGTAGAAACACTTTTCCAAAATCTGATAAACATTACCAGGTAGATATCTAGCATTCTTTCAGAATATTGATGAGTGAAACCAATGTATAATAGTGATGGGATATCCCTTGCAATGTCCACGGCACACTCTCATGCCAGATCAGATTCCCAAAGGGGTTGATGTATGTGTATTTGCTTTTGAAGTGGAAAGAAAAAGTGTGAGTGACTCCAACTTCTTCCTATTATGGAACAAGTGTGAAGGGGGAGTTTTCTCTGTTCCCAATTTGCACAAGGAATAGAAACAGGACATGAGGAAGTGCAGTTGTAAATGGTTGAGGGTAGAATGAACACATTAATCTTCTGCATAATGGTATTCGTATTTTCTTTGTAAAAGGTTTACTTAGATTAAATCTTAAAGATGACTGGCTTTACCCATGTGATCATACAGTTGCATAATTCTTTTAAAAATTAAAAACATCAGTGTTTGAAACAAATTAAGCCTAGGTGTTCCGCCCATTCAGAGCACCATCACCCCCGGGGCCAGTCATAAAGGAAGAAAGAAAAACCACTCTCAGATTGCACTCAGAATGGATTATGAAAGTTAATCAAATGTATACACATTAACTTTATGTAAACTTGATTTATTACACTGGTGAGCAAAGCAATTCCTCAAGAAAATTCCCTTGAGAACTCTCTCTGTTAACTTTCCTTAGTAAGGAAAGTTTCTTTTCTTGCAATTGATTAAAAATATCCGTCTTGGTAAGCAGCTGTTGTCTTGGGTCAGCAGTCTGGAAGTTGTTCTCAATAAAGTAAAATTTATAATGAGAACTCCCCAGTTTCATATTATGCCTTTTTAGTTTGTAGTATTTGATGAGACCTGCTTTCGTAAATCCAGTTGATAGTGTGCTTGACCTGGAAATATCTTCACATCCAACTTGGTGGTGTATTTGCTATGTGATTTGGGTTAGGTCACTTTATTCGGCCTGTGACATAACTCATATGGTGAGTTTTATGATGACAGGAAGTGATTTAGCAGCAGTACAATGGTACCTCGGGTTACATACGCTTCAGGTTACGTATGCTTCAGGTTACACACTCTGCTAATCCAAAAATAGTGCTTCAGGTTAAGAACTTTGCTTCAGGATAAGAAAAGAAATTGTGCTCCGGCGGCGCAGCAGCAGCAGGAAGCCCCATTAGTTAAAGTGGTGCTTCAGGTTAAGAACAGCTTCAGGTTAAGAACGGACCTCCGGAACGAATTAAGTACTTAACCTGAGGTACCACTGTAAATGTAATCTGTTTATGTTCTATCTTTCTCAAAGATATTTTTTTTAAAGCTGAAACTGTCTTGACTGGAAAATACTTTTATTCTAAATACTACAAAATACATTTGAAAATGAAATTGCCACAAATCAATTCTTACGAAGAGTTATTTTAAAAAAGTTTGACAAGAGTATCCATGTAGTGAAGTGAACATGAATCAGGTGATCAGTGAACCATAGCTAATAAGAGAGTGACTTGCTGTTGTTAAATCTCCAACCACACAAAGTTTTTCTTGTAAGACTTTGCAGGCCATCTACGATGTGTTAGATTTGCCATGAAAATGCTGGACCTGGGCCCATCATTCTGCAACCTGAGGAAGATCTGTCTTGAATGTGCTACAATTACAGTGGTCTCTCTTGAGAATCTGATGATGATAATAGTAATGCTATGTTGGTGGGGATGGAATGTTAACAATTACACAGAGAGATACCAATTTGTATTGACCTCTTGGAAACTTCTGACTTGGGTTCCTTGAAATATATCTTCACTATCTAGATTTCCATGAGGACAGCCTTGCAAGGAGTGGATGGCACTTGTGTAGATTATTGGCACTTGTGATCTGGTGTCTCTCGGTGACTCATTCCCCTGAGACAGTAAAAGCCATGAAGGTTGTACCAGAGAAGAATGCTGTTCGAATCCTTTGGGGCCGAGAACGGGGCACGCAAGCTTTGGGAGCACAGCGTCTTCTGCAGGAGTTGGTAGAAGACAAAACCCGTTGGATGAAATGGGAGGGCAAGGTAAAGCTCCTTATGACACACTTACAAGTCAACTAAACTTAGGAAGCTGCCTTGCACAAAATCAGAACATTGGTTCATCTAGGTCAGCATTGTCTACACTGACACTACTTTAGGGTTCCCTATGTGGGTCTTACCCAGTCCTACCTGCACATACAGTGATCTAGGATAGTTTGGCATACAAAGCAAGTTCTTAACCATGGAGCTTCAGGCTGTGTATGACACTTCTGCCTGTGGGTAATTTGAGTTATATATACTTCTTAGGTTTCTGAATTTGAATTAAATATTTTTATCTGGTATGTGCCAGATTCAGAATAAATGGATAGAACCTTAAACATTTTTTATAACCCTTTGATACTCCTGGAACAATTGTGCAAAAGTATCATTTCTTCTATCAAACTTCACACGAGGGAGGGGTACTGGTATACTTCACTGATACTTTGAGCTCAGAAAATGTTTTGTGCTCTTTTGGCTTTCAGAAGGTTGAGTTGCCAGACAGTCCACGCTCCACCTTTCTACTGGCATTCAGTCCAGACAGGTACACATCTATGTATATATTTTCTGTTCTCTTTTTATTTATTTATTATTTATTTTATGTTCCCTTTTATCTGTTAGAAAGATTTGTGAAGAGAAATGTTCCTCAGCATACCTGTGAGAGCTTCCAAAGAGTCTTTCAGCTTCGCTATACCAAGTGCTGCTCACTCTTTTGATTATTTGAAACTACTTGTGTACATGGAATACTCTTTTTGAACTATGATAATGACAGAACTTGGTAGCAGGAGATGTTCATATAAACTGGTGAAATGCTTGTTGTGTTGGTTGGTTCAGGGACCCTACAGGGAAGGCGCGAAGTCCTTGAGAGCCCTGTGCAGGTTTTGGCCCTACTGTGGTAGTATTAATTTTCCTTTAGTGAATACAGCTTTTGCTCCTCCACCCTCTCAAATGTCATTGTAGTCCGCTTGCTTTTTGTTTCATAGAACAGTATGCAAGGCAGAGCCAATGAAAACTTACTCCATCCCTGTTTGCATAGTCACCTCATGTTTTGTTTTAATTGGTCACCCCAGAGCAGGGGTAACCAACATGGTGTCCTTGAGGTTGTCCCTATTATCCCTGACTATCAGCTATGCTGGTTGAGACTAATGATAGTTTGGAGTCCAGGAGCATTTGGAGAGCATTACATTGATTACCCTTTTTCTAGAGTGTGACAGATGAGAACCAGGAATTGGCTTTCATATACAAGAGAGCTTAGGGCCTGGCCACTGTCCAAATGTACCACAAGCAAGATTGTTGCAGTGCATATCAGAAAGAAGTGATGTTTGAAAATTGGGAGTGACTCACCCTGTAGGGATGGTATGGTATAGATATTAAGGTGGAAAGCACAATTTGGAGAACCTATCATTTTATGAGCATTTGACCAGTTAAAAAATATAGCTGAGTATACTACTCTACTATTCTTGAGTAATGGTTAAGTCTTTTTGGAGTATTTACTATATTAGAATGGCAAAAATGTACTTTAATTATTAACAGCTAACTATTCTCTTACCTGTTAATCTTGGAAATATAATTATTAACTTTTAACAATCTTATGTAAGCTTTCTAAAACTCAAGTATGTGTGCTGTGAGGCTGGTTAGATTGAAGTATCATTGACTTATTTTTAGAAAGTTGGTCTTGGAGCTGTCTTGGTGGTTTGGGTGTTGGGCTTGACAGCCAATGAGGCATATCTGTACAGGTTCATATTTTTCTCTCCTCTGTTTCTGCATCCAAAATTGCTTGCTAAACAACCTTCTCTTCCCATCCTCCCTCCCCTTCTTTTATGTTGCTTTTTAATTTCCCCAGGACCCTTATGGCTTCTACTCATGTGAATCACAATATTTACATCACTGAGGTGAAAACGGGCAAATGTGTTCACTCTCTAGTTGGGCATCGACGCACACCATGGTGTGTAACCTTTCATCCTACCATTCCAGGGCTTATTGCTTCAGGGTGCCTTGATGGAGAGGTTAGAATCTGGGATTTGCACGTAAGTTCCTTTTAATGCTCTTTACCTCACTCTATGCCAGGCTAATCCATGCATTGCCACACTGGTGTGGGACCTTCTTCACTGTAGCATTTTCTCATATTATTCTGGTAATAGGGATAAACCCAAATACATGGTTCCATCCCTCCAAATATCACCTGTTTACCTTACTGTTATGGATTTGTTTTATTTTTTGATCATGAAATGCTAACTCTGCCAGTTGAGAGCCTTATTGGCAGGCTGTAGCAGAAATCTTGTGCTAGTTAATGATAAAGCCTTTGGATGACCTATAATTATTTCTGCAAACATTTCAGTGAAAGATTACTGTAGGTTTCAAGAATTAAAAAATGCTTTCTAGTAGTACTGTAGTGTGTCATGACCTTTATCCATACTAATGTTGAAGGGCTGAAATGTTTCTACATAATCAAATTCTTTTAATTACTCTGGAACATTCAGTGAGTCTCAGACAGCCTATACAAACAGTATATAATGATTTTCCTGTAATTAGTGAGACAAAGGTCTTTAAAATTTGGCTATGCAGTTGGGGGTGATATAAAACGGAAGCACATGTGATGATGCTTGTGATATAAATCTAGGTCACCATATAGTGTATATGGGATCCTGTTTGGAATTACTGTGTTTCAGTACCATTGACCATAGATTGGTTTGCTCCCAGGGTGGAAGTGAGAGCTGGTTTACAGATAGCAACAATGCCATAGCATCTTTGGCTTTCCATCCAACGGCCCAGCTCCTGCTAATTGCAACAGCCAATGAGATCCACTTCTGGGACTGGAGTCGCCGGGAGCCTTTTGCAGTTGTGAAAACAGCCAGTGAAATGGAGAGAGTCCGGTGAGTAATCCTTCTGCATGAGTGTATCTAGTTGAAGACGAAGATAAGAGGGAGCAATCTTTAGGAGAAATCCTCAAGATAATTGCTTGGGACACAGTTTTAGCCAGAAATGGAAAAAAACAAAACCCTATGACACTGGAGACAGCTTGGAAAACTCTTAATTGTACCCCAGGGTTCACTAGTAAACCAGAAGATGAAAGTATGGTCTTGAAGGCACACAGTGTGGCTTAACTGCTCAAGTCAAGTAGGCCTGGCCCTATAGACTGCAATCATATTTATTTATCTGCTTACTGTGTTTCTAATTCTAAGAAGTAGCATTAAAATAATAAGCTCAAAACAGATAATTATGGCCATAGAAATACCACCTTAAAAAATAAGGATAAAAGATAAGATTTTAAAGGCCTGTGAGAATAAAAACATCTTCACCGATTTTGAAAAGCATTCCAAGCAAGGGGCCACTATCCTGGCTTCCTACCTTTCTTTAGCTTGTGGGGGCACACAATGATAAGAGGTCATTGTTGGGTACATATGGGAAAAGAGGATCCTTTGGATACTGTGGTCCCAAGCTTATGAAGGGCTTTAAAAGTCAGAACCTGGAATTGAATTGGAACTGGAATTGGGCTGGGAGTCAGTGAAGATGATTAAGTCCTTGTGTAATACCATCATAGTTAGTACTCTTTCAGCCATATTCTGTACTGATGGCAGTTTCCAGCAAGCCTTCAAAGGTAGCACCACATATAATGTATTACAGTAATCTATAAGGAAAATTGTATAAGCTAACTCTGATGTTACAGGACAAGTATTAGAGTATTCTGCTGCTGTGATTTGATATGGTTTTAATTGATGGTTTTATTCTGTTAATGTATTCTAAACGTATTTTGTGTTCTTAGCTGCCATGTGCTCTTGTTATAGGAAGGCTTGGAGTATACACATGATGGACAAAAGCAAATATTTTTCCAGACAAATAGCGGGACAAACTTGGCACTATTTATAAAACCTGCCATAGAATATCCCTGGTAGTTCCTATTACCAATGCATTTATTATGGAGCAGCAAGAGACTAGTTATCCAGAGTTTTACTTGAGCAGAGAAATGTGTCATTTTTTACAGGCTCACCTGTTACAGTTTTTCATTGTGTAGGTACATTTTTCACACAACTGTAGCATTTCATTAGTACTGTTACCAGGCAATTGGGCAGTAATATGGGATTCACTGAATGTTTTACTTAGAATCATGTAGGGCAGAGATTGCTAGAATTATTGTTAGAATGTATACCAGAGCATGAATATCTGTTTAAAATCCAGACATGGGAAGGCATTTTCCAGTTGTTACTACTATTTCAGGATCTCTTGGTAGTCAGAGCTAGCTTAGCCCAACTTTTATATCTCAGGCAGACAGTGTCAGGTTGCCTCATGTGACTTGGTCATGCAGCCTATAAAGTTAACAGAAAATAACTGAAGATGGCTAGAAGCAGCTCTGTGCTATTAGAGAGAGGGGTCTTATGAAGGAGTGCAAAATGATGCAGACAGGTGAACATGTGGGTGCTCTTTTGGAGGCTGCTACTGTGGGTTGTCTTAACAAATGACAAGTTCTAGGCATTCTAAGTAAGGTCAATGCTAGATTTCCCCACTAGTTTCTTGTTAACTATAAAGCATAGTGGTGCTTAGCCTTTATTGAGCAGGAAGAAAAATAGATTAATGACTCATTAGAGGAAGAGAAGCTAATTGTCATATCTGTTTTGAAGTTTTGGTAGTGAGAAATGGCAGTTAGGAGTAAAATGTAGCCATGAAGTAAGTAAGTAATTTGTTTGTTTGTTTGTTTGTTTGTTTCTTTACTTAAATTTGTATACCAACCTTTATCCATAGACCTCAGGGTGGTCCTGGAAGCTAATGGAAGGTTAATTCTTTGCTAATATACTTAGCACTATATACAGGAAACATGAGATTATAATGACAATA